TATATAGCTTAGTCTAAAGGAGCTTCTTGGTTAGATAGATATAAACCCATAGAATGATAGGGAAGAAATAGAGTGGGCCGATTAGAGATATACCGCCCGTTAAGAGAATAGAAGGATTATGCAAACCCTTAACAAAGTATACTACCCCCTCCTTTTTCTACTATCGTATCTCTATTTAATACTAACTATATAATATCCTTTAGGTTCGTAAAATTGCAGTCTATATCAATAAAAGCCCCTAGCGCCGCGAGAGCTTTATTGGACTTTAGACAAAAGAACCGAAACTTATGCTAATATAAGATATCCGAACACGCTAGAATTCCACGTTTCTTATGCTTCGACGCGTACGTCGGCTATAGACTATATTTGATGGATTTTGTGCACAATTTAATCTAACTAATATAAAGATAGATAAGGATAAATAGCGATAGGTTAATTATCTACTATCAATCACCTATCCCTTCTTTAAGTTCACTTTATCTTTATTAGCTATAACTAATATGACTATCTATAATGTGTTTGGAATCTACAATGCCTTGTTTACCTATATTGATAAGGCAAAGGCGTAGCTAGCACGAAAGAAAGTTGGGTAGAAGAAAGTAATAAAACTAGCGCTCGAGTATAGGCGCGATAAGCTTGTGGAGTATTATAGCAAGACTAATAATGTTCCGAATGATCTCTATGCAATTAGGACTATCTTAGGCCTACGAAATAAGCTTAAGTTCTTCTTGACACTAGAATAGGAGAAACACTAGGCACCGCGGTATAAGGAGTCCCTCGAGACTTATATCTAGCCTTACCAGAAGCGCCATACAGAGGCATAGACAATGTCGAGTTCCTAGTTAATAAGTAACGATATCTCTGATATTGATATACTTCTAAGACCTACTACCTCTGTCTAGTCAAGACCGACTACTCTAGATAAACTCATAAGGTATCTTAGAAGTAGTAAGTTTAATATCCCTCTCTCTTATTGTATATCAAATCTTTGTTTTTGCTAACTTTATATCTCTCTAGGTACTGTCCAATCAACACCCCTAGTCTTCTAGAAGGCTTATAAGGCAGAGTATCCTATCTTAGCAAGCCTTGCCCGAGATATCCTTACAACTCTAGCTAGCGGCTCTAGGGTAGAGAGACTTTTTAACTCTGCTCGGGATATATACCACTATCGCCGGGGCTTATTAAGACCACAGACTATTTAGGACCTAATGATATTCATATATATAACCAGATTTGATATATAGTCTAAGCAGCTTGCGCTAGTGGATAAGTTCCTCTCTACCCAAGAGAAGTATTCGAAGAAGGAGCAGGATAATGCTAAGCAAGAGGATAAAGAGTTTGATCCTATTAGCGATAACAAGGAAGATCTTACAATAGAAACTTCTGCAGAAGTATCTATTAAGCAGCCTAGCCTACGAGCGCTAGGGAAGAGAAGGGCTATTGATAATAATAAGATCCCTCTACCTGATTTTGACATTTAGAGGCGTTTGTCAGGGCGTATTCCAAAGAGACTGAGACATAATACGGATTTTGTATATAATTAATAGATATAAAGGACAATTGATCCTTTCAACATGAATCATGCATATAAGTAATTTCTAGAAAAGTACTCAAAATTTCTGGAAAGAATACGTTTAGGCTATATATAACAAAGTATGACAGTAAAATACTAAAAAATACCAATAGATTCTTCATAAATTATGTAAATCACGGGGTTCTACATATTTGTCCCGTTTGTAGGACCGCAAGACCGGACCGGACCGCAGTGGTGCGGTCCTATAAAAGTTGGGACCGCCCAGCGGTCCTGATAGTAAGGACCAAGCCCTGCATGGTCCGGTCCGGTCCGCGGTCTGGTCCGGTCCCTTGCGGTCCTTGCCGAGGTCTAAGAGAACCAAGCGCGATTCCTAGCAATTGCTGCTCTTGCGCGTAATATCCTCTCTTTCCCTACAACTGGGGCAGGCGTTAAACGGCTATTTAATACTGCTCGGGATATCTGCTATTACCGTCGAGGAAGAATGAAGTCTCATACAATCGAGGATTTAATGATGTTTCTTTGCACCTCAAGGTTTGACATAGAAGAACAAGAGGCGAGACTTCTTGAGAAGTTCTTCTCTTATAATGAGCTAGAAGCAGCAAAGGAAAAGAAGGATGATAACCTCGACGATATTGAGATCGAGCCAATCAGTGATACCGAGGAATAGGAGACTTCAATTGATAAGGAGACAGAGCTAGATAAAGCTTTATTGACTGCATTTGAAGGGCCGACTATACGTGAACCCTAGGTACCATTGCCAGTGAATAACACCTAAGTACGTGCGTCAGGACGGAAGCGAAAGAATTGCGATAATGATATATTCGAGTACTATTAGTTGGTTAATCGATTGAAGCTCTCTAATTCACAGATCTTTAAAAAAGCCTCGAAATAACCCTATATTCTGACGGCCGTCAAAAAAACTAGCAATATAGCTTAATGACCCTATTTTCTGACGGCCGTCAGAATTGTAGCCCTGTAGCCTTAGGAATCTATTAAACGTACAATTAAATTAAACAGTGATTATAGAAAGAGGCCTTGCTTACAAGTCAAATACCCAAAAATACAGCCAAAAACTGCACAAGTTATGTAGTCACGAGTCTTGACATGTTTGCATTGTTTATGAACCCAGCTGGGGGCCCGGGCCCAGCACTGGGCCAGAAATCCCGACCCGGGCCCAGTACTGGGTTGGAGAACCCGGCCCAGAACCCAACCCAGCCCGGGTTGGGCCCGGGTTGGGCCCGGGTTGAGCTGGGTTCTGCGGAAGTCTATCTAGGTAAGTGTCACTAAATAATCCGTATTTATCAGCCTATGCTAACCTAATCAAAGGTCTTGCTAGTGCCGTTTTAACGATCTTCACTCGCTCGATCTTCCGTGTTGCGGAGCTGAAAGGTAGATTTAGTAGTGATCTAGCTAATAATGAAATTTCCCTAATGATTCTTAAGAGCACTATAATTGCTATTGCGTGCATTTGTATAACCGCCGCTCACCTAGCAGTTGCTATAGGCCGGCGATAGGGGGAACTCTCGGCTAAGCCGCGTCGTGGAGTCGTTTCGTCTAAGGTGTCGTAGGCTTCATTAGGAATTGAGATGATGAATGCTTAAAAATATATAGCAAAGCCCCTGATGACTCGGAGCGGTCGGTTTCAAGAGATTGGGTATTAGACATTTCAGCGTTTGGATTGGTCTTGGTAATATCAGCGAGTTAGATCTGGAGTTAGATTTTGTTTGAGCGATTTGAATCATACAGTCATTCTCGAAATCGGCAAGGTCTAGATACTATCTCGTCTCGGTTTTCGGGTAAATAAAGTATAGCGTTTTAGATCCGTATTCGGAGTTTCAGTTATAGTTTCGTGTAAAAATTAACTGCTCGCTAATCTTCGGATAGTATTTCAAAATGTTGTTCTAGTGAAACTAGAAAGGAATTAAAATCACTTATGTTTTGGTCCGATTTTTATCGGGCATTTTGTAGTGATATAGCGATATTAGCTTATAAGGTAGTAGCGTTATATAGCAAGGTTAAAGTCTAGTTCTTAAATAGATCCTATATCGTTTTAAAAGCGGTTCGCCGGGGTTCCGGTTTATTATCGATAAAGTGTCGCTATCTCTCTCGACAATCTAAACTCATTCGACTAGTGGCACTAAGGATTTTTCTTTTATTATTAGTATACTTTCGGGGTGCGCCGGCGAATATATCTTATAAGTCGTAAAGCTATACCTATCGTTGTGTTAGGATGAAGGTCTAGTGTGTCAGGATAGGGCCTGTTAACTAGGTAAGAGAGAAGATGTCTCAGGAACAATATGGCATTGGAAAACAGAGATTGATTCTTAGGGAGCTTTTCAGGTACACCAAGAGTGGGCTATTTATCATGGAGAGAGCAGAGTGTAAGACTGGCCCTTCGACAGGGATACACTGGCAAGGCGCGTGGTGATACATGGAGCTTCCCTATCATGTTCGGACGCAGGAACTCCAAAGGTCCAGGGTCCGAAACAAGAAGCGACCAAGGCGAGAGTATAATAACTTTGTTTCGTATTAGTAGCATAGTGATAGAATAAACATTACTCTATACTCTTAATATTCTGTTTCTTAAGACTAAGCTAAGTGATTGAAATACTATTAAATACTGCTAAGAAATGCATAATTCATGTCAGTCACGAGCCAGTTAATGTTTGCATTGTTCACAGTCCCATAGGAATTCCCATGGAGTGGAGCCACTTGACCCAGTCCCATGGCGGACGTCCCATGGGAAATGTCAAGGTCTAGGTGTATTCGCGGAAGTTCAACTATCGACCGGCCGATTAACATATAAGGTGGTTAACCTACACGCTAGTGTCGCGGATCAAGGGGAAAATGTCCCTATCTCGAGCGCAATATTCGGAGCTGAGGGAAACAGGGCCGGACGAAGGAGGGTAGCGTAGATTGCAGTCGCGGGATCGCAGAAGAGCCGACGAGTCATCCGGGAAAAAGGGGGTAGCGGAGCTCAGAAGCTCGGTGATCCGGATCAATGGCAAAAATGCCTTAGCTGCGAGGCGCGGGAGAAGGAAGGCGAAAAAGAAAATGTGCACTGTTGGGTGGGGAGGAGCAGGGGACTATATAGAACCACGCACGGGGAAGCATAAGGACAAAGAGCGCCAAACCTAACGGGTCAAGACTAAACCTATGAGAGTAATTTGCTGTCCCCATCCGATATGGTGTAGTGGCTAACATCGTCGTCTCTCACACGACAGCCGGGGGTTCGATTCCCCCTATCGGAGTTTCTTTTTTTTTTTTGATATTTTTGCCAAATTCTTAACTACTCATGTGGGCTCGATTTATCCTGAGATTGTTCTCAATAGAATGTTGCTTTGGTCTCTGGTCTTAAAATCAGTTTGTGTCATGTACTTAGTTGTATAGATCTAGAACGTTATATAACTCACCGCTTTCATGCCTATAGGGGAGCAACAACTTCAACATTGAAGGTCATGACACGATGCCCATCTGCATCGAATGCTCTTATCCGGTCTCCCACCTGTACAGCGCTTACAGTCGTGCCGATGACCGGTCTCAAGGCAAGGGCGTGCGACTGACGCAATGCCCGCGATGTCAGCGATTTGCCGACAAATACGTCGAATATGACTTCGTCGTGCTGTTTATTGACTTGGTGCTGATCAAACCCCAGGTAAGCTCTATCTGAGGTCTGGAGAACGATGCAGGCATTTACAAAAGCAGGTCTACCGGCACCTTCTCTTCAATCGGCTCGGACGCGACGACAACCAATTCGATGTGAGTGTCCACCAACGCAATTGCGAATCACAACTGATTATATGGCGCTCTAGCGATCAATCATTCGCCTCGGTGTTCTCCTGCTCCTCTTTGACGTCTACCTAACCTGGGCACGTATCGAAAAGGATCCATCTCTCGCAGCGACCTTCCTCTCACGCGCTCCCATTGTCGTCCAATACCTCTTCTTCCTAAGCTTGAATGCCGCCGCAACCCTCGCGCACCACTTAACGGTCCGTCTGCTAGCTTCAATACTGGTTCCAAAGTCCCGCCGGTATAGCCGCCCAGACAACAGCAACAATGCCCCAACAAGCACAGGCGAAGCCACTCCCTTCCCTTCAGGACCTCCAACCCCAACAATCCGACCCTCACCATCCGCTGTCTCAGTAACGGCACAAGCGCAGAACCAAGCAAACTTCCTGGCAAGCCCACCAAAGGCCACTCAAACCTCGGGCACACACAGCGAGGCCACCTCTCCAATCGATGGCCAACCACCACCAATCCCACCACCACGCCCAGCTCCACCATTACGTCGTGCCTCAACAGCCCCGCTACAGAATATTCAGCCCCTCCCTCCTCCAATAGCAGCAAGCCCTGCGGCAATTAGCACAGCATTGCTAGTAAGCAGCTGCGCGAAGCTGTTCCCCATCCTCCTCGTAATCTGGGGCGCCGACGGCAGCGGGAGCCTGTCCAACATCCCAGCGCATAGCCAAACAGCAGCGACACTTCGATCTGCGACACAAACTGCTACCATGTCCAGCGCTGTCCATCAGAGTCTATACTCCAAAGCTACAACTGCCTCTTTTGTCCTCTCAGCAAAAGCAGCAGTCTCGGTCTCTCCCTCTGCCACCCCGGTCCATACTTCATTCCTGAAGTCGTGGCTTGGGGGTATGGCTTCGTCTCTGCAGAGTTCTACACCGACAAGCCATCTGACTGGACTGTTTGATTTGCTTACCTCGATGCTTTCACTTGGTGTTGTTGATACGCATCTTGTGCTATTGAGTAATATTGAGGCGTTGTATATCTTGCTCGGGTGTGGTTATTTGCGTGCTGTTGCTGTTGCGGTTGCTGGACAGGTTGCGCGGTGGGTGGTGCAGAGAGTTATTCTGGGTGCTATTGGGGTTGGATAATAGAAGTGTTTGTTGTTAGATCATGATGCATATATATATTTGATACATAATCGTAAGGCAGCCAGAATCAACTGGCTTCAATCAAGTGTTCGCTTTTCAAATGAATAGATTCCACTATAAATGTTATACCTAACCTGCCCGGAAAAAAAATATTAAACCAACCCAACACAAACCAATTACACGAAGTGCATGAGAATCAAAACTTCACTGGAAGTCTCTACTAGCCAGAAGCATGAATGACTTGACAATAAAAATTGATGGAACGCTACCAAGCATAGAATAAAGACTATACAAAAGCACCTACAAGGCGCAAATCCAACCTAATGTCCGCAATGTAGAGTGAGCACGAACAGCCAGATCCCAATCTAACTAGAGCTCATAAATGCATGGAACATATCATAATTGACCATATCCCAAAGACAATACCTCAAACAACAACCTCCCCGACAAGCCTGCCAATGACAGAAGAAGAAACATAGCTAAACCCGAACCAAAAGTGCCCATGCATTTAATTTGGTACCCGGCCAGGTCTGATGTCTGATCGCTTTGGTGCGATAAGGGGATGCCATTGTGAAAGGAAGACGATTGCTATAGAAGCGAATTGTTAGTGACTGTTCAATATATCGTTCACCATACTATATCCCGTGGAGAAAGAATTATAGCATTTGACAGACGCCTGCGAGAAGACAGTCGCAATACATACCCCACATCAAGTAACAAGAAACAAAGGTCAGGATAAACGTGCTGCGGAATAGCCTGGAGACGGAAAATAGTCAATATCTTGCACAACTCACCCATATCCCCATCATCTGACATCGAAAGATTTCGACGATCAGATATCTAACACCGGGGTCTAACTCACGTCTGGTTTTCACCCTTCGGGCTGAGGAACCATGCAGCAACGGATGCAGCAACGATGACGACCAAGCCGATGACCAAGCTCCAGCTATGCGAAATGTCAGTAAATATCATTAAATTGTGCGGAAGAGCCCAATAGAGTAGATTATGAAGAAGAGACATTGATGAAGCGGGATGGGATTGTCAAGACAGAGACTCGTGCGGTCTAGTAACCAGCTGAGTTATCGGACATGTCTTCGTGTATAGATCATATATTCAGAAGATACACCCGTGGTAGAGACAACGTACCCGTTCGCCATATTTTCGGTATTGAGTATGTATTTTAGAGTGAAGCGCAACCCGGGGAAGTGTCGAAGCGAGTTATGCAGGATTCGTCACGGGGAACCGTGCGTGAGGTTAGATCCAGGCGTCAAATATTCCGAAGGGAATCAATGGATTGAATGGTTTGGTATTGTCTCGACTGTCCGATTCGATTCACTCGACGGCGCGGATTGGATACGGACAAGTATTCGATGTCCGTGTAGCGTGGTACGATTGGGGTCCGGTCGATGGTGGGTTGGATATGGACTCAAAGAATCAAAATTTAAGATGTCTCTTTCGAGAAGTATGCAGCTTACGGGGTTGCCAGCTGGGAAGGGGCGACGCTGGCGAGTTGGAGTATCTGATGTCGGAGCTCCTGGAGCTAGCGGGATACTGCCTTAGGCCATAACGGGCGGGCGGTGGATCAATGCAAGTGACATCTACTCACTCCACCAACTATACAATCTAAGTCTTTGATGGTTTTTATGTCTTGGATAGATAGTCCATTTGGTTTACGAGGGATATAAATTTCAAGTCCAAAAATCACTGGATGATCCCTTGGGATGGTATAGCAGAAGCAAACCGGCTTAGATACAGACAATAGCCTTGGCTCGAAATAAGATAAAGCCAGAACTTGGCAGGACAAACAAAAGAGAAAAACATCTAGGGTAAATGTTTACGCGCCCTCACGGCTCTTGCGGTAGCTGGCCTAATTGTAACTGGTTAGTTGTGCTACTCGAAGGACGCTTTTGACTGAGAACTTACCTCCTGCTCGACCTGCAGAGCATCCACAGTCGGGGCAAGCTCGCTGAGAATCTCATAGGACTTCTTGTGGAACTCAAGTTGAGCGGCGATCAGATCGGCCAGGTTGCGCAGGGGCTCGGGGGTATCAAGGACCTAGCGAATAAATTAGCACCCCAACAACTCGGGCCGTTGAACATATCAACCAAACGAAAAAGCAGAACTCACGTTCTTCATCACGCCCACAGCCTCCTCAGTCTGACCAACAAACTCATCCTCAGCCTGCTCAATCTCGGCGCGGGCATCCTCACTAAGGTTATCCAGATCACCATGAGCAGCAGCCTTCTTGCTAGCCTTGACAGAGTCAAGCATCAAACGAGCATTCTCAACATTCTTGCGCGCCTTAGCAGCAAACATCAAGTTAGTGTTGAGAGTAGTGTTCCAGCCAGCCAAGAAGCGGGACTGGATCTGCGCATCCTGAGCAAGACGAGCCTCGCCAACCTTCTCCTCAGCCAGGGCGTACTTCTCAAGCGCATTGGCGAGCGGGTCCTCAACCTCGGAGCTCTGCGCGAGGGTCTGCGAGCCGGCAAGGGAGGCACGGGCAATGGCGTGGTTGAAGGTCTTGGGCTGGGGCTTTGCGCTGGGTGGGGCAGTCAGGGCGGCTTGGGCTTCGGCAGGTGAGCCTGCCTGCGAGAGAAGCTGGACCTTCTCGTTGATGGTGCGGCCCAGGTCGTTGAAGGATTCGCGGATGTTGGGAGGGTAGTCGTAGGCCTCGTTGGAGTATTGGGAGCTGATGCATGGCGGCGCTGGTCAGTAGCTGCGGCGATATATACTCCATACGTGTATGCACCGTAGCATACAGTAGCGGGGAGGTGGGTATCACTCACGTCACCTGCAAGAGCTTCTGGTGGACGAGCTTAAGCGCATCGACGCGCTTCTCAAGCTCGATGTATTCATCGGGGAGCTGGGTCTTATCGTCGGCCTGGCCAAGCTGCTCCTTGATCATCTGCTGGGTACGCTGCGCAAAAGGCGTGAAGTTTGCGCTGTCCGTCAGAAAACCACAAGGCAAGAAGATGTCAGTAACGCGATCGGCCTCGTAGTTGGTGGATGGTTCCGCGGGATAGGGGTGGAGGGGTGAGGGGATGTACTCACCTAAAGTTCTTTCCGAATGCCTGCACTCGATCCATGATTGTGTAATTACTGAGAAATCGACCAAAAAAGAGGAAGAAATGGGGTGCGAGTGAAGAGATGATAGGATATTACCACATGTGCAGCTGCGAAGGTCGAGGCTCCCGCATTTCACCGCCACAACTGCACCGCCACAGGGAACAATGTCCTTTTGTAAATATAATATTCATTGAAAAAAGGAAAATACATAGAAACACTCGGAAATCTTCCGGAATCAAATTAAGTCATAGCGTCATCAAATCCCTGCCAACCCCCCGAGAATTGTGCAAAACTCAAGTAAGAGTAGCCATCATAGCACGCATAATGCGAGAGTTGGGCTCTGTAGAATGTTAGAATCATGACAACAAGACGAGAATGCTCTGCAAATTCATACCTTTGCGCTCCTGTCTCCGAACCTCCGTAACCTCCTCCTCATTGCCTCTGTTATCAATGATTTCGGTATCACGTTGCCGGGTAATCTCAATGCCACCCTCTCTCTCTAGGCGAAGAAGTCTAGTCTCCTCCTCAAGTTGACGAATGTAGTCGTCCACACCATGATCACTGTCTCGTGGACGCACAAGAACCATTGGGCCAGTGCGAACATTATCGGACTCGCGCTGCTCAATGTACTGTACGGGATGGTGTGCGTGGACTGACACCGAACGCGGCCGGGAGATCCCCCGCATTCTTGGTCGATCCACAATCTCTTCGTAGTGATCATGGTGGTGATGGCGCGAATGGGACCTGTGTCGTGAAGGTGCTGCCTCAACAATGAATGCATCACGGCTCGAACGTGGAGAAGGAGCTGCCTCGACTTGCAAGTATTCAGTCGTGACACGCTCGCGGGGACGAACGGGGGAAAGGTATTCAGCTGCTCGGCGTCACAAGTTAGGACTTGCTTTTCTAAGACGAGATAGGTAACTGCACTCACTCTCTACCGGGCTGGGAGGTCTTCTGAACTCGCGACTCAGCATGATCACTTCGTCAATCTGAGCCTTTGACAAAGCCTTCTGGATCACGATCACATCATCCTACCCAAGTCAGTAACTGTAGATAGCACTAAAGAGCAAATACCAACCTCCTCCTTGTATGGGTAGCCTAGATCTAAGATGGCATGGACATGGGCAAGGTGACGAGGAACACGGGTCTTCCCTTTGCGCGGGTAAGGCTTCTCCTCATGATGTCTATGAGCATTGCTACTCGAGCGGCGACGATGATCAACCATGTCTCTCTCACGAACATCCCTGAACTCCTCATCACCATAGTAATCAGGCTCAGCGATCCTTATATCCTCATAAACCTCGCGCTCCCGATAACGTCCAGGAGAGAAGTGGCGCCGAGGCGGAGCAGGAACGCGGGGCATGCGAGGGGCACGATCTCGGACATCGAGAGTCTCCATCTTGCGCCGGGGGATGCGATCAAAAGTGTCCAGCGATGACTGGCGCCTAAGTAGACGGGGCCGTTCAAAGGAGGGGCTCTCGTCACGGCGTCGGCGCCGATCAGGCGCCACAAGAGGACCTGCAGGGACCGGGTGGTCTAGGTATTCATCCTCGTAGATGCGCCCTGGTGCGCGTGCAGGGGGTCCGTATCTGTCTTCGTCGCGGAGCCGGGATTCGAAGCGCTCTTCGGCATGGCGGGGTCGGTCGACTACGGCTGGGCCCCGTGAGTAGCGGTCGTGGCGGTCTCGCGAGTCCAGCGTCCCTGTTGATGAACGGTAGTCATCATAGCGAGACATCGTTATCACCTGCAGACAAAAGACAAAGTCCGGGATGACGTGAACCGTGGATGACGCGGGCGGCTGACTTGCGGACCGAGATGCGAACCACGGGTGAGGAAGTACCTGGGAGGTGAGAGAGTGAGTGAATGAGAGAAAGAGAGCTGAAGAGACAAGAAGGGCAAGGTAAGGTCAGCCTTACGAGAGGAAAAAAAGCCACAAAAACAACAAATAGGCAAGTCAGGCAGAAGTCGATCAATGATGACATTGGGTGAGACTATGTGGGGGTATATCTCCGCGTACACTAACTCGGGCACTACTGTATGATATGCCTTGCTTCATGCTGCCTACACTTCCAAATTAGCTATGTCCTCCTCTAAAACCCCCATAGCCCAATGAGATCGATCTTTCTTGACCGTCACAAAACGGCGATCCTCATTCATTTCCAGCACAGCCTCCTGTGGCGCATGAACATTAGCGTCGGCGTTTGCCAGGATTTCGGAGCCTGCTTACCTCTTGTTGAAGCTGCCGCTCTCGCGCAGTCTCAAAGGACCGTTGATAGGGTGGCCCTCGGCCTTGTTTGGCAGCCACAGTCCATGCCTTTTCACAGCCACCGGCAATAGCTTCGGAAGACTTCCATCCTGTCAGACGAGAGATATCTCGGAGTTTGGAAATCGTCCAAGCCCGCTGATTAGCATCGGTATACTGTACAGCCGCAAAGAAGAGCGGGACTGTCATTTCTGTTAATGAGGAACCCAAATTGGGATTGAGGCTGCCCGCTTCGAGGCTATGGCGTTGCGGGTAGTAAACACCCGAGAAAACCTTTCCTATGGTTTGAGCCAACTCAGCTGTTGTTGGAGCAGCCACTCCTGCTGCCATCATTATAGCCGGCGGCATGCAAGGGTGGAGCCGGTTCAACAAAAGCCGCACAGCATAGTAGAATCCCCAGATGACGGCGATGGTGTGCGTGCGATATTGAAGGGCGGGACCAAAGGGTGTCGCGATAGGCAGCGTGACATCCGCTGGCAGAGGCTGAAAGTCGCGGCCTAGCGCATGGGCAAATATCTCCATGGCAGCTAAGATCTCTTCCCATTCCTGCTCTGCTTCCTTGTAACTCATCTCATTCTCGTCATCCGCATCAGGTGACACCCGCGGCTCACGCGGTCTATCCTGAAATCCAGACGGAAGTCGAGCCGGTGGCTGAGGGGGAATCATCCCATACATGGGAGGACTGTCAGCAGATGGCGGGGACTCACCAGCAGGCTCCCGTGTCGGCTGGCCGCCCGGACCTCCAGGTGGCATACCAGGGGGACCGGGGGGCCAGATGGGGGGCCAGATGGAGGGCCGCCAGGTGGACCCCCTGGACCTCCCGGGCCTGGCCTTTGCCCTCGAGGGCCACCGGCAAAGCGACCCATGAACTTGAACAGTTCAGGACCAGGTCTCCAATCCTTCCCACCTGCCTTCAACGATTTCAGCTTTCGCTTCCGGTCACGCAAGCCATAGTCCGTCACTCGAGCGAGCAACATCCATAGATGATCCGCCGAGCCATAAATGGCATCTAACCGACCGACACCCGCTCGAGGTGGGCACTGACCGCGTTGAGAGAAGGGCATTCTTCTAGTGTCAGCAAGTCGCATTTGCATTTCAATTCCTAGAATGCCGAGACTTACAATAATTTGTTCCCACCGATAAAGCTCTGGAACGCATCGTGTTTGAAGAACCACCAGTATAGATCGCACTGAATTCGGAAAACCTCAATATCCTTGCGAGAAAAGTGCTTTTTGGGTGGTGGTGTGTTGCCTTCATCAACACCTCCAAATTGATCATAGTTGATTGCACGACCCATAAGGGTTCCAATGAGGTCTTCATCGATGTTGCCCTCTTTCTCTTCGAAGGGATCATCCTCAGAGACATCGCCAGACATTCCCCACCACGAATTTGACCAATCCGACTGGCGTCGCTGCTCGTGTAGCCTCCGCCGATGAGCTCGGAGATCTCTGGTTGTGGTGGCAAAATCGACCTCTCGAATCAGCTGGGCGGACCCGGCAATGTGATTGTTCCACCCGGAGTGGTCAGCCGATATCACCTCATAATAGCCAAGCAGGAGGGTGGCCGCCAGGGTACCGATTTGTTTGCGTCGGTGGGGTAGGCCGACTGCGTAGCCGATTCGTTTTAATGCGTAGTGGTAGTGTTTTAGGGACACTGTAGCAGGGGTATGCTGTAAGTTTGCAATATGCAGACTACTGACTGCCAAAATCGACTGAAGTAGTGCGGGGTGCTCCAAAGCTTTGAGAGCAAGCGTATAGGTCCACAAACCTTGCCGTGCAGTAGGCACGGCAGCTCCTAGGACAATCGAAGAGTCGGTAGGATGGCGTTCAAAGATCGATAAAGAAGGACCAGTGGAATGAATGAAGTGAGCAAAGATGCGGGCTGTTTTGGGATTGTTCAGAGGAGAAGAGCCATATGAAGGACGGTACGAGGCGAGAATATTGGGCTCGTTCAGATAAGTGGTGAAGGAGCGTAATTGCTGTTCGTCGCGGTTGGCAGATGCCATAATGAGACTCAGCTGGTTGAAGCCTTCGGCCCGGGATTGGTCGTCCATCTCATCGTCTGAATCCACATCATAGTAGTCTTCGGTTTCGTCTTCCATATAAATAACCTGCGGCTGTTGGGGAATGTACTGTTCAAGATGACCTGATTGCTGTTGCAATTGGCCCGGTGGTGGCTGATAATGGTATATAGTTGGCAGCGGTTGAGTCATCTGGTAAACAAAACTCAGCATGCGCATTACAAAAATTAAGGAGGCTAGGACAGTACAAACCTGCGTTGAAATGTCCGGATTTTTGCCCAATGAAGCATTGAGAGCCGGAACCGGGGACAGGTTCGAGGCGTATTCTTCAGCCGTCTGTCCGATTGGACTGGTGATCGGAGGCGGATATTGTATGTTTACCTGTGAAACCTGTGAAACCTGTGGAGTGCTTGCTTGAACCGAATGAACTGGTTGCTGTGCCTGTGAGTAGTCAGTGCTGGCTTGTGGGATCGGCACGCCCTCAGTATGACCCAATTGCCCAAGCTGCCACATATGAGTCGGCGCTTGCACTGGAATTTGACCAGGTGGGTAGTAGAACGGAGGAGTATTTCCCGGCTGGGCCCTATCTGGCGGTGGCATCTGTGGCGGGAATGAGTCGTACCCCATTGTAGCCGAATCAACAGGTCGCGGGGCAAGCATTGGATGCTGGGCAGCGGCAGCAGCCTGCTGGGGCGGGAGTTGTGCGCCATAATCGTTGTACATGGGCATTCCCATATGCTGCTGTAGCATCTGGGGATCCTGACTATGCGGCTGACCAAAAGACCCGAAGATGCCGATGGGATTCTTGAAGACAACGCGCTGGGCATAGCCCTCGCAGATTCGCTTTGACTTGACGCAGTTGCTACATATCGGCTTCTCTTCGCCGCACTTGATACGGCGCTTTCGACAAGCTAGGCGTGGTCAACGAGGAAACCCTCTCGCGCCTATCATGCAACATACTTAAACAGCCAGTCTTGGTCCGCTTCTTCGGGAGTCTGCGGGGACCTGACCGGGCGGTCGAGGCCTCTGCCGACTCGATGGGACTCGGATTGTCATGGAGATCTTCAGCCATGGCCAAAATGGTGGCTAGATAGTATAAGGAGGAAGAGGGTGTTTATGCATAGAAGTCATTGTGGGGCCAGAGGCCTTAAAGAGTTCGGAGTAGAGGAAGCTAACGAGGTTTGGACGTCGAGGGTTAAAGCTGCCGGTCTCGCAGATCAGCCGAGAGATCCAAGCTTCCCCCTGGTCCCATTCATTTCTTATTAATTTATCTTTCTATTGATATACCTAGCATGAACTACTCTGCTCTTACACCTTTGATTTCATCTACGCAGAGCTCAGGATTCTCAGCTTACTAGTAAGAGCCTGGACTGTTAGACTATTGTATAACAGCCGATCAGATCGTGGTCTCCTATTGGTGTCAATCGAGTCTGTATGATCGAATGGAGAACCAAACAGCGAACGCCGTGCATCTGATCGATTCTCACAGGCGTTTAGGCGAGAAGCCTGAGAAAAGATATTGACACCTGAGGCCAAATTCACATGACATATTGAGACCTCAGGCACCAGAGTGCCTCAGGCGCCGTATGGTAACGATAGGAAAGTTACCGCTGATAACGAAATTTTGAGCTACTTTTTTTTCTTTCTCGCGAGCTCGAACACTACCCCGTCCCCACCCCAGTCTCGCACCATTCAAGGTATTGGCCACTACTTGCCAATCCTATCACATAATGTTCGCTGTCCCAGGATGGGCGCTCTCGAGCGATGCGCTGAAGCCCCAGACTCAGCCTGCGAAGCCTCAGAATGAGTCCGAGCAGAAGGATACCAAGGCCAATGCAAAGAACAACAAGCGCAAGCGCAGCAATGGCGCTATAAATGCAAACAACGTGGACGAGATGTATCGCCGCCATATCGAAGGTGGTTCTGTGAAAGGTGGAAAGGGTGCAAATGCCCCCGTGAAGGCAGAGCAGAAGCAAAAGCAGAAGAAGGAAAAGAAGGAGAAGCAGACATCCGAGTCTGCACCCGAGAAGCCTGTCAGCGAAGCTCCCGCTGCCAGCGCCGAGGCAGACCAAGGCGAAGACAGGGCACCCAAGAAGAAGCAGAAGAGAAACAGGAAAAACAAGGACAAGGACGCCGAAGCCACAAAGCAGGCAGTCGGTGCTGCACCCTCAATTGACGCAGCTCCTACTCCCGCTCCCGCTGTGCCAGCACCACCACCAGCACCATCAAACCTGACACCTCTCCAGCAGGCGATGCGCCAGAAGCTGATCTCCTCCCGGTTCCGCCACCTGAACGAAGCACTTTACACCACACCGTCCGAGAAAGCACTTGACATGTTCAATGCCAACCCAGAGCTCTTTGATGAGTACCACGCCGGGTTCTCAAGACAGGTGAAGGAGTCCTGGCCCTCCAACCCGGTTGACGGCTATATCAAGACCATCCGTCATCGCGGTGCTATCCCCCTCCCTAAGCGAGGCAAGCCCCTCAACCCAGAACGGGGATACCCGCTCCCCCGTCGCCCGAATGGATCATGCACATTTGCCGATCTGGGCTGTGGTGATGCTGCCCTTTCCCGTGCCCTGACTCCCTCCGCCAAGAAATTGAACATCAAGCTTAACAGCTATGATCTGCAAGCCCCTGATGCGCTAATTACGAAGGCTGATATCTCCAATCTTCCATTGGAGGATGGCTCAGTGGATGTGGCTATCTTCTGTCTCAGTCTGATGGGTACCAACTGGGTCTCATTCGTCGAAGAAGCATGGCGTGTTCTGCGCGGTGACGGTAAGGGCGAGTGCTGGGTCAGTGAAGTGAAGAGCCGATTCGGCAAGGTGGCGCGCAAGAAGTCACAGATCGGCGCCCAGAGACCCGGCAGCAAGGCTGACAAGAAGAATCCCAAGAAGAAGGGCGGCAAGGATGATGCTGGTTCTGATGTGGAGGAGGCGGAGATCTTCGCTGAGGATGCCCGCCCCTCTGACAATAAGGATGAGACTGATATCTCTGCCTTTGTGGAGGTTTTCCGCTCCCGTGGCTTCATGCTTCGTCGGGAGTCCGTCGACAAGTCTAATAAGATGTTTGTGCGTATGGTGTTTGTTAAACAGGGCGGTGCACCTACCAAGGGCAAACATGCTTCTGCTCTGAGTGCGCCTGCGGCTCCTGGCAAGAAGCGCTTTGTTGACCGCAAGCCTGAGTCTGAGTCTGGTATGACAGCTGAACAGGAGGCTCAGGTGCTGAAGCCTTGTGTGTATAAGATCCGCTAGTCTGATCTCTATTTCCCTGTATATAGCTTAAAATTACCATGGATGCATGATCATTACCTCAACCAATACATGAAAAGAATTAATCGTTGGACGGCATCATTATTTTTCTATTGCTCTGAACAGATACTAGCCTCCATATTGAGTCTGAAAACTGCAGGACATATCATCCAAATCTGCTCGTTTATTGATTCCCACCAAGCTGTGCGACAGCATTGCCCATCTCCTCATCACCGTAGATGCGGAAGCCCTTTTCCTTGGTCACGCTAGCAAGCTGGACATTCTTGGAGTCAAGCTTCTCCTCCATAACCTGCTTCAATGTCTTGAGAACCAAAGTTTCAGCCTCTGCTAGGGTCAAAGATCGGTGGTATTCATTCTGGAGTTCGGCCTGCGCGCCCTCACTGCCCGAGCCAATGGCCTTGGCGTCATAACGGTAGAATGTACCGGATGGCTCAGCGTGGTATCTAGCAAAAAACCGCAGTTAGCAAGCTATCGACAATAGCGAGCAAGACGGATCCCTTACAGTTGTGGCCCGTCCTCGTCGTATCCAGCAATTAACAGCGCAACACCGAAAGGTCTACTCATAACACTCTCTTCGTCATCACCGCTCTCACCAAACCGCAAAGCCAAATCGCAAATTGCCTGAGTGGTGCTCTCAACCCGCAAAGGCTCAGCATAGTGGAAAGCGTGGTTCTGGCACTCAACGCGGGCGTGTTCAACCAAGTTCCGGGCATCGGCCTGGAGACCGGACATGGCACAGCCAATGTGCTGATCAATTTCCACAATCTTCTCAACGGATGAAGCTTCGAGGAGGGTAGATGTGACGCGCTTCTCGACACCGAGGATCACACCTTCGGATGTTGCTACCTGGGTGAATGTCAGCAAGAACGAACTCGGGGCCGTATCATCTTCCGTTCGGCGTTTCGATAACGATATGAGGGTTTCCAGCAGGTGCCTTTCACATGCTCAATGGACCGTCGGACTGAGTAGGGAAGATATAGTATGACATACACCGATCGCTGTGGAGCCTAGCTTGATAGCTTCAAGAGAGTATTCGACCTGGAACAAACGACCTTCGGGGGAAAAGGTGCTGGGAAACAATCATTGTCAGACTGGAGAATCATCGACGAGGGGCAAGCATTAATGGCGGACGTACTTGATTCCACGGTCTGTCCACAACTGTTAGTTCAGTCCACGGTGAGGGGACGTTGACAAAGCTTACCATATTCTGATCGGGCAATAAACATAATGAAGGATTAGAAAGGGCTGAGGGAACTAGTAAAATAAGCAAAGAAGACAGGCGATGGAGAGGATGGAAAGGGAGCAGAGGATGTCTGAAGCTCGGGAAGGAAGCTCGCGACGTAAGAGGTGAGCGCCTAGTGTCGCCTCAGGCACCAAGGCAAACATCTGCCCAAACCCGAGTGGAGTTCCAAGGCTGTTTGAATATCACAACACTCTACATTTGCGCCCTTGACTCGTTTGCATTCGCATTTGATTCTTATGCTGTATGACATACTCGTCGCCCCCGCGGGATTATGTCTGCCAATGACCGCGCCTATATGAGCGCTTCACGACCCCGCGTTGTCTCCAATCGCGTCGATGCCGAAAACCGCGGAGTGTCGCCGCTTCAAACCGAGAACATGGACCCTTCGCGCGCAAGTACTGCGAGTCAGAAACACCGAATGTCGCGTGATCAGAAGATTATGTCCGAGAAGCGCACCGAGCGATCCATGATCACAACAAGGGAAAAGGTAGTGCGGAGGAACCCAGTCAAGGAATCTCTCAGCGCGGCGAATCGAGGCGATTGGGAGAAGACTCGACCCAAGAGGCCTGTTCAGGCCGATGGCGCGAGTTTGATTCCTCAGAATGACTCGGCTGGTAAGTCGTCTTGTGTCGCATCTTGTCGGCGAGGCTGTGATTGTTATACTAATCTGGCTGTTCTTATACAGCGCCATGGGATCCCCAAGCTTCCTTGATTCCTCGTTCTACGGCTCCGCTCGCATGTCGCGTATCAGTTCCTCCTCTCGCCTCGACAGCTCCGCAGTCGCTTCATCCTCGCCCACTTCGAGAGCTCTCTCCCGATGCGCAAGAAGCAGCAATACTGGAGGACTTGTTGTTTGTGTTTATGGGATTCGAAGGACAATACATTCACTATGCCAGCTCGTATGATCCCTCCGTCGAAAAGGACCGCCTGACAGGTCCAATCTTCCAGATGGCCTCAGGCATCGACCCAACGCTACGAGATCTCACACAGTCCATGTTGAAAATGGCAACACATTATAGTGCCATGGAAGCATTTGTGGAGATTCAAAGTCGAGCAGAGTGTGGTGCTGTTAGTCACTCGTTGTGCGCATCTATTCGGAAGCTTCTCAAGGACTACTTGATCCTTATCGCACAGCTGGAAAGCCAGCTATTGAACAACCCTACCTTCACCTTACATCAACTACACCTTCACACAATGCCTACCGCCCAGTGCTTGGCACAGCTTTATTCCATGGGCCAGGAATTGCTGCGTCGAAATGGTTTATTAGATCAAGATCTCGATGAATCCATTGATGACTTCGATGATGTTGACAATATTCTCGAACAGCTCAAGGAAGGCGGAGACCTGGTACCTGGGGCCATGGCACGCAAAAAGATGTGCAAGGGAGGAAACATCTTGCGGCTGCTAACAGAGCGTCTGGCTACGTTCTCAGGTGACCCGACGACAAAGACCTTGCTTCAGACATTACTACGCGACGCCAGTCGGCCCTACATGACCATGCTGAATGAATGGCTGCACCACGGAGGTATCAAAGATCCCCACGCCGAGTTCCTTGTCAAGGAACAAAAATGGATCAAGCGAGAGAAGCTGGAGGAAGACTATACGGACGAGTACTGGGAAAAGCGTTACACGATTAGAGATAATGAGGTACCACCGCAGCTTACGAGCGTCCGAGAAAAAGTTTTACTTGCTGGAAAGTATCTCAATGTGGTTCGGGAATGTGGTGGTGTTGATATAAGCAAAGAGGTCAAAGATGTACCGAAGACGCTGGACGATCCACGATTCTTGGATAACGTTAACGCCGCCTACACATACGCCAACGCTTCATTGTTGAACTTGCTCGTCACCAAAAACTCACTGAACATTCGATTCCGCTCCCTGAAACACTACTTCTTCCTCGACCGCTCCGATTTCTTCTCCTATTTCCTCGAACTTGGCTCCTCGGAGCTGCGCAAACCGGCGCGGGTCGTCAACGAGGGCAAGCTTCAGTCACTCCTGGATATCGTGCTTCGACAGCCAGGCAGTATCGCAGCACAGGATCAATTCAAGGAAGATGTCAAGGTGCGAATGAACAAGATCGGCCTGACAAAATGGTTGATGCAGGTTGTCAATGTATCAGGCATAAACCAAGATAACCCTGAAGCGTCGTTTGAGAAGCAGCCAGCCGCTCATTCAGCCGACGAGGACAAAGACATTCTGGGTTTCGATGCTCTAGAGTTGGATTACTCAGTTCCGTTCCCTCTGTCACTGGTCATCAGCCGCAAGACTGTCCTACGGTACCAACTTATCTTCCGCCATCTTTTGTCACTGCGCCACCTTGAGACGTTGCTGGTCACGTCCTGGTCAGATCAGAACAAAGTCACTAGCTGGCGGCATAAATCCTCCGATCGACGACTGGAGATCTGGAAGAGACGGGCATGGAACTTGCGCGCGAAAATGTTGGTCTTTGTTCAGCAGCTTTTGTATTTCTGTACAGCAGAGGTCATTGAGCCCAACTGGGTTGGTTTGATGGAGCGTGTTGAGAAGGTCCACAAGGAGGCCTCGGAAGTGACGGAGGGTGATATGAAGCAGGTCAACCGAACGGTTGACGAACTGATGCAGGATCATGTGGACTTCCTAGATACATGTCTGAAGGAATGCATGCTTACTCAGGCTAAGCTGCTGAAGGTATGTTGTGTTACTCCATTTGATGGAATCTATACTAATAATTGATTGCGCAGATCCATTCTAAACTGGTGACCTGTTGCACCATGTTTGCATCTTGGACAGCAGCCTCGCTCTCCCGGACTTTGGCTTCGGCAGACCCAGATCTTGCAGGAGGCAAAATCTCTGGTGCTGATGCTAGAGGTTATGATCCGACGCGGATTGCGAAGCTGGAGGACACACTGAAGCGCTACGAAGATCACTTCACGCGCCATCTCCGGATCTTGATGGACAGGTAAGTGTAATTCTGGGACATCCATGAAAATATGTTCTCTAACAACCATATAGTCTGAATTACTACGCCGCAACCGAGAGTGTGGTGCTCCTGAAGCTTGCACATTCCTTAACCTCCATCAGCAGGGAAGAGAGCAAAGAGGACTGAAAGTGTGCAGTATAAATTGTTTCGTTCTCTACAATTTGATAATCACTATCCTCATGCTCCGTCCCAACGTACGGTCAAAGTCTACCATAAGTCTGGGATCACGCGACGTACCGGTAGACCCGAACTGCATACTTTTAGTGACAGCTTCTCCGACGGAATTCGGCACACAAGCAGCACCGAGTCCAACTCTGGGGCCAAGGAGGCTGCCTCTGCGCCCGATCAACACACTATTTGGGGGCCATGGACTCTGCACGAAGTACATAGACCAAAACCACTAAACATAACGATAATATGAGTAACATCACGATACGGATTTCGCATTCTCACAAAATCGTACATCGTATGATGAAGTACATAGTACATCCATAGGCCGTAAGCTAGGTCCTTTGTATCCGTACTTTGATACACTCGAAAACGGGCAACAAAGAGGTGCAAAGTGCATATAAATGTGACTGTTACAGCAAATGATAAAGAACCGGAGCCTCACGCGAATTCCTCGGGATCGCGTCAGCGAGGGAATCCGACCTCCAGCAACTTATATATCTCAGCATTCCAGCTCAAAGCTCACCCTCTACCTAATCCACTCCCTCATGTCAAGCTTACCATCCTAACAAATAGCTCCAACAATGCCTTTTACCCTCCAAACACTAATCCCAACCCTCAACATCTCCTCCACACCCATGCGCCTAAACATCGCCCTAAGCGCCCTCGCCATCCTAACCTCAACGCTCCTCCTCCCAAGCGCATACCGCGATTACAAAATATTCAAATCCTATGGCCCAGGCGGTGTCCCAAATAACGCTCTAGGATGGATTCTCGTGCGCGTATTCTTCCAGCCGTTCGGGCGCGAGATGCTCAGTACGGACGAGTATGTGCGGCGCATCGCGGCTGCGGAGGGACATGGGAAGGGCGATGAGGGGTATTTGATGTTATCTGAGGATCAGCTTGGGGGTAGGAAGGAAATGGGGAGACCGGTTGTTGGACCTCATGTTGTGCCGCAGAGGCAGTTGACGCAAGTGCCTGATGAGGTTGTTATGGAGGTACGTATATGACTGTTTTTGTTTTCTTTTCTGGGTGGATCAGCTTGGATGGTTGAATTGCTAGATTGTTGGACGAGCTGGATATTAATTGGTTTTTAATAGAAATTCTTTAACGCGTTCAATGCCTTTGGTCTGCGCAACCATCACCTCGTGAAGCTATCACGCTCGAATCTTGAAAATCATGCCAAGGCGCTCTTCCTTGCTGATCATATTCCTTCGTCGGGGATTTTGAATGGCGAGATTGCTCATCTTCATTCGGGAAATGATCATTCTGTGCATGTTCTCCTTGCACCAGCTGATTGTATGTTTTTTCTTTTCCTCTTTTTGACGTCATCTGTGCTGCTTCCTATGCTTGGCCACACACTAACTCATACCTAGGCATCAAAGTCATAGACGCAGGCTGGGGCCAGCGACACGCTTTCTCAGGCTCATCGGCCATGACATATCTCTCTCTTGGTACAAGGCCCGACATCCCAGCTGAATATCTTCTCATCTATGCGCCCCGGACAGAGGTGGAAATTGAGACTGTCATGCAGATTATCGCGGCGGGTGTCAAATTTATGACTGGGCGGGAGGATGTTCGGTAGTTGATAGGTGGCAGGTGAATGTTTTGATATTCTAGGACTCTCTCTGCGCCGTGTACTGTACTTACGTTTGTGCTTTTCTCTATACCCCACTCTTTTGCTAGGATCTAGCAAATCGTCATGTTTATATATAGAATTCCTGAACAATTGATGGCATATGACGTAACAGCCGAGGCATTACTTGGACAACGCTGAAATGTCTCGGTGATTCGAAACCACATGCTCCATAGATCGTCACGACTACAGACACAGGTTCAATCCCTTCAATGCCAAAATTGTTAGCCCGGGGTACTTGAAAATGGGCACAAAAGCGGCGAAGAAAGCAACGAAAAAGGAGGGGCCCAAGTAACATTCAAAAATCAGCATCCTTAAGGATTTTGTACAGAGGTTTCTTTTTCAGATATATAGCATACCACTGGTTTACAGAATGCTCAGAAGGCATGAAACATAGTCAATCCCAGTAAGACGAACAAGGCAAATCCTCCCATGTACAATTCAAAAACCAAAGTGAATGTGACGTGTAACCCCTTTAATATCGACAGCGGGTCTCCAAAGTCCCACCGGATAAAAGTAAAATAGGACAAAAGTTTATGGCAAATAGTCCGACTTTGCTTGAAATGGTAATTCAAACCTGAGCTTAATCACCTACTAATATCCGTAATATACAAGTAATGCCGACACATCGTATATGTAAGGTCAAGAAGGAAAAGAAGAGATCATATCCCAACAATAACAGGCACCCGATGATCAGCCCCCAGCACCTTGGCCATCTCTCGATTACGGAATTCGTGTAGTAGTGGACTGGGAGGGGCTTGACCCGAGGAACTGGTACGCTAATTATTTTCTTTCTCTTTTCTTTTTTTTTTTTTTTTAGTGGCACTACTGCCCCTCTACTGTTCCTCAATCCGTAGTGTCATTACATGCAGGCAGGATTGCAGATGTAATAAATTCGGAGGCAAACGAGGGTGATGAATAGGGTAATTTATACGGAAGACTTACATTGCCTTTTCCCCCTAGTCTTGTGAGTTCGTGCTTGCGAAGGATGACTGGCTTACAGTCTTCGCCCGCAGAAGCTGGGGACTTCGTGGACATGTCCGGGCACTACGATCTCCTAAGTTCTGTAAGAAATAGTCCATCATCTCAAACATGAACAAGAATAGAAACATAACCTGGGAGTACGGAGTACGGAGACCCCAAAACTACAAGGAGTGAATGTAAGCTCACTACGTGATACTGTCCCGACACTCTGGACACGCCCCCCCCCCCCCCCCGCTCGTCTCGATCCCGCTGGGACCCCGATCCGAGACCAGGCAAGACCTGTAAGATACAGTAAATTGGGAGAACAGCAGCCTACATCGATCGAAAAAGAGATCGATTCCCAATATTCAAGCAGCCCTTACAAACGAGCACATACTGGAGAAGGGGCTGGAAGTAAGGCCAGGCTTCCCGAGAACGAACCATGGCGCTGGGATTCAGAGCCAACGGCAGCCCCCGGACGGGTACTGTAAGCCTCCTGGGTGACCCGACAGTCTGGACTTGCACTGCACTGTACTGTACTCTGTACACACATGTACAGAGTACTCGGACCCGCGACTTCGTGAACTTAAATTGGTTTCCACTCCGAAATGTTCCCGGCTGGTTGGGTCGTAAGCGGTATGGTGATGGTGATGGTGGCAAGTAAACGGAAAACATACTAACTTATAACTTGGCTTTATGGATGGGTAAATGACCTATATTGCAAGTACATGCAGAGAGCCCTTGCAGTTTTGCATCCTCTGAGATTGTGAAGCAGTGAAACTGATCTTCGGAGAATTGACCAGGATTCTAAAACGCAAAATCAGGAGTCAGGTGGCTTAGAATTTTCCAAGGGGTTTTCCACGGTGGATTCGGACACGGGAGTGGGGACTGCCACAGCGTTGTAGTCGCATACTTTACTGCAAAAGCCAGACGATACCCACAATTACACCGAATTGAGTGTCTTCGGGGTGGATATATTCTCCGCCAGAATGCCGTCCATGCCCCTGCGCTTACATGCACCGTAGGCAACCCGCGTAAGCAAGGCAACTGGACGAACTCTCATGTCAGAAAAAAGGTGGGGAGGAATCAGAAATACCGGCCTATCCCGCGGGGTACTTCTGTCATGTTCACTTGGGCAATCCGGAGACTAAAATCCCTAGAGCAAATCCGCCCAGCGTCATCAAATCGCCCAACAGCGTTGGAATGGCATGCGAAACATATCAAGACAAGCGGTGTGAGTGAGCGAGAGCGAGGAGGGGCATGGAACAAAAATCAAAACTATTGTATATCCACACAAAATCCCGAGGAACTGGATGTCCAACGAGGACGATGCTGATCCTGACCCGGTCAATCCCCACTGGAGTTTGGGAGGGGAAGGGCCGGCGCTGTTGGTGCTATTTGTGAGACCGGGCTGAGCAAGCCACTTGGAACCCACAGTACTGCAAAGAAATTGGCCCGAGGATACAGCTTTGGTCTGGGGCGCGAGTAGAATATTTGGAAACCTGTCACCGAGGCTCCGGTCCAATTGTGGGCTTCGTTTTTTTCCCGTCTTGATTGGAACTGACAGCGGGAACCAGCGAAGATCCGTTTCCAGACCTCTGGAATCTGTAATGTACATGTAATGCAGGGCGTGGAGCAAGGGCTGGTCAGCACCCCAATACCGAGGCCTTTGTTTCGATCTGGTCTATCAGGATGTCCGATTCCTGATGGCTTTTTCTCAGAATGGGCAAGTTACACGGCAGTTGGGACAATCGTTCCAGCCTCATAATCAAGTATTGGGAGATTCAGGTTGGTTTTTCGTCGTATGTTATCTTCCATTCCTGAAAATTCTTGTGACACCCCCGTGTTGGTAGGAGTTGAGTAGGCAACCATAGGGCCGGCTCCTGGATTCTCGCGCCATAACCGCCAATACCCGAATGAGCCCTTCGAATTTCCCACATAGACGACTGACAGGTTCGATATGGATGTCCCAGGTGCAGCGTGGGCGGGTTTGGACTCACCCATGCCACCCTCACTCATGCTACCGGGCGCCCTTGGACCCTTCATGCAAAGTAGGTATTATGCGTGACGGCGAACTGTGCATTAGTTGACGGCACTGCCGCCTAGACTCAAGGCTCATTAGCTTGGCTTTAAGCGGCGGAACCGAGTCAAGTCTATCCTGATACTTACATGCTAGTATATCAATCCTGCCGGCATTATTCGTGAACCACTCTTCGGCTACTCAACCGACCCGCTCTTCGCTTCTTCCGTCCTGGTTAAAAATCCCATACCCCTGGAGTAGAAGACCTGAAGGTTGTCACGCGCAGTAGTTTCTTTGTGTGGATGAGATCTCGGAGTTGCCCTGGGCCACATCAGCGATCCGGAGGGGATCAGGAGTCCGCAGTAATCGTATTTGGTTACCACTTTCGCTGGCCCCATCCGTGCTAATTATTGGACCATTGAGCGCCCCGTCTCTTCACAAATCGTTTTTGTGATCTTCCACGAGGCAATTGGGCTGGGCAGACCATTTGGCTTTCTCCATTCGTCCATTCAGGCTTATTGTATGATTGAAAGCCCCTCCATACAATCATCACCAACAGGCGCCAAAAGTGAATGATCCTCGCGCGAGCCGCCATCCTAAGGTTGTCGTTGCCGCCGTGGTCTCCAAGCGGCAGCCGATCGCTTCCATGAAAATCAGATCGATTTTCGCACCATTTCCAAACATCGTGATCTAATGCACTTTTTTGGACCCGGAAGATTCAACCCCGCCCTGGCCAGTCAAATCTGTATATATCAGCTGAAATTTCCTTTTTCGTCTACCACTTCACTTGATTCAGGTGACAATGGCGTACGCTTGATCTCCCTGTTCGTGCCTGCAACCCAAGGAAACTGACTTTCATATAGGAGTCCAGATTCACAGACGATAGAACTAGATCGTGAATTTCTCGATACTGTCACATTCCACGGCCGAGAGTATCAGAAATATTCGATCGATAACCGCACGTATTTCGGACCAGTCGATGAGGTAGGAATGTGGGAGTCTCATTATTGTTGCACTGCTGACCAGCAACCAGGAAGAAGCAGAACGGCTGGAGGACGAGCAGCAAGTGTTCCAAAGAATTTTCGATAATCGCCTCATCTTTCCACCAATACGTCGACTTCGAAGAGTGTTGGACTGCGGGCATGGATCCGCATCCTGGGCTATCGAGGTTGCTGAACAAAATCCCAGTTGCGAAGTGAGATGTTCCATTGGATGTGCTCGAATATATCTGACATTCGGTGCTTTGTAGGTCACCGGCGTGGACATTGCCCCGCACATGAATCCAGACGATGTGCCTGACAACTTGTGGCTTCAGGTAAGTAAAATTGTTTCATTTTTCAACATGGTGAAAGGCATATCCTGCATGAGGGGAGCAGTTGTGGCACTACCGCGGACGTTTGTGCCTTGAGGATTCGTCTGGCTAGTCGTGATCAACGATGCAAGACCCCATAGAAGGGCTGCTAACTTGTCGTTCAACAGGTCGATGATTTGAATCGTCGCTTCACCTTTCCCAGCCACCATTTCGATCTTGTCCACTCGAGACTCCTTGCGACCGGTATCCACCGAACCCGATGGCCATCCTATCTCCGTGACATAGTCAGGTGCGAACCCTTTGAGCAGATTGACTTTTCTGTTGATCTAAGAGACATGAAATCATTCAGTCGAAGCTTCAAGACTAACATGAGGTTCCCTCAAGAGTCCTGAAGCCAGGAGGGTGGGCTCAGATGGTCGAAATATATTTCAATGTGCAATCCGACAATGGCTCACTCAACGACGACCATGCCCTGAGAAGATGGAGCACACACTATATGCGTGCCTTGGATGACCGGAAAGACCTCAGAATTGGTTCGAAATTGAGAATGCTCATGACGGAGGCAGGCTTTGAAGAGGTGGACACAAAGATGATCCCCCTTCCACTGTCTTCTTGGGGGGATGCAAGAACGCAAAGTATCGGTCGATCCAGCCACGAAAATATCAAGCAACTTCTTCGATCACTCGCCCTCTACCCACTGATACAGCGTTTGCATATGTCACCACAGAGTTTTGAGGCTCTTGTGACACAGGCGCAGCAAGAGGCGGCTGATCACACATTGAAGCCATATTTTCCGCTGTATGTACCGCCTCATTGACATTGGAAAACGCATTCTGACAGAGCAGGTACGTCTGCATTGGCAGGAAGCCATGAAAGCCCACCATGTCGAGCCCGAGTCCTGAAATACCAACACAAGATTCGGTCGAAGGTGATCTCACGATGAGACCGAGAATGTTTAGACACTCTTGAATCATGCCACATCACAGATCGACCCCATTCTTCACATATTGTACATATGTACAGTCTTGAGCGTCTCCCTTTGCATCCGACTTGCATATACATCCACATAGCTAAAGATGGTTAGTCAAAGATTTCTCTTAATTGAACCGGTGCTACCTGTATCATGTCGAATTTCTGTATCCATAACACGCTTGTGAGTCTGCTGAAGTCCAAATCTGCTGGAAAGACTGGGAATTCCGGTGGGCTTGGAAGAGGGCATGGTCGCACAGAGAAGCATGTGGGACTCGGCGATTAGCGTGTGAGAACGCTCGTAGCCCACTTCCCGTTGTTGACGTTATTTCCGCGGAGTCGGCAATGCCCAAATGCACTCAGCCTTGGCTGTCGATAGCCCCATACCTGCTTGGAGTTCGCGGTATCACCGTAGGACATGGTGGCCCAAGTGCGGATCGAGGGATCTGGCAGATCGGGGGATCGGGGATCTGGGGATTGCGCTAAGCAATGACTCGCATGGCCCTAGTGCAAGGTGCTGACTGCTTGTTGGAACGTGTTGAGAGTGCATAGTAGAGAGCTTGAGATGATCGAGTTTGCTGTGTGCTTAGCCCCCCTTGTACTTGGTGCCCGAGAGCCTCATCGGGACCCATGGTCGGAGTCTGTCCGACGTTATCGGACCTTCGGCTACTGAATGCTTCGATAATGCCTCGAAGAACAATGGACCGCAAGATCGATGGAGGAAAGCCGAGCAGTGAGAAAAGGAGAAGAGAGAAGTGGAAGGGAAAGGGTACCAGACTGACGGGAAGGCACCTGGAATTACCAGGGCTATTAGCCTCCGCTGCCATCGACCTTCACTCGGGCCCACGTTCTACTAACCTTGGAAATTTCATATGCCATCGCTTTCACCGACAGCGTCTGAAAGCCAATGCTGACCGTCACTCCATTCCACCCAAAATGAGACTTCGCCCCCGAACTGGCTATGTTTGAGTCGCCTATCACACTAACCTCCCTTGGGCAGCAAGAACAATATGACCAGTGAGCACACCGTTATTCCCTGCAAGCAACCAATCACAACAGTCGTGACGCCTCGATTACCGACTACCTGGTTTCTATACGAGACGAGCTTTATGTTCGGGCCCGACAGAACCAGGCATTTCTTGACTCCTGTTCCTTACTCGGGAGAGGCCATACCGTTTTCTAGGGAGAACGCTAAGAGTTTCGTGTGGAATGTCCTTAAATTGACGGCCACATGTGTCTGCCAGAAATATTGCATGGCGTTGGTTTACAGGAGTCCCAGGAAGAGGGAAGGGACAGACTCCAAAGAGCCTCAATTGATCCAGCAGCGGCCATTAATGCTCTCTGAATGATCAACCCGAGGCATCCGAAAATGGACAAAAAAGAGGTGAAGAAAGAGAGACCAAAGAAGGGCGTCAATGCATAAAAGAATATACTTGCTCCACCGCCATTGAAAACCGTCCAATACTGGGATTCTGTGCTTCTACCAGCTCTGGGTGTTTGAAGCCTATCGAGTAACCCGTTGGGCACAGACCTGCGATACCCGAGCCTAACTATGACCCCGGCGGTGCTGTCACTTGGGGATAGGGGGATACAGAGAACTGGCTATACCAAGTATAAAGTAATCTGTGCTAGGCTAGTCGATAATCGCAAGGATATGCTTTTCATTTACTGTATTCTTGCAGAGTGAAAGAACCAAGTTGGCAGTGATAAGTCGTACAAATTCCTCATACTTCATTGAGTAGTAAGAGAAGTACAGTCCTTCAATGAAGACAACCATTTAGAATTGACTACAGAGCACCGCCAGCATGTATCAAATACAACAGAATAGCCAGAATGAGATGCACTCGTGAGCCCGATATAATTAGTTAACTAAGTTGGTTGACTAACCCAGATGATAGACACCCATTTACCCAGGCATCAATATTACCCGATCGGGGAAAGCGGGGAGAAAAAAAGTTGGCGCGGATTTTCATTTGAGCTCCGGAACAGTCGCTTTCTTTCTTTTGCGCAACATCAGCCAAGATGCCTTCCACACACAACAAGGAGAAGTCATGGGACACAGATGATATTGACAAGTGGAAAGTAGGCCATTTCCATTTCCACATTCAATTTAGGCTTAAAGCTGACCAAATCCATCTAGATCGAAGAATTCAAACCCGAACACAATGCCGCCGGAAGCTTCGCCGAGGAATCTTCCTTCATGACCCTCTTCCCCAAATACCGCGAACAATACCTGAAGGAAGCATGGCCGGTCATCACCCGCGCCCTGGAGAAGCAGGGAATCGCCTGCACACTGGATTTGGTCGAGGGAAGCATGACAGTGAAGACAACACGAAAGACCTACGACCCAGCGGCGATCATGAAAGCCCGCGATCTGATCAAGCTGCTCGCGCGTAGCGTGCCAGTCACACAAGCGATGAAGATCCTCGAAGACGGCACAGCCTGCGACGTGATCAAGATCCGCAACCAGGTCCGCAACAAAGAGCGCTTCGTCAAGCGTCGCCAGCGTATCCTCGGTCCAAACGGCTCAACCCTCAAGGCACTGGAACTTCTCACCAGCACATACATCCTCGTGCAGGGAAACACTGTTGCGGTCATGGGTCCGTACAAGGGGCTGAAGGAGGTGCGACGGATCATCGACGACTGCATGGCGAATATCCACCCGATCTACCATATCAAGGAGCTGATGATTAAGCGCGAGTTGGCGAAGGACCCGACGCTGGCGGAAGAGTCCTGGGACCGATTCCTGCCTAACTTCAAGAAGCGCACGCTGTCCAAGCGTCACGTTCCCTTCCAGGTTACCGACAAGAGCAAGAAGGTTTACACGCCCTTCCCACCTGCGCCGGAGAAGAGCAAGGTCGACTTGCAGATCGAGTCTGGCGAGTACTTCCTTTCGAAGGAGGCGAAGGAGCGGGCTCAGAAGGAGGAGGTTGTCGAGAGGCAGCGGGTCAAGCGGGAGGAGAAGATGCGCGAGCGCGAGAAGGATTTCATTGCGCCTGAGGAGGTTGCGCCTGTGGACCTGGACGAGAAGAAGAGGAAGAAGGAGAAGAAGGAGAAGAGCAAGCGGAAGCGCGAGGCTGATGGCGAGGCCGATGTCGACGATGCTGCCGAGCGCAAGGAGAAGAAGAAAAAGAAGAAGAGCAAGTCCAAGGACGCATCTTCCGATGCGGAATGAGCTGCTCTTTGATTGTGGTGTCTTGTATCGGATTTGGCGCTTATGGCAGAGCATGGGTCTGGCGTTTGAATGTCTTGTCTCCTGGTCCTTTTCGTTGCAACGTTGCAACCCATGTATGCCCCAAGCTGGCGTGTATATGTGTCTCCCAAAAACATTGTTCAATACCAAAGTTTTTATGTCTACTTGCATTCATTTCATGAATCTTTTGATTTTATTAAGCTAAGGGGTTGGGCACATAACTAGCAAGATGTGTCTGTTGAATGCACGATCATTCATATTTCAGACCACACAGGGATTCTCAATTCTCAATTAGCATAACCTGCTTTTGTAAATTATTTGATTCTCTTCCACTCCCGCGCAAATATTCGATGTTTGTGCTTCAATCAAGACCCCATGTGACAATTCACTACAGACATGATCGTGTCGCATTAAGTCTGCGTAGAGCGATTCGACTCAGAGATTGTTGGGACGGTGGTCGCCAATCTCCACAATTCCCTCGTGAACTGTCTGGTCAGAGTGGAGGGCAGTGGACTTCTGCTCGCCCATGCGGGCGTGACCGTACTCTGCGATGGCCATCTCGTGAGCAAAGGTATCCGTGGGGCGCCACTTGGCGCTGCCACGAGGAGTAGTCTCTTCCAGCATTTTGTCAACCTGCTCCAGAGTGAGGCCTTTGGTCTCAGGAATAACGAAGAAGGCGAACAAAAGACAGAGGAAAAGTGCGCTGCCCCAGACAAAGAAGACCTTTGACTTCAAATTGCCGTATTCCTTGTCGACCAAGTAGGGAGTGATGACGGCAATGACACAGTTCCACAACCAGTTCGAAGCTGTAGCGAGGGCAACACCCTTGGCTCGGATGGGAAGAGGATAGATTTCGCCGATGACGACCCAAGCTGCAGGGCCCCAGGTGGTTGCAAACGCGGCAATGTAGAAGCAGACAAACACAATCAGACAGGTGTTTCTAGCACTATGTTAGTGTGTTTATTGCACAGGATGTTTACATCCATGACTCACGCTGCATGTCCGTCAGGATAGGCAACACCAACGATTGCGATGATGAACTCGCAAAGGCACATGATGACGGCACCCCAGATCAGCAGAGTACGGCGTCCGAACTTCTCAATCATGTAAAACGAGGCGGGGGTGGTGACAACATTGACAACGTTTGTGATGGTGGAAATCAGGAAAGGGTTCTGCAAGCCGACCTGCTGGAAGAAGGTGGTTCCGTAGTAGACTAGATTCAAAAAAATATTAGTAAGAGGCTTAAATAGACATGTAGGAAGAGATTTAGGAAAAGGGTTAGTGACATACAAATGAAGTTGATTCCGGTCCACTGTTGGAACATCTGCAAGGCAGTGCCGGCAATAACGCGACGAAGATTACCACGGGGCGACATGCCACCTTTGAAGCAATCAGCCCAGGAGGTGCTGGAAATTCTCTTTTCGTAATCATAGTTTGCCTGGATTTCAGCGAGCTCGGCCTGGATAGCTGGGTGAGTGGGAGACTGGCCACGAACTCGAGAAAGAGAGCGCAGAGCGTCGTTGGTCCGACTACAGCGAACATAGTAACGAGGGGACTCAGGTAAGAAGAAGAGACCAGCGGCAAGAATGACGGCCCAAATGAACTGTAGAGCAATGGGAATTCGATAAGACGTCGAATCAGTCCGATTCTTACAACCTTGGTCAACGCCCGAGGCCACGAGCAAACCGATAGTAATTGCCCACTGATACATCGAAACAAGCAAGCCACGAACACGACGGGGACTGATCTCAGAGACATAGAGAATGACAACAGAAGAGACCCCGCCGACTCCAAGACCAGCAACCAGACGACCGGCAACAAGACCACCAACAGAGGTGGTGCCAACCTGAACAGCAACTCCGACGGAGAAGATAAGGCAGGAAAGCATGATGGCCAGACGGCGACCAATCATTTCCGCCACGGCACCACCAAATATTGCACCCAAGAAAGTACCAGCAGACAGGATGGAGGTAATGAGAGACTTGCGCGAAGTGGCAATCTCAAAGCCAGTAGGGGCATCATCACTCTTGGGAACGGGGTGGCCGAAGTGCTCTTTGACATAATCCATGCCAAGGACACCACTGATGTAGCCTGAGTCATAGCCATAAAGAAGTCCTGTTGAAGTGTGAGTTGTGATGTGTTTGTGGTGTTAGGGTTGCTTTTACCTCCGAAGCTGGCAAAGCCACAGACCAGGTAAGCACGCCAGGTAACCGGAGCCTCAATGAGGCTCAGGTCAACGGTGCCCATGTAGTTGGACATGTTGAAGTAGGTGAAAGGTGCTGTAGACCACTTCGTGAAGCAAGTGGAATGGATGCTTCAACCTTATTGTGGAAATCTCAAAGTGGGAGTGAAAATGAAGGGTGAGGTGGAAAGGGGAAGTGAAGAAAAAGAAGAAGAAGAAAAGAAAACAAGAAGCCACGATGGACGTAACCTTGGGCAAGCTGCTGTCAGCAACAGTGTTGCTTAGATTGTCACACCAACAAATGGAACTTCAAACGTCAGTCTCTGACTGATTCCCACTATCTACCAAATGGTTTGGTATCTTTTAGACTTGATTTGCTATAGAACAACAAACTCGTACAGGATTCTTCCACGTTGCTATATTCCCCTGATACTGAGCCTCAGTAACGCTGCAAAGGACCGGTGTTCCACAGAGTACTACACTGGCGTGGGTTGTGGGAGCCCAGTGGTTCCAAATATGAAGTAGAAGCCTATTGAGTTTCACGGCAGATACTCCGCCCAGAGATAGCAACGCAGATCAAGCTGGACTCGAAATGAGACATGGCAATATGTAACTCTGTAACACCAAACTCAGGCAGGGGCTTTAGTGGTTTGACCTCCTTGTCAACTTGATCTGTTACCCAGAGCAGTTAGTTTTTGTCTTCTTTTACACGACCAATGAGCCTATTAAGATAGGCTACTGGACTCATCATCCCCAGAATGCACTTGACTGGATAAACTTTATCCAGGTTACAGGTGTGTGGACATTATTTAATCTCCTGTGAGGTCAAAACACTCCATCTGACGAGAATTAAAAGTGATCAGACACTGACTAGAATTATAGCTTGAGGCTCAGTCTACCACAAACATACGAGGCGCCTTCGAAAGAGTCTAATAGTAGCCGTTTATACCGGCTTTCTCATTGTATCATTAGTGCCAGTTATGGTGGACGCGATGTCGGATCTTCTTTGTCCTCTAGACCATCCAAATTGCCCTGAGGCTGAGCGCGACGCTATCGCCCTCTTCTAGGGTCTTTATGTCGTGATTCTCTAACCAGTATCTGCAGTCGATTTGTATGAAGAAAGTGACCTTTGGGTTCTGCATAATTGTTTTGATAAAATACATTTTCCAAGATGCAATTTCAACCATGGGCCACTATCAAATAGAAGCAGCTGGAAGGTAACGATAGACGACCAAGATATCCTATTGATCCCAATTGAGTTGGTAACTTTTAGATAATGACTTAAGTACATCTAGAGGCCTAGTCCTCGCGGGTTTCCTTAATATAATCAGAAATATTGGGTCGCTTCTCAATAGCTTCTCGCAACTTGAGAAGCGACTGTGGGAGAGAAGACTAGACATTCATTAGCCCGGGTCCTCTGTCAGCATTGACTGGGAGAACCTACAGGAAGAGTTCCAGTCCTTTCATCGTTATCAATGGATTGATAAACTGCAAAATCAACGTAGGTAGCCTTGTTACCTAGGAGGTAGGGGCCGTCGTTATCACTGTAATATTGACCCACGATGTTATAGTACGTCGGTGCAATCTGATCTTTATACTGATCTGTTTTGTTCGACAAATTGGCTACCCATTTGGACTTCGAGCCGGTTAATACGTGCGACCTGAAGCCTGTGACATAGATTTGCTTACTCTCCAGTCGTTGTAAATATCAGCGACAACATCGACAGCATATTTCTCTTGGTTGGTTTCTCCGTCGTAAGAGCCAAGATCTCTAGCAAGATAACGCAAGATCGGAAGGTGCTGCCGTGGCGTCAAAATTGGATCGAACGTAGGTGGCAGGGATAAAAGATAGCATACGTACCTGGGTCAAAATCAAGCCTTGGTATTCAAGTGCGGGCACTTTTCCCGTTCTCGTGAGACCTTGCTCCTGCAGCATCTTGCTGACCTTTGGCCAGGTCTCGTCGTACGCATACCGGACCTCTTTGACGTTGAAACCGGCATCTTTCATAAAAAGCCTTCACAAGATTAGCTTAGCCGTGTAAATTCGTGGCGGTGAACCCTCGGAGGAATTTGTACAGAAAGAGAGGTATTATACTCACTTAACGACTTCTCCTCGACCTAGTCTGCCGATATCAAGGTAGTGATAGACTGCCTTGTTGTTTGAAGCCATGACTGTTAGTTGTGAAGGGTTGGAGAACTGAATGTTAAGTTATTATAAGCCGAACACGAATGTTAAACAAATCAGGATGTTCATTCTATTTAAGGCTGACTTGCATATGAGGAACGCTGAGGAATGACCCCGGGATCTGCCCAATTGCTTACCAACTGGCACCACGTAGCTGTCCCGCATGATGACATCCTTGCTCATCGAGGGTCTCGTATACTTCACAGCAGCAGGAATTGATTAAAATGTTTAGAAAGATTGAGATGCTATAGCTATCTTATTCGTTTTAGTATTTGCTACTTAATAATTGTCACATTTGTTCCAAGCTGGGGTTATTCTGGTCTCTATTCACAGCGGCAAGGGGCTTCAGACACCGAAGCGGCGTTTGTCAGCATTCGGCGTCTGCACCTAACCTTAGAAGTAAGCGATACTTCATGAATACGAGATGATATCAAATATGCTGAGCGATTTTGTGGCACCAAGTAAGATACACATCATGACTTCCCCGCATCCTGGTCAACACAAATCTCAACAACACACCCTCGTTGATTCTCTGCAACACCAGAGATGGCCACAGCAGCACTGAACGGCTGGCACCCAGGCGAGATCTCAATCCAGCGCAAGCTCGGATATGCCAGCGCCGTTTCTGATCACTGGTCCATTGTTACTGGCTTCTTGCCTGAGCAACACCGCCTTTTTCACACTTCTCATCTCCCTTTCATCCCGATCACCACTCTTGATGAGGATGGACATCCATGGGCGTCTATTGTTGCCGGACAAACTGGCGATATTGGTTTTGTAAATAGTCCTAACTCCCGAACCCTTTCCATGAACCTCCGAATGTGGGATGGTGATCCGCTCTTGGATACAGTCAAGGCATGGCTTGAAGAGAGACGAGAGACTGCCCCTGAGAGATTTTTGACTGCTGGCTTGGGGATCGAGTTCTCAACACGAAGGCGTAATAAGTTCGCAGGGGCTATACGAAACGTGAGGCGTCGGACAAATTCGGAGTATCAAATTGACTTCGAAATTATCGAGGCTATAGGGTGAGTAAAGTATACTAGATCCATTATTATTTAAATGATATCGGCTAATACACTTCTAGAAACTGCCCAAAGTACATCAACATTCGCAAGCTAATCCCACATCCCCAGACGCAACCAGAAGTCGTGTACCGGCGACAACATCTGGCACCACGGGAACGTCTACCAGAAGAAGTGATTCAGTTTATTCTCGAAGCCGATACAGTGTTTATGGGCACTATTTTCAACCCCGAGAGCTCGGTATCTCAGATATATCCTTCACATGCAGGCATGAATGCCCGAAGTGGCTTGCCAGGCTTCATCCGCGTCAGCCCATCCGATGGCCGCACAGTGGTCATTCCTGACTACTCGGGAAATCGATTTGCGTCCAGTCTGGGGAATATTGAAGCCAGTGGAGTTGCCGGATTGACGATTGTATCCTTCACAACGGGAGATATTGTTTATTTGACTGGTACAGCCGAAAACATTGTTGGACCGCCCGCTCTCAAAATTATGGCTCGACATGCCAGTCTCACATCGGTGAATATTACGGGGTTCACCTTTGTCAGAAACGCTCTCCCTGTTCGGCAGCAGAGTGGCACCGTTGTAGAGCGCAGTCCTTATAGTCCCAAGGTCAAATACCTGGTAGAAGAGGCGGAATCGCAGATGGGTGGCGCTCAGCAGCACAAAGCAAAGCTTGAAGAGGCAATACAGATCTCCCACGATCTTGCTGTGTTCAAATTCAAGGTTGTCTCAGAGCCCGGCGCCGACGATCTCAAAGTTCGCCCCGGACAAGCTATCGTGCTCGACTTCATGGATTGGATAGGTCCACCTCAGTATCAACACATGGCCAATTCAGCCCCTGGGTCAATCAATGACGATCGAGTTCGCACCTGGACAGTTTCGAGTGCTCACGAACAGAAAAATGCTATCTGCTTTGAGTTAACCATGCGCAAAGTCCAAGGAGGCACTGTCACAGGCGCCTTGTTTAATCTGTTGAGGAGGCAAAACTCGAAAAAGCAGGACCAACGTACCCTGTTTGATAGACCTATTTCTGCGGATATTGTTGGTGTTACAGGGGACTTTTTTATGGGCCCAGGCAAACTCAATATGCTACTCATAGCTGGTGGAATCGGCATAACACCTTTCTTAGCTATGCTAAGTGCATTGGCTGCGCGTGGATCCAAGATTGATGGTGATGTTGCGCTTATTCTAGCAACGAGAGAACCAGAGATTATGGTCAATTTGATGAAACCAGCACTTGAAATGATGTCAGTGGCCGTGAATATCAATATTGACATTTTCTCCCACACCGCGAATGTCAACGTTGAATATCTCAACACGACTTGTCGGAAGATTATCGTGCACACAGGGCGTGTCACTCCTGAGCTATGGAAGCAATTCCCTCGCGACAAAGACGTCTTCATTTGTGGACCCAATGGCTTTGGGGATTCGGTTACTGATGGACTACGAGCCGCTGGGTTTCCCCTGACCCAAATTCATCGGGAAGGATTCTATTGAAGGAAGCACGAAATTGCGAAGCAGGGTTAATGTGAAAATGGCGCATAGATACTTACTTGAATACTGTATTCCTTCTTACCTCAATCTCCCAAGGAGCTTCTCTACTAATTATGTCCGAACATACAACTAGATATTAAAATTTTTGTAGTTCTTTGCAGTTGTGAAATTATGACGCTTCCTTGAAGTAATATGAACAAGAATGGAACATTTTTATACAAAATGAAATTTATACAAAATGAAATAGAATTACACGTAACACACGGCCACGGATTCCATTTCATGGAACCACCTCAAAGGCAACTTTATTCAGAACTTCTGCCAGAACACCAGCCGCATTGGAACGAATCCTTTTGGTCCTCCAAGCAATATATCCGTCTGGACGAATAAGAACGGCACCACTCTCCCAAACCGAGAAAACCCGTTGAAACTCCTCTAGCTGCTCATGAAGACGAAAAGACTGAATGATATTCGGAGACTGCCCTCCTCAGAAGCCCAAATCAACATCCAGCATCTCTGCACAGCGTTCAAAATAGGAACCCTCTTCCCATGCATCTCTATCAAGAAATGCGGCAAATGTGTCCCAGGCTGACCAGCCCACTCATCGGGTTTCTTCGCAGAGAAAGATCCCCATTAACATCGACAAACCCCCTCGATATATAAATCTGTCCAAACTCCATAGCATTATCATCAATCTTCTCACCAGCAACAGCATTAGTACCAAGATGAACCTTATAATCAACACGAACAAAGATCTGGTCATGACGCAGTAAAGCAACAGGCCTCCGCTCAGCATCATAAGTATCCAAAAGCCCCGGAGAAGCCCGTCCATTTAACACAGCAGCAAGTTTCCAAGCAAGATTATGCACATCGTGAATACCAGTATTCGCACCGTATCCACCACTATTAGGAGGAAGCGTGTGCACCGCATCACCAGCTAAGAAAACACGGCCTGAATGAAAAGTATCAGCGACTAGAGCTGTAAGTTCCCATTTACCAGTAGTGATGATCTCAACTGGAATTGAGGGATCACCGATGGCTTGGTGGATTGCAGAAAAAAGGGCTGTCTCATCGCGCTCCATGTCATCACGGAACATCAATGCCCAGCGTCCGTCACTGTAGGAGACTAGGAGGGCTTTCAGGGCTAGTTGGTCGATGTCGAATTGAACGATTCCTTTGGCGAGCCTATCCAGTGGGGCATGGAATAGCACACTGTGGAGGTTTTGCATGAAGCCGCGGCCTTGGCGGGGGATCTGGAGTTATTCGCGGATTGTGCTGCGGTTCCCGTCTGCTGCGATGAGGTAGGAGCCCTTGATTTGGTGGATCTCGCCCTGTGAATCTTGGACTATGAGCATGACTTCGGTTTCATCTTGCTCACCCTCCAGGACAGTTTATTGCCGTCGGATATCTGCGCCTCGGTCCAGGGCTAGGGATTCTAGGATTGGTTCAAGCTTGTCTTGGGGCAGAGCTGTTCCCCAAGAAGCCGAATACTCTTTCTTTGGAGAAGAAGGGACCTGCTGTTGCTTTGATAATGAAGAGTCTTCGGAAGATTTATTTTTCCTGGTATCAGACCATGAGCTCTGCTCGAACCACTTGCCCGTCAAACTTTCGACGCGGAGACGTTTGAGCTCGAAATTCTCCGGTGTAGGATCTTTATTCTTGATAACGAGAGAGCAGTAGATCTCCATTGTCCTAGCGGTGAATCCGATTGCACGGGGATGAGGAGAGACACCGAAGTGCTTTTCAAGAACGATGGTTGGTACTCGATGTGAGGCCAGGCATAGGGCTGCGGACAGGCCGACAACGCTGGCGCCTACGACGATAACAGGAGATGTATTGGAGGCAGACATGATAATCGGAAGCAGAAGTTCTTATTCAGGGAACTATATCTGAGATTCAATTAATCATTGGAAAACGCTCGTCACGGTTTGCTTTAAACATTAGTTGGTCGGGACCGAACGTGTCATCTTGCTTTTTCGGGGCCGAGATATCTTGCCTTGGGGGCCGAGTCTTACAACGCCAAACTCAACAACCACGACATCTTGCGCCCGTATTAATCATGAATATACGTCTTGCGGGAGTATTCAATGTATTTAGTGATGAACCAACATATCAGTCTCGCGAGATCGTTTAGATCCGCAGACCGTAGGCTTCGGAGCGCAGACCTGTGATAGTATCCCTGATCCGACGCCTGATAGTCCAAACTTCCCGAATGAATATATGTAGATAAAGTTCAAGTTTATGTTCAACAGAAGTCATATTTATGCACAAAGTACTCGAGTTGCTAAACAAAACGAAATGGACAAGACACAGCACTGAACCGAAGGTCCAAAAACAAAGCCTACTCTCGACCCAAGCATATACATCACCCAATCAAACAGAATTGGAGGCCACACCATCATCGGAAGATTGACTCCCATTCAGCCTCCTCAACTTATCCAACAAAAACTCCTCCTGTTCGATCTGGCTTTTCTTCAAATCAACACCCCAGAACAGAATCAAAAAGCTGACAAGACTCAACGCAAACAAAAAGTAAAACGGCGTCGAGGCGTTGCCAGTCGGACTGGCATCAATAATTGCACTTGAAACAATAGGTCCGATGAATGAGGATGTCTTGCCAATGATGCTGAACAGACTGAAGAATAGGAATTCGTGGCCGCGTGGTGTTACTTCTGAGATCATGATTTGGGAGTAACTGTACCAGGGGCAGATGAAAAGGCCGTAGAATGTTTGGTAGACCTATAATAGTGCCAAGGGTTAGGTTGTGTTATGCCATCTAGATTGGAGATGGGGGAGAGGACGTACCCAGACTTCCCATGCGTTGTGGAAGCCAAACTTGTCTGTCCAGATGCCGATCATGCCCCAACCGTCTAGTAAGATAATCCCGACGGCGATAGTGTTGAACATTGTTTTTGTGCCGAGCTTGAAGCGTTGCTGGATCCACCAGAATACATAGATGCCAACGGCCTAGGGATATTGGTTAGACTTTGATGTGCATTTGAAAAGGGGTTGGCGCTTACCTGTGCAGCAATACCGACAATAAGAAGATATGTTAATTGCAGGGTGTTATAAGCCACAATGCTATTCTGCAGAGTGGAAATAACAGTAACAGTCGTGTTCAGCGAATCTCCAAGAAGGAAATAGCCTGGATTGGAGCAAGATCAGCAACAAATTCACAAACAAAAGCCACAAGCACCAAAGCCAACATACCAATAAGATAGAGCAAACTCTGTTTCAAATGCCAGATCTGCTTCATAGCATGCCACAACTGCCACAAACCCGCAACAAGAATCGACCTCTTCCCCGGATCCTGCCCAGGCCTCCGTTTCTCCAAAACAAACCAAGGAATAGAAACCAGTAACCAAACCCCGGAAACAAATGCAATGAGCACACTCAACCCCCAATTGTTATTAGCCTCACTATCATTCACCCTCAACCCAAACATAATGCCCACAATGACAGCAAGAATAAAAATCTCCGCAACAGACTGCACATAAAATGCCACGTTGGCAAGTTTACTGCGCATCATAGTATCAGCATAATCATACTCCTCGCGCGAGATAGTACCAGCCGAATATGCATCCGCCTTCTCCTTAAGCTCGAGCGTATTCCGCGCAAGACTAGGGAACGCAGCCGTCCAGAATGTGAGGGTAGTCTGGTACGCAATCAATCCGACCATGTATAGTCCGACCGCGACGTGCCATTTATCGGACGTGTGCACGCCTAACCAGCCAAAGCCGATTGCGTAGGCGATTATCGACAAGCCTATTAAGATGTTTGGGCGCCAGTAGCCAAAGTCTGCGAATGAGCCTATTACTAGGAAGACTACTACTTGAATGGCGAAGGAGATTCCGTTTGAGAGGAGGACGATGCTGTTTATTGAGCGATCTCGGCCGGCGAATTTGAGGAGGCCGGATGATGGGGCGGCTTGGTATAGCAGGTTTTGGAACGCTGTTGGGGCGAAGTCTGGTTGGAGGTTAGATCCTGGTCTTTCTATCTAGATCCAATGCAACTGATCCAAAGATAAGAATTGACCCACTGAATAGTGATAACCCGTTGTTTCCAATGTAATAGCTACAGTTTGTGTTTAGTTTGCGCACAGGGTCAATTCAACGATCAACGCACGCGTAATAAGCCCAGATCTCGGTGTGGGTTGTGCGGTATCGCTCGTCGAACTGGTCTGGCGCTGTTGGGTGGTCGATCTTGTCGGGGTGGCCTGTTCGGTCCACCTCTACAGTGGAGAGACTAGGGTTTTTGTGCTGATCCTGATCCATGACTATGACTCGAGTGGTCGGAGACACTGTACAAAGAGAGGAAGAAGAAAAAAAGAAGAAAAAAAAATCAAGCGGGATGGCGCAATTTAAATAAGCCCAGCCGTGCAGAGACCACAAAGGCCCCGCGTGCCAGAAACCTCATATCGAGGGGGAACCAGTCGCGTTGGAATGAGTGCGCCGATCGCGAGGGTAAACTGGATTTTGCACATGGCGCTAGCACAGCTCGGGCCTAGTTTGAGCTTGAATGCTTGTCAACCTATGGGTTTGATTCGCTTTGCTTCTTCTAATTTGGTGGCGTGCGCTTAACTCTTCCCGCTCTAATGTGGTGCCTGGATCGCCAGGCTGCAACGTGCCAGAATTAGTCAAGTCAATTAGTTAGCAATGTAACTTGTCGATTACTTCAAGATTGATAATGCTACTAATAATGCTTGTCAACACCCATCTATAAATAGTGAAAGATAAAGAACTTGTGGTAGTTGAGATATCAAGTTGTAATCTATCGTATTTACTATGTGTTTTAGCGATGGAGACTCGCTTGTGAACTACGTTGAGTTATATGTACAATGTAGGGCTTCGATCTTGTGGAATGGTCTCACAGCTTGGCCTTGCCGGTTTCGATCTCTGACCAACTCTGTGTCTCCAGCTTCTTGTACTTGTCTCCGTCCAGCCAGTAGAGGATGTCGCCGCCCCAGTCTTTGCGGGGGTCCCAGCCCTTCTTGACGAGGTCGCCCTTCGCTTGTTTAAAGGTGACTCCTGTGGCAACCCTGCAGATGAATGGTTAGCGTGCGAAATTCTTCAGCGTTGAGAAGGACACTCACTTCTCGGTAAGGCGAACAAGTCGCGGAAGAGCATAAGAAGGAACGCCCTTCTTCTTCAGCTCGGCATACAAGTTGGACATCAACTCAACTTCAGCAGCCGGCGTTTCAAGCGTGATACCAGCCGCACCTGCCTGGCCATCATAGCTACAAGCAAGAAGATCAGCACGGGGTCTAACAATGAGAGAACGAAGAAGTATACACACCTAGCCAGCTTGACACCATAAACAACGGCATCGTGAACCCCCTCAATGCGACAAATATGATCCCGAATCTCACCAGCACTAACATTTTCGCCCTTCCACCGGAAAGTATCTCCAACGCGATCCTGGAACCTGACCCAACCGTCTGAATCCTGAACAACCAGATCACCAGTCCGTTGGAACAGATCACCTTTCACAAACACATCCCGAAGAAGCTTCTCCTCCGTAGCAGCCTCATTGCCCAGGTACTCAATCAATAAATCCCGATCCCTAACCCGTCCAATAGCTTCACCCTCCTGGTTCAAACCGGCACGGACACAGAATCCAGTATTGGGATCCCGATACGGACACTCTTTATCCGTATCATACCGCACGATAAAAGTATCATCCTCCCAAAGCCGTCTGATAGGCCCAGAGAAGCCGACCTTTCCAGCACCCCACACACCAGGACCATGATTATCAAACTTGGCCACGCCTTCGGTAGAGCGATAGAATTCCCGAATCTCGGGAACGTTAAACCGTTCCTTGAACTTCTCCCAGATCTCACCGCGCAGCCCGTTACCCGTCGCAACGATACAGTTATGGTCCGCATCATAGGGCGAAGGCGGGGTAGCGAGTAGATAGCGGCACAATTCACCAATATACAGAATCCGCGTAGCACCCGAGTCATGCACGTCCTTCCAGAACTGACTGGCAGAGAACTTCCGTCGCAGACAAAGCGTGCCCGCGTTTCCGACTGCGCCACATATACCTGTGAAGAAGGCCGTGCCGTGGAAGAGAGGGAGGGAGGAGTAAATGCGCAATGGGTAGTATTTTCCTGGATTGTTTGCGTCGCGGGAGAGGGGTGTTGACGTTATCAGGGTGAGCATGTTGCGGATTGTGCAGGCTTTCGGTTTGCCTGTTGTTCCTGAGGTGTAGATTAGGACAGCTAGATCCTTGGGGTTGCGCTTTGCTGCGGCGAGGCCGGTTGGAGAGTGCGATTGAAGCGTTGAGAGCGTTACCAGCTCTACTGGGCTTGTTTTTGTGTTGGGGAAGGAGGTTAGGTTTATTGTTAGGTGGGGGATGGTGACGTTGACCTGCTGGGATAGGTCGGCTGTTGAGATTATTTGTTTGGAGCCTGACACGTTTAGACAGTGGGTGAATGTGTCGTCTGGTTGGGCTATAGGTTAGTGTGGGGGTCTTCCTGGGTTGGATGTGTAGAAATGGGAGGTATAGCTTACCTCGCAGGTTGGTGTTGATCATGGCTGATACTGCGCCTAGTTTGGAGAGCGCATAGAGGGTGATCACCATTTCTGGTGAATTGGTCGTGAAAACACCAACTGTATCGCCCGAATTTACATCACGGGTCTTCAACAGAGCGGCCATTCTGTCCACCACTAGAGACTTTATATTAGCAACCACAATGCTGGCACTGGTGGATATAGTACTCACAATCCTTCAATTGGCTGTACGACCAAGTCTGATGTTCGAACCAGAGGGCATCCAGAGCGCCCTTGCCTTCAACATCCACCACGCGCTCCAACATCTTATATATGGTTGTTGCGCCATCTAGCTTGGCGATGCGCTCGCCAATGCGCTTTCCAAATGCCTTATCACCGGAGATCTGGGACAGATCGGTCGAGATTGCGAGTTTCGCATTAAGGTAGGCACCGGCAGCTACACTCAGGGCAGATGCCACGGCCAATGTAGGGGCGCCAATTTCGGAGAGAACGTCCATGGCAATAGGAGCAATCTGTTTTTCTCAAGCTGGAAGTTATCTTGTGGGATTTCAATTCAGGGTAGATCAACGTCGCGTGCAAAGACTGAGTGAGGCAAAGTGGCATGAAACAAGATTGGGGTTATGAAAATACAGGGGAAGCTGGTGCAACAGATATACAGTAACACGGGCAGAGACTCGGGAATGAGATACGGAAGCTCGTCTGACTCGATCTGCCGTCTGTGACGACGCTAAGCCTGTGCCGTACACGAGTTTACCTGACAGCGGGCTAAACGGCAGTCATAGGCGTTCGATACGGAAATCCCCCGTATTCGAATCTCGGCTCCCCCAACGTCTTCCCCGGTTTTGTGTTTTTGCATTTCGTGGTTTCTGGGGTAAGTCTCCCGGTGTTCCACAGTAAGTATATCCTATATTAACATAAATCCGCCGTTCTAGAGTTATGACTTCCATTGTGTCACTACGTGTACTCTTCCACACTAATGTATTCTACGCTGCACTATATGATCAGCAGGACGTAGTGGATCATTGAAACACGTCAAACGGTCACTGCTCACCAATCACAGCCTGTGAAAACCGACCGAGGATCTCAGCAATACGGTATGGTACACTAGTCGGACCGAATTAATCCGGCAGTTCCATCGGTTCCATCGCGGCTTCGGAGCGAAAGATGTTCCTGTCCCACCTTTCGGCTCGGTCACGATCTAGCCGCGGTTCATTTGGAGCTCGGGTTAAAATGATGATCGTCGCGCGATGGCTTTATTTCTTCTTTTCACATCCCTCCCCTATTGATACCTATACAAAATGTCTTCACCACAACAGCGTCTAAGCTCTGTCGCCAACCAGTTGGCTGCTCCTGGCTCTGCCCGCCAGAAGCTTCTGGCCAAGAACCCCGATGATATTGTATGCTATCATAACATGCAAATGAAATCCAAACATTAACCAATTGATCCACAGGTCATCACCTACCTTGCCCGTACACCTCTCACCAAAGCCCGAAAGGGTGGATTGAAGGATACCACCGTCGATGACCTCCTCGTCTCCCTCCTCACGGTACACTATATCCTAATTAACCAACTATAAAAAGACCCGAAAATCTAACAAAACCCTAGAGCGTCCGCGAGAACTCCAAGCTGGACCCAAGCCTCGTCGAAGATGTCTGTGTCGGCAACGTTCTCTGCCCAGGCTCCGCCTACGTCGCCCGCTCAGCAGTCCTAGCAGCTGGCTTCCCCGTAACAGCAGCCGCGTCAATCGCCAACCGATTCTGCTCCTCCGGCCTACTTGCCGTCCAAAACATCGCCAACCAGATTATTGCCGGCTCAATCGACGTCGGTGTAGCCGTTGGCGCTGAAAGCATGAGCAAGAACCAAGACGGCGGTGCCCCAGAAATGTCCGCCTCTATTACGGCCCACCCAATCGCATCTCAGAACTCCCAGCCCATGGGCCAGACATCTGAGAATGTCGCCAACCAGTTCAACATCAGCCGTGCGCAGCACGACGCCTTTGCTGCAAAGTCTTTCCAGAAGGCAGAGCGTGCCCAGAAAGCTGGATGGTTGAATGATGAGATTGTTCCCGTTAAGACTCAGATTAAGGACCCTAAGACTGGTGAAGTTAAGGATGTCGTTGTTGACCGTGATGATGGTATTCGTTACGGTACTACCCCTGAGTCCCTGGGCAAGGTGCGCGCTGCGTTCCCCCAGTGGGCTCCTAGTGCCACTACCGGTGGTAATGCCTCTCAGATCACCGATGGCGCCGCTGCTTTGGTTCTAATGAAGCGTTCGCGTGCCGTGGAGCTTGGTCAGCCTATTGTTGCTAAGTTCTGTGGTGCTACTGTTTCTGGTCTTGAGCCCCGCATTATGGGCATTGGACCGTCGCTTGCCATCCCCAAGATTCTTGGCAAGTTCAACTTGAGCAAGGATGATGTTGATATCTTTGAGATTAATGAGGCTTTCGCTTCTATGGTATGTTCAACTAGGATTTGGATTATTTTGTGCTTGGCTAATTCGGTTTACCACAGGGTGTCTACTGTGTCAGCAAACTTGGCTTGGATGAGTCTAAGGTTAATCCCCGTGGTGGTGCCATTGCTTTCGGTCACCCTCTCGGTGCTACTGGTGCCCGCCAGGTCGTCACTGCTCTCTCTGAGCTGCGTCGCCAGGACAAGCGCGTTGCCGTGACCTCCATGTGTGTTGGAACTGTGAGTTTATCCCTCTTGACCGACTCGCCGCCGGAATATAAACTAATCATTCACATAGGGCATGGGTATGGCCGGTATCTTCGTTTCCGAGCACTAAGCAACAATGTGCTTTTTCTTGTTTCTTTTGAAAGTAACAATCTCTGTTGATAGTGTATATATCCCCGTGCATGTAACAGGCTTAAGTAGCCACTTTATGAAGGCGCTTTGAGGTTCCCTCACTGAGTAATCCACAGTACAGGGTGATTACATACTTAATGACAACTTTGGATAATAAGCATGATGATACCCACTGAGTAGAAAGTTAGTCTGTGCTGTATAAGCAGCTATCTTCAAGCTCATCCGTAGGGAACCACTCGATGTCTCAGTGAAATGCTATCTCGGCATTCGCTAACAGCCTACTCTGTGGAGGCTACTCCCACCGAAAGCAATATTCCTCCCTTCTTATGCAATCCGCCCTGACCGCTGGCCAATTTGCGAAGCAGTTTCCCCTTCTGCGGTCCAACCAAGTTTAAAGAGCACAATATAATCGGGAGTAGGAAGATCCGGCCATATAAGCCGTCTAGGCGCATAGAGGTATCTCTCCATGGTGTTGTCTGTTTGATTGCTCTTCATATATTCAAGAATCCGCGAAAGTTTGACACATCGGCGTCTAGTTCGCAGTGACATTTCCACTCCATTTTCTGCACCATTTCTATATTTCGATCCCCATGATCAGTACTCGTATAATGTGTGTCGCTTGTGATCAGTTAGTGTGGAGATAACGCCATAGAAATCGTCTCGACTAGCTAGTAGCCCGTCCTTCCCGTTCGCGGCGTAATCGAAATCGGAGAGGAGGTTCTTGTTTGTTTTGGGATCGATGAGCAAATTCCGGGGCGCGATATCCCGATGCATGATTCCAACTTCTAGACTCGGGAAATCAAATAGCTGCGTGATTTGTTTTAATGTTTCAAACGTGAAAGGCTTTCCACGTCGGCATCTGCTGGCGTTCTAATAAACTTTGTTGTGAATCTGATTAACCCAGACTGCACGTCTTCGAGGAAATTTGATTAAGTGGCACTACACAATATGAGGGTACTTTGGCAAGTAGGTTCATCTCATCCAAGGAATCGTCGAGGCTTTTCTGTAGGGTTGAAATTGAATGTGGCGTTCGTATCCTCATCAATACGAGGTCGATACCTGGTCCAAGCCGATCATCTTCTTGAGGTTGCGAGAAGTAGATTGTAGGACTTTATGCAAGATATGGGCAGAGTGAGAAGGCACTATATCCAATGAAGATCATATCGTCTTCTTCGGGATCCGTGGACACTTCCGTGAGAAGGCCGTTGTCATTAACTGTGATTGCACGAACAGACTTCCCATATGTGTTTGACAAATATCTGCATTATTAACGCGTACTGTGCCTTACCGTGGTCATTCTATGCAGTCGTAGCTATGAATCTCTGGAGCCTGCGGTTCTCTATACGCGACTAACTGAGCCGTGGTACCCTGAATCACTCCCCCCCTCAAAGAGCATCTGGTTAATATTGATCGATACAGAGGCGGGCACGGATTTCAATTAAGCTATGATAGGGTTCTCTGTCACTGGACAGTGAGTGATAATCGCTTCATATTATTTTGGCTGGATAGGTTTTCAATGGGTACATATGTCCAGGTTGCTAGGAAGTGCATGCATTGCGCCAACGGTCGGGCCTTTGGAAGCGGATGCTGCAATGATTTATGTCTCAGTCATTGAACTATTTGCAGTATCACATTTTGTCCATTCACAAAATTAACCCGAAGCATGCTTGTCCTCGCTCTCTCCGCTACTAGTAGCCATCTCAACCTTCTCGGACTCAGTTGCATGGTGGTCGGTGGTAGTCAGGCCAAGCTCGGCCTGCATCTCGTTGATCTGTTCAATGGTGAGCTTAGGCAGCTGCTTGGCGACCTGGAAGGGCCACTTCTTCTCAATGTGAGCCTTGGCAAAGATGACATCAACCTCTTCCAAATCACGACCGGCGGTTTCAACGTAGAAGAAGTAGGCGAAGGGAATGGCGGTAAAGTTGACCAGGGCGAAGAATAGGTAGATACCCCAAGGGCTCTGGTTGGCGAAGACAGGGGTGAACATGACAACAGCGAAGTTGTTAATCCAGTTGGTGCAAGTGGAAGCGGCAGCTGCCTTGGTACGGGTGCGAAGAGGATTGATCTCGGGAGGGTAGATCCAAGGCAGAGGCAGTGTAGTGAAGGCGAAAAAGCAGATAAACAGAAAGATACCGACGGCGGCACCCTTGGCATTTTGGGTATTCTCGTCGATCAGGCAACCCATAGTGATGATAAAAGAAAGACCTTGACCAAGGAAACCAAGTAGGAATAAGTTGCGACGGCCAACCTTCTCAACCATGACAAAGGAAGGAATAGTGGCAATGGCATAGACAGTGGCGAAAACACCACCAATAATCATAGCCATCTTATGTTCCATATGAAGGTTATTTTCAAAAAGGAGAGTAGAGTAGTAGATCGCTGCGTTACAGCCAGTAAATTGTTGGAAGAATTGGCCAGAGCAACCAATCATCATACGCTGGAACTCTTGGGTCTTGCCAAATGTGAAGAGGGTCTTCCAGCTGCTGTTAGATTCCTGGGCCTCGGCAGCCTTCATGTCAGCCTTCATCAAGTTGAAATCACGCAGGACATCCTCAGCATCCTCGGTGCTATCATTAAGCTGGGCCATAACATAGAGAGCCTCCTGATCCTTTCCCTGCATAATAAACCAACGAGGAGACTCAGGCAGCATAAGAGCACCAATAATAACAAAGATAGCAAACAAGATCTGGAAGGCGACAGGGAATCGCCACTGGACAGAGGATTCGGTGTAGGATAAACCAAAATCGATCCAGTAGGCAATAAAGGTACCAACAGCAATAATGGCACCCTCGAAACAAACAAGGAAACCGCGGTTGTGGGCCTTGGAACACTCAGACTGCCAGACCGGGATAGTGGCAGTGTCCATACCGTTTCCAAGACCGGAGACTACACGACCAATCACAAATTGACCTAGACCCCAGGACTCGCCATAGGCAGCAGTAGAAAGGACCGTACCGACCACCATCAGAGCACCACCGGCAACCAGTAAAGGAGTACGGCCGGTTCGCTGACCGAAGCAGAGAGTGAAGATAGCACCGAAGAAACATCCTAGTTCGTAGCAGGAGTTGACGGCACCCTGCAAGACAGAGACATGATCCGCGTCGTTACCAGGAAGGTCTTTATTGAGGACAGGGAACTGTTTGACGAAGGATGTGCCTTGTAGAATACCGGACATCAGACCCTGGTCATAGCCGAATAGGGAGAAACCGACGACGGAGGTGAAGGTGATGGCCCAGTGGAGCTTCTTGCCCCGGAGGCCGGAGTTGGTTGTCCACATATCGATGTGACGCGTGCCCCTAATAAACGAGGGCGGATAAGGAGATACTGAAACGACGAAGAAAGAAGAGATACGGACTCTGGGGGTGGGCAACGCCTTTGTACCCTTTTCAGAAGTATAGGTCTGCTTCCTACGTCTGCGGGCATCAGGGGCCCCGGCCCCACTGAGTTCCATCGGTTGATCCCGCCAAGCGCTACTACCATGACTCCACTTCGCATGGATGTGGGCGTTTGGCCATCTTCGGCCCTCTCGGCAGCCTTGCCTACAGTACCTCAGCTGCCGCCAAGATTGAACTTTCCCCGGCTAGGACTTTTTCGGCTTCGGCCGCCAAGGATTGGCCCATCGCCAAGGGCGAAGAAGCTCTTGCCCAGGAGAATCACCCGTGTGTGGCGGATGGTAGGAGTAGGGCTGAAAATCCGGGGGAGATTCGGGATGGCCGAGGCCTGATGGCAAGTTAGGTTTGTTCTGTTCTATTGGGCTCAAAGAGATTATCCGAATGGAAAAGACCGAAGTTACGAACTATTAGTCATATGAATCAAATTAATCAAATAGAATACTACATGAACTGCAAAAGAGAAACTGATGACGGAGTACTGCCTAGGATTATTGTCTAATCCTTGATGGTGGATCACTTCGGCTCCCGAGAGAGGAATCTCGCCCGACCCTCCACGGCCTCCACGGGGAAACACGGGGGGAGACAGGAGGGCCAATGGGGCTGAAAAGCCTTTCTCTTGCCCTAGATGAGCCACTGAGAGTGCCTCATCCCCCATGGTATATCCTTCGAGAATCAAGTGACCCTCGGAGCCAGGGTCGAGTTCTACTGTTGAATATCTCATGAAACTCGCCTCAGTTGCCCTCTTCCTCCCCCTTCATCCGCCGTCTTCGCCTCGGCCCTGGTGACGCTGGCCCCGATGCCGACAGCCGGACAGTGGTCCACTTCTTCAGATGTCTGAGGGCCAATTGCATTCAATCGCACTCCCTGGCGCGCTCCAAGCGGGAACAGGGCGCGTGCCTCTTGGCGGTCCCCTCAGCCCTAGCCGCTACAACTGACGCAGATTCTGCTTCTTTTCTGACCACTCCAGTCCTCCAGATAATCTCCGACCTCCGATGTTGGGGATGGGCACCGCGCTAACACTACGTCACCGATCGCAATGGCCTTTGCAACTCCGCAAAGGACGCCTTGGCCCACCGGAATAGATAGGTTCTGACTCGCATTAGAGGTCGAAGGATTCATCTCCACGCCCCAAATGCAACGTGTCGTCAACTAGGCGAAGCGAAATACGCGAACTACTCCAAGACTTCAATCTCCATTTTCATCTGCCCCGTGGAACCAGTCGGGACCGAGCACAGCCCGACTTCCGCGGAAGCTATAGTCCTCCGATCCATTGATCGGACGTTTCAGATGCCTGGTGGCTCTAATTCTTGCGTCGAGGCGGGAAAACGAATTCCGACCGAATCACGGAGTAGAAAAAAAACATGGATGAATAAATCAGGAATGAGAAAACAAAAACGCAAGAAAATTGACCAAATTGGGCCGGAATCATCCAAAACAAAACAACCCGAAAGGTCTCTGGTTACTACACATGGCTGGGAGCAATTGAAGACTGGTTCCATCATGTACGGCTTCCCATCAGGAGCTGTCCAGCAACCACCACCTCATATGATTGTGAGTCCGTACCCCCGGGGGCCGGAAGGTTCGCCAGGCTGGATCCCCCACTTTGGAATGTAGACGCGATATATCAATGTATAATAATGTACTCGGTACAGAGTACTCATTAGTACCTTAGTACCTTAGTGCCGTCAGTGCTTGCTATCTAGTAGACCACTCGACCCTGTGAGTATTCATCCAGTCATCGCAACCGCTGTGTTCACTTCCAGCGCGAGCGAGGTCATTCATGATGCTAGCATCTTTTTTAAATAATTTCTCGGCCAGGAACTTTTGTGCTCCATGAAGCTCTACGCCGTCAACTCCCGCCGCGGTGGCGTACGGGGGCCAAATTTACAGTGGGCATGACAGGAAACTATTGAATAGTACAGAAGGCTAAAACGAGTGAAGGAAGGGGATCTTCACTGCCTCCATGGCGTAAAGACGCCTGGATAATCTATCGGATGGCGCTCATGTATGGTGCCGTGACATGGAGTCGGGAAACCTACCCTTTGTATAAAAGTGGTAGGGAATACTCCGTAAATAGTAGCCGGTACTTACCGGTTGAGAAACTAGAAGAAGGAGGTTGGCGACTGTTATGGAGCTCAGCACTATTATCAAGACCTTTTTTATAGACTTCAGATCTTGAACATCCAATCTAGACACTACCCCCTAATCTTTAATTAATAGCCATCGTGAATACTCTGGTGTTGGTAGTAATAATAGTTTACGCGTGGTTCTCCAGAATTAAGTTGATAGACGCACGGGGTATTGCTGCACTATATATGAGCCCCAATTCCGGAAAGATACGCTAAATGAGTGCCACCCAATGAATACTGTGGGTGAGTCAACAAAATTAATGAATAATAATGAGAGAATGTGGCAGCGATTGCGGGTCACTCTCAGTTTAGGTGCGCACGCCAGACCTCACAGCCTCCTCCAATGCACCCGGAGAACGAAAGATAGTATTCAATCAAAAGGTTTAACAAGGAACATAAGGGACCGAGGTACACGCATGTATGTATATTTCAGTGCTCAGAGAGATTGAGGCCCCCACGGTCAGAACCTAATATTCACAAACATACATTCAGCGATCACATCTGGCGGAAGACTTGACGTTGCCAAACAATGCACGATATCCAGGCAATCGATAAAGCATCTCCTGTCCACGCAAAAGAAGCATGCCCAGCACCATCCCCGATCGAATATTGCTGCTGGATGGAAAGCACCTTTGACTTCGGCACCCTCGGTTTGAGGCCAAAGGATGTTTCCCCTGCACTCCTCATGCTCTGTGCGGCCGCGTCTCACGGAGACCTCCGAAACTACACTGGGTGTGGTATCATTGGGATTGATGCAAAGACCCAGCTTACTCCCATCCGCGAAACAGACAATCTGGCCGACTGCCTCGTACCAATGGAGCCTGACTTCGACCTGGAATCATCAATATCCCGGAATTTACATACCTTGGAGCATGATCTGCATGAAGAGGTTCAGCGGCATCACCAACACCGGAATGTCATGAGCGGAGCCGCGATTCGTCACATCGTTATACTCGAAGAGCACAACGCAGATGGAAAATCTCCGAAATGGATGCAACAGCTCAAATCTGCTGGACATACGGATGAGCTCGTCCCCACAACCGTTCTGCATTGTACCCTGGAACAAGGCCTTTTGTCCTTTCGTATATGTATCGACCCCCCAGGAGAAGATGGGGCTCGCCGAACGCAAAGCTTCGTCGAGAACTTCTTGCACCTCCTCGTTGAATCGCTCAGTCATCCACGATTGCGGCTACTGGATGCAGTAGGGGGTTTTCTGCCCACCTCACCTACGGCGTCCATCCCAGATGTTCCACCATTCTGGGAGATTTGCGTGCATGAAGTAATCCAAGGCCAACGTCGGAAATCCCCAGACTCCCTGGCAGTTGACGCATGGGACGGCTCCCTCACATACCGAGAGCTGGACGAGATTACCGATCTGCTGGCACGCGCACTGAGGCTCTTGGGGATAGGACTAGAGCGCTTTGTTCCCATCTGCATGGAAAAGTCCAAATGGACAACGGTGGCAATCCTCGCCGTCATCAAAACTGGTGGGGCATTTAGTCTACTGAGCCCGGACCATCCTTTGCCTCGCCTGCAGCAGATCTGCGATGATCTCCGAAGTCCATTTATATTGTCGTCTGAAGCCCAAGCAGCGCGTTGTCGGAAGCTGGGAGGTCTTTTGGTCATAGAGAATTTGTATCAAGCATGCCGATCAAGCCGTGCCCCTCGGGAGATGTCGCTGGTCCAGCCAGGCAATGCGCTCTATGTCGCTTTTACGTCAGGTTCCACAGGGAAGCCAAAGGGAGTCGTGATTGAACACCAGGCTTACTGCTCAAGCGCTCAGTCCCATACACAGGCCTTCCAGATCAACGACAGGTCTCGCCTCCTGCAGTTCGCTTCCTACGCGTTCGATGTGAGTATCCTGGAGACGTTAAGCACGTTGATGGCTGGAGCGTGTCTCTGCGTACCGAGCGAGGCTCAACGAAATGACGTGGTGTTGTTCGAAGAGGCCCTGAAGACCTTCCGTCTCACCCACGTAGGCCTCCCTCCCTCCTTTGCTCGAATAGTCCCCTGGGCGAATATCGAAGAACGGCCCACTTTGTTACTAGGCGGCGAGCCGATGCGCAAGTCAGACAGGACCATTTATAGCGCGCTCGGGATGCGCTTGATGAATGCATACGGGCCTACTGAGTGCTCTGTGAATGCGACAATCCATCATCGTGTCCGGCCCAGACATCCGGTGCAGAACATTGGCAAGACTACGGGGGCGGTTGCGTGGATTGTCGACCCTGACGATATGGAGAAGCCGATGGAATGGGACGAGGTTGGCGAGTTACTTCTTGAGGGCCCGATCGTGGGCCGGGGATATTTGAACAATAGTGGAGCTACTCGCAAGGCCTTTGTGGACCCTCCGGCGTGGCTTCGACGGCTGCGAAAGGGGCGGTACCAGCATCGGATTTACCGGACGGGGGATTTAGCGTCCCAGGATCAGACAGGAGCTATTCATATCATCGGTCGCAATGACGGACAATTCAAAATTCGAGGGCAGCGAATCGAGGTCGCCGATGTCGAACATCACGTCAACGACTTTGTGGCCACCAGCACTGAAGTTGTCGTGGAGAAGGTCAACACGTCCGACGACTACCAGAGGCTCATCGCATTTATCGTCCTCGATGGGCCTTTACCTGCCGAGGCGACTGACTCGATCTTTCTAGCACCGAATGCGTCTGACCTGGAGAGTTTCAAAGCCATACAGGAGCAGCTACACAGCCGTCTTCCCCGGTACATGGTTCCCAATCTGTGGATTCCCTTGAGTCATTTACCTAAGGCAGTATCTGGCAAAATTGACCGACGTCTTTTGAGAGACACCGCAGCGGCGATGTCGCAAAGAGATCTTTACGCCTTTGCGTGCTCTAAAACAGAGAAACGGGCTCCTATCACTTCGAGTGAACGGACACTTCGTCAAGTGTATGCTGATATCCTCCAAATCCAGCCCGCCGCCATTGGCATGGACGATACCTTTTTGCGCCTTGGTGGCGATTCCGTCCAGGCCATTCGGCTGGTCGGTTCTGCAAGAAAGGCGGGACTGACGGTTCAGATGCAGGATGTTCTCGCTAAGGTCAGTATCGCCGACCAGGCGGAAAAGGCGATGAATATCGCATCTTCGCCCGAGCCTGTCTATGAGCCGTTCAGTCTGGTGGAGACCTCTGTGCAGGGCGATGTTCTTAGGCTGGCGCAGGAACAATGCAGTGTGCAACGGTCCCAAATTGAAGACATCTATCCGTGCACGCCGCTGCAAGAGAGCATGTTCGCATCCTCGTTACAGCGCCCTGGCATGTACACCGGAAATATTGTTTTCCGAATCCCTCTCGGCATTGATATCTCTAAGCTCAAACATGCGTGGAAGGACACGGCTGACAAGAATCCCATCCTACGCACACGGATCATCCAAAGCTCGCATGGGCTTTTTCAAGTCGTTGTCGACACCTTTGCATGGCGAGAACATACCGGTCCAGTTCTGGAAACCCCAGTATCCACGGAGCTGGTCGGGCAACCATTGGTTCAATACCTTCATAAAGAGAAGGATCATGAGCTGGTATTGACGAGTCACCACGCTGTGTCCGATGACTGGACGCTACGTCTCGTTCGACAACAGGTAGAAGCCGCGTATCAGGGTCACCTGCTAGAGAAGCAGCATTTCTATCCTTTCATTCAATACACCCGGCATATTCAGGGCGTGGAGGAGTTCTGGGCCACCCAGCTGTCGAAACTGGATGCCACGGTCTTTCCTGAGCTTCCAGCCAGCAATTACCGGCCTTCGGCCACGCAGTCCCTCCAACATCAGATCGATGGGCTTTGCGTAGACAAGCAAACGTCTCATACCCTTCCTACTTATATCTACCTTGCGTGGGCATTGCTGATCGCTCACTATACTGATTCACCCGATGTGGTGTATGGCGCGACCCTGAGTGGACGCAATGCCTCTGTGCCAGCCATTGAGGCCATAGTCGGACCAACAATCACGACCCTTCCATTGCGTGTTCGATTGCAGTCTGAAACCTCGATAGTAACCGCGTTGGACCAGGTACAAAAGACGCTGGCTTCCATGATTCCGTACGAACAGGCCGGGTTGCCATGGATCGCCAGGAGTTGCGAGGATGGAACGAGAGCCTGCCAGTTCCAAAGTCAACTCATAATCCAGCGCCCGGAGGAAACAGACCATACATATCTTTTTGACGCCGTCCAAGGGTCCGTTCATACCAGACTGGATTATACAACCTTCTGTGAGTTCGCGATGATGCTGTCCTTCCTACCCAGCGTAGACAGGACCAGTATGACTATTGATACCGCGTTCGATTCCCATGTCGTCTCACCGAATGCAATGTGCCGGATGCTGTGTCAGTTTACGCACATTCTGCGTCAGATCATGCAGCAGCCTGCGCAGCAGATAGAAGCAGTGAACTTGGCATCTCTGGATGACTTGGCTCAGCTCCGACAGTGGAATTCTCAGATACCTCCGGCGGAACCCAGGTCCTTGAACTACCTGTTCCTAAGTCGGTGTCTCGATCAACCACGAGCCACAGCTGTATGTGCCTGGGATGGGTCATTGACATATTCAGATTTAGCCGGATTGTCCTCCTCCCTGGCCTACCGACTTAGATTGCTGGACGTGCGCCCAGGTTCTTCAGTAGGGATCTGTCTAGAGCGGAGTAAATGGAGCGTTGTCGCCATTCTGGCCGTCCTGTTCGCCGGGGGTACGTGTATCCTCCTAGACTTGCATCATCCGCGCCAGAGAATCCACGATATCCTCAAAGAAACTTCCGTTCAAGTCGTAGTCAACAGCCAGACGACGGCGGCATTAACAAGCGGTCTCACACCAATCGAGGTTTGTCTCGATCCAGCACTTACAGATATTCTGCCCCAGACTCCGTGCCTCCCTGATTCACCAGTTTCTCCTGCTGCACCTGCCTTCATTCTGTTCACCTCCGGCAGTACTGGTCGTCCCAAAGGCATTGTCATGCCGCACAGCACCTTGGCCTCCAGTATTAAGTACCATAGTGTACCGATGAATGTTGGAGCTGATTCGCGGGTGCTCCATTTCTCCTCGTACGCGTTTGATGTCAGTATATACGAGATCTTCACTACACTGGCAGCGGGAGCAATCCTCTGCGTTCCGTCGGAATTCGAACGTACAAACGCGCTTGCCGAGGCGATCTGCCGATTCCAGGTGAACTGGACGTTTCTCACCCCGTCAGCTGTGCAGACTTTGCATCCCTCGGAAGTCCCATGCCTGTCGACTTTGGTCCTAGGGGGGAAGCCGTCACCCGCGAAAACTTCGACGCTTGGGCCCGTGGTCGCACGCTGATCAATGGATACGGTCCCGCAGAAGCCACCATATGTGGTGTTGGAACCATTCCGCCGACGGGATGGAAGCAGGGGGTGATTGGGTCAATTTTCGGTGGTGTCGGCTGGGTGACAATGCCCACTGACACGTCACGGTTGGCTGCCATCGGGGCCATCGGAGAGCTGCTGCTGGAAGGGCCTTTTCTGGCCGCAGGATATTTCAACCTTCCGGATGTCACGGCAGCTTCATTTATAGAGCCCCCGGCATGGAGACAGAGAATGCCTCTGGAGCCATCCTCTGGTCTCTATCGGACGGGAGATCTCGTGCAGTACCAGGATGATGGAACCATTCGATATATAGGGCGTCAGGGCACGTGCATGAAGCTGCACGGCCAACTGATCGACCTGGGAGAAGTGGAAACTAACACACTTCGTGGGTTCCCTGGGGCCAACAGCGTAGCCGCCGATATAGTCTCTCTGGATATTGACGGCAACATCGCAGCAACACTGGTGGCTTATATAAAATTCGACTTTGACGACCCCAAAGGACGTGACGCCAATGGTATCTTGAACTCGGTCTGCCAGGAATTTCGCCACAGTACGACCGAGGTGCAGAGGCACCTCGGAGGACTTCTTCCATCCTACATGATCCCGTCCATATTCATCCCAGTCCAGGCGATGCCGAGTACCGTGACGGGAAAACTTGACCGTCGTAGCCTACGGTCAGCTGTCCTATCGCTTTCCTCCGAGGAGCTCCAGAATTATCGGGCAGCGCCGCTAGCGAAGACTCCAGTCTCCAGCGATGCTGAGCGACTGCTGCAAGCCATGTGGGCTGATCTCCTGGGCACGACCAAGGAATCCATTGGGGTAGAAGACAACTTCCTGATTATTGGCGGTGATTCAATCGTCACCATGCGAATGGTAGCCACGGCTAGACGTGCCGGGTTTGGCTTCACAGTGGCGGACGTCCTGATGCCGAACAGCTCGTTGTCATCTCTTGCACTGTCGTTGCAGGAAGTCAGGCCCGATGAAGAGAAACTTGTATTATCCGCTCAAGTTCAGCCATCTACCCTCACATCGGTGGATTTCCAGCAACATCTCAGCTCCCTGCAACAGCAAGGAATCCTGTCCCTGGCAGGAAACGTGACCAGCGCGCGGCCAGCTACAGAAGCACAATCAACACTCATCTCGCGGTACCCATGGTTCAATTTCCAGTTTCCATTCCAAGGTGAACTCAGTGAGAATAGACTTCGAGATGCCTGTAGGGCACTTGTCCGTGCTCACAGTGCGTTGCGGGTTGTCTTTACTAAATACCGCGAGGAGGTCTTCCAGTTGACTCTAACGGAAGATATTGATCTCCCTCTGCGGGTAGTTACGACCCATAACCAGTTAGACACCTTTTGTGAATCACTTTGCCATTCGGAACAGGCTGTTTCTGTTGTTTCAGCGGGAGTCGCGACCCGTTTTACCCTGGTATCCAATCCCACACGTACAAAGCAGCGACTCGTCATTCGTCTTGCCCACGCCCAGTATGATGCCACTTCCATTCCAATTCTGGTCCGCGATCTCGAATTAGTATACAAAAATGAAAAGAATATTGCGGATACTTCTTTCGATCGGTACCTTGAACAACGGGCACGGCATTCGGATCAAGAACAGCACCGGGCCTTTTGGCAGGAGTACCTGGCGGGCTCTTCCCTTGCCTCGTCTCCCCTCGATCTCACTTTGGCCAACCACTTGGTCACAGGAACCTGTGATCTAGCTTTACCAGCAGGGCTCCCACCTTCTGTAACCTTACCCACCGTCGTGAAAGCTGCTGCCTCTTTAGTCCTCGCTCGACAGCTCCATCGACCTGATATCGTTGTCGGCCAGACCGTCGATGGGCGTAGTCTGCCACTCCCCGACATCGACCGAGTTATGGGCGCTTGTAATAACTATATTCCGTTCAGGGTACAGCCTCGTGCGTCTATGACCGCCCGAGACTACCTCCTCCATGCCCAAGTCCAGCATTCCCGGAGCCTGGGTTCCGAATCTGTGGATTTTCGTATGATCGTCTCGCACTGCACAGATTGGCCGTCTTCGGCGGAGTTTGGGTATATTGTGCAGCACCAGACGGCTAATCATAGCCTAGCGTTGAGACTAGGAGACAAGGCTTCGACTCTCAAACTGGTGGGCGGGCTCTCGCCCGGATCGGAGGTGTGGATTTGCTCTACCGATACTCCATCCGGGGTAAGAATTGATATTCACTCCTCGGCACAGAGGATGACTCATGACCAGGCCATTTCTATGGCGTGTGAAGTTTGCACAATGATTAATGATATTCTGACAAAGCTGGATCGTTATTTGTATGCTATTGAAGGGATGACATGCTTGAGGTAGATAGTACGTAGTCAATTACCTACAATTTGAGAGGGTATTTGTTGTGACACAAGCCTAGTATTAGATGAAATAGTCCATTTTTACCGAATTCTGACGCTAGTGAAACAAAAAGAGAGGGTGGTGGGCCTCGCGATAGATTCCCGACCAGAATGATCACTGTCAGTGCTAAATTCATGAAGACTGCTTGGACACCGGTTTACTAATGATGAGCATAGCATAAGATCTACGCGAATGGCAAGGGTCCAATGCTGAGGGGGTGTGTTGAGATTCATGCCGCATCCAGGCAAGATACCTTACACAGCAGACATCAATCTAGTGATCATTAGAAAGGATATATCGTTAGATCATGTCTGTCATGAGAAATGCCACGAAATTCACTTTACATAGATCTCCTTGTAATAAATCGAGCACTTCTACCGTGGTCACTCCGCATAACACAGAATGATGCAGTATCTGTATGTTATTATTTAAAAGAAATTTAATTTAAAAGAAATTTAAGATACAGAATTATATTAACGTTGCGTATAGAAACCAAACTAAGCAATAGCACCCCACTATTCAACCCCGATGGTTTATTCTTTAAGAACTTCTACCTCTCTCGCGACGGACCCTCGCGCAAGGCGAATATATGGCTTAAGGCAGCATGGGCCTGGAGAGCGCTGAAGAAAATCATGCTATAGCTGGTCAGCGTCACCCTAATCCTCACATTAGATATCTATACCTTCAGGATTTTCGTTGCGGATTGGGATTTTGTGGATTCCACAAGGTTCAGAATATCAGATCCCCAATCACTGGACATAAGAGAGCCCCCCTTCCGCAATAATGTACTTGGCTCAAGAAATTCTTATAGGTCAGGAAGAGAGGGGAAATGAAGGATATTGAATTAGATCTATCTATCATGAAGCTTTTATAAAAGCTACAATAGCGGTTTGAAAGAGAAGGCAAACAGTGCCTAATTGTATGTCATACCCCCCTAGACTGAGAAATGCCTGATAAATCCGGCTGAAAACATCTGTCGGAACTTGCTGTCTTCCGTAACTTGCTCAGCCAATGAGGGCATTCAAATCTCTGTCTTTTATTACTTGCTATTTCTTGCTATTTATGCTATGCTCATCATTAGTAATCCGCTCATTCGGAGTTACTATAATTCCGGTTCTCAATCCGTATTCATGAATGCAGCACTGACAACATCAAAAAACAACCATAACCCTCTCACAATTTGATTTCCGGTCCTTATAGTAAAAATGCTCAAATTTTCGTCGTTTTTGATGTCTCTAAATAGCAATTTGTATGATTCTCTCTTCCTATTCGTCAATTTAGCTAGGAGATCTCTTAAAAATACGTCAATTCTAATTTGAATGCTCTCTAAGCCGGTATACTTTACTCGGCCCTCTGACAAGACTCCAGGCCATAATCTACTGTTTATATATCGCGGGCACTATCTCCTGCAACATTATCAAGGCATCTACGTTGCAAGCTGCTCGCGCTAGTGCAGGAGCTCGTGCGATCCTCCACCTCGCCCTTCTTAGTATGGTACCTCGACTTAGCTTTGGTGCCGCATTCTTTGGGGTCTCTTTACCCACATATCATCGGCTTCATAGGAACATTGGTGCTATGGCAGGTTTCCAAAGCATGTTACACATTATACTCTCTATTCAAATTGCGCCATTCAATTTTCAAAAAACAGATAAAAAGAACGGGTTCATCGTAAGTGATTAATCAGTATTGAATTCAACCGCTTATAATTTATAATTAGGCTATAGTATCTCTTTCGGTGCTCTCTTTTCTCGTCGTTCCGTGGATTCGTCGTTATATCTACGAAATCTGCATAAGGCTTCATTTTATAATCGGAGTCTTCTCTTTGGTTATGATATGGATACATATAAAGGGTCAATATGGGAATAACGGGTGGCTACTGATTTGTTCGCTCAGTGTCCTTATTTTGAGCACAGTGTTCTCTGCCATCCGCGAGTTATTCCGTAATATCACAAGAAAGCAATGTTTCGTCACCGCACAGCGCCGACCATTAGTCGATGCTGTAATGATTGATTTTGCACTCCTTCGTCCCTGAGAGGTTCACCCTGGTGACTATGTCTTTCTCCGGGAATTTGGGATCTACCCACTATCTTTCGTGCAGTTCCATCCGTTCAATATCATTTGGTGGGATCAAGACGAATCTGGCATGGCAAGCAGGATTTATGTAATTGCCAAGTCCAGTTCGGGCTCACTCAGAACTTATCAATGGCCACCACCAACTCGCTGAGGCTATTGGTAGATAGGTCGTACGGTAAGCCGTTGGACACAAGTTATTGGGATAACTTTCTTTTTTTTGTCTACTGATATAGGCATCATAGCTCAACTCCGTCTTCAAACTGTACGCAGGGGCCCTGGAGGCCAAGCAAACACGCAACGGCCATCTCGTGCCCGTTTCTTGCAGCTGCGAGAAGCGGGGTGGAACCATACCGGTCTTTGATGTCTACCACAGCCCCGTGGGACAGAAGGTGTTTCACGACTTGCATGTGACCTCTCGCTGATACAAGGAAAAGCGACCTGCGTCCACAAAAGTCCTCCACTTCAACGTTAGCTCCATGCTCCCACAGAAACTTGACGACTTCGAGATGGCCATTGATGGATGCTACATGGATTGGAGTCTAGCTACCTTTTGTCACTTTATGAATATCGGCATCTGCACTATGCTTAAACAGAAACTTCATAACCGGAAGATGCCCGCCGCCGGATGCTACGCAAATTGGGGTCTGGCTATCACTAGTGGCTTTATGAATATCGGCATCTGCACTATACTCAAACAGAAACTTTATAATTTCGAGATAGCCGCTGTTTGAAGCCGCACTAAACGGAGTCTAGCCACCTTTTGTCGCTCTATGGATGTCGGCATCTGCACCGTGTTCAAATAGAAACTTCACAACTTCGAGATAGCCGCTGTCTGAAGCCGCACTGATATCATTCCCGAGGCCCCAAGAGCAACAAAGCTCCTATGGTTGATAGGCGTTGGATAAAACTAGCGCTTATTGATATCTATCCTAGGACACCGCAAACGATCTAAGGGATAGCTCCCTAGCTCTAGGCGCGTATAAGCTAGCACTCGCAGTGTTTTTGCTACCAGAGCTGAACGAGAGAGTCAAAGATGCTACCCACAAAGTATTTAAGCCCCGGAAGCTTTCTATCTGTATGGCGTCGGCATTGAACTTATACGAAAGAATTTAATTTCGCTTTGTTATGAAAATTGCAAAATTCAAGTTACGCAGGTAATTGTAGAAAATATGAGCATCTAGGTCATGTACTCTCAAGGTTGAACCACAACACTGGAACTTGGTAGGCCACTGCCTTCACGGAATGCCTAAATTCCCACAAAGACGTAGCTGTCAAACCTAAGTCCACTACAGTCATTTTTGACGCTGGGATTCCAGGAATTGAACTGCAATTCCATAAGTTATCAAATGCTCAACTGATGGGGAAAACGGAGTCGTGAGCACATACATTTTTCAGAGTGATATCATGGGCAGCGGCGACGGCATAGCATCCATCACCGTCCAGAACCTTGTTATACTTCTTGCACGTATAAATAGTTCCCGGCAAAGTCTCAGATGGGCTAGTGGTAGTGCCATCACTGGTAGACGTGGGCTTTTGAGTAGTTGTAGAAGACGGAGCTGTGCCACCCTTTACCCCCACACAGACAAAGTATTCCGTTATGAGAGATTTACGACCCTCCCCGATGGCGGGGTTCCAGTCATAGAACTGTCAAAGGGTTAGCATGACCTCCCAGGAAATTTGAAAATGTGCAAGGGTTACTGCTTACCTCAATAAGTGTAATATTATACTTCTTTGCTAGGTCAAAGCATCCATCCCCATCTTCCACATAATGCCATTTATCACAATTGGATGCGACGCCATCTTCGGTTGGCGAGGGATTGGCACTGGCGGTGGTAGTTGACGTCGACGAGCTAGTTGCTGTCCGCGAACCAGTCGCTGTCTGCGAGCCAGTTCCTGTAGTGTTCATTGAATTTGAACCACCAGAAACAGCAACGCAGACATAGTATTCAGTCTTGAGGGTGCGGCAGTCAGATTCGACGCCAGGGTTCCAGGAGTAGAACTGAGGAGAGATCAACCAGGAATCAGTATACAAGGGGAAAAAGAAGGCATCTCTTACATCAGTCAGCTTAATTCCATATTCTTTGACAATCGCAGGACAGGTGTCGTTCGCAACGATATAGTAGAACTTGCTACACTTAGAGGTTGTGCCATCCAATGTTGGCGACGGAATGGGTGTTGACGAGCCAGTTGGAGTAGCAGAGACTGCAGTTGGCGTACAGGAGCCTGGGAACTTCGTTGATTTAGGCGACGGGGAGTGGATATCGGGACTGCAGTAAGGATCAAGCAGATCCTGACAGTTGCCCGAAAGATCTTCCCACTGGAAGCCGTCTTCGTAGTCGTCATCCGAAATTGGGCAGTATTTGGAGTAGTCTGCAATCATACTTTGTGCCGTTTGGTTGACTGTGTATGTACTTGTGAGGGAGGTGAATTTGGTCGGCAGAGCAGTGTATGTCGGGGATTCTGTCACCTGAGTTGGCGCTGGGCCAGTTTCCCAGTCCCCGGTAAACATAGTAAAGGTCCTGAGAGATATTAGTATTTGTTTTTGAAATTCTATGGGTTAACTGGAGTGACAAACATGGTGGACGTCCGGTTGGTCGTCGTGACGTCCCATGACGAGCTTCCTGGTGGGCTATTTCTGATCAGCTTAGACATTCACAGTGAATTTCCGTCCTTCACTTACGAAATGCAGATGCTTTGTCCAACCATAGATTCAAGATTATCGCAATTTGTGCGAAGCGTTTTGGGTTAATCAGTACTATAACTTAATATTTCTTTCCTTTGAAGAGCGGGGTTCCCTACGGGTTCCAAGATAGCAGCTGGTTCTTATAGAAACCTTTCCCTTTAAGAATAGTCTTGCAGGTGTCTCCCTCTTTTACTGTATAAAGTGAACAGGAGGGTGACAGACAAACCTCTGATCCAGTCTCTAAGGTTGTGCAGTTCTGGTCAATGCCATTGTCGGCGAGGAAATTGCCGATCGGGATTGAATTGGCTTCAGCAATTGACTTGCAAGTGTCGCCTTTACCGACGATGTAGCTATCACCACTGCAGGTTTGGCCTGTAGTTGTTGGCGACCTTTGAGAGATGAGCAAACGAAGACGAACGAGCAAGGGCGGAGGAAAGACGCACGCTTAACCAGAAGCCGTGCTCGATGAGATAGGAGCCGAAGTAGGGGCCGTATATGGATATTTGGTAGCAGGAACATCACATGATGAGAGTTGAATAGAAAAGCTCTTATCATTAAATCTGACACGGCCGTAGTCGGACTCAAGCATGTGAGCAACATATGAAAGAACACAATCGGAGCAAGCATCGAGAGTGGACGATGAATTAAACATCTTAGGATTGCAAAATCCATTTCTTTTCGAGTGTTAGGTCATATCTCGTATGTTTCGAGACTCACACTTACGAATCTTGAAGGCAAGTAACATTGTACGCCCAAACTAGAGGGTCCACCAGCTCGGCACCCGTGGTATTTGTACTATCGAACCTTAGAGTAGCATCTCCACAGCTATCAAAGATATTTTCTTGGAACTCATGCAGTGAATTCGAACATGTTGTCGTGCATAGCTTGGAAAGGTCCGTGTTGCTGTAAAGCACCTGCTGTGCGACCTTGTTGGCGGGCACTAGCTGGGTACAGGTAATGTTTATGCTCAACGCATTCCGACATTCCAGGGAAATGCTGTCAGGGAGCGCACTGGACGAATTTCAAAGCTGTACAGAGTATACAGGTGTAACTATCAGGTTCACCACGAGGGCCAAAGAAGAAAAGTTGATGGGGACTTTCATGTTGAGAAAGTCGAGCGCACAATTCGCTCTTCAATGATTAAAAAAGAAAATCCGGACTCTGCTTTAAAGGCGAATATCAGCGAAGAAAACCAGTTAATAAGGTTCTAGTCATATTGTGCCTGTTCCTAGCTAGTGACCGGCCAATGCTCCATCCGAATCAATACTTCCTTGTATTCTATGGTAAAGACTATACAAAGTAAGCGTATGTTTAGGGTTATAATGCCAAGGAATTAATTCCCAATTGAACGGGGATCTTGAGATTTGAAGCGTCATTTCGTCTCGATCGATGCAAATCAACAGCCCGACATTGTGGGACCCGCAAGTGAAATTGTCTCGGCTCTGAAACTACGGGATTGAACATTTTTTTGGCCTATTTTTGAATCCTTGGCGGGGGCCAGGGGTCCTAAGGGCGCTATTTCGGGTGAAAATGTTGAGATGCCAACGCAGCATGTTGTAACCCCGTCGGGTGATCGGCAGCCTTAAAACGCTCCGTTCCTCTTGGCAGGTCTGGGCGAATGCACCGCCTACTAGGTCTTTTAGTTCGAGGCCTCAACCCTGGATGTCTATCAGCCGAGGGAAATAAGGCTTATTCTGAGACATTGTATCTCGTTCTCGGAGATAGTCCTGGCAAAAGAAGGACTAAACTCAGTCACTTCCCTACCGTCATCCCCTCATCGGCACTGAACTACCGACGAGACCTAAGCTCAGAACCATTTTCAGAGGGCCTGGAAAGATGGCTAGTAAATTACTGTTCTTTATTCCCCTTTTTACGATTTCAAATGCTGAAATCGTCGCCTGAGACCGAAATGATAGGCATGAGAAATCTCGGAGCATGTAATTCAAAAAGCCGGTCTTGTGTTCGCAATCGCTATCTATTTGGGTGATATATCTAGTCAGTTCATCCCAAGCCTGCTCATCAGTAACTCTGTTAACCAGGACTTTAGTTCCTATACTTTTAGACATATTTTTGATGCTTTGATGACTTATTCAACCGTTCTCAATGTTGCATACAAAGCCGCCTTCAAATTCTCTATGAGAAGGTACCATGATAGACCGAATTCCAGGTACAATTACACACCGAATACATAAAGATATCCTTCGCCATGTAACCATACCGGAAATTGCGGATTCAAGTTAGTCAATTGACGAACTAAATGCCTCAGTGTTCTCACTTAGATTAGTCCAGAACAGGAGAAAAGCGCGACCATCAACGGCATATTGAGTGTCATTCTATTGGAAGTAGAAATTTGGATCACGCTGAGCGACAGACACGGCAACATAAAACTTGTTGGCTATGCAGAGAACACACATTTTCCAGAAACTCTCTGATACAAAATATTTTGGCCCCCGGGGCCAACCAACAATTAAGTGGGCCGCTAATCAAGCTGAACCATGCGAAACCTGATAGTGCAGAATATGCCAATAGCGGGTCCGGTCCACGGAGTTCTCGCATGCGAAGGGTTTCCGCTCATTCAGGAACTCCACTCAAATGGACCGGAGCCAATGAAGAGTAGAATGAGCAGGGCAAAATGAAGCCACTAATCATTGACATCGTTTGCACTAGCACCGCTTGGCACTTTGGACCCGCCCCGAGCCTCACCCATATGCCAACATGTACTAGTGATGTGCCCCTCCTTCATTTCCCCTGCAGTGACCTGCAGTAGTGGAATAAGCAAAGTTTCTGAAAAAGGACAGCTTCTTTTTCGATGGGGCTAGGATACTTAGTTATGCGAGAAGAAACACTTATCGAAGCACCTGATCCAAATTTGGGCTTTGACCAAGATGACGGTATCCCACACTGCCTGATGACCGGTGCGCAGACTCCATAGAGAAGTATAGTTTGGTGTTTCATCAGTGATACATGAGCACCTGTATTGATTTCTAGTATCATAGCCAGCTGGGCAAGGGCTCATGTCGTCTTACAGAGACTATGCACTGATCAAAAGTATTTGTATTAATTGAATATCTATATCTAACAGGTAGCTACTCATTTCAAGTAGTCGCCAGGAAGTAGTGCCTTAAACTTCCTGCGTTAGTAACTGAGTTTCTGAGATATTTGGTGTCATGAATGCTCGAATGGGGCCAAAAACGAGCTTCGCCAAGGGGAAAATTACTGTTTCCAAATCCGAAGACTTAGATATTATCCATACGAGAATACATGTAACACACTAGGTGGTCCAAATACTACAACATGGTCGAATCCTTGTCAGCACTCTCGCGTGTGGCTCATGTAAATATTTCCCTAGGTTCAATACTCAGACTGCCTAGGTTTTGAAATTTACCCAATATCCTCTTGTCGCTATGTGCTGGTGGCTTTTGTTCCTGCTATTAGCAGGGACTATCACGGTATGGGCTCAGCAGGATTCTGTCTGCTCAGAGCTTGTACCGTGCAAGAATGGATGCTATAGCTCATCTGGGTCGTGTGGATTCACAGAAGAGCACTGTGGCGGTATGTCGTTTTCCGTTCTTGCTCTGACAATTGATCAAATACTGACCTCGAGAAGATGGTTGTATGAGTAACTGCAACGCCACCGCAGAGTGCGGCAAATACTCAAAAGGGAAGGTTGAATGTCCACTAGGCGTTTGCTGTAGGTATGTCATTCATCTTGTTGAATCCTACTAGACAGTTTACCGATCTTATTTCTAGTCCTGCTGGATTCTGTGGTACTACATCAGACTTTTGCGGAGAGGGTTGTCAATCTGGCTGTAAAGAAATCAAGTATGTGGACCCCGAATTCCTACATTCAATAGAGGTAGCTGCTAATTAATTAGTGAACCGAGCTGCGACTCCCACACGGATGTTATGAAGCTATATCGCCGAGTCGCATACTACGAGCTCTTCAACATAGCCAACAGGAAATGCGATAAATACATAGCCGAGCATATCCCTGCTGGTGGACTGACTCTCTTGAACCTGGCGTTCGCGGTCATCAGTGACAAGTTCAAGATTTCGGAGGATGACAGTGATCTTGTGACTCGCGCTTCCCACTTGAAGGATCGGTTTCAAGGACTTCGCGTCAACATAGCCTTGGTGGTTGGGACTTTAATGATGGCTCCACAGCTACCATCTGGTCTGATCTCGTTGCGGACTATGAAAATACCGAGACATTCATGGATTCCTTGGTAGCATACCTAGAGAAATACGGCCTTGATGGAGTAAGTTCTGCACATCCGTATTTCCTCTCAGCATAAGTTAACCCGTCAATAGGTCGATCTGGATTGGGAATATCCTGTTGCGGAAGACCGTGGGGGTGCTGAAGAAGATTACGGTCATTATGTTACTTTTGTTGCCAGGCTCCGGGAACGTTTCGATCAAGAGAATCATGGCTGGGAAATTTCCGTCACCGTGCCGGCCAGTTACTGGTACCTCAGAGGGTTTAATCTCGAGGAGATTCAGAAACATATCTCTTACTTCAATCTCATGTCTTACGACTTCCACGGTCTATAAGACAAGCGCAATGATTGGACTGGACCCTACCTGAAAGGCCATACAAACCTGACTGAGGCCAAGCAGGGACTGGATCTTCTCTGGCGTAACAACGTGAAACCTGAAAACGTGGTCATAGGTTTCGGCTTCTATGGTCGCTCCTTTACCATGTCAGATAGTACCTGTCATGACCCGAGCGAGGGCTGCCAGTTTTCCACAGCTGGTATGCCTGGGGATTGCTCAGATGCAGCAGGTATCCTGACCTACGCTGAGATTCGGTCGCGAAACAACTCCCTGAACACAAACACCTACTATGACAAGGAGTCGACAACAAAGTACATGACCTATTCCGCTGACCAGTGGATCTCATACGACGACGAGGAGTCATTCACGGCTAAGAAAAGGTTTCTCACGTCTCAATGCCTGTCAGGCCTTATGATCTGGGCTATAGAGCAAGACACGCAGGACTGTGATGCCATGAATGCCCTTTTCAGAGATGCAGCCACGGATGGTGCTCTGACACGAGGCGGCGAACTCAGTGATGAGCAAAAGGAGAAATTGACCAATGAGTTTGCATCCTTCAATGGCCAGAACTGCTTTGTCACGGAGCTTTGCACCGACGGTAGCTCCAAAGAGAGCGGCCCTAATCAGAAATGTCCTTCCGGTACATCCTCTGTGTCCACAGCACATGCACCTTTGCAGAAGGCTGGTACAGTTGGCTTGATCGGTCAATGCTCTGAAGGCTGGTACTGACATGCGTGTTGTTTTAATAAACAGATGCCCAGCAACTGCCAGTGGAATGTAAGGTTTCATCGCCTCGCTATCCGAAACGATATTCACAAATTATAGGGCGAGCCGGTTCGCAGTGAAATAGGCTGTTCAGGCAAATCTGGCGATAGTCAGTTCGAGCTGACCACAGACACTTTCACTGACGCCTTGGGAGAAGGGCAGTGTTTCCAAGGCCACCGCTCCTTATGCTGCGACTCAATTGAACTTCTCGATCTGTGCTACTGGAGTGGCTGTGAAGGTCCTTTAATGCCATATCAACTCATCGGGGAACTTGAAACTGATGGGTGCAAGGATGGCTATGAAAATGCGGCCTCTCGGCATGATACAGATGAGGGGGGATGGTGCTCACGTGAATTCAACAGTGACTTGCATGATAGATTCAAGCGAGGCTCGTGCTGTCCAAAGTCCAAAAAGTTCGACAACTGCAATTGGACGACCGAGGATGCCATAAGCAAGTTGGATGACGCTAACTGTCAGCCACGTCAATGCAAGAAGACTCAGACTAGCATCTCGGAGGCATATGAGCCTACGATCAATCCTTATTCTGCGAAGTACTGCATAGGCGACTGCACTGTTGGGGATCAATGCACTGCGAATCCAATTCTGCCCCAATTTGATCCTGCCTTCCATCTCTGTTGTGACCCACCCTCCGAGTATACTGAGGATTGGCCTGTCCCACCCTCATTTCTTTGGGAAGATGCCTATGAGGATGACGATGACGATGTTGCCTGGGCTTTTGCTGACAACCAGAGCAACAACGATGAGGAATCGAGTGATGATCCAATTGAAGAGGACCCTTCAGGTAAATCAACCCCCTCTTGGATGCGGGCATGAATTTACTTATCACCACGGGACAGATCATGCGTATGGCTTCCTAATGTTGGATGGCCCCTCAGAATCCATCGACAATGCCTTTGACGATTCATACACTGTTGCCCGTCGCAGCAGTAAACTACCCAATCGAAGACGTTCGACGATCACTGCCAACACTACTGTCTTGGACTCAACTTTTGATCACGCAGAAGAGACTATATTCGTGTACTGCAACCACCCCAAGGGATCTCCCGAGTGTCAGAAGATCTTCCGCAAAGGTGCTGAAGATACGATAATCAAGCTGCCAGATCATATCGGAGAAGGTCCATTCGCCCGCGTTATCTCCATGACACAGGCCCCACATACCTATGAGCTTCCTCATCACCATGTCCGAGCTCGTTCTGTGGAAAGCAACGAGAACGAAGTATACGAGCTTAAGATAGACTACAACTTCCATCTCATCAAGCGGGACGATGGTCCGATCAACATGCGCATTGATTACACTAATCTGCTTCCATATTGGGATGAAGTAACGGACTCTAAGCCATAATCGAAGAAGAGATCCGTCCGCGAGAAACTTACCAAAGATGATTGGAAATCCCTTATCAAGGACATGAAAAAGAGAACTACCTCGAATAGTACCTCAGTCAAGCTTGGTTCCGGCAGCACTGACATGATGGAGAGTTCGGAAATTGGGCTAGGCAAGCGTTGGTTTGGTACATTCATGGGCTGGCTGAAAAAGATGAACACCGTCGAAGCTGGAAACGATGGTGTCCTCAATATGGCCTTCCAGAAGAGCTTTCTTCTGTACCGAGCTGTTAAGGGGTGAGCTATCTTCAATCCCAAATCATATTATTCGAATTCTTATTACTGACTACAACATACAGATGTGCCCGTCGAGCCTTCTATGCAGAGATGAGAATGTACCTCGATGCTGATGTTCAGATGGACGCAACATATGCTTACTATCTCTCTGGGACTATCGTTCCATTGAAGGTGGATGATTCTTACGGCTATTTGGGTATTGAGCCAAGCGCATATCTTGGATTGCGTCTTGAAGGAAACGCCATAATGACCTACACCTCGGAGTGGAGAAAGCTCATTGACACACTTGCGTATCCTGGCTTGAGTATCAAGGGTATAGCAACTGTTGGGCCGAGTTTGGATATATATGGCCGGGTAAGTGCTATTCGGCAAAGCATTCGTATAATCGGTATACTGACTATGGGACGTTTTGAAGATTCGCGGTAGTGTGACTCTGAATGGACAGGCCAAGGCTGGCGCTCGAGTGCACTTTGGCCGTGTAGAACTTTACTTCCCACAGGATGAAGAGGGGACTAAAGGCGATACGGATTACGACAAGATCGAAGACATCAAGTCTCAGCAAGAGCGACCGAAGACTGGTCTGGAGCCACAATTCTACGCATCCGCTCAAGCATCCGCAAACCTTGCCATTGATGTCTCTCTCAATGCCCGGATTGGTATAGAGGTAGGACCGGCCATTTTGGGCAAGGGAAATCTGGTAGACGCCCAGATTATAGCCTTTATGAACAGCACCCTTGATTTCTCCGCTACTGTGATTGGATCAGTTGGAACATACAGCGATCCTACCTACGCCTATAAATATGGTGCCTATCTCTACTACAATCTAGGCTATGGAGGATTTGCCAACATTCTCGGTGATACGTGGAATTGGCACTTCACGCCAGTCTACCTCTACAGTCTCCCAGGTAACAAATACACGATCTATGAAAATAGCAACATCAAAGCAGACGCCACGCTCAACTCAAAGAGAAACGTCAAGATCCTGCCTGATTCTGATGAAAAGGGACTGTTCCATGATGATAATGATGATGCAGTTTGGGATGACAGTGGCCTTGAGCCATATGTCCCACCTGCTACCCATGTTCACCACCGCAGAAACCATATGCCCCTCCATCACAAGGTACACAGCTCTCATGATGGGAAATCAAATGCTACATCACCCAGTCCCGATGTGGGCTCTGTTATCTTCAAAAGGGCAGACAGTGATGATGAGAAAGAGCCAGACACGGCGAGTAGCTCTTCGTTTACCGGCTCTCAGAAATTCGATTGTCCTGCGTCCGGGAACAAACAACCAACTCTTCCAGAATTTCGCTGTATGTACTAATACTCACCTTCCGTCCGAATTATGATTGACTCCCACAGATAACTGCCAAGCATTCTCTGCCAACCAGGTTGTTACCACAGACGGCTCGTCACAGACAATTAGAGGTATCTGCGACGGCATCTTCGGATGGTTTGGGTCAGATGGCGCCAGCAGCGATGGTGTCGAACTCAGTTGGGATCCTAACCGGCGCGACAAGAGAGACGCGTACACATGCAACATTTGGAGAGACACAAAGAAGAAAAAGACGAAGACATACTGTACTGACCAGAAGGAGAAGCTCAATGCAGCTGCTGGTCTTGGTAAGAAGGTTAATACGATAAGCTGCGATGAGTTTCCCTTTGGTGGGGTTGAAGAGGGTGGAAACTGGGGCGCCAAATCTAAACCACACAGAGTTCCCCCGACTGCCAATTGCGTGCCCGTGTGGCAGCAGTCATTGCAAGGAAATTGTAACGGTGAGTCTTTCTACCCATACATATTCTAGTTGGATGAATTGACTGACGGCTTCAGGGCTTTTGAGTACTTTGTACACCAACGTGGCTTACTTCGACCGTAATACGGACTCGGATAAAGATGATGATACAGATTCGGATAAAGATGATTGGAAACTTTGATCCGCTGGGAAAGATGACAACGAGGACGATGGCGAGCGATGGACCCCCGGCGGAAGCGAGAGTGATACAAACCAGCCAGTCTTCGGACGTCTGTCTGACGCGATATCCCGAGCCAATCCCTCTCGCTCACGGCATTGATGAAACTGTAAGTTCAATAATTCATTCAGGCCCATGGCTGATTATTCGATTTACTGAGAATGTTACAGGAATGGGAAACCTCCGGTCGAAAGCTTGGCTCTAATTTCAAACGCAATTTTACAATGGGCCTTGCGTACGCGACGAGTCTTTCAAATTCGCCCGATCAATGGGGTAAGATGGCGTTGACCAATTCCGAGCTGAGGGGAGCCTCCGCAGACACAGACCCCACGCATGTCTTTTGCGCGATAAACCTATTCAACTAGCCAGATGTCTATCGATACGGTAATAATAACGGGTATTGTCTCGATACGCGCAAGGGAGACAACGGATGGCGCGATGTAGAAGGTATGGTCACGGCTCTGGGGTCTTATTGATAGTGTAGATGAACACAGCTGACGCAATTTCCTCTCAAGGCTTTGGAAGACGCCCTGAATACACTATGTGCAAGGTTAAATTCGCTGGGAGCACCTTCGCCGACCAAGTGGCTCCTGCTTCGTTCAGCAAACGTGACCAGGATGAGTCGATGGGCGGGAATGATCCATGGAAGATTGAATGTATGTGCCATCGACTCCTAATTTTGGATCAAACTAACCATATACCTTCTTTTCCAGGTATTGAGCTGCTTGATGAGGAGTACGGGGGCCCTCTGTGGGACGATGTGGACTGGGAGGACATGAAGTTTGAGCATGCAGCAGATTCAACTTGAAACGTCTTGTCTCTAGAGCCAGATATACTGGCTTGAGTACAATAGACCTTTCCTTATTATGTCTCTTATGTTTCTTCCAATTGATTTTATACAATTTTCTTTTCTCTAGCACGCGGAGTATTTTTCAGGGATCATCCTTCACCAGACGAGAATGACTGGCTTTATATCTACATGTACTAGCTCACAGTCTCACGTCTTCAAAGAGTGTATGGGGGACCTCGGCTTCCACCCTCCTGATAAGCAGGACCGACTTCACCACGCTCACCTTCAAAGTCCCCTTTCCAAACACGCTCAAACCAAGTGCCATCATAATTGCTCTCCGATCCATCATCCTGCACCCGCCATTGCCTGACCACATTCCCACGGTCGTCCAAAAACACATGCAACAAACCCCCACCATTCACCGCGACATCATCCTCCACATACATATGGGTAACAACACACTCTGCCTGATACAGAGCGTAGGGCTCAAGAGAGTTTTCATCCCAGTCGCCTTCTTCGGCATCCTCTATCGCGTCCCTGAGGCTCTTCTCTCTGATCTCAAAATTGACCCGCTCATTTGCGACACGCTCAGGAAATATTTCCAGAGCAGCTGCCAAATCCAGGCCACCGAAGATACTTTCATCGTCAAGGACAACCCCATCATAAGTTACCCATTCTGCGAGTTCATTGGCAGACCATAGAGCATTATGCCCCTCTTCATTCGTGTAGCAGAGACGAAGCCAGCAGCCATTGTCAGCAGTGGTGTTATGACCGTAGACACGCAGGGCTTCAGGCCTTGCAGGCCGAAGAATATCATCTATTTGAGCTTGAGTAGGATAGGGTGGTGCATTGCCTGGTCGATAAGGCTAATAATTTGATATTCAATTAGGTCAATGTTGTGGTCTTTTACGAGGTATAGAAGGCATTCACCTGTCTTCCCTCGCATCCCAATGCGAGAAATTGGCGTAAAAGCCTTTTGCGACGGTAGGCGGGGGACTCAGTGGAGACTGAGGGGTCTGTGTGAGGTTTTTCCCATTCGGAAAGCAAATAAATATCCAATCTAGAGTTCCCCCAAGCAGGTATCCGGGGGTTATGTTTTTCAATGAAGTGGAGTGGCATTTTGTCCTTCGTCGCGTGGCGTGGGAGTTCTAGAAGATACACGGAGAAACACACCAGGCATAATATAACTAGTCCGAGATTAGGCCATTCTATACTTGGAAGGGATCGCTGCGTCCGTTACATCGGGTATAGCGCTGTTCTAGCACCCCAGTGGCTCCTTTTACGGGCACGTTCCGTTATCCTTCCAAGAGTCCGATGCATTTACTTTTTCACGTCTCCACATGTGCATGTGGGTCACGTGAAATTTAGCCCAGACCATTGAAAGAATCAAGGGGAGTTAAATTTCAAATCAATGGGCTCAAGTGAATAGATGACATTTCCAAGAAAGCGAATTTAACATTCATCAAATTCCTTAAAAGGTCGTATGCTCGATGTTGGGCTGAGCCCGCGGATTGGTTAGGTAAGCAAGCACGTGATATATACTGCCTGAGGTGTAACAAACGTGTCGAATCCAGCGGACTTCCTGTATTTTCCCTGACCAATTGGAGATATCAATGACTCTGAGTTGTATTACCCCTATTACGAAGCTATTTATGCCTAGTATAATGACTAATTCCTTGGCATCGGATCTATAGTACCTCCGATTTCATGCAGTATTCGTAAGATATTGCCGACAAAACGGCCCGACTCACCGACCCGACAATCTGCCGTTATCTACCCCCAGACTCCAGCTGTCAATATCCAGAATCCGCATGGTTGCGCCCCAACTCCCGTCAGCTTCTTGTTATAGCTCGATCACGCCGGATCCAGACCCAACCCCAAACAATGCACGTCTAAGTCTTATGCTACCTGCTGGTATGAGAGGTGCCAGTTCAAGCCTTTGGACAATTCGAACAAAGTGCCAAGTCGTGGGTGAGCTGACAATATGAGCTCAGCTTCACAACCCAACGAAGCTCCGTCGCAACAGACCATGGGCGGAAAGTATGCTGCGAATGGAGGGAATGGAAGCGCAAAGAGCGAACAGCAACAAACATCACACCCTCTACAAACAAGCCTCGGCAGAGTTGACGATATGACAGTAGCCGGGCCTTCTTGGCATCATTTATAGAGAGAAAGCACTAACACGCAATCATAGTGAGATTGTCGGTGTACCGCGGCAAGGATCTTTCCAAAATTTTGAGATAAGACTAGGGGCCAAAGGTGATCAGGTTGGACTTATATAAGACAGACAGCACGAATAGTTATTAAGAGAATTGAAGTAAAAATTGAGCTGAGGTATTCGACTGCGTACATTGTAATTCCGAATATCAACAACAGATAGTTTTATCTATTCCGCCCCTTATACGTCCAGACAGTAAATCTGATGCAAATCATTGCTAGAACAGGAAAAATGAATGAGGGGTCAAGTAGTTTCGTATCGAAAGTAGAAGCCTTGCGGAGGCGGCGAATATCGCCCCTTACCATATCAGCGGAAGAGTATTGCGACCTCCAGCACTTAGAAATAACCTTGTGGTATTTGAGGCCATCTAGACTTGGGAAGTCTAGCGAGGCGTGCCGTCTCTCAATTTCGTCATCATCGAGGTCGGGAAAAGGGCTTGTACCGGTAGGGATTTCGTAGATGAAAGAACCAAGCGCAAAAAGATCGGTGATAGCAGTCCTAGGAGACGAAGGTGACAAAGGTAACCGATATCGAGATTTCTCCTCAACTAAAGAGTGAATATCATTGATTCTCGATCCAGCGAAGTCGCATAGTTGAATTGAAAGATCATTAGTAACGAGAAAGTTACGCGGACTGATGTCGGAGTGGACGATACCACATGCATGAATGGTAGCAATAGCGTCAACAGCATTTTGAATCCAGCGATCTCGGGTCTCCACTTCAATCTCATGGTTTTGGAGATAATTTCGGACATCCCTATGCTGTACAAAGGGGAGCTGGATTCCTCTTTCGGCAATACTCAGGCATTTCAGGATATTAGGGTCGTCTTTTGGGAGCGCCCGATAAACAAGTTTCTCGCGATCGATGCACTCCTTTAAGAACACTTCTTTGCTTGCAACAGATGCGATAACCTCTCGGTTGCAACCTTGAGTATTGTATTTGAGAGGTGCCTTGAGAACTTGGTCATTAGGATCTTGGTGAATACCCCCAGAACCTCCAAGCGTGATGATACGCAAGGTACCTTCAGGTCTCAGAAGAACAGGATGCCCTTCCATTAAAGGTGAATAAGAATTGGAACAGGAGAAGAAAGGACTGGAAGAAATAGAAAAGGGCAAGGGGCTGGTCGTTCTATATGGCACGTGGCGGTATCCTTTGATTGGACCATGCAGTTCGGTGCTGAGACTGATACGGGGTCTTTCCTTGATCATTTACGCAATTTTGTCTTAGAAGTTAGAAGATGCTCTGAGTTTACTTGGAGATATCGATGCTGCAGGTGTTCAAAGATTTTTAGGAGTGGGTTTGTTAGGCTGCTACTCCACAAGACAGTAGAGACGTGAGCCACTGCGACTACAAATAACTGGGTCTTTCCTCATAGGTTGAATCATCATCGGCCTTGTACCTCAATTCAGTGCATCAGCTCACTGAGCGATATGCAGTCTACCACAATTATCTGGATTCTTAGATGACGTGTGAGATCATTGCAATTTGGTGACATGCTTGCATTACCTTCTGTCAGGGTTGATCCTTCGCGGATGCACAATCACACGCGAGAGTTACCAGGTTTCCAAATTATATTGGTTCGCAAACCGCGCCTACTACCGGGCAATTTTGGGTTTTAGGGTTAATATCCCGTCAGTTTAATGTCTTATTCTAGACATACTGTCTCGGCATAGTCAAGACCGCCCCGAATCACCGCCAGGTCACCACCCCGAGTCAACACAATATCACTCTTCGCCAAAGCACAAACAACGTCCCTCCTCCCTGCGAACCAATCGTACGGGACGAAAAAATGCTTGGAGACCGCGATCGACGGGCCATCTTTGCGTTTCACGGTCTCTAACCCGCTCTCGCTGAGATCGACAGAGCACACCCAAAAAGACTGGTTTAGGAATACGAGTTTCCTTGATTCGTCAATTCCGATGACATGGGCAGCGCTTATTTCGAATTTCGTTATCCGTGAACGAAGCGGAGCGGCTGAACTCAATTTCGTGACCATTTTCTCCCCGTCTTCATCCGGGGCATGTTGATCGAACGCCGCCACAGCATCTTGTTCCTTCCCTAGCGACAAGCTGCTATCTTTGTTTTGAACGATAAGGCGGTCTGCGTCAATTATCACAATCTTGTTGATGTCGACGGAGCTGTTCGAATGTGATAAGTCGAGCATAATTCTTTTTTTTTTGGCCGAGCGTGTAGATGATCGCGCTTTTAAGCTCTACCGCGTCGTTATGCAGCGTATCGCCTACTGGCAAGTTCGGTTTCTATATCACCACCTACGCAGGGAACCTACCCCAGTTCGTGGCATGGGAAGATAGCTGGGAGGCATTCTTCGCCAAGACTATGAGACAGGCGCTTGATCTAGAGGTAGAAAGGAAAGGGCCTAGTGAAGAGCTCGATACCCTCTCCCATTCTTTGTTCGGAAAAGTCATCCCGAGGCTCCTAGGGCCTCTCGAGAGTGACGGCCGAATAGTGAAACCGTCACTTATTCATGGAGACCTGTGGTACGCAAATGCAGGGATTGATGTCGACAACGACCGGCCTCTTGTCTTTGATGCGTGCTGCTTCTTTGCGCACAACGAATGTAAGTTCTGCTACGAGGCACTTGCGGTTGCTCATGCTAAATCGCTTGAATTTGAAAGATGAGTTTGGCCAGTGGCGACCAGCTTGCAATAGGTTTGGGGATGAGTATGTTGCCGCCTACAGCACATTCACTCAGATCTCCCCGCCGGAAGAGGATTTTGAAGGCCGTTTAGACCTCTATAGGCTGTGAGGCACAGAACGTCTTTCCTTCTTCTCCGTATACATAACTGATATCATGGTAGGCGGTTTGACACACATGTATCAGCGCTTTTTGTCGGTAATGAGACACTTCGCACACAGTGAAACCATTCTCAATCGACCATCTAATTTGGCGGCTAATGAACTTAATAGGGTTATTGATGTTATGAGAGATTTGGTGGAAAGATATGGTTAGTAGACAGCAGCAGTGATACTGCTCTTTTTCTATTTTGTATGCGCCGATCGGTCAACGACCGCTACCCGGTCTAACACCGATCTCAAATTCGCTCTTACGGCAGGTGTCAGTATCCATTTGTGTGATCTCAGCCATATTGAGTGACTGTTCAGGAGCCAGCTGGGTATTTTCTCCGTTGGCAGCTGTCGGAAGTCGTTGAGACGAAATATTTGGCTTACTCCAGGTATTACGTTTTGACTTTGCGCGCCGGTCTTAACGCTGTTTTGAGTGCCTGATGATTCATGTTATTGCCTCATTATTCATGTTATTTTCTTTTTCTTTCATCCTAAGCCTGTATTTTTGATCTATTTTAAGACACAATGACCCATTTAATTATTTTGCGCTTCAGTGTCTTTCAGCGATAAAGATGGTAACGAATCTGGTGATTCACTTCCTCTGCAATGGAAAGTATGGTCAGCTATGACCTACAATGTCTGAGTGTATCGGTGAAGGACTGGAAAGCATTCTTCCAAAGTGAAGTCAATGAACCGCACAATGGATAGGTAAAAAGGGGTTTGTCTGCCGTGTACCAAAAGTTTTCAGAATTGGAAGGGTTCTGCATGCCGATTGCAGGAGCCAGTAGTTCCGAGGTTTGATCAGGGTGGCAGTGGAGAAATTATGGTTTTTTTAACCTTCTGAGAATCTGATGCCATCCTCGAAGCTTTCCGGTATATGCAGCGCAGGGTGTTCACCTAGGCAGATCGTCGTGGCAATGCGCTATAATGCTGGCCAACTCACTCCTGGAAAGAATGTTCAGCAAGGAAAAAAGCCCATCCACTTCGATAGCTCCGGTGCGTATCTGCTGGTCAGTGGCCTTGAAGGTGTCAACTCTAGGCGGCAAAAGCTCCGGTGGCATTATATGCAGACGAAACTTGTCTTCCGCTCGTCGCTCTGCCCAATACATAGTGTATGGGCTGTAAGATGAATGGCTCGCTCGCTCGTCCTCATAGGCCAATGACCATGCTATGACCGGCCGTTGCTATTTTCAAAGCGATGCAGGGCTGCGCTGAAGCAGCGCGTGATCCACTGGGTCAACTGAGCTGTCTGCCAGTCCTTCCTCCCTTAGACGGGAGACGAAACGAGTACGGCGTAGTGGGACGGAGACGAGAGGCAGCATCGTCGTCTCTAGTCCGTGTGGCGCCGATGCTGCTGCAGTAGACCTATTTCCGAGTCCCTCCGTCTCAACCTCTGTACCAATCAATCGTGATGCCGACCGTGGGTTGCATTGACAAGGCGAATTGGGTGACTGGAGGCCGGGCCTGCGCAGATCTCCTGGATGGCCATGAGGGAAACGGGTGTAGATCGAGAGGGATCGATACCTGCGCGCTGTCTGAGCATGGGACGATGTCGCATTGTATGTAGTTTTGAAACCTGGGCCTAGAGAACATCACGGAGTCAGGGGCTGGCCGTTCGTGTCGTAATGTTTGCGTACTTAGCATCCGCTGGCCGATATGATCCGCTGGCCGATATGAATCGCGGCTGGGACAGTCCGATAGGTCAGATAAGACACGTTGGATTCCGGTCAACTTCATAGTGGAAACAAAGCAAGCGCTATCACCAAAGTGTGACAAGGCCCTGTAAGCCCGTTCTTTGTATCCTGCGGTGAATTCGCAGACCCGATTCGCGTAGGCAATTATCCAGAGAGAGCGGAAGGCACGCCGATGACGGGATTAACGATTGACCAACGGATAGTAACATGAGGCCCAAGAATTCGTGGGCCAGTGTCAGGGCCACAGAGAAAGCACATCGTTCCTAGGAACGAGTTGAGAGCCCAAGAAAGCCGGGGGTGTGATTGGGAACGGAAAGTGTGTAGAGGTGATGACGAGTCACACAGGGAAATTGGGGTGGCGGAGCTCAGGAGCTCGGTGATCCGGGTCAATGGCAAAAATGCCTCACCTGCGAGGCGTAGGAGAAAGAAGGCGAAAAAAAAATTTGGGGCTGTTGGATGTAGGGAAGAGCAGGGACTATATAGAACCACGCACGGGGAGGCAAAAGGACAAAGAGCGCTAAACCTAAGGGGTCAAGACTAAACCTAAGTGGATAATTTGCAGTCCCCCTCCGATATGGTGTAGTGGCTAACATCGTCGTCTCTCACACGACAGCCGGGGGTTTCGATTCCCCCTATCGGAGTTCTTTTTTTTTTTTGCTTCCACTCCCCACATATCATGGGTCCAGGAGATGATCCACTGTCTCAGGGCCGCTTTTCTCGAGTTCCCACCTAAAGCCGCACTTCGTGCACTTAAATATGTACCTGAACAAAAGCTTGAAACTCCCCGCGAGCCGCCATCTGAGGGCCGACAAATATAACTAGACCTTCACATTTCCCAAGCTGTGTTTATCCTATGTTTTCACTATAATTGCATAGGTATTCTTATCTAGACAAATTGCTATTTTTATATAGTCCTAATTTAGCAAGTGGGGGGACAGAGATGCGCAAGAGCAGCCAGCTATTTCGATTGGACTGAAGCTGCAGAATCCACAGATTGGTAGGATAATTGGGGATTTAGGATCAACACGACGGTAATTCTATCAGTGATCAATGTTACACCCACTTCATAGATTAAATCGTAAACAAGCACCTTATCGTCGCGATTGTGAGGCAATTGATGCTAGTTGATATCAGGTTGCGTAGAAGAAATAACATGTTAGTAGATTAAAAATCAAGCTGTACAAGACACGTAAAGATAAAGATCTCATTATTTTATGGCACACGAAATGCCCATATTCCCGTTGTTATCACCGTTGGCCCGATTAGCATAACTAGATAATCCCTTCAAACACCATGGTCAAATTTGACGCCAGCTCCTCCGTCAGTCTGTCCAGCATGATAATTTGTTTACGTGCCAAAAATCCAGTCGAAATTGTCTCTTTTCTGGTCACTGGGTTGCTGCTTTGTCTCGGGACTTTTTCCTTGTTGGTCACGGGCCCAAAGGCGTCGATACTTCGGATGGTCAACATTATCTATACGATTTAGTCTGTGTATTTCAGACATAGAAATTCAAGCTAGTGAAGGTGAGACCATACTCGTTGCTGTGCCAGCAAATGCCTCATTAACGTGGGAGTCAGACTGAATAGACGCGGACCGCTGACGCATTGCCTCTTGATCGGGAGGCGGCTTTGCTGCATTAGGGGACGTAGGTGCGTCTGTTGAGTCGGTTGAGCCTTGACGCTGACGATTATGGAAGGCGTCCGATGCTCTGCGGATGAAGTCAGACATGATAGAATCCAATGGATTTCAAATAAATTGATTTGATTTGTTCTTGGATGTTTTGTGTGCTTTTTGTAGGGATTGACTCATGTTCACGAGTGCGTGTTATATACTTAACCCGCCACAAGACTCATGACATCATTTCCAAAAGCATTCCAAGGTTGCTATTGACAGCTGATCACTAGTGGCGCAATAAAACACAATACCGATCCTGGCTAAACAATACGTCATCTGGATTATATCCTTTACCGGATTGACAGGAACTCAGCCGTCAGAAAATAGGGCTACAAACAGAGCATGAGACCGAAGATCAGAAAACAGGTCAGTCGGCAAATTTGCATTGTTTGTCTCAACAATCGGAGCCCGAACACGTGCTCGCACAAATATGGGTCGGCCAATATGTTTGTACTGTATGCATCTTCTATGATTGGTCGATTGGGGTATTGAGGATTGGCAACACCTAAGCCTAAGCTCTATCTCAATAATGATTTGCGCGCTAATTGGAGAAGAACAAGCGAAAAGTAATCGATCTACAGGGCAATTCCTACCAAAGAAGGTCTCTTAGCTTTAGACGCCTGTATTTAATCTCGTAGCTAGGGTGTACAACTAAAGCACTAAGACCCGGCTAGGCAAGACAACCTCCGGCAACTTCACAGTCACGTACGAGAGAGAGCCTTACCGAAATATGGAGCATTTACAATTAAATGCCATGAAATATGCATGTTCAGATAGACCTTGCTTTTAGCTGATTGGATATCATGGCGTTTTGGTTAAGATAAATATATTTAAAATTAGCAGGTTGATATAAGTAGCCCGCTGGGTAGTGAGTTACGTTAACTTGCCCTATTTTGCGAGCTACAGAAACTCAGGACTTTAAGTGACTTAGGATTCCTCTTTTTTTTTAATCTTCCCCCGGGCTTAGCCAGGTTACTGTAGGTATTTTCCGTACAGGCAATAAATACAGAGCTTTAAGATTCGAAATAAATTCAGAACGATACATTTTACCCCATTGACAGTGCGGGAAGGTGATTCGGTCAGTCTTTGAAAATATACAGCCACTATAATGTTTTCATTCTTTTTTTTTTCTGAAAGTTCTTATCGATTGAATAATACTGATTTCTCAACAAGAAGCCTTAAAGGTTTGTTTAGACAACGCAAACCACACCATCCTTGCCCTATATGCTATTAGCTGCCTGTGATTTTTCTTTAGACAGAAGTTCAAAGAGGCTTACCACAATCTGCTTGTGTTCACAGCAAAGAGGATATCGGCCATAGGGGCAATCGTAGCGGCCCTTGGCTAAAGCATAGATTAGCAAATTTCTCTGACATTCACTGGCAATGACTTACGCTTGCAGTTTTTTCCACTTCCCTCAACAAAGAATATCCTCAAAGGGACTACACTCTCACAGCACCAGCTGTTTTCGGGCTTGCAGTAATTGTCTCTCTCTTCGATGTCTCTCTCTTCGATGTCTCTCTCTTCAAAGTCGTCAACTGGAACAGCAGAGGCCAGGCCTGCAAGGACAAAAGCGGCAAAAATATTCTTCATGAGCATTTTGAAATGTTACTTGTAGGTCTGAAGGATTTTCTTCTTCAAGATTGATGTGTTGAATAGTTGTAGAAAGTGGGAACGGTATGAAGAAGACCTTGCTGGAATTCTCGCACTTTAAATAAATGATTCTTTACTCAATCTCGATCATCTAACCCCGACCTGTTCGTATCGCAGTGCAAGATCTAGTTTGATCGACGAGTCTAGATCGCAGACGTGATATCAATGATCCAAAGTGAAGTCCAACAAAATAACATTCATTCTGGATGGCCTCGTATAGCAGGTGGCGTAGGAGTAAGGAAGGGGCTTCCGGAGGTACGTGATTTGCTTGATCCTAGTTACTTTGGGACAACTTGACGCTCTATTTCACGCGGCTCAAGGCGGTAAAAATTAAAGGAACCATGTTGATACCACTTTTTAACTAACATAGACAGCGCGCTTTTCTACACATTCTAAGTCGAAAAGAAAAAAAAAAGGAAGAAGAGCAGGATAGATTTCCGAAGATCATCCGGGATATTCACTGGTTTAGTTGATCATTGTCTCGTGAAGCGAAGCTTCGAATACGAGCCAAACCCAGATTTGATTAGGCTGCAGATCAAAATTGACTGGGCATCATCGCAGATAACTAGTTCTCAATTGATCTAAGGGCAGCATCAACCGATCCGATTTGGAAATATTTGGTTAAGAAACATTGACAGTCAGCACATTCAGTCTATTTCCGGCGTTTGGTCGGTCTCGGCGATCTCGACCCAAAAGATAACCCCAACGGCACCGAAAATGCGGACATGATCGTGAGTGGGTGGGAGTAACGACGTGGCTTGGGACTCAAAGAACCAGACAGACAAATTAGATAGTTCGTGTTCCGGTACGAACCGAACATCTATCTAGATCCGGAGAGCGTATGGCACAAAGTTGAGATCGAGCTTGCGTTTCCCATGGTAATTAATGCTAAGGAAGATTCAAATTACAAATTAACAGTACAGTTAAGTTCATGGATCGTGTTCGTTGGCCGGTTGTATTGGCAGAGATGAACGTGTACGTAGATTTGGCCCATTGTCCGGTTGGTGCTAGATTAGTTTAGAGGTAGAGTATGAATGTACTGAAAGTGCTTCGGCTTTTTTTTCCTTCTTCAATTCAAAGGCTATTTAATGATCGAGTCAGATGAAGTTGAACTCTATGAAACCTATCTGGGCTGCAGATGTTCAAAGAGATCAATTCATTGGTTACAACAATTCTGGGCTAAAGTCTATCATTGGATACTCGAAAGAAACATTTCATGTGGAAAGCACAAGATATGTTTACATTTGACTCAAGATTGTTACGCAAGTACCGCGGGGACTGTTGGCACCAAAACGATCCTTGGGCTCATCGAAAAGATGCAAAGCATCTAGACGGCTGTCTTGAACATGATAATGAGAAAGTATTACTCAAGCGCCTAAAGAATATCCTGATGCATTTCATGCGAGGGCTCTTCTAATAGGGCAGGCAAGAATTTACCAAGAGATCTCTTCAGGTTGGCTCTGGCGTTGAAAGCCCAAGTCTGCTCGTGCTACGCGCTGAACTCGAAGAGGATCTTCCTGGCCGCGATACAGGAATGGATATGAATCTAGCCGAGCACATCTATGACGAACTGTTTCAGCTGAATTGTTGACCCATGTGCTGCTTTTTTCAGAGCATACTCTCGTTTCCGCGGTTATTAACAGAACGTAGCAAGTGAGACTTGCATGAATGAAAACCTAAATTGCTCCAAATGGTGATTCGCTACTGTGAAAAGATATAAGGCAAAAATTCTTCATAAGTTCTTACTGGTACATAATAAGCGAGTAGCATGCAGTAATCTAGGTTGCACAACTCCCAAGGGCAAGAATGTTCAAGTGCCACGGTGCATAGTCAAACACACACGAACGGAAAGCCTTGGATAAACCGGCAAGTTCAAGTCGACCTGCATTTCAAAAGTGAGAAAGGATACTGCGGGGTTTGGGCCCAAGGTACACGTCGAATGAGGTTTTGTGTGTACGGATTGACGTCAACATAATACTATAGCTCGTATACGGGTAGAGATATGACACCTATATCCTCCTCATGGCCTGCGATTGAGAAGACCGAATTAGAAGGAGATGATTTTTCCTCTTTGGAGTGAAATTTCAGCTAAAGACCCAACCAATCCATGCATGCATAAATATTATTGATGGCAGAAAAAACCGAGACAAGATCCATGGATTAATCCTAGATTTATCTCAGATCAGAACTGGTGGGGTTTTGTTTTTCGGGCGGCGAAGCGTGGATGATTTGATGTTAGGAGAATGGATCCCAATGAGGACTGCCTCGCGCAGAATAATCAAATCATTTGCACGCTATCAGCAAGCATAGATAATGTACCGCGGTGGCCATGATACGACATTTCATCATAGAAAGGCTATAACCGAATGCCAAGCTATCCAGCTTGGTATAATATCATGGTAATGTGACGTAACGTAAACTCTGAGCCCCAGGTATAAATATCAGCGTTAATACCCCCGGGAACTTGCAATCAAACCCAGCTCATCCAAAGCAAAGACAAAATCTATCCAAATTTATCACTTTCTTACATCGTTCCCATTATGCCGATTAAGAATTACGGTGTGTGGAAGGCAAAGCCTGTATACTACGAGGTTGAAGATGCAGTTACGGACGATATCAGCCCCCATTTATCACTCTACTTCGATGATAAAGGGGGCGACCATTCTGCACGAGAATTCCGTTCAACCGGTCGGCATAAAGAAATTCGTGGGCTCTTCAGAGCCGCAATCAACATCAAGTCTATAGGTAACGAATCCCGACTTGCCTACTGGGTAAATCACAACCTCAACAACCATCCCATCATTGATAGTCTCACCGTCCTACCTTTAGGGTTTGAGCCCCTAGAACAACCAAAGCAGGGCTACAATGAGCTGGGACTGGACTACATCCGGAGTAACCTGTTCAATGTCAATACTGGTCGTGTTCTACCTCATGACCAACCAGGTCTCAACAACGACATGATCGATGTCTTGGCACCTGAAGTCAAGCAGGCGATTGAGCAGAAGGCGGATATCTACGTATTTGGTGCACAATTTGAGGATCGAAAAGGCATTCACGATGTGCACATGAATCAAGGCAATATTGGGCGATTCCAACGCGATGACGGTGTCTTCCAAGATGGCTGCCTTTTAATCAACTACCCAGACTCTGGGAAATGGGTGGGCGTTTTTATCGGGTTTGGATCGCAATCTGCGCACACAGATGATAATACAGGGCATGCTATAGGGTCGGAGACTTGGATTGACTATCTCCGCTCAACAGGACGCCGTAAAGATCTTGTCGAGAATTCTGTGCATATCGACGAGGCTTTCGTTGACTCAAATGATCACCGAGCCAGACGTAGATCAGTCACAATCTCGAATCCCACTGGCCACGCGATGCCTCTGTCTGCATGGAAAATTCAAAACTCAGCTGGCCAATTCCAAGCTTTACCACCTGATGCAGCTTTGGGTGCTATGAAAAAGCAAACCTTCGACATTCCACATTGCCCTCTCTCGAGCATCGGTGATACTATCACACTGGTGAATGATGAAGGACTCAAAGTTGATGGGGTGAGCTATCATGCTCAACCGGGTGGAATAGAAGGGCAACCGGTTGTTTTCGCTCATTAAGATCGGTGGGGACACTCGCGTTACTTTGTCTTTAATGATCCTAAAAGTGATATAATCCACAGTTTTACCAATTAACAGTACCCTAAAAAACGAAACTCAATCGGATTGATAAGTTGTTTTGTCGTCTTCATTCCATGACACTGACGAATAAGATTATCGTGTTTGGGTGGAACTTGAGTCTAGCTGAAGCTTGCTTGGAGCAAATCTTTGAGCTAGCTTGGTGACAAAGGAAGATAGACAAGCAAAAACATGCAAGAGTGAGGATTCGCTAGTGGTCACCCACCTAACTTCTAACTTACCGGTGTGTGGCGTATGTGCGGCGAATAGTGGGGTTGTTATCGCCCGGGTGAGGGTGGGAGTCGCGCCACCGGTGGTGAAAAGGGTTAGTGCGCTATAGATAGGGTGAGAATCGGGGTGAGAACCGGGTGAGAGGGGTGAGAGTCCTGCGGGCCGGCACGGCCGCCGCACTGACCCTTTAAGATGAAGTAGAGTAGAACATCATTGGGCTCACATCCCAATGATGTGAGCCTTTCTGAAATAGCCGGTCTCGTGGTAGACTTCCGCAGAGGTTACCCATAAACCACTGCGGTTCCCTAATGGGGAACTTCAATAACGTATTCGGCAAGCGAGCTGGCCATGTAAGCGAGCTGGCCACCCCACCCAAACTATCATTTTAAATGCATTCATCTCAAAAAAGAAAAGAAAACGTCATTAAATTCAATAAGCTAAAGTCGAAATCTACTAGGACATGCAGCAAATTTATGACCCTTAAATCCACAAATGCTACACGTCGGTAAGGCTCTCGTACGTGGCTGAGAAGGTGTCGGAGCTGGCCCTGCCTCGCGTGGTATTGTTACTAAAACTGCTTGCTCTGGCTGCGTTATCAAGGTAAAGGCCATCTCCGGAAGGTATTTGCCTTAGAGAACGAACCCTTTTTTGCTTCTTCCTCCTTCTTCTTCGTCTTCTTCTTCTTGTTTTCAGCGCGTAATTCGCTTACTTTCTTCTCGAGTCAGGTAGTCGATTGCATCGTGATTTAGCGGGATTTCAAAACCTGATCAATGGCAGAGTTCAACGGACTAGGATGGCATTTTGAGCGCTGTTTAAGCAAGGCTTTTAGTGAGGATGTTTGTTTTTGCAATTGGACGTAGTTCGACGGTGATTTTGGCGACTACTCGCTTCCCAGGCTCGAGGGGGGTGTCGGGGTTCGAAGGCGAATATCTATTTGTAGGAATGAGGTTTGTTATTTACAGGATAGAGTCTGCTAACTAGGTAAGGTCAAAGATGTCTCAGAACAAGTGATATTGTAAGATATATAGAGTCTGATTCTTGGGAAACTTCCAGGTTCACCAAGAACGACTTCTTTAACATGATCAAAAGAAGCTGTGAGTTAAAGCTGACGACTCTACAGGGATGCACTGGCGAGAAGTGGGGTAGTCCACAGGACTTGAAACTGGCTTGATACATGTGCCCATTGAGTTCATGAGAGTTCGATTTTGCAGTTTTGCGGTTTTTGGCGCACTCTAGTAGGGAGGATGGAAATTGATCAAAGGGCGCAAGTGGAACGTTCAGTGTAAACGTACTTATGTCTTAATTTCTTACTGTAAACGGCTAGTTTGATTTAAGGTCCTCCTAAGTTTTGGGCTATGAGGCTTTTTGTTGTTAATAGCACAGCGATTTCCTCAGGATCATTCTACGTAGAAACATGCCTTTAAACCCTAACCACATGATGCATTGAGTCTGATGAAATTTAGTATAAACTACCAGTTTTGTAGGTACGAAGTAGTAATAACGAGTGTTATAGAATACCAGTATGAAGGAAACGGCGGCTAGAATGAGAAGCCTAGGTGACTAGAAGGTTCTGCGAAAATTGGGCAAACTGTGCGACAGTTGACAACCAGGCAACATCTCTTCTTCGTGTCTTGTGTTTCACGGCACTTCACTGCAGAGGCTCTGATGCCTCTTTGGGTGTCCATCAAGAGTTAATTTGATGGGTAGGATTCGCCAATAAGATTTGTTTGCTCATTTTCACCGCAGCTTATCACCAAGAGGTTACACCGGGTTTTTCTGGGAACTACGCATTCATGACTAACCAAACCCCCTTATAACTTGAGTTAGCACAAGCCATAGAATAATCTGAGTAGGCACAAAGAACACAACAATAGCACCATTATCTTCATTAAAAGTAGAGGTTGCTAGAAAAGCAAAGCATGACCTCTCACTTCAAAGAGCTTAACTAATAATCCCTCTGCATCTCAGCAATGTTCACTTTTGAAAACTGAACCCAGCTGACTTGAATTCCAAATATTTCCAGTCGCTCGTTCAATCTTGTGGCCCAAAATGCCTGCTCAGCTGGGCTGCCATTTGGCGGAAGTGCTTCAGCATAGTCCGCTCCGTCAAGTAGTGCTTGGGATGCCTGCCTTAACGGCCCAAGGTTTTTCGCCACAGCGCCCTGACACAACTCATCCATTCCTAGGTCCGGTACGGATTCAACCGATGAAGACGCCAGAACATTAGCAGGAAATCGCTGTAACACGTCAAGTGGGGTCTTTCTTAGGATGCTGGGATGCACGATGCCTAGAAGTTTTAGTTTTGACACCGGTATATTCTGTAGCACTATCGCCGGCGCCGATTGAAGTACACAAGGCGGTACTTCGCCTAGACTAGACAAGGTCGTGATCTCTACCGTCTGTAAAACTTCCACTGGTGTGTGCTCTAGCACATGGACAGGAACATCGTTTGGTGGGTTGTTAAGCACATCAAAGCGTGCGCGTTGTAGGACAATCGGCGGCACAGCAGCAAATTGCCTGAGCCGTGCCACTGGCACGTCCTGCAGAACTCTTGCCGGCGCCGATTGAAGCACACGAGGCGGTACTTCGCCTAGACCAGACAAGGACGTGGTCTCTACCGTCTGTAAAACTTCCACTGGTGTGTGCTCTAGCACATGGACAGGAACATCGTTTGGTGGGTTGTTCAGCACATCAAAGCGTGCGCGTTGTAGGACAATCGGCGGCACAGCAGCAAATTGCCTGAGCCGTGCCACGGGAACCTTCTCGAGAACGTTCCTCGGTGCTGACTGGAGCACAGAAGTTGGTACACTGCTCAAAATTATAAGCCTTGGCACTGGCACCGTCCTCAATACATTTATCGGAACGGACTGAAGCACAGCAGAGGGTACGCTATCCAGCTCTTTTAATCTTGTCACTGGTATATCCTCTAGCGCATTCATCGGAGCCGACTGAAGCAGACAACAGGGTACGCCATTTAGCACTTTCAACCTTGCGGGTGACAAGTCCTGCAGGACCTTTGCCGGCGCTGACTGCAGCACGTACGGTGGTATGCCACCCAGTTTTGATAATTTTGAGGCTGGTGTCACCGATAAAACATCCACTGGGACCTGCTCCAGCACATGGACAGGGACATTTCTGAGCACGGTAGTTGGCACTAAATTCAGCTTTTCACTTGACAGAGCTTCTAAAACGTTCTTTGGAACGTGTAGAAAGACGTCAAGCGGAATATCTTCCGCTTCAGGGTTTCCTGGTGGGAGTTTTGGTTCAATTGGCACCGGTTCTGCCTTCTTGACGAGTAGTTCCAAGGCATAGTTTTTATCCACCGAATTTAATTCTTCCTCCAGCGAATTAATCAATGAGAATATTATAAAATCCTCAACTTCTATGATTTCTTGATAAACGACAAGTGGCCTGGTAATCCTGTAACAAATTGTTGCTGCCATAGTCGCCCTCCCGTTTGAAATCATACAGTCCGTCTTCTCAATTTGAAGAGTTCTGTATCGTGTGTCGAGGCGTACAAGTTTGGAAAAGAGCGGGTTTACGCATGCGATACCAGGCTTGACTACTTTTTCAACGTGGCCGTGCCTCAATCGCAAACCAATGTGTCGATCGTCAATATACCTAAGAGGCCATTTCAGTGGCCAACGCAAGACCCAGCAAGGCACACATAATAACGCGATTCCACCTATTATGTTAGATCGGTTTATACACACGTACTTAGAAAGAAACTTACCTTCCAAAAAACTCTGCAAAAAGTCCGCCATTAGGGATATGATTGTACTTCTCTTGTGATAGTTGTTAAATATAAGGAGATTAAGTAATACTGCAGGTGGAAACAAGGTAGACAAATTTTACAGCCTACTTGGAAGCATTCTATATACTGAAATACGGAGAGAGCCCATTTCAAGACTACACGGTTGAACCAAGGTTGCTCGCGCTCTTTGACGTCATGGTGCATGTGACGTGCCAGACATTGGAAGGTTTTCTCAAGCCTAGAATCCGCGATTCTGCCGTTTGATATAGACTACTGTGGAATGTGTCAAAATCGAAATACTGCATATATATCATTTTTCTGGACCCTCTCCTAGACTTGTCCAGAACATCGGATTGAACCATGGTTCCTTCCTTGAGATTAGCTGTTATCGAGAGAGTTGGTCGCTCGTACGTATGACGAGATTTGAACTTTAACACGCGACATCCTTGGTGGAGAGTCTAGACAGATCATTTTCCTGCGGGATTTCAATCTAAAAGACCGTACTAACCCCAGATCGCTTCGAATAAGAAAGTGCACACAGCCCTATGCAAAGAAGCAGAGACTCTATTACGGCAAGACCACACAACCTTCTGCGGGGAACTTGACATCCTCGAGATGCCTTGGCCACGTTTCGGTGACGTTAAGTCAGTATTTGATCTGGTAGCCACTATCTTGACAATTCTCGGTGTGTGGTACGGTGTCTTCAAAGCCCAATGGCAACTTAGCTTGCGCCGATCTACTGGGCGATTAGGCAATGTTTGCTGTGACAAGGAACAGATGGGCTATTTTTACCCAGAAGTCCCTTCACGCAAGCGTCAAATCTTCCCATTCTTTATCAAAGATTCAAAGATACCCACGATCCCAACAGTTGCTTGGATAATGAAGGCTGGCGATGAAGGTGTTTTCACATCGTCCATGTTCAATTGGATAACCAGGCGCCAAGCACAAGTCTCATGGAGGCCGTTGTACGAATCTCTGTTCCGAGAAATTGAATTCAACAGAGCCCGATCTAGACAAACACCACGTCAGGATATGAGTCACGAGTTGGAACGTTACGCGAGTCATGCTAGACTACGCGTCACGAAACAGATAAGCATAGCCAAAGAAGGAATGTCGAAGCCGTCTGTAAGTATGCAAGCCTATTTGAAACGTATCAATTAAAGATTTCGCTTACAACGAAACAAAGCTTTGGAGGCGAAAACGTCTGCATTTGCCTTGCTTCCACAAAGACGGTCAGGCAATGAAAATTGGTGCTGATCGATTCATTATCAGTATCCACGAGGATTCGAAATGCGTTAAAGTCGATCGTCAATTTATGTATGCGCCATGGAAGATTGCTATTACGGCTTCACCCCCTTCCAAGAAGTCCTATTCCCTGGGAAATGACGAGGAGGTTGTCAAGCTGTCTTGGGGTCAACCATCGCCTATCTTGGTAAAGAGTGCCAGGCCATTAAAATATCTAACAGATACGCGCCAAAACTCTCAATGTTGCCAGCACAATCACATGCAAAACCCAATGTTTGCCAATTGTCTCCAGCGTCTTTGGATTGATGAAGATAAGCCATGTGTCGAAGTCTCTGAAGAGGAGATGGCAGCCCTAGCTTTCACGTTGGGTATCAACATGAAATGCCCAAACTATCAACCAGAAGGCACAGGAGCATTCAATATTGCAATGAGTTCCAGAGTGTCCGGATGTCTCACTAAATTCCGTCTCGTCTATTCAGGTGGGTGGGATCCAGGCTCAAAAGCCTGTGGTAGCGGATACTCGACTCTTTATGCGAAGCATCTTGCATGTGGCTGTCTACCATTTGCAATGAATGACGCCCACGTACAAACTATTGCGATAGACGACGGACTATATCAGTCCATAAAAAGGGGCAGGCCAATCGTTGACGCAAAGTCGCAATGGACCTTTGCAATGTATTACCTAAACCGATTGCCAAGATCGAGAGGCATCAATTTTTATCACCAGGCTGAAAGTGACGGAGAATTTGGCAGTATTTATAATTGGGAGCACAAAGTTGTCGGCAAATGGTGGGAAGCAGTGTCTGGGATTGCCTTTGGTGGTCTGGTACCATCTGCGTCAAAAGCCGCGGCTGATGCCATTGCCTTTTCGGTTGGCCAATTGGCAAATGATCAAGGTACGGAACTCCTCCGAAGACTGATTTTAGAAGTCAACGAAAAGTCACCACAAGCCATTCAAAATATGAAAATATTTGGCACTGTCAACTTTCCGTTGTGGAGGGCCTGGGCTGACAAGAAGCACGGTCTTCAATTCGGCCCTGACCCCACTGATTCTATCACTCGCAAAATTGTGGAATTATTTGCTCTATACTGTACGCTTCTCGAGCGCATGATGGCATGTATCTCTTACAGCAGCAACGACCCTGTCGAGGGTGTGTTTAGAGACTGCTCAGAAGAAATCAGGCTCTCATATACGCGGGCCGTCAAGGAGTTCAAACCGAGAAGGGGCCTCCCCACGACATTGCTTTCACAGGCTAGCTCGTAAGTCACACAGACCACATGACGTCTGATTCTGTGAGATGTTCATTGATCAACTAGGAACGGTTCCAGTCATTGGTCCTACCCCGGCAATGCTCAGTCTATCGAAGAACAAGTGCAGTTCCAGCGTATCGGCCTAGACGCCGAACTCAATCACCTCGTTCAGAAGATTCGAGTACACGGACTAGACACTATTACTAGCCGAGATTGCGCCAAAGTCGCAAGATGTATAATTTCCGAATGGGCACGCTTAGTACGCGATGTTCGGTGGAACGAGAGTGGGATACGTCGGTCCAGCGATGGGATTCATAACATTGCGTCCATTCCTGTTCCACTGTCCGATTTACCTGATACTTCTCTATGGGAGTAACAAACAGCGCAGTTATCCGGTCAACACCTACATGCTTAAAGTTCACAAAATTGTTCCCTATAATGCGGAATATGGCTGGAGGCACAACTAACTCTCAAAATAGGGCCAAATGGAAAGGCCCGCACCGAAAGTCTACGCACCTGTATAATTGTGTTTTGTGTCGGATCTAAATATATACTGTGCATGAACCCCAGGAATGGCTTATCGCAAGGCCAGAATGCCGATGCTGATATCACTCGGTGAGGCCAAGTTAGACCTGCAGCTAACTATTCGAATGCCAGTTGTGCAACACGAAGAACATCTAATTGGCACACCAATTTGCGAGGTAGAGAATTTTTCCCTGCTGGGTATCATATGCATAATAGGTCTTATTTTGTAAGGGATCGATTTTTCGTGTCATTTCCCAAGAGGTTGGCCTATTTGCTAGTGCTTATTTGGGACGAGCGTTGGTGAAAGGGGGGATGTGTGAGATGCAAGATGCGACAGCCTACTCGGTTACATTCGGTACAGTTGCCCCATCTGAGCATGGCATCTCCAGCGCTGTGAGGCTGGTTCTGTAACAATTGAAACCCTCGGTGCATAGGTCCCAGATCAGAGTGAAAACGCGACCATACATTTTCTTTTTCCTCCTTCAATTGTCCACGTTCACGTCCTGGAACCGTGTCACTGGCATGAAATCAAAATGTTCATGTCAGCTACGTCGAACGAAGTCATCATCTTGATTGCGCAGCAATTAAAATCGCAAGCAGATCTTGCTGCGCTGGTGCAGGTTAACTGCCGCCTCAATCACCTCATAAAGCACATCTTGTATCGACCCAGCCTACAGCAACGGAAAGGAGATGGTATTCTCCAGGCAGCCAGGCTAGGATTAACCCCTTGCGGTAGTCCAATTCATCAAAGAGGAATACCCTGTGGAAGACCGACCAATCCATGCTGAGGAACACCCATCACGACCTGGATTTCTATGATGGGACCCGTGCTCGTGTCGACTGGATCACTCTATTCTTTGTGCTGCAGAATATGGACATTCGGGGCTTGTAACATATCTTCTACGCTCAGGCTCCGGACCAGATTTTGAGAACAACCTAGGCGAAACGCCTATGCATCTAGCAGCAAAAAAACGGGTTCCTCTCGTTTATCACGGTCCTGATCGAAAATGGCTGCTTTATACTATTCCTCATGGATAACGACACCAAATTCACGTTGTCTCCTATCAAAGAGGCTGCTTTGAAAGGACATACGCATGTGGTCAAGCATTGATTGTCCTATGCTTCTAGCCCCCGTGACTATGCTTCTTCGGTCCTCCCAATTACCGCTATCTCCGGTGACATAGCCTTGGTATCTATGCTCCTAAGATGGCTCTATGCCCACGCGATGAACGAGGGCACGTATCGACTGCTTTATCAGTAGCAACCAGACTCGGGCATCTAGATCTAGTGACCTTTTTGCTTGCTAATGACTCTGACGCTAAAGTAACAACGGGGGCGTCTAGTCTCTGGGAGGCTGCCTTGTACCTAGCAATTGCGAAAGGCCACGAAGGGGTTGTTGAGGTGCTTTTGATTCACGGTGCCAATGTCGAAGGTGGACATATTAGTGCTGCTATTGAACAACGCAACAAGAAATTACTAGGGATGCTTGTTACCAAGTACGGAAACGAAAATTGCTAGACCAATTTCCTAGAGCTCGCAGCAGAGGCTGGCCACATGGAAATATTCCAGATCTTATTCCAAGAAAAGGCAATCGAATGCGGTCAAGAGGAAATCGTCGCCTTTCTCCTATCACGAGGAACAAATCCTCATTTACCAATCATCCATGAGTGTGCATTCGGCATAGCAATAGTCCATCGTGATGGAATTACTATTATGCCATGGGGCTCACGTTTACCCTGAAACCTTACGAGGCGTAAGAACGTTTGCCCCTGGGCATATAGCAAAGTTGGCAGAACAGTTTCCTGTGAATTCCCTCGGGAAGAAGGCCATGTATCCGTCTATCTATCAGCCCTTGGGGCAGGGGGGCGATCGTGGGATAATGATTGGGGCTCCACCTAGAGGAGACTTTGGCGAAAAGCAACCGGATACCCTGTGATGAAATGAGATTATCAACAGACAGAACCGGCCTAAAGGTTCGTAAATGTTTTCGCAGTCCTCGGATTTAATATCCTATATTGTTATTATGACGCACTGGAGAACACACAAAAAGGGCGAAAGTCATGCCTGATACTATATACTCGCTTTGAAGAGCTTTGAGGAATTTGATACGTGGGGACTTCCCTAGTATTACATGTCTATTTCGACTTCATCTGTTGCACCTGTAATATAATCACAGTCTCGACTTCTTTTCGTACACTTTACAAGCAGCCTCCAGTCGAGGTGCCCATTCAGCCGAGACACTCAATCTGTCTTTCGTTGGCAAATATCTCCAATCCTTCGCGATCTTAATTTCATCCTCTCGCCATCTCTGCACCGCTGACTCAATCCACGCTCCAATAGCCGATGCTGTCTCAGCCACCTCTTCAAGTGGTACCTGATGCCCAGAACGTTCAATGCGTACTGACTTTACCTGCTCACTCATCATCCCACCACTCCCCCCTATACCTGCACCAGTTCGCTGCAAGATCTCAGCACAAAGCTCTGGTTTTGATATTGGACTGGTCCCACCAAAGACATAAAGAACAGATGGCCGAACATGATCAAGTAGCTTCCATGCAATAACAGGTTCGCTGCGGTAGAAGGGCGATGTTTTCGATACAGGGCCAATGACATCAGCCTGGAACAGGGGTTCATGCAAAGGCCCCGTGGTGGTCTCTTGTTGCCCAAGGGGTCTATGACCCCCAAAGTTTGAGCGAACGTACTGCATCACTTCTTGGTGCTTGGTGCTAGTTAAGGTGACCGGACCATTATGGATATCACCTGTCTCGCTGCGTGGGTTCTGGGGATAGAGGGCTGTTGGGAGTCTGCGGTATCCATGCAAAGCCCATCTCTCAAGAACACGTTCGTCCCATTGCTTGTACGTCTTTCGCGCCGCTTTGATAGCTGCAGACCTGGAAGACCAGATATCACGTCGCTTGAGTGACAGCTTTGATAATAGAGGCCCGTATCCAGTGAATGTGTCTGGTACGATTACAGGCTCGATTAATATCAAAGTTGTGAATAGGCGAGGATGCATGAGAGACAGGAGGACACTAATAAAAGTTCAGTAACGAAAATGACATTGCCATCATTCAATCTTACATTTGTCCTGCGCCCATACTATGGCCCACACCGATGATGGGCCGCGGCATTTCATCACGAAATTGGTTGATCATGTATAGAAGATCCCGGCTGTGATCAAGCCAAGATGCTTTGGAATGTTAGCGATACCGCGTCAATCAATGAGAAAGTCAGCCATGCGTACGGTCATTTCCCAATAATTCTTCGTTCATTACACCGCTAGCACCCAGATTTGCAGCATCTGCAGTCCAGATGGATCCAATTCGGATTCCGTTCTTTTTACATTTTGCAAGAAGGTCTTCCCACAACGGCTCATATAACTCCTGTGAATTATTTTGTTAGTGATATGTATAGCTTAGATAATGAATAGCGAATTATACTTTCGGAAAACCACCACCAGGTGCCCCAATAATGGTCACGTCCCCGGGTTGAGGATTTAGGTGGTCAATGGGAACATGTTTCTTTACTGCCAATTTCAAACAAGCGGCTTGTGATACGGTTGCTCGGGGGTATTCGCGAATGTATTGTCCATCAATGATATGCTCTGTGACGGTAAAAGGAAAAGCTGATACGCCCGACATATTTGCTAGAGCAATTGGAACGTATAATGTGTGCCGAAATTGACTGTCATGTGAGGAATAGGATGAGCCTATATCAGCCATGTCGGAGAGCCTACTACGCCGGGTTCGCTCCCGCTTGTTTTTCACCGCTAGAAAGGGGGGCGAACCTTGCCGACTATTAACCAACAGATTCCAATGCATATTGTCCAATCAGCATTCTACAAATATGAAGGTGAACAGAAGGGGGATCCGCACGTCGTAACCATTCCCGACAGACTGGGACATCCCAAGACGGGTTCTGTAGACCAATCTACGCATTCAATAGATCTTCCTTGGCGCCTAAGTGGGATCTCGGCTGATGCAGATCACATTAATAGATCCGAAAATTCGCGATTCCGCGGACGATCGTACCCGAATAAGGCATCCGATCTCTTAGTTCCATCTCTATTCTCCACCAAGTGGATTCAGCTGAGTCACTAGGTTAAGGGCGACTTTTCGCGAAGCAGTCGCGAATTCGGATTCGAATTCCGGATGATTCGGAGAATGTCAGAATGGCAAGTATGTAGAGATATCTAGTTCTTTGCTCATATCGGAGAAGAAAAGAGATGTTGCAAAATGGGTCCATCCCCGGTGTTTCATAGGGCAAAGTACCGATCCATGGTTGGTTCCAATGGGCTAAAAGGCGCATGGGGCTGAACTCCTCTATAGGGAGAGTGGACCCTGACACACATTTACATCGCTGCCTTTGCCGTTCGAGCTAGTACCAGGGGTAACATCTAACCCAACGCTAAGGACTAGGGTTTACCCAATTCGGGATACCAAGACAAAATTATGTGAAAAGATTCTGATAACCCGCCCTCAGGGCACTCAACACGTGATTTGACCCATCTATTGAAGATCAATCTTTGAAACCCACACACTTCTCTACATTTGCAGTCTTAGAAGTCTAAGAAAATGGCTTTTCTCGATTTGGATTGTCCGTATATCAAAGACTTGGAATGGAAGACAGCCCAATGCACCATCAGACAAGATGTGCATGCTTACTGTCAAGAACGAAATTGGAAACCGTCATTTTTTTTTCAAACAGTCTGGGCAATTGTGCTCAATAAATACACCGCATCTCATGCTGTGACATTCGCCATCCACAGTAACGAAGTTCATGATGGTGCACCAACAATATGCGACGTCTCTATTGAGCCAGAGACGTCCAGCTTTGACCTACTGATGGATCATTCGGCACTGGCTACTTTTGCTACGGCCCTACCCAGCCAGCTCACCTGTAATACTGGCGTTATTGTTGACATGCAAGATGACAACAGCATTCAATCTCTTCGTCCATTGCAAATTCTTCTGCTTGCAAGCACGAAATCCCCTGAGGTCTGCCTGTCATACTCGTCGGACGTTCCCTCATCACACGCAGACAACCTAGTTTCGACTGTCGAGCAAATCATCGGGGAGATTTTACAAAACCCGTATCAAGCAATCAAAGACCTTGATCTTTTCAGCGTCCGCAACCGTCATCAAGTCCATGAATGGAACCGTCACACGACGCCCAGCGATATGGTTTTGATGGTTGACCTAATCCGACAGCATGCATCACAACGATCAACCCACGAAGCCGTTTGTGCCTGGGACGGGTCACTCACATACGCCGAACTTGATAGTATGACCACTCAGTTGGCATACCACCTACGTGCGATGGGCATTGCGGAGAATGATAAAGTGTTGCTTGGTTTTGAGAAGTCGATGTATGCAATTGTTGCTTTTTTATCCATTCTGAAAGCAGGCGGCATTTTTGTTCCTGTCAGTCCCGCTTATCCAGTGGAGCGTATGCAAGCAATTATCGATACAACTCAGCCTCGTCTTGCTCTTACCTTGCCGGACGCTACATCAGTCTTCGAAAGCTTCCAGGTGTCAGCCCTAGGTCTCGATTCCACTCTGATCTCCAAATTGTCGATCCAAGGAGATGAGAGTCCACTTCCTCCATCTGACCCACAGCGCGTGGCATACATTCTTTTCACCTCTGGCAGCACAGGTCGCCCCAAGGGTTGTACCATACGGAACCAGGCACTGGCGACTATGACCAGCCAAGGACCACCATTTCGCATCTACCCGTCCAGCCGTGTGTTTCAAGTTGCCCCAATCATCTTCGCCGCCTCTTCAGTTGACATGTTCCTGCCTCTACTCACTGGAGCAACCGTCTGTATTGCCTCAATGCACGACTTCATGAATAACCTGGCCGCTACGATGAAACAGCTCCAGGTGACCTGGGCCTGTATGACCCCGTCCGCAATCACCTCCGTCAGTCCCTCAGATCTGTCGGGACTACAGACTCTGGGCTTGGTCGGCGAGCCCGTCAGTGATGATTTGCTCAACAAGTGGGCATCTTCGGTGGATCTTCTGTCAGGCTACGGTCTCTCGGAAATTGTGGGTGCCGGGTGCATCTCCTCTCTCAAGATAGGAATGCACCCTCGTAACATTGGCCACTCTCCTACAGCACACATCTGGCTTGTAGATCCGACAAACATCAATAAGCTTGTCCCGGTAGGTGCAATTGGTGAAATGTTGATCGAGGGGCCTAATCTTGCCTATGGGTATCTTGATGACCCTCAGAAGACGGCCGATACATTCATCGGGGCACCAGAATGGATTCAAGATTTCTATCCAGGACAGGGTCGACGTATCCTAAGGACAGGCGACCTCGCTCGATACCATTCCGATGGTTCTATCGTGTATGTCGGTCGCAAAGATACACAAGTTAAGATTCGTGGGAAACGGGTCGAGCTGGGAGAGGTTGAAAGCGTGATTCACCAAAACCAAGCACCCGGCGACACGGTAATTGTGGAAGCGGCAGCTCCGCTGGACGGGGACGGCACATCTATGTTGATCGGTTTCATCCAAACTTCTGGAAGAGGATTTGTAGATTCCTCTTCACTTCTAGGACAGCCAGGTCCAAATTTCCAGAAAGAGACATCGCGCCTTGATCTTCTGGCTCGTGACGTATTGCCAGAGTACATGATACCAAGCATATACATGCCACTCAATCGCATTCCCAAGACCGCCTCTGGGAAGACTGACCGGCGCGCTTTGCGGCTCGAGGTCGCCGGCATGACTAGACAGCAGGTTGAAGCCTACCAAGAGGTGGGTGATAGACCGCAGGTTCAACCTCGGAATGATGCAGAAAAGTCTGTACATGCAATGTTTTCTCAAATTTTGAAACGCGAACAAGTCTCATTTGGGATTGATGACCAGTTCCTCCAATTGGGAGGCGATTCCATCAGCGCTACTACTCTCGTTCAACTGTGTCGAAAGGCTGGGTTCGCTGTCAAGGTTGCTGATATCATGAAATCTGGCACAGTGGCCAAGCTTGCCCAGATGGTCAAGCTCTCCACGCAGCCCGTTGCTGAAAGTGATAAGAGACAAGTGGAAGTTTCTAATGCCGCTACTGCTCCCCCTACTTCTATAGTGTCCATTGCTGTCGTAACGGAGCAACTGAATAGTCTTGGAGTTGCCACTCAAGATGTGGAAGCGATAAATCCTTGCTCCTCGATGCAGGATGGTATTTTGATGAGCCAGCTAAAAAGCCCCAAACAATATGCACTGCGAATCTTATATAAGGCCGAGCTTTCAACAGCATCGTCGGAAATAGAGCTCGGTCGACTTCAAAAGGCATGGAAATTACTGGCTCAAAGGTACCCCATGCTGCGAACGATTTTCGTGACTAATGTGACACCCAGCATCTTTGCGGTGCAAGTTCAGTTGAAGAACGGTTCCATGCCACACATTCATGAAATCAAGGACAACTTGAAACCAAGCGATATTCTCGACCAACACCAGGAGTCTCAGCGTCCAAGCACATTGCCTCAATTCCATTTATACGTTACCCCAAGCGGGCGGGTCATCGTTGAGCTTGAACTGTCTCATGCAGCTGTTGATGGTATTTCCATGTCGAAAATAGTTCGCGATCTATGCAGACTCTACGGCGATGTAGATTTTTCTTCTTCTTCTTCTTCTTCTTCTTCTTCTTCTTCCTCTGTCTTCAAATTTGCAGACTACGTTGAATACCAACGGAAGACATCTACTGATTCCCTTGCCTACTGGAAGCAATACCTCGATAGCATGGAACCAAGCCGGTTTCCCACAACCAGAGATGATACTCTAGTTTCCTCGAAAGAGTCTAATCATACATCCCAATTCAAATCAGTGCCTGTCGACCTTGGTCCAACTGCAGGGTATCGAAGGTTCGCCCGGGAAACCGGGACCACCGTGGCAAATATCGTCAAACTGGCATGGTCCCTTGTTCTGCATGTAATGTGCCGCACAGACGACGTCTGTTTTGGCTATCTGACCACGAGCCGTGACGCTCCTGTTCAAGGCGTGTTAGAAGGTGTTGCGCCTCTCATCAACTTACTGGTGTTTCGGCAGCGGCTTGATCAGCAGTCCACCGTGGCACAGGTCTTGCAGTCCATCCAAGCCGATTTCATCTCTAGTCTGTCCCACAAAGGCATCTCCTTCAGCGATATTCGCCGTGCTTTAGACTTTTCCAGTGACGAGGTCATGTTCAACACTTGCATCAGTCATTTCCCTGCCATTACCCTCCATGAAACCGACAACTTGCCGATCCTACTTCGCCAAGTGGGACGCCAAGATCCTACTGAGTTTGATCTTTCCCTCGAGGTCATGGAGTCGGCGACTGAACTCGAAACATCCATCAAAGCATATACTGGAATAGTTCCACTGGAGCAGATGGAACAAGTGTCGACGCTCTTTGGACACTTGATGAAGACCATTCTCAGGGCTTCTGGTAGCCCATTGGAACAACTAGACTTAGTTCCTGAGAAGGACCTTGCCACAATTGGGCATTTGAACAGGAGTATTAACAACCGACCTGTCGAAAATTGCGTTCACGACATCATCTTGCAACAGAGCCAAGATCAGCCTGCAGCACCGGCTATCTGTGCTTGGGATGGAGACTGGACTTATGGCGACTTGGATCTCGTTTCTTCATCTCTCGCGCAGGAATTACAGTCACAGTGTGTTGTGCCCGAGACCTTTGTACCAGTGCTGATGGACAAGAGTCGCTGGGTGCCCATTGCTCTACTTGGAATCCTCAAGGCTGGAGGGGCTTTTGTTCTTCTCGATCCCACGCAGCCAATCCAGCGACTGCAAGATATTTGCGTTGATCTAAAGCCCAACACCATCTTAGTATCGCCAAATTACCACGCCACTGCCGCTTCCCTTGTCAGCAACATTGTTGTTGTTGGAAACGAGCATCTTCCAATTCTTCAATCTTCCAACCTCAACAAGGTTTCCAAGGTACCAGTTCACCCAGGAAATGCAGCATATGCTGTCTTTACTTCTGGCTCGACCGGAAAGCCAAAAGGAGTGGCCATCACGCATAAATCTCTGTGTACCAGTGCAGCTGCGATGATGGAGCATTTGCCATTGAACAAAGACACGCGAATGCTTCAGTACGCGTCACATGCTTTTGATGTGAGCGTTCTAGACCTCACTTTATGTCTTATGGCTGGAGGCTGCTTATGCATTCCATCAGCCGAAAATAGACAAAACCGGCTAACGGAAAGCCTGAACGAGTTTTCTGTGAGCCTCGTCGCTCTTACTCCAACTGTCACTCGAACTATCCAGCCAGAGCGCTTGAAGTTTCTGAAAACTCTGAAAGTCAGCGGAGAGGCGCTCTCATCGTTTGACATTCAACGGTGGAAGACTGCAGCACCTCACATCCAGATAGTCAACATGTATGGCCCTGCAGAATGTACAATCAACTCGACTGTTCAAGGCCCTATTGAACTGGATTCATACTCTTCAAACATTGGATATCCGTTATCGAGTGCGACTGCATGGGTCGTTGATCCAAAGAACCATCACAGACTGCTTCCTATGGGGGTCATTGGAGAACTTGTGATTCAGGGTCCTGTTGTCGGCCGTGGTTACCTTAATCGACCTGAGCAGACAGCAGCATCATTTATATTGCCTCCAAGCTGGTTTTCACGGTTTAAGCAAGATGTCTCGGATGATCAGAGACTTTACAAAACAGGAGATTTGGTTCAGTACGCCGCAGACGGCTCAATGCATTACAAGGGACGTAAAGACTTCCAGGTTAAACTCCGCGGCCAACGACTTGAGCTAAGTGAAGTCGAAGCGCACCTTCGTCGAGTGTTCCCCGATGCTTCCGATGTCATTGCCGAGGTAACATCTTTGAACCAAGGAAAAACCTCAGCCCTAGTAGCATTCATCCACCAAAAAGGCTGCAACGATAACGCGAACTCGATTGGGTCTTCTAAGACGGAGACTAGGGATACCAGTCTCAATTTACTGCATGTCCCTTCTGAGTCCTTTGATAAGGCAGTTACACACGGGAGAGTTTTGTTGGCTTCCTCTCTTCCAAGCTACATGCAGCCCAGTATCTATCTGCCGCTCGTTCGGATTCCCAGATCTCGGAGTGGCAAGGCTGATCGTAGCCAGTTGCGACAGATTGTCAGTTCTGGACTTCATGAGTACTGGGCTGGTGATACAAACACAGCGAACATGTCACAGAGACCGAAAACTGAGATGGAAGTCATACTGTGCTCTGCTGTTGCTGGGACCCTAGGTCTGTCAGAGGTAGACATCAATGCAAATGACAGTTTCTTCCGCCGTGGAGGTGACTCGGTTGCAGCAATGATGTTGGTCGGGAGCTTGCGAGAGCAGGGTTGCCATCTCAGCGTCGCAGACATCTTCGCGTACCCTCAGTTGGACATTCTGGCTACCAAAATAGACCGTGCGCTACCCTCGAGTGTTGTCAAAGTCCCTCCACCTTTCTCTCTCCTCGGTGAAAATACTGAATCCCGTCAAGCGGCCATCGAAGAAACAATGGAACAGTGTGCCGTTACTCAAGAAGAGATTGAAGATATTTACCCTTGTTCGCCACTGCAACATGCCTTCTTCATGTTCAGCAGTACTCGCGAGAAAGGCACGCTGATCGCACAGTTTGCTTATAATCTCCGACCAGAGACAGATCTTGCTAGGCTGCAAAAAGCCTGGAGCGAGACCACAAAAGCACATCCGATGTTGCGAACTCGAATCATTCAAGTCGATGGCAAATCCAGCTTGCATCAGGTGGTTCTCAGTCGCGCAGCAGAAATTGAGCACCATGACTCGGATGAGCCAGACTATGTCCCTGACCTGTCAATTGAAGTTGCGCCAGGTAGTCCACTTCTACGAATTGCTGTAGTGCGCAGGTCATCTCCCCAACAGTATCACCGGCTTGTTGTCACCTTACAGCACTCCCTATACGACGGATGGTCTCGAGCATTGTTCATGCAGGAGCTCGAGCGAGCCTATTCTGGTGTTGCCTTGCAACCTCTCCCTGTCTCCTCATTTATTGGACATCTAGGCCAAACCGAAGAGGGAGCAAGGCAGTTTTGGACATCAGAGCTGACGAATCTTCGAAGCACCATCTTCCCTTATATTCCCTCAGGTTACACGCCCCATCCTAGTTCCACATTGGTTCAGAATGTTTCTATTCCAAACTTCGCTTCTCTCCAGATCACACTATCAACCAAGATTCGGTGGGCCTGGGCTCAGACCATAGCAATCCAGACTAGCAACTCCGAGGTGGCAATGGGCTTAGGAACAGCCGGACGAGGAACTCCAGTTGCAGGAATTGAGAAGATGGTCGCGCCAACAATGGCCATCTTCCCCTACCGACTCCACATAAATCCGAAACAGCGAGTGATCGACGCTCTCCACGACTCTCAGAAACATTACAGCCAGATCCTGCCGCATGAACACTACGGCACACCAAATATATGTCGCGCCGCGACAGGCCCGACTTCCCCGGCTGCACTCCAAACACTTTTGATTGTTCAGCCGCAAGGAGAACAAAGTCCTTCTTCATTGTATTTCGAAGAAGAGATGCTTCCTCAGACGGGAGCATTCCATGTACGTGCGCTGACATTGCATTGCCACCTTCACGAAAATTCTGTCGAGACTGTCGCGTGTTATGACGACAAAGTCATTTCGGAGAAGGAAATGCTTCGCCTACTTGCTATGTTTGATTTGATCTTCCAGCAGGTCTGTCAGGAGCCTAGCATGCTAGTTGAAGAGTTAAAGATTGTTCCAGCTCAGGAGTAATAGAGGGTGTCAAGGGTGCGCTTATGATTACATAGTATAGGATGGATTATAAGGCACGCTTTGGAGGCGAGTACGTGGTTTGATGCTTTTTTTTTTTGCCCTAGTTAATGTATAATCTTTTTTTTTGTCCATTTCATAGTGCTGTATGCTCAACTTATTGGTATTCATCATGCATGCAGAAGTAATAGTAAGAAATAACTTATGACTCCTCAGTATAGTTAGATTTTAGATCTCATGGAAGTCATCCCTACCCTCCCCCCCCCCCCCAAAAACGGTAGTCTGTTTGTCCCACCAGCTCAAAGATCCTTTTTCCTCTATACCAAGATCACATCACCTCACATCACCTTTATCGCTTTCGTTCACTACTACTTTTTATGCTATATAGCCTACTTTGAGCTAATCCCTTACGTGAGGCAATTTTTCGAACGCGCGACCCGGTAGGAGTGATTGAAAGATACATGATGAAGGCTGGCTCTCGTAAGCCAATCCTTGTTCAGCGTGGATATTTAAATTTCTTTAAGGCGATAGAATCACCGGGAATGACTTCAAATATTGTTTCGTCGGTTTGGAGTCCTAATTTGAGAGATTTCAGAGTGCTCCAAGAGATCTTTTCTCTTCAATTGGTAACCTCATCTACTGCATATGATATCCGGAAAGTGAGAAGCTCTCGAGCATAGGTACAGACTGCGCTGGTGATGCCTCGTATTCTGCAACGCTTTCTAAGCTGAGCCACCTTGGGAAGTGCGACACAATAATTGTCAATTGACAACCAGTTTATAGAATTATCATCCCCTCTTCTGTGACTCACCCTTCCGAGACTGATAGACTCCTTCAGAGATCGGACGAAGGGTATCGTACCGACGACTTCATCGCCGAAATTCCTTCCTTGAAGCAAATGGAGATTAGGTTTTCTAGCATTAGTTTTTTTAGCATGATTTCCCACTGCGTCAAGAAAGGTTTACGACACATGATGGTTAATGCGCAAACTGTATCCACATATCAGTCAGAATTTTTATCGAGGAAAAAGGTGCGTCTTATTAGAAATCCTCAAGGTTTGGCAGCTGCTGGATCAATCTAGCGAGTGCATTCTCTGGTGTTTCATCTGGATCCTGCGACCAGCTACTGCTGCACGTTACTGTCACATTGCGCACCCAAATTCTTAGTGTGACTTTTGTTCTATCCAGAAGAAACCGGACAAGACGTCTAGATGGAGCCTCCACTTTAGGCTTATTGAAGTCGTACCAGGATGTCTGCAGATAGTCCAGAACTATCGATCGGCATAGCAACGGCGTGGCGACTTCATTCCAGGTTCTTGATACCAGGCACACGCTTTTCATATCGCCTTGGTGGACCAGCTGAACTGTCTAGTGAGCAGGTCGGGGGCAAGTATAGTGATCAGACCTACCTGTTGGAGGAGGAGATGCACTATATCCGGTGACTGGACCCATTGTGTGGATGACTTCCTGTTTTAAGCTCGTAATGCGATGTGCAGAGATGTTGAAGCGTCGGTTTCGAAATGGGACCGAGCCTCTGGATTCCCCGCTTGATACTAACTCGTTGGATACTTAGCTTCGGGGCTTTTGTCACCTCCAGCTGGCGATTCGTATTATGGAGCCCGACCACTGTGAATTGATGAATTTTTATAGCAAAGAACACATTACTGCTAGCAATATATTCTTTGGCAATATCAAATTTTGGAGTCCTCGCAACACGTAGTGAGGAGGTACTTACTATGTGTGATCATAATATAGAAAGCGCTTGATGATTCGTGGTACGTCGGTGCTACTGTATATAGTCGGTCAGACCTTATATATATGTGTTTCGCTTTGGTAATATTCCTTTGAATCTGCTACCACACTATTGATTACTCAATTATCTCAACACATAAGACAGAATTTCAGACTCAAAGTGCATATTAGTCACTGTTATGGCTGTAAATACCCCGCCAAGCAGTGCTAGACTTGGTTCACGTTCGGCTGAGACACAAGGGCGCCTTACATTAATGGAGGACGCACCCTAAAGGCATGAAGCCATCGGGGTGTGCATAATGTTCAAAGTATGGCCTCGTGGCGCAATGGTAGCGCGTCGCTCTCCTAGTCTGCTGTCATAGCTCATGATAGTCTCAAAGCGGAAGTTGTGAGTTCGAGTCTCACCGGGGTCGCATTTTTTTTTAAAAATTCTTTTTGCCCGTTCCCGGATGCCCCACACCTATATATAAAATCCCATCATCAACTAGGATTTATTGACTTATTATGTGGTGGCAGAAGTGTGACTGAGCACAAATATATCCACCAAGCCTATGTATACAGGCAGTGATAGAACTCAACGCAAGACCTGCCACCAAAGCGAAATCCAGCACATGTATTCAAAGTCGGCAAATATACTTGCACAGTGTCACCACTTCATGTTTCCCCGTGCTTGTAGATAGATACCCTGCTGACACCACTAGCATGCTGTGGATCAGATCCGTATGAGAGCTCCACTTTGTATGTACTCAATAGGTAAAGAATGTAGGTTTATGCGAAATTACCTCGTTATATTTGTATTTATCTGTTCAGCCAACCCAATATTAATAACTCCCCACAAGATTAAAGGGTCACTTATGGGACCGGCCAATACATCGATGTAAAATGCACCACGGCACATAGCATCTTATATAACTTTTTATAACCATAAACGTAGAAGTACTTGTGAATTTCACGGGTATTGTTGAAGAAGTACTCCGCTGATTGCTAACACTATTCCTTCCCACTCAAACCCAACCTTTTCTCAATAATTTTGATAATCTCAGTCCATTCCAACATGGCACCACCCCCCTTGTCCCCGCATGCTAAGACCTTTGACGCTTGCGGCGCTAACACCTCAAACCATCCAGTCTCCTCTCCGAACTCCTCATCTTTCTTAACCCCCCACTCCTCTTCAAGCACCTTTATATGCTTAGCAGTCACTGGGTGCCGCCACATAGCTGTATTCATCGCGGGTGCAACTAGAATTCGTTTTCGATGTCCATCAATTTGGCCATCGGTATCCCACGCCCGACATACTGACGTCAGTAAGTTATCACTGAGACCATTGGCGAGCTTGGCTAATGTGTTCGCGGAAAGAGGAGCAATAACGAGGATGTCTGCCCAACGCCGGAGAGAAATATGCAAGATATCAGCACCGCGGCGCCACGGTTCTGGCCCCCATTCCGCACTGTCATCATAGATGGCTTCCACGCCAGGGATGGAGAGGAGAGAGGAGACGGTAGGTTGCTCGGCAGACTGGCCACTTAGGAAGTGCTTGGCGTTTGATGTGAAAATTACTCGTATTGATAGCTTATGAGTATGTGGAGCGAGAGCAGTGAGAATATTGAATATCTTGATAGTTGCGACTGATCCGGTTGCCGCAAGTAGGAGATGGACACGATTGTCAGAGAGTGATGCATTCACATCCGCGGTAGAATTCTTGTTAGAGCTGCCATCGATGTGACTATCAGCGAGGGTCGTTTCAGGCATTCTGAATATGGACATAAGCACCACGGAGGGTTGAGTATATCAAACAGGTTTGCAGGCCACTAATGAATTGGAGTGGTTGAAGGATTGGTAAGGGAACAAGATCAAAAAGAGTGATGCCATTTCAAATATTGCCATCTGATTCCGCTCTTGAGCCCGCGACCCACAGCGGGGATCTCTACGCTAGTCCATTTCAGTACTAGCCCAGCTTGGATTCCCTGAACTTTATAAAATCTTAAGGTTTGCAAGTATATGAAGCGACTGAATTAGGTTGCCATTGCTACCAAAGGGAAATGGACAAGTAGACATAGTGAGGGCAAATACAAACTTGTCCATTATCTGGCCTAGTTTTCTTCCGGTAGAGGGCAATGTACTTTATCAATTTAACAAGCCAAATTATTTTTCGCCTAGCAAAGCAAACCTGCGCTCTAACGCTCAGATGAAAATTCAGTTTACAAATGTGCTCTAATAATGCTAAGTATGTTCCTTAGGAGAAGCTGCTTGAATAATCCATTGTTTGATACTGGCTGTGGCGCGATCAGTTCGTAATCGGGGATCATAAGTACACAATCTAGAACTATATTGTCATATGACGATTATTGCTTCTATAAGCAATGATTTGGCGTTTGTACCCTAAACAAATTTTACATGAAAATTGGTTAGAAGCTGCTTGATATATTGATTGATTGATATAGATTAGCCGAACCCCGGGGGGCCCCGGGATGACGAATACTGCACGTGACTACAAAGGGCTTTGAAATTGCGACAACATACTTGGACCAGGGGCACAGATCACATGACACCGACACCGGCCTCGATTTGCGGCAACTACAAAAACCTCGCCAACTACACCAACGTCGTGGTACCGTTGAAAATGTCTAGGCAACTACGCACGCTGTTGCGCAGGCCAGTAAGTGAGAACATACCTGTTATTTGCGCGATTGGAGCTGATTCTTCTAGCTTTTGCCTCGGTTGAGTCAAACGGCCGCTCTCCCGAGCCTCACGAGCAGGAGAATTCCTCAACACTTCCAGTCGGGTTCGATCCCCGCACCTGCACGCTTCCTTAGCTCGACTGCCTCCAGAAAGGCCGACGCTTTCCCCTCGCAGCTCGAGAATGCCTCTTCAATCCCCGCCGAGAAGGGGCGGTCGCAAACCTTGACCGAGAAGATTGTACAACGCTATGCAGTCGGTCTTCCCGAAGGAAAGCTCGTTCGAAGCGGCGATTACATCAGTCTTGCCCCCGGATACTGCATGACTCACGATAACTCGTGGCCCGTCGCCCTCAAGTTCATGTCCATGGGAGCTACGCAGATCAAAGACCCCAAGCAGATCGTCATGACCCTTGACCACGACGTTCAGAACACCAGTGCATCAAACCTGCAGAAATACCAACAGATTGAAACTTTTGCCGGACAGCACGGTATCGATTTCTATCCTGCCGGACGGGGTATTGGACACCAGGTTATGGTGGAAGAAGGATATGCTTGGCCCGGTACTATGGCGGTGGCCTCCGACAGCCACAGCAACCACTACGGTGGTGTTGGCTGTCTTGGAACCGCTGTTGTGCGGACCGACGCTGCCAGTATCTGGGCTACCTCCCGGACATGGTGGCAGATCCCTCCTGTTGCCAAGGTTACCTTCACCGGAGTGTTGCCCAAGGGTGTGACTGGTAAAGATGTTATCGTCGCGCTGTGCGGTATGTTCAACAGTGATGTTCTCAATCATGCAATTGAGTTCACTGGCTCCGAAGAGACCATGGCCAGTCTTCTGGTGGATAGCCGTATGACTATTGCCAACATGACGACTGAGTGGGGTGCCCTCACTGGTCTATTCCCCATTGACCGGACTCTGGAGCGCTGGCTACGATACAAGGCCACCGAGGCAGCAATGCTCGACGACCGTACAACTCGTGAGCGTATCACTCACGAACGAGTTGATGAGCTGTTTGCCAACCCTCTTTCCGCGGATCCCGATGCTGTTTACGCCAAGCAGCTCTACCTCAACCTCTCTACCCTTTCGCCCTATGTCTCTGGCCCCAACTCCGTTAAGGTTGCCACACCCCTCAACGAGCTGGTCCAGCAAGACATCAAGGTCAACCGCGCCTACATCGTCTCTTGCACGAACTCACGTGCTTCTGACCTCGCGGCTGCCGCTAAGGTCTTCAAGGACGCTGCCAAGGCTAGCCCCGACAACACCGCCAAGATTGCCGACGGTGTCAAGCTCTACATCGCTGCAGCTTCTGCCCCCGAACAGGAGGCCGCTGAGGCCACTGGTGACTGGCAGGCACTGCTTGATGCTGGTGCTCAGCCGCTGCCTGCTGGTTGTGGACCTTGCATTGGTCTCGGCACAGGTCTTCTTGAACCCGGAGAAGTTGGAATCAGTGCCAGTAACCGTAACTTCAAGGGACGCATGGGTTCGCGTGATGCCCTCGCCTACCTGGCCAGTCCCGAAGTTGTCGCTGCTAGTGCACTAAGCGGTGTTATCTCTGGCCCCGGCGCCTACGAGGTGCCCCAAGGCTGGGATGGTGTTGAGCATGGCTTCGGCACTGGTGCCGAGCCCAGCACTGTCGATGAGCTCTCCAACATGCTCCAGCAGATGGAGTCCTTGATCGACCGTGTTGAATCCGCCGACACCTCTGCCAAGCCTGCCACCGAGATCCTGCCCGGTTTCCCTGAGAGCATCACTGGCGAGATCGTCTTCTGTGATTTCGACAATCTCGACACTGACAACATCTACCCCGGAAAGTTGACATACCAAGACAACGTCTCGAAGGAGGACATGGCCAACGCCTGTATGTCCAACTACGACCCCGAGTTCAAGGGCATTGCCAAGGCCAATGACATCCTCGTCTCCGGCTTCAACTTCGGCTGTGGATCCTCGAGAGAGCAGGCAGCTACTGCCATTCTCGCCAAGCAGATTCCTCTGGTCGTTGCTGGCAGCTTCGGCAATATTTTCTCCCGAAACAGCATCAACAACGCCCTTATGGGTCTGGAGGTTCCCAAGCTTATCGAGCGTCTGCGCACTGCCTTCTCTGAACGTCAGCCCACCCGCCGGACCGGCTGGACTTTGACTTGGGACGTGAAGCGTAGTGTCGTTGAGGTGCAAGAGGGCGAGGGCGGTGACAAGTGGACCGAACAAGTCGGTGAGCTCCCTGCCAACGTGCAGGAGATCATTGCGGCTGGCGGCCTTGAGGCGTGGGTCAAGAATGAGGTTGCGAAGTCGCAGTAAAAACACGATATACCTGTATATGCTTCGTGGTGGCATTTTGGCCATTTATGAAGGGAAAAAACAAATAGACGATGGGAAAGGAAGGGCGAAGAAAATGGATAGAAGGCTCAAAGGAGTGTAAAGTATTTGAAGAATAATATGATTGTTTGTATCAATATAAGATACCCCAAGTTTGCAACTGGATGTACTTCGCTTCGTAATATACAAATTCTTTGCCAATCGCATTATAGTATTGCGATTAATCATACACTCCCCGAATACTCTTGTGAAACGAACAATTCGTGATCCGTGTCAATGGGTTAGTGCTTTCAGTGAAGGCGGATCGAAGTCCGCAGCATTGACTACAAGCACCGAGATAGTCCGACCACGAACTACAAAAGGGGATATTCAATACCAATAGAAATCATAGTAAACCCAAACTCATCAGCCTCCTCCAACCACCGTTCCGCCCTAGCATCCATGACAACACCTGGTCGAATCTTCCCAAACTCAGCCTGCAGATAACACTGACCACTCCAACGGGATAACCAATGAATATACCGCGTATTCCACTCCTTTCTGTCTGCGCCTGCCAAAGAACCTTAGCAGCGAGGGCAGGTATAAAGCCCAACTCCCTACAATCGAAACAAGGCACTTCATGCATGACAGAGTACGCCAAGTGAAGAAGATATAGGGCAAGAACTGCGCGCCGTTTCGATGTAACGTGTACCCATGCTTCCCACGTTGGTCTCATTTGTGTTCGCTCTTCTTCGAAGAAGAGGCTTGCGTGCATAATTTGGTAGACTAGCAGTTCGACTTTGCGGAAGACGATGCTGTGTTCTGTGAAGGGAGAGGGAGGTGGGGGGAGGTTTGTGTGCTTGATGATGGGAATAAGAGAATTGTTGCGTATATGAGTACTGCTTGTTACGATGCTAGAAGGTTTGTTTCGTTGAATTGTGGTGAAGAAGGGCAGCCAGATATCTAGAAACAGGCCCTAGAGCTGTAGATCAGTTCTACAAACTGGCACTGTGAGTCTCACCCCTTCTTCCTACACTGCAAAGAGAGCTAGAAGACTTCATTTCAATAACGGAAAAATACCTTAAAATTACCATAGGTAGCATGGAGGACGCGACAATGGAGGCCCAGGTATCAGGGATGAGATGAGCTAACAGCCATACTACTCGGCTTTTGTTATTGACTTGGAGAGAACTCATCTTGAAGCTGTTTGTTTTTCTAAGTAAAAGCTAGCTCAGAAATTCTGACGCGAGGAAGCTCATTACATTTGTAGTACCTATACATCGGATCTCAGACTGTGTTGAAGGGCTTTTGCTTTCGATTTGAGTACTCATTGATACTGAATCAAACATTTATTTGGTACTTAAGATAAGAATTATTCTTAAACATTACACGATGAGCTATATGACACACTTGCAATGATAATAAAATCCTCAGCGTGTTAATGTATGAGAGGCTTGCTTATCACAGAGGATAGGTCGCAATCACTTTGCGTCGCACTACCCTCTAGTGATGCCAGCAGCTGGCCACGTTGTGCTCGTAGTCACAGACGCTAGTTCTCGACTGAAAGGCGGTTCCGGGACCACAGGTCTTCAAAACGGGCGTCCCGCCGACGGGGCATTCGAAGAATCGGTGACAGTCTGCAGGGTCGGCCCATGCCACAGCACCGGCGGCGACCTCGGAGACTGGAGCAGCAATAACCGAGTTGGACAGCACGAAGGCCACGAGGGTGCTAATGGTTTGATAGGCGAAATGCATAGCGTCGGCTAGTGGATGATTTAGCCAGAGCTCAGACAAGAGCGTTTGAGACATACTTGATTTGGTTTTGGAAAAATAAACAACGGGAGATTGAGTTAGGTGAGGCTGTAGGGCTATCAACTTTTGGGACTTTTGGTGATGATGGGAGCAAAGTAATATTCGGGGAGGTTAGCCTCGGGCTTTATAGGTATTTTGAGAGGTACTAGGCTGGTCATTTCTGAGCTCTCGTGGCTTCATACAAAAGAAAAACAATACCAAGGTATCATAATTTCGATTCTGCAGAACGGTAGCATTCCTGCCCTCGGCTAAGGAAACTCCTCCAGGGGGTGCCCTTTAAAGTATTGTGGGGGAGCGTTAGGTACGCCCTAGCATACCTCGCCCTTTTACTAGAAAAGAATATGTGAGATAAATGACAGCTGTCCCTTGTGGTATTTGACTCTTCCCCCTTTGTTTTGAATAACTGTCACCCAGTGGCTTCAATAAAAGCATCGATTGGTGGATGTCGTCGCCGATTTGTTTTTCAATAACACTTCATGCCACACATATCTTACTTGCGCCAAATTACGCGTCATGTAGCCTTGGAATAGGATTGCGAATGAAGTTCGAACGCCTCGAGAAATGTTTTTCGACCAAGTCTCTGTATCATTATGCGCATTGAGACTGGATAAACGCAACAATGATAAATCACTGATTTGACTTGTCTCTTAGGCGCAAATACTGAGAAATAAGCCCCTCCAAATTCTTCAAAGCTCGTAAACTACCAACAAAACATTTCTTCCGTATCCTGAGTATTCAGCCTCCATTTGAATTTCAGTGAGTGGCCCTTCCAATGGCGGTCTTCCGCTTTTTACCTCCTCGGGGAAGAACTCCCTACAAATATCCTTCACATCTTTATCCCAAACTACTCCGTCTAGAGTATCTGAAGACAGAATGTAATCCGAGTTCCCAGGGATCAATACAGAGTCTATCGCATCGACATGTGCCCTTGCAATATCGGCAACATGCACTGGAGTTCCCACGTAAGGGAAACTAGAATTGAGCGATGAATTTAGTGCTGGTGCAAGCACGGCTGCTCGTGTACCCTGAAGGAGGCTGTCGCCTGTAGCAGTTAAATTGGATCAAGACGATCATCTGGACCGATTACGACGGATGGTAATAGGTTCACAAAGTCAAAGGCTGGACGCATACCCCGGACAAATATCTCTATTTCACCGCGGGCGAGGGCTTTTGATGCCCAGTTGGCTTCCATTGCATTTTAAACCGAGACAGCAACGCTGGTTTGGGCATCAGACACTAAGATTAGAAATGAAGAATGAGCCTCATGCGGAAATACGAGTTGGTGGAGTGGTGTACCGACCAGTTTGGAGTCTCTCGCTGTCTGGATTCATATTCCATTCAAACTGAATTAGTGTTACACCTGAGAGGCTGGTTAGGACTCTGATTAAAAGAGAGTCGAAAAGGTGCGCACATGAAGAAAGTCAAAACTACCCTGCGAATTGATTCCACACGGCTAGCTGCTTCCAGGGCTGTCGTCACCATAGATATCGCTGGCTTCACGATTTCAGCTTCATAGTCATCAGTCTATCAATAATATTCCTAGCCGTAGAAAGCGATTGATTTGATGGGATAAATTACCTCAATTCGGCCAAAGGTGACGCCAGATGAATGATGACACTGATTTCATCAAGTGTCTACAAAAATGCATCTTTCTCGAGCATTTCCTGAATGACAGCGAATGTGAGTTTTTTTGTTGTCAAAACTTTGTGAAATCACAGTACTTTTACTGTTCAAATCATCGATATTGCGTTCGCTTCGAATAACCGCACGAACGCGATATCCTCTTTGAAGGGCAATGGTCAAAGTCTTGAATCCGATATAACCAATGACGCCTGTAATCTGCTCTTTGTTTGTGAGAACTTGATTCATTCAAACCAATGAGGTATGATCCCCGAATTTCTTATCGGAAGGTGCTCACGGCTAGTATCATGTATTTTGTTTGCCATTTCATAAAATTGGGAGCTGCGTAGACCAATAATTGTACTGAGCCAACGTGGTCTAATACTTCTATTTGTATGGTCGCATTGCACAGGATTGTATCGTCAAGAACAAAAAAAAGACCAAGATTATATAGTAGTTATCCTTTCAATCAAGACCACCATGATTTATGAGCTAAGGTCATAATAGTCAGCGAGCAAGAACTTGCCGTTCTACACCAAGCCCACCTCAATCTTGACACCAGCATTCCTCAACTAATCAACAAATTCGATGTTGACAGCCCAGGTATTAGCGGTATTTTATTAGCCTGCATGCACTTTGAATCCAGGGGAATATTGCGTTTACAGACCAGGGATCCGCTTTGTTGAGCCACGTCGCTATAAGATTCAACCATTCCTTTGACCCAACGTGTTTCCGTGGTGCTATCAAAAATCCATAAGTATTGGAATACTTCAATAGTTAGCAGCTCCTCGCTCACGAGTCAACATAGTGTATACCGAACATGGCATGTGCTGCCACAATGGGAGTCGAGTAGCGATGGAATGGGCCGATCCCATTAGTTGCTTTTGCGCTCTTTATCAAGGAGTTGAAACTTGAAGCCTCAAATTCAATAATCTCAATCTCTGTCTTTAACGTCAAATCATGTTTGAATGATTGTTATCAATAGTTGAGTCATGCCTTGTGTCAAACGATTGGAATAAAGTTGCTCAAGTGCCTGTTTCAAGGTCCCTAGCCAAGACAATGACCTCCCTGCAAAACACCACTTTGTACCAGAAGGGTAATTTTGTGTAATGAAGTGCACATAGCTTTCCAGTAAAGCCGGTTGCTCCGAAAAGAGCAATGACGTACATCGCTGTGCTCAAATGATGTAATAAATGAGAAGACGCTTCACGTTAGAGTACGATGACCTTTTTATCTATGAAAAGATTGCTCTGTTTCCAATCAACAAACCACCGGAGTTCCGAGAGTGCCTCAGGAGTGTTTTGCAGCATCAACTCGGAGTTCCGAGTACCACACCATTCTTTGAATCGATTAATTATTTCAATTTCAAGTATCAATAAGCCTCACAGGTATGAGATAGTTTTAAAATAATGATATCGAAAAACAGCGTTGAGTAAAAGACCAACAGCAAGATAAAATTGCTATATTCTAAAATCAAATAAACCCTAACCGAAATCACCAAATCAGACCTGCCGAACAGGTGATCTCTCAATCCTCGTCGAACCCCGCGACGAATGAATCTCCCAATCAGAAGTAATATGAATATGACCGGGCGTAAGATCTCCCATCTTCGCCGTCATAGGCTGAGTAACAGTAACCAAAGGCATCTCGGGCTCCTCCAGCCTTCTGCTAGTGAGAACCGTAGTTTTCCAGTGCTTTGCAGCCTCCGGTCCCAGACCGGACATATGCGATGTAGATGAAAACACCGAAGTTCCAAAGACTCGTTTGATGACTGGTGGCAGGATTGGAAGACAGGCAACTGTTATTCCTAACAGCGGTACTAAGCACGACAGAAGTGATTTCCGCGCGGAGCCATATGTCGCATCTGATGGCATTGTATTGGAATCGTATTTCATGCGAGAGGCGATGATTGCAACGATGCTGGACATTCATTAGTGACTGTATGTATTCGCTTATTGCATAAAGTACTCACCCTAGTCCGAGTGCAAGGATGCACACGAGCGCAGCTCTCCTGGCTTGCGAAAAGGCTCTTTTCCATGCGAAATAGGCCGGAAGAACCAAAACAAAGAAGCTGAGAATAGCCTCACTCGCATTGACGCTGGTTTGCAGCTTGTTCCGATCACCACAATGACCCGGCGTATCCGAAAGCCAGAACTTCCTGGCTGGGACGCAGAAGAATGCTGATGCGAATACACCTGCCAGTCCGAGGGCTGTACATAAGCTCATGAGAGTATAGGCTGGCCAGAGGATGACCCGCTGGCCAAATTCGCGGACATAGTGATGAAGAATTGATAGCTGAATCAAGTTGATGGTTATGATCCATAAAAGATCACTTGCGTATGTGACCTGAAATATGGTCAGCACTGAAAAGGCATTGCATGTAAGTTCAGCTTCATATTGCCTACCTTGCTGAGTTGGACGAAGATATCCTCTCCTCCGACCCGGGATACTTCAGAAGAATGGAGTCCCAATCCAGTCAATAGCACTTTGAGGATTTCCACAACATAGAGACCGACAACTGCAAACTATAGCCCATATCCCCAGTCAGCCTCGGCGAAATCGAGTGGGGACAATAGTGGCGCCAAAAAGTTTCACCAGCCAGAGGGAATAAATTAAAGCAAATAGTGTAGACTCACCGTCGCAAATAAAATGAACCAGTCATTCAATTGCAGCGAATAAAGCTGTAATCGCCTTGCCCAAAACCGCAAACCAACAGCGAGAAGAGCAACGGCCAAAAAAATCGTCTGAACAGCGATATCGGCCTTCCCCAACCAATTATGGCCAAGGGCATGAACGAGTGTGCCAGACAAAGCCATGATAGATAAACTTACAACAAAGAAGTCCTCTTAGAAAATTTGCATGGCCGGGAGCACCGGGAAATAAGAAACAAAGCCGGGTCGAACAGGGCGGGGGCTCTCACTTGCCCGAGCACGTTCAGAACCTGCAAGTAGTAAGATCGCCCCGTGCAAGGGCCTCGTACATGTGTACTTGTATTTCAACACACTGGCAAAACATGGATGTGCCCTTGCAGATTACTTTACTTGACATGTATGATGTAGACCCTTGGGATCTATGAATAGACTTGAATTACCGTGAGAGTACCACAATCAATGTTCTATACTCTTACTACTACTGTGACGTTGAGTCCTTAGATCAGCCCAAAATTAAAGCCTCTAATTTATCCCTAACACCGACGTTTCATATCTTGAAACTAACACGACCATAGCATCATCTTCCCCCCACTTTGTTCTCCCGTGTGGGTCGATCTTCACCGTTTGTTTAATGGAGGCAATTGGTCCTTCGACACAATAGGGCAAAGGTCCTTGAATGCTTGGCGAGATCTAGAGAGTAAATGGTCCAGACTCCGACACTAAAATTCGACTCCACTTAGACGAAACGACTATGTCAAATCTTTATTCTCTCTTCGTCGCCAGTAAACAGACTCCTATCTCAAAATTCAGTCACAGCCCTACACTACAAAATCGGATGATTATTCCTCATTACGTAAACACAGCAGGGAAGCCATCGAACAACATTTCGTGAACTATAAACAACTCAAGGCAGACACATTGACAACAACCAATAGCCCACAACCAGCACATCTCACACGTCAACAGCAACACGTATACACACCCAAGACCACATGTTAGCCTGCATCTAGAACTGCTTATACCCAACACCCTCAACAAAAGTCTGCTGCCAAGGACCCTGCGACGAATCCTCAGACAGCGAAACATACAACGCACCGTGGGCCTCCCCACTAATCAAGCGACCAGCACTGGACCCATCAGCCTTGCGTTCATCGGCATAGTAGAACCTAGGGCAATCCCATCAGCCCTGTTTTAGATTGAGATTGAGATTGAGATTGAGATTGAGATTGAGATTGAGATTGAGATTGGAATTGGAATTTGGGTTAAGATTTAGTCTAGAACAGGGTTCGGGAGGGGTGCGGTGTCAGGGTCATATAGGGGTAGAGTGTTAAAATGTCTTACTTGTATCCCCTGTCAGCATAGGCCTCGGCCGCTAATTGGATGATATGAGCTGTGGCTGCCTTGCCAACACCCAGATCGAGGAGAGGTGGCATGACGGTCGTATTGAGGATATTACCTGTGTAGATGAATGTTTTTGATGCTGCCTCTGGGAGTTCGGCGAAGCTGAGGACTGCTTCTTTTGCGGCGGCGAAGGCGCTCGTCGTGTTTATGTTTGTGTCGTTTATGAACTCGGTCAGGGAGAGGGAGAGGGGGTCTTTAGGGTCGCTTGGCGTTGCGGCGGCGGCTAGGGAATGTTTGTTAATTTGTATACAGATGGAAAGCCTAGAGGGGTTGTCTACCATTGTAGACGACGACGCTTGGATGACCGAGTCGTGTCCTGACTTTTGAGAAGACTTCGGTTATGGAAGTTGGATTTGAAAGATCGGCTGAGATGCTGAATTGATCTTGGGTGCTATCTTCTTCTTTTAGAGATCTGGATACAAGTGCGATCTTGTAGCCTTTTTCGGCGAAGGAGCGTGCTACGTGGTGGCCGATGTTAGATCCTGCCCCGAGAAGTAGAAGGATTGGAGTGGCCATTGCTTGTTACGTATGAGATGAGTGAATAGAATATAATGTTACTAGTAGCTAGTTAGGGTTGACTGGTACTATATAGCTGGGACTCCGAGTAGGATTTCTAAGCGGCGGATTGTGTCGGATTACCTCGTATAGAGAGAGACATCTTGTGTCGCTGTCGTCATCGTCTCGGAGACCGAATGGCCGATATAATTACAAAGCCTAATTATAAAGCATGTGTAAAGCTTGTATGATGTGAGGATATTTGTTTAAAGCACATTTCAATCCAACGGTATTATAGATTGCTAGACGTTGATTACCACAGCCACTTGTACATCCGAAATTTGAACCTTTGAATATATTAGAATCGAATAATATTTTGCACATTCAGCTAGTAAATAAGGTACCCCTGATGTCGATAAATATACCGCTCGGTATACTATTTAGTCCACAGCTCACAAACACATTTAAGTGCTCTTCTTAGCAGCCTCTCGCTCAGCCTTACGGAGAGCACGCTTACGAATACTCTCATGCATAGACTTGTTCTGGGAAAGAACGGTCTTACCCATAACACCAGCAACAGAAGTCAAGAACCAAGCCATGAGACCATGGCTCCAGTAAGGCGACGAGCTATATGCATACGAAGGCGAGCCACCACTGCGACCAATCTTGCCGAGAACAGACCGGACAAAGGCGCGCGGGGTAGGGATAGAAGCAGAAGCACGACGGATCTTCGACATGGCAGAGGTAATCAGATAAGCCTGCACAAGCTCGACATCAATACCGTAGGGGGCGAGCTCGGCGCCAAGCGCAGTAGACCAGTACTGGAGGAAAGCCTTGCTGCCGGAGTAGGTAGCCAAGAAGGGAGTGGGGAGGAGACCGCCAAAAGAACCCATTGTCAAGACCAGACCGCGGCGACGCTGCATCATGCCCGGCACGACGAGCTGGGTGACGCGGAGGGTACCGGTGCAGTTGATGGTCACGATGTCGGCCATTTCGGCGGCGGGGGTCTGCGCGAAGGGGACGGGAATGGAGTGGCTCAGGCCGACGTTGTTGACGAGGATGGACACGTCCAGGTCGGAGACGAGGCCCTTCAGGGCTTCGTAGTCGGCGTCGGCGTTTTGCGAGAAGTCCATGGCAAGGGTCTTGGTTTGCACATTGGGGTATTGCTTGGTGATATCCTCCGACAGAGTAATCAGCTTCGAAGCTGTGCGCGACACGAGAACGATGTTGAATTTCGACTTGGCGAGCTGCAATGCGAATTCCTTGCCTAGGCCATCCGAGGCTCCTGTCACCACGGCCCAGCTACCGGGGGGACCGAACGAGCGGAGCTATTCAATTGTCAGATTCATTCTATAGGAAAATGGTAGGAGGATTGAAATGCATACCGGCTTGCCTGGAAGCACAAACAGGCTGAGAAGCACGCGCACGAACGTCCACACCTTGCAGGCCACGACCAGCCCACCAGTCGCCAGGAGGAACAGGGCACCAAATGTAGGCAAGCCGGGGGCAACATGGGCAGGCCATTGCGAGAGACACTCAGTATACTTTGAAAGATCCATGATGAAAAAGACCGCAAATGGAAAAGAGTTGGCAAGAAGTGAAAAAAAAAAGTTGAGAAGCACAGCTTGTTGGGGGAAGATCAACGCCAAGAACCCCAGACATCCTCGGCCTTTCACAATCACAACACTTCACTGCAACATTCACTCTACAACATATCACCCATGTCCCAATTCCTCACTTACCTCCCCCAGTCCGAGGGTGTCTTGCCCAAATGGCTGGTCTTTGTATGTCCACTCAATTCCCAATCCAAATCAATTCCGATCTAACGCATCGCAGGTCTCCGTGGTCTCCGCCCTGAACAGTCTCCAGGCCTACATCTCCCCGGCCTACACCTCTCAGCTCTACAGTAACGGCCATGTCCCTGCTAGCCCGCTGTCTGGCCGTGTCTTTGGAACTTGGACTTTCCTTTCCGCTGTTATTCGCATGACTGCCGCGTACAACATCAGCAACCCTGTCGCGTACGATCTCGCCTTGTGGACTTACGGAATTGCCCTAACACATTTTGTTGGTGAACTTGTCTTTGGAAATGCTACCCTCAAGGGTCGTTTCATCAGTCCTTTGATTGTGGCATCGTCGTCGCTTGCTTGGATGTTGACGCAGCGCGAGGCGTACCTTGCTTAAGTGCCGTGCATGTACTTGTACTGGAAGAAAAAAAATTGAAATTGGCGGGAGGAAATCACATAATGGCGAGGTACAAATAATACCAGGAAGGAGGTTGTGGGTATTGTATTGAAGTCTGATTACGGCTCGGCGCATACGTGCTTTGAAAATAATATGCATCTTTTGTATTCACTACTTGAACAGCCTACCCACCCACACCAACTTTCTAACTCCCGTTGCATAAATGTACCGTCTACTCTAGCTTGTTGCGGTACAGCTCGCCGCCGCAATCGCGTAGCTTGGCAGCAGCCTGCTCGGGAGTGATATCGCGCTGGGGTTCACCGAGCAACTCATATCCGACCAGGAACTTGCGTACGGTGGCGCTTCGCAGAAGTGGTGGGTAGAAGTGCAAGTGTAGGTAGGAAGCCTCAACCTCCTCCTTAGTGCCGTCAAGAGGCGCCTGGTGAATACCCATGCTGTACGGGAAATGCGTCTCGAACAGGTTATCGTATCGGCGGGTAATATCCGAAATAGCCTCAGCGAGTAACATGCGGTCCGCATCGGAGAGGTCGACCAATGCACGCTTGTGGGTGCGACTGATGATCATGACCTCGAACGGCCATGTGGCCCACCACGGGCAAACGACGACAAACGCCTCGTTCTCGAACACGACGCGCTCCTGCTTGCGGCTCTCGAGCTTGGCGTAGTCCTCGAGGAGGTGGGTGCTGTGCGCTGTGCGGTACTTGAGCATCTGGGTCATTTCGGCTGCGGGCTCTTCGGGCATCGTGCTGGTGGTCCAGACCTGGCCGTGCGGGTGAGGGTTTGAGCAGCCCATAGCAGCACCCTTGTTCTCGAAGATCTGCATGTACCGGTACTGCTCCTTTGGCTTGGCCGGGCTAGTCTCATGAGAGATTGGCTGGATGGTGGTCGAGGGCGCATTCTGAGCGAGGGGTGAGGTGGGCGAGAGGTGAGCCGTGTAGATCTCAGTCCAGGCGTTAATTACCGGGACGATCTCACGTGGAGAAAGGTCGGCCAAGGTGAGGTTATGCGCCGAAGAGAATGTTAGGACGTAGCATTTGCCCTTGACGGGCTCGGCTTGCAGGAAGCGGGACTCGAGTTCTACTTCGTTAGTTAAATCAGGTTTTAAGCGGACTTGGGCTGAGTAAATGAGCGTACCATCTTCGTAAGTGGGTTCATAGTCCGCCTGCTCCTCCTTTACGGCGCTGTAGTCGTTGACAAACACAAAAGTGCTATCATACTTGGGATTGACGTCACCGGCGGCACGTTGGTTTCCAGGGCAGAGGTAGCATTTGGGGTCGTAGTTGGGGAGGGTAGTCTTGGAGGGACTCTCCTGTGCTCCTCTAGGCGTTTCAATTAGAATGTGTGTGCGCGAATGGGTTCGGATTCAGGTACTTACTGCCAGGGACGCTTGGTTCGGTGGGGAGAAACCAAGATGGAGGAACCACGAAGAAGGTTGAACCTCCTGTGGGAGATGTCATCAAGTACCTTGGCCATATCTAGAGATGATCTGAGGACCTTGGAAGAATAAGAAGAAAAAGAAAAGCGAGAGAGAGAAGAAAAGGCGCCCCGGGAATCGGCAAATATTCTCCGGAGTCCGGTGGGGTCGCGGGGTCGGGGTAGAGAGAAGCGACTCAAGCCCTGACTCTGTGGTCTAAGCGAATAGTATTGATCATTTGTATGCAAGGAACAATTAGCTATCTATAGTACGTTCTGCACTAGATCATGTTATATACGATTGTCGTACTACGTACGGAGTACTATATGTACATATACAGTAACTTATACCATTGCCGACACCCTTGACTCTTGGCATGTCACTTGCGTCTCGGTGAGCCGTAAAGGGTTCGGCATCCCGCACTTTTTTCCGGGGAAATGACGTCTGTTTGATTTGAATAGTTGCATAGTTAAATAGCTAACAATTGATATACTTCTTCTTCTGTAATCCCACATATCAACATTGATCAATTCCTATTATGTCTCGCACTGCATTGTACAACCCAAAGTAGTGACGTCAGCCCATGTCCCTATCTCTATCAGGCCATCAACAACGCAATCACAACACACCACACTGCCGACCCTGCCGAAAGCCTTATATTGACCCCCTGTCCTAGCGTGAGTATACATATGTGAGCTCTATACTGCCCCACAGTTAACGCACAATGAACCACTCTATGACTCTTGACTGTCTCCCAAACGAGGTACATCCCCCATCCTACCAACAAACAACAACCTTAACATTCCCCTACAGGTCTTCGTCCAGATCCTATCAGACTTCTCGACAAGGGCCCTCCTCCCCTTAACATCAGTCTGCCACCGTTTCCACGCCCTAGTCCTCCGAATCCTCCACTACCGCCTCCTCTTCAGCACCCCACTGAAAGAATACAAACTCCTCCTCGAATGCTTCCACCCAAGCTCAAAGCTGACAGAACCACACGTCTTCTGTAAATACCTTGGCACAGACGGTCTCAGCGAGCGCCATGACGGGAAAGGCTCTCTATACGAGAACGTCGATACAGCACACCAACTCAGCCGGGTGACGGGTCTATACTCCCGTTTCCGGCCAGAGGTCTGCACGCCCGAGGAGAAGAGCAGTAATGCGGGGAGATATGGAGTCCGTCTTGCTCCATCGCCAGGTAGGATGCTTCTGTTGTCGGGGGTTGCTGGGTTTATTAGAGCTGACATGAATCGGGGTGGAGATGATGATGACGGCGCTGTAACGCGGGATGTGATCTTGGATGGATTCGAGGATTTCTCGCAGCTGTGTGTGGTGGCTAATCTTGTGCAAGTTCTTCCGGGGACTTCGTTGTTGTTGAGTGCTTTGAATATTGAGGATGGGGTTGTTCGTTTGTGGAGGGATTGGTTGTTGCGGCAGAGCCGGAAGTGGAAAAGTGCCATGGAACGGGCTAGAGATAAGGGGACTGAGAAGGCTGTTATTCCTCCTGATGATGAGATTCTGTGGGTTGATCCCGAGGAAACTGTTGGGTTGAAGATGCGTGTGCGGCCTACGGAGTGGAGTTCTTCTCAGCCCGTGCTTGTGCATCAGGATGATCGGGATGAGGGCTCAGAAGTTGCTTATGAGGTGGATCTGGAAGGTAAGCTGCCTGTTACCAGGACGATGTTCAATGCTGACTCTGCAGAACTACATATCCGTTCTACCCGTCTGCTGTTAGCTGCCGAAAAGTCGAAAGAAGAGCAGCAGAACTGCCAACCAAATGCAGTTGTCCTTGGAAGCGCGCCTATGTCTGCACCAATACAGGTGGCATAGAAGAACATATCTCGGAAATATCATGATTGCAACGAATAATTTTAATACACATGGACTATATAGGGATTGAAATATTTCAAATTGGTTTCAAGCAGATAACAGATATCAATGCAAATACAGCGGGTTAGTAAATTATACTATTGCTTCACATAGACAGCCTCATCAAAACTTTTCAAAAAAGACCAAAGAGTCTTCTCCCTCCACCCTTTCTCCATCCACCCATCAGCTCTCAGAGGAAACAAATCAACAATATCAATCAAGCTAGGATCATGCGCAAAAACAAACCAAACATTCGAATCGGCATCTGCCTCCTGGGCCTTCACAATAGTCCTAATAGTTTCCCCAATTTCAACCCCAATCATAGCCGCCGGTTTAAAGAACGGTTCGTCAACAGATAGACCCCGACTGGTCAACAACTGCTGATAAGATTCAGCTCCTGGACAGGGGAGTAGACAAGAGGGAATCGTAGAGTGAATATCAGAAGGAAGATGGAGATGTTTAGATGGTCTCATTTCGCCGCTGTGATGACATAGATCACCGCCCATGAAGATGAATGTATCTGGATTTATCGTTGTGCGTGCTAGCCCGCTTAGATGGCCGATGGCGTGTCCTGGTGTGTCTAGGAGGTAGAATGAGCCGTCGCCGAAGAAGTCGAAGGCGCGGAATTGGCCTGTTCGGGGGCTGTTTGTGAAGTCGATTTCTTTTAGGTTTCTCCCGCTGGGTATTGTGTTAGGCTGAGGGCTTTGAGTTGATAATAAAGCATATACTCACGCAAAACCAGATTCGCGGACTGCGGAATCGGGGTTTGCTGGGTATCCTGGTAAAAAATTATCTTTGAAACCTGGTCCGACAATTATGTCGGTTGAGGGTGGGAATTCTGAAGGATCTCCTAGGTGATCCCAATGCCAGTGACTATACCAGAAAGCAATTAGCCTCCGCTCTTCATATTTTCTAGTGAATGATTGGAAAAAGAAAAAAGTACCTCCAAATAATCCCCGAAATATCACCCGCCGCAACACCATTCTTCTTCAAGATATCAATAACCTCTTCTTCAACATCAATTTCCCACCCCGCCACCTCAAGACGCCCAACAACGAACGGGGAAAAAGCCCGCCAGTTCTTCGGAACACCAAGATCGAAAAGCAGTTTTTTACCCGATGGATGCTCAATCAGGAATGACCATGCCGGCATTGGAGGCATGTGGGATAATCCATCCATGGGCGGTTCCATGATGAAATTGATAGGGATTTTAGACATTCGGACTGTCGTGTCGATTATTCGGACTTGCACTGCTTGCGTGCCTCCAGGCACGGGGAAGAGAGATGCCATGATTGGATCTATAGGAGGAGAGACGGGAATACGGTGCTTATCTATTAGGCAGGAGTATAGATACTACCCGGGGAGTACAGGCGAACTTCTCCCTTTCATGTTGAATTGGTCAAGATGCGGGGTATCTTATCTCCGGATGCACATGGCGCGCTCTGCAGCTGCACTTCGTCTGATGTTGATTTTGTTCAATCTGGTAGGCTTCCAGTGGCTTTGCTATATATAGGAGCCACGAATGGCCCATTATATTGTAGTTCCCAATGCAGTTTGGTGAAATCATGTCATGAATCGCTGTAATTAAATCTTACTCGATCTTTTCGATTGTGATAATAATATGAATTTCTTTAAATAAAAGCAGCAATATTCGGACGTCCTAAGCTTGGACAGCAACAAGCTAATACTCCTTCACTATGGCGAGTTGCCACAAAATGGCGTAGGGCGTACCATCTTCCCGCTCTCTGACAAGGATAGGCCTAGAAGACAAAGTTCAATAACTGGTACCCGGGAGCTCTACAGGTGATGACTTACTGTGATATGGATTCGAATGACGTAGCATACCATTCACTGTATTGTGCATAGGGATCAAGGAAGATTTTGTTGTAGTAATATGTGAAGCGATTTTCCATATCTTCAATCGTACTGTCCGGGAGTGTGTCGTCTCTCATTTTCTGCAATGAGGCCCAAGCGGAAGCGGCATCTAAATCAGAGCCTTCAATATATATGATGTTACCAGGGATTTATAACCACTCACTCGACAAGTCTAGTAAACGTGCATCACCACTGTGGGGCAGGCGTTGGAAACCGAACCGGTAGAGATAGTCAAGCCACACTTTCCCCTTTGAACCTGGGAATACTAGACAAATACAGACCCATGAGCTTCATGATCTTGGCTTATCGGGAATCAAAGCGCTCATCATTGGTTATTCACTTACCCCCTTTCCATCGCTCTGCTTTATGCGCGAGAATCTCTTTGCAGTCGATTTCCCATACAGCGCCATTGACGTCCTTCAGGATAAACTCGTCTGTGGCTAGAATTTCGCCGGAAACGATATCCTATGATATTTATATAATTAGAGGCTGGCGTATAAGAATTATCTCCTGGATATACCCTGTATTTAACCATTCCGATAAACTGTGTAGAATGGTACTAGTGACTTCCTTGGTAAGAGGGGAGAGATCAAGAGGGAAGAGAGCGAAAGCAAGTATAGCTTCTTTGCTATAGAACTTGAAAAGAGGCACATCGGCGTTTTTAAGTCCACGAGGTGGCAAGCTCCGGAGTTGTTGAAAGTTCAATCGATAGATCATACATAATGTAGGTATAGAGATGCAGCTTACAGTAGATGGATGACCTTGCTAGCTCTTCACCGCTACTTTTTTTCCTTGGTTAATTTACGTATATTGCGCCCCTGAGGAGTTCATCTTGTCATTTGTTTGTATAAAGTGAGATAGAAAAACAAATCTACAGAGAAAAGCGATTCTTGCGTAGCCTGTTGATCTCATCTTCAAAGTGGTGTGTCTTATTATATTCAGACGCCTACTTGGTGGGATATCTGACTGTCTTTGATAAGGGCTTAGTGAAATAACGACTGGAATCCTTCACAGAACGGGCTCTTCTGTGTATTGTACAGCAATGTACCATAGAAAACTGGCTTGAACTTAGAAGACACTCTATGGGGACAGCGTGGAAATGGCAGTATTCAGGCAGTATTGCAGAGCGACATGCATAATACACTTTTTGAAGCAGCCTAATCCTAGTGGCAATGCGGGTGAGATCGATAAGATGATGCAATTTATGATCTCATCTGTGACCATCTGCAGAAGTTGCATATGCGCCCCGCTAGAGTCACGAAGCTACTATACTCACAGCTACGATACTCACATTGCTAACTCTTACGTTGAATAGAATCCCAAGTAGTATAGTAGATAGGTTGAGATGTAGCATGTTCAATGTGTCTTTTGGCTAATTGTAAACCACGGTCGGTTTCAAGATTTATGTATGGTTAACTTAAGAATGAGTCAATCCAGCAGCGGTACTTCGCATAGATCAAAGTATAAGCTTCATAATCCGTAATATCGAAACTTTACCGAGTAAATAAGTGACATTGTTGACAGAAAACTAGTGACGATGTGACGACCATTATTCGTACGGAAAAGTGAAGAGCCGCTAAAATCCACTGTAATTACTAGGGCTTAAATATACATATACATGTACAGTAAGTTAATGTTTTATCGAGGTACAATGTGAAGTGACGTTCTTCCTTTTTTTTTTTTTTTTTCGAGAAACGCCCCAACTGTACCTGAATAGTGCATAAATGTGGCCATGCCAAGACCCTCAAGCTTTCGGGAAGCCGTGAAAAATTGTGGTTGACGGGCCGACATTTGGAACGCGAGTCAGGACTGTCGTTTCTCCACTTAAAAATTCTGAGACCGGCAAAGGCTTGCCGAATCAATCGTCAACCCTGATTTGCTCATCCTCAAAATGAGCCGAGGCATGGCTTCGGTTGTTATCAAAGTGGGGTTCGATCTTTTTTTCTTGAGACATCTTGTTTCTGGAATTTTGCAATGTTTCTTTGATATTGACAGGTTGATCATTGATCATTGCTGACCTCGCTCGTTTTGATCTGAAATTCCTCGATTTTCAATAAAGTCACTGATCTATCAGCGCTCATTGAATTCGCCCCTGAGGGCCAGATCTATCAAAATGGCCCCTAATGGAGGCGAGACAACACATCCCTCCAAGATCACCTTCTGGCGTATGGTCTTTGATCAAAAAGTCGTCACTGAGGAAGTAGTGCAATATCCATACACAGGATCAGGCACCGAAGATGATCCTTACTCCGTGGTTTGGATCCCAAATGATCCACGAAACCCTATGAACTTTCCTGCCACGAAAAAATGGGCCATCACACTCCTAGTTTCTTTTGTCACACTAGCCGTCTCACTAGTATCATCCGCTTTTTCTGGTGGAATGAGCCAAATTATAGAAGACTTTGGATCGCCCGAAGAAGTCGTCATCTTAGGTGTCTCGCTATTCGTCCTGGGTTTCGCTATTGGTCCATTGATCTGGGCTCCTCTCAGTGAGATTTTCGGTCGTCGCCATATATTCACCATTTCGTTCATGTTCTTGACTGCATTCAACGCTGGCGCGGCGGGTGCTCAAAACATCCAAACCCTCATTATCCTACGTTTCCTAGCAGGATCATTTGGATCTTCACCATTTGGTAATGCAGGTGGCACTATTGCAGACATGTTCCCAGCCTCGCAGCGTGGAATTGCCATTTCTCTATTCGCTGCGGCACCATTCCTCGGTCCTACCCTTGGCCCAGTTATCGGCGGCTTCCTAGCCACCGGCGCAGGCTGGCGCTGGGTGGAGGGTTTCCTCGCAGCATTCTCCGGCGTTCTCTGGCTTTGCATCATCTTCCTCCTACCAGAGACATACGCCCCAGTCCTCCTCCGCCGCCGAGCAGAGAAACTATCAACCTTGACTGGCAATGTTTACCGCAGCCACCTCGACATAACCCGCGGCCCAGTCCCAATGACGCAAACCCTAAAAACAGCCCTATCCCGCCCCTGGATCCTCCTCTTCCGCGAGCCAATCGTCCTTCTCTTCTCAATCTACATGTCAATCATCTACGGCACCCTCTACATGCTCTTTGCCGCCTACCCAATCGTCTTCCAACAAGTCCGCGGCTGGTCCGAAGGAATAGGCGGCCTAGCCTTCCTAGGAATCCTCGTGGGAATGGTACTAGCGGTAGCATACACCTTCCCCGAGAATTTCCGCTACGCCAAAAAATGCGCCGAAACAACCGACCGACTCGCGCCTGAACTCCGCCTTCCCCCAAGTATGGTCGGTGGCATAGCCCTGCCTATTGGCCTGTTCTGGTTCGCCTGGACCAATTCACCTAGTATCCACTGGATGGCCTCGGTAGCAGCAGGTGCACCATTCGGCTTTGGAATGGTTCTTGTCTTCCTCAGCGTGTTCAATTACCTCATCGACTCCTATACCATCTTCGCTGCGTCTGTGCTGGCAGCGAACTCCGCTCTCCGCTCTCTGTTCGGCATGGCTTTCCCTCTGTTTACTACCTATATGTATCAAAACCTAGGGATTCACTGGGCATCTTCGATCCCGGCATTCCTCGCGCTGGCATGTGTGCCCTTCCCATTCATCTTTTACAAATATGGTGCCCAAATTCGGAAACGCTGTACCTACGCCGCTGAAGCAGATGCATTTATGCAGCGTCTTGCTCAGAAGAATCAGGCGCAGATTGAGGTGGAGAACAAGAAAGAGGAGGAGTCTGAGAAGACCGATCCGAATGCTATTTTGCCGGATGATGTTGATTCTAGCGATGATGATACTTTGTCGACTGTTCCTTCACGGACTACTATTGCTCGGCATGCTTCCCGTGCTTCGAGGCAGTCTGGTCGCTCTATGCATCGTGTTGCTACTGCTACGCAGTATGAGGAGAATCCTTATGATTTGGATTTGGTTAATACGAAACAGTCGGTTATTAGTGGACATCGGAAGGATTGAAAGGTTGTTGGATGGGGTTTTATCCCGAGTTCTCTTTCGCCTATTCTCTTGCCATTTAATTACTGATGTTGAATCTTTGTCACTGGATATTTCTGGCAAGAGAAAGCCCGGAGTTGATGAGTTGATTCTCAAGGTCGACTCAGGACCAAAGCCCAGGATTCTATACTGGCTTCCCCACCTCCCCGCCTCGGGATGGATGAACAGAGGAGTTCAGACTCTCGGGTATGAACATCAGATGATGCGCCCGAGGCAAATCGACCATTCTACTCGAAATCGATGTTGATGTCAAACGTGGAGACGCGGGGGTATAGATGTGTGCCAAAACGCAGCAGCACATCACACTGCGCTCAAAAGTCTATATTGTATATACTCTAATCTTTAATGAATTAAACATAGCATTTCATTCATATTCAATCTTTTCATCTCCATTATAATATCCAGTTAACTAACGTGTTTGTCAAACTCGGATACCTGCGAAATTGATGATCACTCATCATCGGAGCCTCGGTCCATCTCCACCTCGGTCAACTACCCCAGCTACCCAGCTACGTATATACCACCGATCACCTCATCCTTCACCCTCCTAACCGGAAGAACCTCTATCAAACAGAACCAATATACTTAGCGCCATGCCGGGCAAAATTGACGCCTACGTCGATTGCGGTATGCAAGGCCCAGCCCCACCCCTGTCATCGCGCGTCTGACTTCATTCGCTAATTGGACAACTGCCTGGATAGTATCGCCGTATTCATACTATGCGACGCTATACCTTAGGAAGAATCGCAAGGCATTAGAGTCGCATGGTATCGAGATTGAGTAGGTCGATACATGAATCACTCCCTAACCCCTAACTTGGACGTGAGCGTGGACTGACACCCAAACAGATTCCATCCGGTCTTCCTTGGCGGTATCAATGTCGGATCAGGTATGTCGTTTACCCTCGCAATACATATACTGTAACCAGTTTCTGAACAAACATATCAGGAAACAAACCCCCCTGGACCCTCCCCGCCAAAGCAGCGTACTCCAAATTCGACTCAGCGCGAGCCTGTAAATACTTTGGCGTTGAGCCGATCCAACCACCTTCTTTCTTCCCAATCCTCTCAATCCTGGTAAGCCGCCCATTCAACTCCTAACTCTCGCTCTCCAAATAGTCCAAAACTCTAACCAAATAGCCCCAACGCTGCATGATATACATCAAACTCAACCACCCGCGCGAAAAATACGAAACAACCTTCCTCTCCCTATGGGAATCGATGTTTTATAAGGGCATTGACATCAGCAAGCCAGAAAACCTAGCAGAAGTCTTCCGAAGCAATGGATACTCCGATGCCGAGATTAAGGAGATCCTCGCTTCGGCGGCCAAGGCTGAATTCAAGGAGGCTTTGACGGCTAATACGCAGACTGCGCTGGATAAGGGTGCGTATGGTGCACCATGGTTTTGGGTGAAGAATTCTGAGGGGAAGGAGGAGCCTTTCTTTGGAAGTGATCGGTATGTATCTGTACACAGTACTTCTTTTCTCTGGTGATAGTTGCTGACTTGGTGATAGGTTTGCGTTTATGTGGATGTACCTTGGATTGCCGTTCCAGGATGTTGCTATTGTTGAGGGAAGTGAGAAGTCGAAGCTTTAGTGGGTGACCCACATCTCGGCCTTCGGGCTTAGTGACTCAGAGCTTAGAAACATAGTATATTCGCGTTGATGGAACACCGAGTATGAAGGCATTGACCTTGTTTGCTGTAGATGTAGATGTATATAAACATGCCCAATCCCGGCCTTCTCTCTAAAGAATTAAGAAAACCCACCGGATAAGAACTGAACCATCGGCTTTACCCCACGTCTCTGCCCCACACTTTGACGACATAAAGTTGACTTCACTTCTTCACTTTCTTCTCTTCTTTCTCTACAAATCCCACCGGAACCCAATTACCTCACCTATTCGTCATGCCCGGACCTCGCGTTGCATGGATTGGCCTCGGTAACATCGGCCGGGTAAGTCAACCATCCATCCCATCCAGCCGCATCCCATCTACAAAAACGTCATCGGAACATCCGAATAACCGATTCAACCCCAAACTAACAAAATCCCAGGGCATGAGCTTGAATATAGCCCAAAAAGGCCCCCAAAACGGACCCCTAATCCTCTTCAACCGCACAACCTCCCGCGCAACAACCCACGCCACCAAACTCGGCGCAGACAAAGCAACCGTCGCATCCACCCTCCCAGAAGCCATCAGCACAGCCGACTTGATCTTCACCTGCGTCGGCGACGACAAAGCCCTCGACTCAATCGTGACAGCAATACTATCCGACAAAACCCTGAACCTGTCCAACAAAACATTCATCGACTGCTCAACCGTGCACCCCGACACATCCCGGGCAACGGAAACAGCCCTCCTAGCGCGCGGCGCAGGCTTCGTCGCATGTCCGGTCTTCGGAGCGCCGAATATGGCCGATGTAGGTGGCTTAATCGTCGTTCCGGCTGGCAAACAATCTAGTATTGCCAAGGTGCGGCCATTCCTCGATGGCGTGGTCGCTAAACAATCCATTGATCTGTCTGGTGGGACGGGGGCGGATATTGATGTTGGGAAGGCTGCTACTATGAAGGTTATTGGGAATACTTTTATCCTTAATACTGTTGGCGTACTCGCCGAGTCGCTTGTTGCTGCTGAGACTTCTGGGCTTGGGGTTGCGCCACTGATGGAGTGGATCGATCTTTTTGCGCCGGGGGCTTTTGCTAAATATGCCGAGAGGATGGTAGGTGGAGATTATTATCAGAGGGAGGAGCCGCTTTTTGCTGTTGATCTTGCTAGGAAGGATTTGAGACATGCGTACTCAATTGCTGAGAGTGGGGGGCAGCGTATGAGGAATGTTGAGGTTACTGATTCTTTGTTGGAGGGGCTTAAGGGGGAACGGGGGGAGAGTGGAGATATCGCTGCTGTTTATGGAGTTGTTAGGCAGAGGGCTGGGTTGGAGTTTGAGAATCAGAAGGAGAAGAGTGAGTAGATGGTAGAAGTTGTGTTTATAGCTTGTTATGTTTACAATGAAAAAAAAAAAAAAAAAAATTGTAAAGCCAATTGCTTCATGCCATTAAGAATCAAGATCTCCTAGGGATATGGTGGAGACACAACTAAGGGTCAATAATAGAGACATAAATATGCACATAGAATAATTTTAGAACACAGCAATGCACCCCCTGGGTGCTGCAATCATAGCATCGCACCTACTCCTCCCGGATCTCGGCAGTCTGGTCGTGGTGCTGGTGCTGGCCAGCGCCAGCCTCGCCCTCCTTCTGAGCATCGGCGGTGCCGTGGAGATCGGCGACGATGCCCTCGGGGGCGACCCAGCTGGCGGACTTCCAGGGCTTGACGTGGAGGACGTACATGGTGTCGACCTCCTCGAGGGTACGGCCCTGGGTCTCGTTGACGAAGAAGAAGACAACAAGGACAGCGAGGAAACAGCAGGCAGCGAAGACATAGCCGTAGCGGAAGTCGATGGTGTTGTTGATGAAGGGGGTGAAGAAGGAGATGAGGAAGTTCCAGGTCCAGTTGGCGGCGGTGGCAACTCCCATGCAGACAGCACGGTAACGGAAGGGGTACATCTCACCACAGATAGCCCAGACGATGGGACCCCAGGTGGTGGCGAAACCGACGATGAACAGACAGGTGAAGACGATCATGACGATACCGGCGGAGTGGTTGGTAGGGTCGGAGTGGATGATCTCGTGACCAACGGAGGCCCAGATCAGGAAGCAGATGAACATCCAGGCGCCACCGTACATCAGACACTTGCGTCGACCGTAGTGCTCGACGATGTACAGACCGGGGAGGGTCATACCGAAGTTAACGGCACCGAGGATGATGGAGGTAACGTAGGAGTTGCTCAGACCGATACCGTTGAAGATGGAGGTTCCGTAGTAGAAGATGAAGTTGGCGCCGGTCAGCTGCTGCAGAGACTGCAAAGCGATACCGAGAAGGATACGGTAGAGCATGCGGGGACCGGTGAAGACCTCTTGCCAGGGGGCATCGCCGTTGGCAAGCTCCTCCTCAGTCTTCTGCTTCATGTCGCTCATCTCCTGGGCGACGACGCGGTGGTTGTGGGGAACACCGTAGAGCTTGCACATGACATCGCGGGCCTCCTCAATGCGGCCGTGACGGTAGGCGTAACGGGGGGACTCGGGGAGGAAGAGAGTACCAACACCGAGGATCAGGGGCCAGGCAAAGCCAATGCCCATGGTGATACGCCAAGAAGCATCGTTGTCGAGTCTGGAGGTACCGAAGTTGACGATGTAGGAGATGAAGATACCGAAGGCGACGAACAGCTGGAAAGCACTGACCATGGCGCCGCGGACCTGGCGAGGAGCAGACTCACTCTGGTACATGGGGACGACGCTGGAGAGAGCACCGACACCCAGACCAGCGACCCAACGGCCGAGAGCGATTTGGTACCACTTGTCAGTGGTAGCAATCTGCACGATGATGCCAACGATGTGGAGGAGGGCCCAGAAGGAGATGGAGAGCTTGCGGCCAATGCGGTCCGCAATGGGGGCAGCAACCAGGGCACCAATCATAGTACCGATGGAGAGCTGGAGCATGTGTTAGCGTGCTGTCAAAATGAGGTATCAGGGTATAGGGTATCCTACCAGTCCGACAATGAGACCGTTGCGAACGTTGCTGAAGGCATATTCTCCGGTGGCTTCATTGTACTCAGCGAAGCGGCGCTTGAAGTCGCCCATGGTAGTGAAACCCGAGATTTGACCTGCCGTTGGTTAGCGTTGCATTGTTGACGACGATGCCGTGTGACATACCAGTAGAATATCCGAAGATGAAACCACCCATGGAGACACACAGGCCAAGGATGAAGGAACGCCATGTGAGGTACTTGACAGGGCTGTCATCGAGAGTGATGTTGTCCTTCTCAACAGAAGTAGAGTCGGCACGCGAGGGAGTAGCAGTCTGCGAAGAGAATTGAGACTCGGACTTGGCGGGCTTGACCCGGTCCATAAAAGAAGAGATGCCCATAGTGAAAGATAGTTTCACTGATATGAAGGGCAGGAATGATGAAAAACAAAAAAAAACAGAGGGACAAAGAAAGGGAAAACCAGGACTAAATACCCCTCGGGGTACCAAGGGTAATGGGGTGCCCGGATCTGTCCCACTTCCGAAATGGGGAAGTAAATTTCATCTCCACGGGCAGTTTTAGCGCCTCTGCACTCCGTACTCTCCGTGTTTGGAGCAGTGGAGAGAGAGTGGAGAGATTCAATCCACGTGAGTGAAAACGTCTGTGTTCTCACATACCTTTATCCCTTCTAGAAGCCTTTGTTTTCGATCATTCCCTACATAAACAATGAATCTAGGGATGACGCTGGTATGCACATCTACTCTATGTCCGTATAATTCGCGTGGAACAGGGCATCTGGTCATCCGACCTTCTTGCCACCTTCTAGAAACCTGCGTGATTCAGTTTAGTGTCTGGGTCCTCGGGTCAAGCGTACGAATGAAAATGCCGTGCCTGGGCCAAGAATCCGTGGGGAGACGGGTAAAAGGTAATTCCACGTAACATGATCGTGACATCCGACAGCATGACAAAAATAATCACTCATAATAGGCGGGGACCGGCTTGTACTCGGTTCTGGTGCCGATGGTATGAGCTCTGGTGTATCAACAGGTACAGTACGCAACTTTGCAGAGTTTGCAGGAAAATTTACGAAACAAAGCGCCTGAAACCGGTGAGTTCCCAACAGAGAAGGTGAAAACAAAAATAACCAAACGAAATTCACTAAAATGACTAAAATCACGAATATCTAATAAAATTTAGTATGTGGGCCGAGGATTCACTGGGCCCGACTTGGCGCTGATCATGGCGGAAAAGCTTGGCTTGGTGTAAGGGGTGATTCTGATTGCAGCGAGCGACATGACAGTGTTGGAAAACAGTTGATCGCACAGGGACAGTCACATTTATAACATTTGAAGCAAATGCCAACTCGAAGACAAGAAAATTGAACAGTGAGCAAAACAATGGACCCACGAGGCTTCGGTCGACTCCCGCGCAGAGATTTCGGTGACTCCACTTCAGCCAAATCGGCACACCGAATGCCCGACTATGCTCAGTTTCTGTCCCGAGCCGAGTAAGATCCCGACTCGGCATCACCGGTCAATGCCGTGAATGTTCGGGTTCGGTTGGCCACCCATGTCAGCACAATAATTTTAATACCTAGAGAACAGCAGACGCTCTCTCACTTTTGCATTCCTCCGAGAGGCGTTCCCCCTTCTATTCATTTATTGGCATGTTTGTTGTTCTCGGCATCCCTAGACGGAAACAGAGACCCACATCCCTTGATCTGCGGTGAACCACTCTAGGAAAACTCTGAAGGTATCAGACCACTGTTCGAAAGTCTAGTCCAATAAAATTATGAGTGGGTCATTCTGCTTCAGTTTAGTTTGCAGGTAATAGGTCCAATCGCCTCGCATTTCTCTGCCGACGTAGTTGTTGGGATTTGTACAGTATCATGATTATCTCGGGAGAGGTCGGGACAAAAGTCTGTGCAGTAGTACAGAAGTTCATGCATATTTGCAAAAAAGTGTGTACAGCCAAGATAACGTAAATCCGTTCGTCTGTACAGACAAAAAAAAAAAAAACTCAAACCAATGCTGTCATCACGATCTAGAAGCACCGTTCCAAGGTCCATACCTTGGTATCTTGGTACATTGGCATTAAGACATTGGCACTTGGTACAACACATTGGCAAGGCAACTGGCAAATTGGCAAACAAGGAAACGAAATTAACAAATCACAAACTAACTCAATCCAATTCAATTTCATTCCAAGTAAAGTACAAAAGAAAAATTAACATAAATTAAACCAAATAAACCCAATCTCTGCGAACATCTAATGACGTGTGGATTTACATCCAACTTCCCTAATAGGAAATCAGGAATTTCTATGAACCTAACTGACTCTGTATAGCTGTACAGCTGTCCACTGTCCCCCGTACAAAACATGTATGAAACATATCTCCATAGATGATCACATCCCATTGTCTTCAACCCATTAGCCGAAAAATCGCGCTTTACTCCATACTTCATCTCCATCCTGTACTCCATGCTCCATACTGCTTAGAGGATGCCGTCATCCTGCATCGGTAGTCTGTCATGTCCGTGCCGTTGCGTAGGGTTGGGTTGGAGAGGTGCTCATGGCAGAATTGAACCCTGCAGAGAAACAGGTGACCTTGCCATCCCCGGTCTTGTTTGACCATATTTCCTTTCCTCTTATCTTTCTCAACTTTCGCTCTTCAACCTTCACCCCGGATAAGAGTCACCCCAGATAAGAGTGCCGGTTTGCTTTGCCTCTTCCAAGGTTCTGTATCACATGTCTACTCTGTGGGATGACACTCCTCTTCGGGAGTGTTGTGCTACATCTTTCCTGCTTTTAACAGGTGACGCAGATAACATCGTATGATGGGTGTTGTACGTTGCCAGCGAGTGTCCATCGGTTATCAGTATTAGTATCAGTATCAGCTAACATGATCACTGACGGTCACTGATGGTCACATCCAGTATGGAGGTTCTGATCTGGATCTGGATCTGGGGATCTTATGATGCACCTGTAGCAGTGGGATGCGGGTTGAGAAACCCATCTGGGGCACGCCGTTGTGAAACTCTTCAAGACAACCGGTGAGCACATGTAAGTCCAGGGTCCACCTGTTGAGACGCCCTGGCCACCTGGCCACCTAGGCGCCTGGGCAAGATTACAAGGCTCGGGGTCGGAAGCTTTGGGTTAACTTTAGTACGGGCAATGTGAAAGCGAAACTACCGACACCATCAATCAATTACCATAAGGTTCATCTGGATTGGTATATGCGAGATCATCAAGTCAAGAACTTTTCTGTGCTATTGACTAGGAGAAAGACTCCCACAAAATGGAACATCAGACCGGACAAACGAATCATCCGTGAACAGTCGTGGAAACAAAATGCATGTCAAATGAACATTTCTTCAGAACAAATGGAGAAAAGATAAGGGGGAAAAATCAAGAAAATAAACGCCCAACACCATTTTGCACCCGGCATCGAAACCAATGGACAATGATTAAGAATGGGTCTCGTTTCTGCATACGCAGAGCTGGGTTTAACGACGGTCCGTCTTGCCCATACCACGCTTTCCGGAGAACTGTAAAACATTATTAGCTGTGTTAAATGTGAAACGGGATTACAGGGGGTACATACCAAGTGCTTGGCGAGAGAGGCGGTTGTGTGACGATCGGCCTCACCGGCACGGGCCATGCGGTTCATCTTCTTCTGGCCCAGCTTGGCCAGACGCTCAGCCTTGTCACGATTACCGAATGTAGTAACACCATCGAGACGACGGTTGGTGGCAGGTGTGCTGCGAGCGCGGCTCTTGGCGCGGGCAAGGGCTTGGTGAGGGCTGTCAACGTCCATGGCGTCGTCGTCGTTGGCCTCGCGGGTAGAGGTGCGGCCACGGGGGGCCTGGCTCTGGTTGCGGGCGCGGGAGCTGGCGGCATCGACATCGTAGCCGGCCGAGTCGAGACCCTTCTCCATCTGGGAGAGCTTCTTGGCCTTGGCGCTGCGGGGGATTTGGGCGCGGTTCTTGAGCGACTTGCGGTTCTTGGCTTCGTTGCGGAGGAGCACGCGCTTCTCGCGGATCAGATCGGCCTTCATGCGGTTGTCGGCGTCTTCGGCGTCTTCCACGCTCTCGTCCGACTCGTAGTAACCATCGGCTTCGAGCTTCTCTTCTTCGTCCTCGAGGGCAGCGAGCTTGGTCTCGATATCGGGGTCCACGAAATCGTAAATGTTCTTGCCGTTCCACACCTCGGGAATCTTGTCGTGGTTCCACTCCTTGTCGGCCAAGGTGTAGTCGCGCTGCATGTCGAAGCTGTAGACACCAGCACCACCGTTCTCCTCCTCGAGGTCGCGCTCCAGTCTCCGGCGGTTGGGATCGTTCTTGTCGTACTTCTTGAGATCCTTGACGGCATCTGGGATGAAGGATTCACGGACACCACCCATGGGCTGGGCAACGTGAATACGGGACAGAACGTCACCGAGACGGCCACCGGGGGTGGCGCTGGTAGAGCCAGACTTGAGCTTCTGTGCAACACGCTCAGCGAGGAGCTTGTCACAGGCGGCGTTCTTGACAGCGGTCACACCCTCGGTGGTAGTGCAAGAAGCCTGCAGCATCTCGACATCCTCAGCCTTGAGGATCTCCTGGAGCTGCTCCTGGTACTCAGGCTCCAGGTCCTCGGGACGGCGCACATCGATCTTGTTGATAACAATGTACACAATCTTGTTGGCGAAAAGAGGCTTGATGCTGTGGAAGAGCTTGATCTGGTCACCGACGGAGTAACCACACTGCTCGGAAAGATCCATGAAGTAGAGAATAGCGGAACGCAAATGGGCAACAGCGGTGATGGATTGCATTTCAATGGTGTTCATCTCCTCAAGGGGGTGGTCCAGAATTCCGGGGGTATCAATGGCTTGAAAACGGAGGTACTTGTAATCGAAGTGACCAACAAACAGACTCTTGGTGGTGAAAGCATAGGGCTGAACATCGACATCTGCGCGGGTGATGTTACGCAGGAAGCTCGACTTTCCAACGTTGGGGTATCCACAAATCAGGAGAGTACGAGTGTTGGGGTCGATGGAGGGCAGACGACCCAAGTGCTGGCGGACCTGCTCCAGGTAGACGAGGGGGTCCTTGAGACGACGACAAATGGTGGCCATACGACCGAGCGCAGCGCGCTTGAGCTGCTTGCACTGGAACAGAGACTGCGCATACTTGATAAGACGGACGTAATCGCGAGAAACGGTTTCAATCAGGTGCTTGGCGGTGGAAACCTGGCCGAGAGCGATACGGAAGTGGTCGGCATCGTAGAGAGTGTTCATCAAATCCTTGTCTGGTGGATGTTAAACCCCGCCCGAACATCGCCACGGAAGAATCAAAAACTTACGGAAAGGATGGATATCCTGCAGACGAGGGAATCCATCGAGAATAGCCTGGAACTTCTCACAGAAAGTCTCCTGGGTATACTTGACCTTTCGGGTGTAGAAACCTGAAGGGAAAAAAATTCGGTCAGCGTTGCTTTATCGATAACCGCGATAACTTTTTTTCTGCAATTTGCCGTTTCCTCCATGTCGGACCAAAAAATCCTAGGGATCGTACCTCTGATACGGCTGATCTTGAAACCAGCACGAATCTGTGTGGGCAACTGTCTCTGAGTCCGACTCAGGACAATATCCAGGAACTCCTGGTGTGTGGGAACTGGCGCAATCTAATCAAGCGGTGTACTCATTAGCGGAGCAAAACGAGGAGGACGAGAAATGGGAAACGCACATCCTTCCACGTGGTCTTCATGATGGGCACAATCAAAAGTCAGACGAGTAATGACCTTTGAAGATATCCCGAGGTGAATGGGTGTTGATAGAGTGGGTTTTTCTCCGCGAAAAAAATTGTTGGCAATCCTTTTCTGCCGGGCGGGAGACAAATGCGGGGATTGGGATTGGATGGCCGCTGAAAGGCGAACACGTGATGCGTCCAGAGATCGACTTTTACAGAAGAAAGTTGATTAAGTATTCAAGCAGCTATTTAATGCGATATCCAAGTGGACAATTACCTAGATTTCTGGTAATTACTCAACGCAGGCTATGATCACGTACATCGCATTGTGACTATGCTACATAAACAAGCCTTGGGTCGGGAAGCCCTTTCCTATCCCATCCATAGAACTGAATTGAATGGCCATAATCCCACCCCAAACTCCATTGCTTTTCTCTCGAACCCACAACCCAACGGACATGAACTTGCGTAAGAGGGGCATGATAAAACCAAAAAAAAAAAAATCCAACAGTGGCCTGACACGGTCCACGCCGTAAAGATGCAAAATAAAAACCACATAACTACTCCTGCGGCTCGGGGCCAAACTCCAGGATCTATTCAAGGTTAGTTTCAATTGGATTATTTGGTTTTTCTTAGATAACGTACCAAATCAACCCAGCCACCGCCACCGAACTGGCACTTGCTGGGACCGCGGGACTCAAAGCCAAACGACTCATAGAAGGGAACCAGGTGATCGTGTGCGATAATCGCGATACGATCGGCAATCTGGGCCTCCCGGATGCGATGAATATAAGACTTCATCAGGGTGCTTCCGACTTGCTTGCCCTGGTGCTCTGGCTCAACAGCCAAAGAGTGGATGGCAATGGTGCTACCACCTTCTTCGTGGCCAACAGCCTGGTCATTCTCAAAGGACCAACGCTCGTTTTGCCAGTTGGCGGGAAGGCGCATAGAACTATCTGTCACAAGCGGCTCCGAAGTGCGAGTGGCGATGATATGCCCAACAAGTGTTGGGCGGGGCTTGGGCTCGCCTTCTCCGAGAAGAGGGAGAGTGAAGAGACCCAGGCTAAGCTCAGGGCATCTGGTGAGACGATAAATGAACTAACAAAGGAACAGGTTAGCGGGGTCTCCAGTTTTCTTGTGCGCTAGTATCAAATCCTAAAATTCATCCATATCTCATAAATGGCATGATCTATTTCGATATTGTGGCTTTGCAGCAGTCTGCAGGGGCAATCGTACCTTGTCACGCGAGCAACGCTCTTGTTCCGGGAAAGCATTTTCAACTGTGATACAGTCTTCAACATTTGAGACAGACAGCAACTGAACGAATGGGTGCAGTTCATCCAGCTTGGTGCGGTGGTGGGTAGGCGGGCGGCGGAACCAGTATGGGAAATCATTTGCGTCGTCCTGGTCGACGGAGACGTAATCCTCGTCCACATCCTCTTCGTCCTCATCATCGTCGAGGGGGAAGCCATTGGCCAATGCGATACCGGCACGGTTCATAATGCGAGACAGGTCGTTGTTGCTAGGGTTTCCTAGGGACAAATCGTCCACATTCGAAAGTGGCCGCAGTCCGTTGTCGGATCCAATGGACTCAGAGGGGTACTCGCTTTGGTCGGACATGGCGGACAATTGGAAAGCGATCTAAAGAATAGAATGACGGCTGGAATCGAAATTTGCAGGGTACTAGACTAGCCCACGATCGATTGGCAGGGCCCGGCTTGGTGGCGCGGATGGAGATCGAAGGGAGGATCAATCTAGAACAGTGGGGATTAGTCTAATGCAAGTGATTTGACCACAAAGGGCAATAACACTAAGTAGCGCGGTGAGAAGATGTATTTGTCTGGCTTGAAAGGGGGTTTGAGGCCAAAGTGTTGCAGATAAGAATTTGCGACGCACTTGTGCTGTGCGCAAGGAGGGGTGCGACCGGGCCGCATGGGGGCCGCATGGGGGCCGCATGGAATGAAGGGAAAGAGATGTCCGGAAATAACGTCCACTTACTTCGATCTGAAGGTATTCAAAATTGAGAAACTGATCAAAAGGGCAAAGTGAAACGGAAGGAACTTTAGAGTGGCGGGGGGTCCAAGTACAGAAACCTAGCAATACCACGTTCCCGCCCGGTTTCTGCGTCTCTAACGAAGTACCCCCTCGGTACCGTGACCTTTGCCCCAAAGCGGTCTGGTCCCCCATATTTATATATGCAACTCTAGTGTCACTTTAAATTCTCGGGTCCACTGGCATCCTGGACATGGATGCATAAGCTTTGGACATGGCTGTGCTCATGCAGGAGCACTTGGAAGGGTTAGGAGGGGTCAACTCCGGGGTGTACATGTAGATCAATACGAAGTCTGAACATTTCATCTGTAGTAAAGGATGACGAAATTTGGTTTGACCATTCCCTGTTAGTTTATGTATGCCAGAGACTCTTTGCCATGTAAGATGCAACTTTCCAAATGATTTGTGATTTGGGATTAGACAGCTGCAGGGATTAGGCCAGTTATACATTCACAGGCCATGAGTTTGTATACCCCCACTAAAATGTACAATTACATTAATCAACACACCCTGAATTAGCCCAGGCTCATTTCACCTATATATTTGTCAAGAATAGTGGACTTGGCTTGCGTTTGATAGCTAACGATTTGGGTAGCCTTTTGCGGCCCGTCCATCTGCGATTTAACGATCTACATCGTCCTAAGTATACCAAAATATTGTTTGTAACCAATGCCGCAGTCTAATAGGGAAAGAAAGCTTCCCAGACAGAAACTCTAGTTGTCTGAGGCCATGGTTATCATTTTCCCTATTGAATTTGCTCTATAGATAAAATCGGGGTCAGAGTACCAGTTTAGCCCCAGATTGTCCTCCAATTGTCCTTCTATCAATTCAAAGACAATAGCAGGCTGCCTCCAAAGTCTTTCGGTACGAAATGGCTTCCCACTGCGGTAGAAATAACAAGATCCAGCTGGTGTTAATAAAGGCCACATTGATGCCCTCTCTGACACTCAGAGGTGGGATAGATCTCAAATTGTTTGACGATACAGCTGTCCTCTTTCGTTATTTTGAATATCATGTCATAAGACCCCAGACAAGGTTTTTCCGAAGTCAGAAATCCTGCCACGCCTCCTCTTACGGTGTGCCAAGTAAGCCTCCACTGACATCTCGATCTGGAAAAAAGCTTCTGAGTCCCGTCTCGCCCTATTCTACGTCATATTGGCCACCAGTGCGTTCCATCTGAGTCGATCAAACTCAACCCGCGACAGTGAGAAATGGCACGATATAGGGCTATAGGCACAAAGTGAGACAAAGTCACATCTAGAGCTCGCCTAAGTTCGAATATCACGGACCCAAGACCGCTAAGCATAAGAAATTATTGGTTTCTGTGCTAGTTAGGGCCATGTCCTGCGTGAGTGCCACTCTTGCATATCATCCTGAATATATGTTAATGGGAAAGAGAAAGCCTTTCAACGAACCCCCACGAGGCAATCCCAACTTGATTATACCTTGATACTTGGATTGAATGGATTCCATGATGTCCATAGATTTATTCACGACTATGACTATATATGATCATATCCCCCAGTCCCCTTGACTTGGATGTGATCAGACTCAACTATGGATACCATAGAGAAGACAGAGGCTCCCTTCCAATAAGGCAAGGTCGACGATAATGCTTCAGATATACACGCCGTATCTTCAAATGAAATGGTCTCGCCTACTGACAATCAGCGGCTCCTTCTTCGAGCGAAACTTGTTGTCCTGAGCATCATGACTAATACAATGACATTGAGTGCACTCGATAAAGGAAGTAAACTAAAATGTCGTTGTCTAGTTTGTACAAAGTATTCCTCTTGCGTGAGGACCGCCGGGCTAATCCAGCAGAATCCTTTACCGCCTTTTATGACCAGAGCGCTCTGTGAGCCTGCTTAACATGACCTCTACGGAGTATAAGCTATATGGAATTTAAATCTCATTAGATGATAGGGTATCCTTCTCTCACAAGTACCTGGGTATATATCATAGGCGCAAATTGACCAAAGATGTATGGCCCTTGAGAACTACTATTGAGTGCAATTATTTCAGGCTAAAAAATGCCAAATATCCTCTATGGATCTTCTAAAAACTACAAACACATGCCTAATAAAGCCTCGGGCATCTATAGTGGATATGGTGGACAGAAATGGCTCTTATCAATCTTTGGTGATGATCGACAGGCGGTGAACAACCCGAGGCGTCATTCCATATTATTTTCGTTTTGAGTCACTCCGCTTCACTTCCTCCAGCTCTCTATATGCTTGCTTACTGGTAGTGAAACTCCTCTGAGCTCCTTGACAGAGCGAACAGGGTTCCTAGCTATGAGTTCGCGTACATTGAATTGGTCTCGGACAGCAAAGTCCTCGTTGACAGTGAGTGATTATAGATTCACTGCCAATGAATGGCAATGACTGACTCGGGTGCAGCAACATGTCGCTCGTCCTGACCCCACCTCGGTGCGCCCGGCACAGTCTCTCAATCTCCGAGGTCAAATCGCCGAATTCTCGGGCAGCAGTGAGAGCCAGGACCGCTTAGGTCGCCGAGCGAAGGAGAAATTGCTTGATCGGGTAGGTGAATGAGTTCTTGTTATGTAAATATTCCGGTGTACTGACTTTTGTTTGGCGCAGGAATTCTTCCTTAGCTTGCTGAGCTCCGCATCCACCAAGCGCGAAGCTAAGTCCTACCTAGCTCGGCTCAAAGCCAGCCCTACCAAGTCCGCCCAAAAATCACCTACTGAGCCTCCGAATGAGCCATTATCGGCATCGCTTCCCTCCGGTGTGAATCTGGGTTCATTCTATGGTGCTTCTAGAGCTGTATACGACAGTCCTGTGTTCCGCCAGGATACCACGCCTACTCCACGAGGACAGGAATTGCCGGAAAGGCTACACCTGGCCCTGATCAAAATCACCACACCACAATCGCTCGATGATTCCGTTATCGATGGCGTGGCGAAGACCCTGTCGCAGCTTGTGCGCCTGGGAATGGCATGCTGTGTAGTTGTCGACCCCGGAAGGCTGGATAGCTTCGCTGCCGTGCGCCAAACAGCTATCGACCAGGCAAATCGGATATCAGCTGCAGTTGATGAGCAGCCCGACTCGAAATCTTTCCGATTGGACTCTGCATTGACCATCGATGAGCAGGGTACTGGTCCGCCCACTGTGCTATCTCGAAAAGTGCTTCTGAGTGCTCTGCGGGATGGCCATGTAGTTCTTGTCCCGCCGATCGCTTATACAGAAGACAACCCTCGTGCCGTTCCAATTTCTGCCAATGATGCTGCGCTTGCATTGACTAAAGAGTTTGCCGGGCTTTCCTCAAACCCACACCCGGACGAGGATCCGGCAGTCACGGCTGAGAGAACCACTGCTCTTCAAAAAGAAGTCTCTTTAGACCGTGTCATCGTTCTTGATGCTCTTGGGGGAATCCCTGCACTTAATGGTCCACAGTCATCCCATGTCTTTATCAATATGGAGCAAGAGTTTGATCAAATTGTAGATGAGCTTTCCCAGGCACGACAGACTGTATCTGGAAACGACCGCGATCCCGCCAGGCAGGTCAACACCGAAGCCACATATCCAATCTTGGAAAGCAATCCTTTTTCAAAGTTTGTCAACCGAGAGATCGTCTCACCAGGGCAATCCGACCAATTCCCCGGCGCCGAGGCAATGCAGAAGGTACTCGATGGTCATCTCGAGAACCTCCGACTGGCCCAACAAGCACTGGCAATGCTACCATCAGCCTCATCAGGCATCATCACATCGCCACAAGAGGTATCCCACTCGGCCCGAGCTCCCTCAATGGCCGCATCAGACCTCTCAGCCGTTGGAACCCGTCGACAGCGCAACCCCCTAATCCACAACCTCCTCACCGACAAACCTCTCCTCTCCTCCTCTCTACCCCCAGGTCGACGCAGTGCCTCTAGCAACGGTAAAACAATCACAGTCAGCCCATTCACATCCCACACAACCTTCGTAAAGCGCGGCATGCCCCTTACAATCCTCCCAAACCCACACGTGCAAACATGGACAGCAAACTCTCACCCCAGACTCCAACTAAACGACCCAACAATCGACCTCCCTCGACTAGTCCACCTAATCGAAGACTCCTTCGACCGCAAACTCGACGTCCAGAACTACCTCGAACGAGTCAATGACCGTATCGCAGGTATAATCGTCGCAGGCGAATACGAAGGCGGTGCAATCCTAACCTGGGAAACACCACCAGGTGTAGTGGACGACGGCAGCGAAGCAAGCGCCGCCCGCATGGTGCCGTACCTGGATAAATTCGCCGTGCTAAAGCGAAGCCAGGGTGCAGGCGGTGTCGCCGACGTGGTGTTTAATGCGATGGTGCGCACTTGCTTCCCCAATGGGGTTTGCTGGCGTAGTCGTAAGGACAATCCTGTTAACAAGTGGTACTTTGAGCGCTCGTCTGGTACTTGGAAGCTGGCTGATAGTAACTGGACTATGTTCTGGACTACGGCTGGTTTGCCTGAGGATTCGCTGCGTTTTCAGGATTATGAGGCTGTTTGTCGGATGATTCAGCCTAGTTGGGCTGATAAGAAAAGTGTTATTGATTGATTTATATTTAGATAGACAACATATAGATAGCTTCTTTGTGGGAACACGTACATCCGGCAAGTGTCATAATGGTGTACAGTGCCATTGATAAAGTATCGGAGATGTATAAACAAAGCCCTCAACACGAGCTTTGATCTCTCTTTTTTCGCCTCTTTTTCGCCCATTTCTGTGTGTATCGGCTTGCTGTTTGAAATGAGGTGTCAGTCATGTAGGGTGTAAGGGGGCTTATGACCCCTGTTGTAAAATTTTCTCTTTTCTACCGGGCCTAACATAATAGATCTTGTGGCTTTCAGAGTCGACGCCGTGTTTTTCTGGTACAGGCTAGCCCTAAGCCAGAAATATTTCCACTAAACCCCTCCGGGTGCGGTGTTTGGCCCCCAACTGTTAGCGGCTCCTCAGTCTCCTTTTAGGGGTTCTGCAAAGTCTTTCCAATTTCACCTTTTGTTTTATGCCAAGATATAAGTATATCTTTGACTAATATGTTGTCGCAGTCCCTGTTCTGCGCGTTGGCCTCACTCGGATTTGCCTCCCTTGGCCTAGCAGATTATGCTGTTGTATGTCGCGTTCCTCGAAACTTGAAACTTACAATCTGACAACCGGTAGACGATTCCTTGGGTGGGTTATTCGAGCTCCGGAAACTATTTCGACGAATGGCAGGGCGAGTTTGTGGCAGAAGTAGGTGGTCCTTCGCCCCCCTGACTCTATACCAATGCTAACTTCCAGTCCAGAATAGTGAAACCACAACCTACCATATTGAGCCGCACTGTCCCGCAAGCAGCCATTGCCCAACACTTGAACCCCCGATCACTTTGATTGTCGCGACTAACAGTACGTATAGTCATATTCATTTCGAATGATATCGACATGGTAGATCTAACTCCCATTGAAAACAGCCTATGAACTTATAACCACAAACCCCAATGGATTCATCGGGTAATCAATGCATAACGTTATATCACGAAGGAAAACAAGGAAATGCTAATAATACCTCATAGTTACTCGAGCTCTGCCTGCACTTTGACCGGCTCCCCATCTCCGACAGCTGCTCACTGTTCATACACAGACTCGTATGAATACCGCAGTTCCACTACCACCGATTCAGATACTATGAATGTTCCTGATGATTTGTTTGACTTTGAGGTTTACCCGGTCACCCTGACTGTAGCCGGTTCTGGATCTACTGGTGCCACTGGGACTACGGCTGACACTATGGCTGAGACGACTGGTTCTTCGACTGAGTCGACTAGTGAAACCGCGTCAAACTCTCGGACTTCTGGTGGTGGTAGTGGGAGTGCTAGTGCTACTGCCAGTGCTACCACGTCAGGCAACATTGCCGTCAAAACTAATGCACCGATGTTGGTTATGGGTGGTATACTTGCAGGTGCTGTGCTTCTGAACTAGGGCATGATCATGATCAACCTTTTTTTTGGCCTATAGTTTATTCAGCAACTAGGATAGCTTGACCTTGACAAATAATGAATTTCCTCTGATATGATACTTATCAAGTGAGACTATAAAATTTCGCTTGGAACTATGAGTTTCAAGCTTTTAGATACTTTTCAATTTGCCTACTTCCCTTATCTCCGGTTCCTTCCTTTGTCTCTTCTGTTGCTTTTCTTTAATTTGCTGACTATTACCACGTGGTACAACCCTAATATTGCTTCCGGTGATATATATATAACCCCGACTGAGGCATAATGACAGTACGAGGGATAACCCCAGGGAAAATAGGCAACATAGTAAATTGGACCGGAAAATATTCCCATTAGTGATGCACAGAGGCACATAGTCTCGGAGTGTGCTAAAGGACTACTATATCTGATCACAGGGTCAAACATCTGTAGGACCGACTTACATGGCAGAGTATCGAACGTGTCGTAGGCAACTCCTGCCTCATGAAAAGCCCATACATCTAAAACGTGGCATTGTTCTATTTTTCTCCAATAATATTGACAATATGCTGATAGACGGTTGTACAATGTCAACGACATGCATTGGCTGTCGAAGTTTTGGTTCTCCTTTATATATCATTAGCCGCGAAGCTCTTACATAACAATCCATCGTGGTTGGCCAATTGGCCTAGTGGTAAGGCATCCGTTTCCGGTGCGGGAGATCGTAGGTTCGAATCCTGCATTGGTCGTTTCTTTTTGTTTATTTTGCCTTATGTGAGGCAAAGAATTGTTTTTTGAAGCCCAAGGAGGAAAATGGGTTAGCAGTAGCTCGGGTATTCTTGAAAAAAATGTGTAGATACAGCTCAACCATCGAATTGTGTATTGGAACCAGTTTTGGTTGAACATTAGTAAAACAACACAAAATCCCTTCAACATTAGAGGAAATGCAAAACATAACTTACAGTAAATAAATATCCCAATCGTGTGTCACAGGTCGTGAAAAGCGCAATGGTGCTTGTGGATAAGTTCTTTTATAGAATGTCAGAAATAGATAAAAAGGCATTCTAGAGCCCGACAAAAACATTATCAAAGTCCTCTGGCCCAGATTCCATACCTGAACTAAATCCGACAGCGCCCTTTGCTATTCCATCACTCTCAATCTAACCGAGTTCTGTTTTTAGTCTTTCGATGACATGAAAGAAACCTCGGGCCTTAAATGCGTCGATTCGTTGCATGATATCGCATTTGAACGGTAGCTTCAGGATGTAGGCTGCCGGCATGTGAGCATCTGTTGAGCCAGGTTCTAAAGGGTTGGATGTAAGCGCGCTAAGTGTTCAATTTGTTAAAACAGGCGCGTAGTAGTTAATGAAAAGTGGTATCTGGAAGCCAGAGTCAGGGGTACGCCTGTCATCCCGGCAAGATTCGAATGGTGTACGAGACAATATATTTCCAAAAGTGGAACGCAGGTGATAATCTCTTCAGTTGACGAGTCTTTGAACCAATTATTGTCTATGATGATAGGCGACTAGTTAACTCCAGAGCAAAATCTTCCAGTACTCGATGCAGCTCGTCCGGTCGCTCCAGCTGAACCCAATATCCGGAGTCAAAATTCTCCACTCGCAGATCGTGTGCCCATCGCTTGGTAACAGCAATGTTTACGTCTGCCTTCGTGACATAGTCCTTTTCACCTACGATGAGGAGCGTGGGTAGATGACATCGTCTGTCCGCTTCTGGGACTTCGGCTTCATCGATGCGGTTGACGCCGCGCATTGCGGCTTTGTACCAGTTCATAGGGCCCCGGTATCCCTGGGCCAGGATACGGTCTCTGATGGTGTACTCTTCTAGAATATACCATCACGGCAGCAAGTCAGTTCTCCCGGCCTTGACGTACTGAGCTGCGGCGCCTCGAGGAGCCAGATTGATTTTCCAGTCCTCTGGATTGGCTGCATAGATGAGTGTAAAAACTGAAGCTGGCTAACGAAGTACTTGTCATTAGCAGGACTTTGAGTAAATAGTGACGCGAGACTTACATGCTCATCACAATCCCCAACAGCGTCATCAGTATTGTGCCACGGCCAATATCCATACGTTGGATATCCGAAGAGGTCCTCGGTATGTGCGTTGAATACATCTGCACCAAAAGGCAAATTAGATGAGTTGCGAATAGTCGCGGTCGAGTTACCATACCAATGTCCCAGTCCATACCAGGCTGTATGTACCCGACTGAGGTGGGAACAATTCCCACCAAGCGATCAGGGATATATGTGACCAGACGGGAAAGCAAGCCGCAGCCCCTATGTCAAAATGTTGAGTGAAAAGAAAGACAAAGGAAAGACACCAAGTGCGCCTCAGACATCCATGAACTGACCAGTCGTGACCCAAGGCAACACAACGCTCGACATTCTCGATATCTAGTATCTCGGCCATATGGAACGACATGGAATTCAAGCGATACGAGGTTTGATCGGTCGGCTTGTCTGTGTCGCCATAACCAAGCAAGTCTGGAGCAATCACCCCATAACCTGCGGCTGACAGCCGCTTGATTTGATGACGCCAGTCATAGCAAGAACTGGGATAGCCATGGAGCAGCAGAGATGTGATCCCACCAGCTCTGGACGAGGGGTGAGCGACATAGCCATACAAGGTGCCGTCAGACAGGGTTGCCTTTTTAGCCATAGAAGGGAACGCCAGCGAGGCCATATTTGAAAGATGAATATTTTGCAGAGTGCGTCAGACCACGGTCTTCAACCTTGAAATGTGATTATTTTGGATTCTCCTACAAATATATTGAATCTCTTTCTCCTCGGCTTCATGAAGCGGACTGTCAGCGCTTGTGAGGGCCGAGCATTACATAGTTAGTGCTATCCATAGCCGGTCATGCATGGCTCGGACAGATGCTAAGTGGCTTCTTTGAGATTAGGGGGGATTGGTCCTCCGAGCTCATCATGTTGATTTGCCAGGGGTAGGATGGCACTGTGCAGGGATATCGAGAGTTTCGCGAAGGCAAACAATGTCGCCTTTTGAACACACAACATATCCCTTTGTCGTAAAATGCATGGAAACACTGCATACATCGGTTAGGATGAGTCAAAACAAGGCAGAGGAGCAAGTAGATAGCAATCAAAGCCCGTCATGTGATAGTTCGACGTGCAATATGGATTTCTCCCAATTAGGCCATATTCACGCTCGTATCCCCCCGCTTTATACTTCACAGACAGCCTGAGATCGATCTGGCCAATAAGAGTTTAGCAATATCTGGTTTCTTATTACCCTTAGGGCTGACAATTGTTATGCAAATATCATGGGTCTGATCAATAAAGCCAAAATGCTGCTGCTGGGCAAACCAAGCATTCAATGCAGCCGAGCGGGTTTTTTTCCCCACTTTTTGGTCTGATACGCGCAATATGTCAATCCAAGGTTCTTCAATCAGATCTCAGAAATAAAACATTGCTATCTTGTATAAGTTCTCCGCCCAGGAGGCCTGGAACCTTGCAAAACTTGGAACGAGCGTGCTCTTAAACAATAAAACGATACAGCGAGTGAATATACGACTAGGTAGGTATGTGAGAAAACTTCATTTTCAAGGTGCTAGATAAACTCGACTCTAGCCAGAGTCTGTCCTTGTAGGTACTGCAAGGCCATAAACCTATAGAGTTCAATGAAAAGGCGTATATTTTAATAATCCTTCCATGGCCTAACGGTTATGGTGGTGAGCCCTGCTACGGCGGTGTCCCCCTGACGTAGGGCCGCTGCCCCATGCCCACTGGCAAGTTGTAGGTCCAGTTCCTAGCGTGGAAAGATTGTCTTTGTCTTTTTTTGCTCTTTTCCCCTTTCCCCATTTTTCCTGTATATGGTGAATCCATCAAAAATAAAGTAAGTACTCAGAGAGGAAATTGCCATTATATACAAGCATTTAGCGTCGGGGATTCTGCTAACGTCATACTATGGGGTCTAAGCACCTGCCATTTTCACGAATCTAGACTATACACTAGCTTCTTCCTACTCACTTTTCCCTCTCGAAGTTGATTGATGCCCTGCAGAACGCCCTTCAAGCCACCCGTGCAAGCCATGGTTGGATGCGTGATGACCTTATTCTGGGCAAACAAGTTCGTTGCTCGCTCCCAGAACCTGTACCAACTTATCAGCAACTGTAGCTTTCAACTCAGGAATAACGACCCACATCTTGCCAAACTCCAGATCATCCGGTTTTGCAGAAATCAAGGAGTCTCCCATGGCGAATTCCTCGTTGTTGGCGGTGTAAGCAAGCGTGCGAATATTCTCCACGTCTGTCCGCGGAATTGTCGTGGGGTTAAGAGAGCACATCTTCCCTCCGCCGGATGATATCGCCTCACAGCATATTTTTGCTAAGTTGTCATCCGAAATGCAATTAAAAGCAAACCTAAGCCCATCGCTTGTGTACTTGCGAATCTGCAGAATACAAGATCAGTTTTTGGGGCTTATTGGATAGGTGATAAGGGGGCAATGAGCAGTCCTACGTTTGCACCACAAGCGGGATCTTTGTAGTTGAACGCTTTGCCCGCTCCAAGTTTTTTGGACGAACGGAATATTGCGAGGTGAACAAGTCGTGATGACTTCATAGCCAGACCTGGGTCATCTTGTTAGCACGTTCAGGTTGAGTCTGTAACTTCGGGATTCCTCACAATGCGGCGGATTGAATTGCGAGACTTCCTGTAGCCGTACTGCCCCCATAGACCAACAATAGAACTCCACAAGGGCTGGAGTGTGGAAGCGGCAATCCTAGGGTCTGATACAGTGCCTGGCCCACTGTAGTTACTCCGACACCCAGTGTGGCCGCCTGTTCGTCATTCAAATTGTCGGGGATCTTCATTTGCAAGTCTCCTTTGGCGACGGCAAACCCTTTCAAGTCAAGCCTGCCAGCATTTATTCAGAATGTTAGTGGTACTGAAGCCCACCGGCAAAGCATCCGTCCTCGATTTCAGTCGCGTTACAACCGTGGACAAAGGCTGCAATACGATCTCCCTTTTTCCAATTCTTGGTGACGGCAGGCCCCACCTGTTCAACTACACCGGCAAAGTCACATCCTGATGTAGCTCCGGGCGCTGGAGCGAAGTCTATGTGCTTCCTGTGGGCATGTAGACAGTCAGTATTGGCATTATGGAGACCATAAGGGCGTCTCACCAGTCAGTCGGATTTATTGCGACTTGGTTTACTTTGCACAAGACATAGTCATCTCGCAACCTCGGCAACGGCACGCCCTGGATCTCCACGGTTCTAGGACCGATCACCTTGATTGCGTCCATAGTGGTTATGATTGGTTTTTTCCCTATGAGTGAGAAGAATTTCAAGTTGAGATTATGTCCTTGAACAATGCTTCCTCTAGAAGAATAATATATCTTAATGGTAGGGCCATTTGAGTACGTCAATTTGATGGCCTAGGATTAGATATCATCAACTTGGAACAAAATGATATTCCCAGGGACTCGGGCCTCGGCCTCGGTGGCGTTTGATGCAAAGTTCGGCCCGAACATAGCATCTTTAGGGGAAGTAGTTTTATTGGGGTTGCCTCACGGGAGTCAGCTGCCCATCTCCGTCGGTAGCTTGTCATCTCTCACGCCGTCAAGACTCATTCTGTCCCACCCACCTTCTTTCTGTATATAGAAATCTTTAAAATAAACACACATTGCCTCCCTATAGGGGAGCGCGGACGGGCCATATCTGACGCCACAGTCTAATGCGTTTCCGTATAAGACCGCAGCGGCAGGTGACCCGTCACTGCCAAACTACACAAACCTAGTCCCTCTAGACTGCGACGCCATTCAACTTCGTGCAGATCGTCAGGAACACCTTTTTTGAAGTGAAATGTGATACTACTATATGCCTGAGTAGACAGCTTAATCCTGAGCCTGCCGTAGGTAGTGTCGCAGAAGTAGCCAGAATTCATAAGAGCGTGATCCAACAATGTCCCACCTAAGCATCTTGACTTGGGAATTAGATTGAAAAGGCTATAGAAGCAATATTTATTACAAAGGTGGACTGGCATTATGTTTGTTCTATAGCGAAGAGCTCTAGTCCTAGCACACACAGGATTTGGTACCGCACAAGAACCTTGGAAACCCATTTGCAACAAAGGCCTCTCCAAAACGAAAGGGAATATCAAAGAAAAGAGATGGATTTTAAAAAAAAAAAAAAAAAGGAAAGTTGCGCGAGAATGTCCAGGTGGGTGGCATTCAAGTCGATGCATGTGTCATATGCTGCAGCACCATATTTTTGAGATTTGCAGTTTGGCAGCCCTAGCCCAACTCGCTTCCAGGGATTTGATAGGCAATTCCGGTTTAGTGAAAACAGAGCTACTGTGTAATACGTAGGTGCCACTGGCTCACTGGTAGTGGGTATGCGGGCGATGGGGCCGGCCCCATCTTCCAAGGTTGCTAGTAATGAGGCTCCAATTTTCTAGGGACGGAGTGCCTATCCAGTAGATCCCGGAAGGATTCTGTGTATACAGCTGATATGCAGGAATAGCATCAAACCCTGCATGACCGAAAAACCTTGGAATTAAAATTCTCAATTACCCTAAAAAATATGCGGGAAATGCAATTACATTAAGAAAGCCTTCACATGCAGGTGTCTCCAAGGTTCCGAGGTTTCATACGTTTAGATATATATATATATATATCTACTTCTTAGCAGGCGAGGACAAGTACTTTTGTGTAGGATAAATTAGCCGCTGAAGGCCATTTTCTAGAGACATTGGGAGATTTACTGGTCAGATAAGGCTTGACAAAAGTACAGGTAGGAAAGTGATTATCACAGTACTGTAAAGACTAGTGCGGGCATAACCAATTGATTGTTTGAGAGTTTGTTTCTCAACACTTCCTAGGTACTCAACCTAGGTAACTGGTCGGGTGTCTTGGAGGCCTTGGGCGCAGCTTGACCACTTGGATGCTAGACAGAGGCTGTCGGGATTTCGTATTCCTTTCGCGGTCCGGAACCGCCAACGCCGAAGCCGCCGGCGTCGTGAAGCGTCTCGAGGAATCGGGTGCCTCGGTCGGCGTCTTCTGCGTTGACGCAAGCGATGAGACGGCTGTCACGCGCGTTATTGCAGATGTATCCTCCACCAGGCCGAATAGCGGAGTCATTGACGTGGCCATGGTCCTTCAGGTCAGTCAGCATCTGCTGCCGGGCGATTCATACTAGCAAGGTTACTTTGACTGACACCTCGCAGGACGGATTGTATGAAGGTATGACAATCGAGCAGTATCACGCAGTTCTCAAGCCCAAGATGCAGGTGGCTTTGGCTCTAGATAAAGCGCTTGGCTCTACCGCCCTTGAGTTTTTTCATCATGACCAGCAGTTTTTCTGCAGTCCTCGGTAATCCCGGTTAGGCCAACTACTGCGCCGGCAACAGCTATTTGGACTCCCTGGCTCTCTGCCGGCGCAAGCGGGGTCTGGCAGGCTCTTCCATTGCCCTTCCCATGATCGAAGATGTGGGAGTGGTGGCAGAGAACGTGGCGATTGCGGACTCTCTCACGCGAAAGAATCCATTTGGGATAGATGAGCGCGAGATGCTCGTGGCCATGAAAGCTGCCATTATCCGAAGCACCGTGGGTAGGGCCAAACCGTCATCCGACAACCAGAGCATTTCTCCGATCGAGGATGCCCGACTCGTGTAAGGCCTCGAGCCACTGGCTATCATGGCGGTCATGAAGGCATCGGCAGTAGACATGTCCGATGCATACTGGTCTCAAGATGCTCGCTTCGGCCCGCTGCGTGAGGCATCGAGTACTCTTGCTGCTGAAGCACCTGACAAGTTCCAAATGGACGGAGTCTCGGTCGCGCGGCATGAGGTGGACTCCATGATCGGGGTGGAGCTGCAAACTTGGCTGTTCAAGGAATTCGGTGTACAGATCAGTGTTCAAGTCCTGTCAAACCCCAACACCACATTCCGGTCTTTAGCAAGCTTGGTTGCCGAACACATTTACGTCGCTGCTTGAATCATGACGGGCCGGTTCACCCGACGCGCTGAGCGGTCGCATCGCATTCTCACACGGGTTTGGTTTCGCCTAGTACCTTGAATTGAGTGTCCGAGCTTGAAGGCCCCTTTTTGGCTGCTCGAGAACCCTTTATGGATTGAAGTCCGAAGCTATTTGCGCGGCTGTTTTTTCTACTCTTTGGTTGTTCGGTTAGGCTTGTCGCGTTATTTCTCAATCTACCCTCTATAAGCACGATTGTCTCATTCGCTTAAGCGAAGTCAGATGTAGACATGGGCGACACCTAGATTTTGAAGCTTACTATCCGACTACATAACATTTGCGCCCTGGACGCGTTCATCCCATAATTTTCTTGTTCTCTACCCCTTACAAGTTTCCACATGCCGTACGACTACTGGCCGAGTGATTTAGTATCGTTGATAGACTTACAAACCCGGCTATTCAGGCGCATTGTCAGCAATTGACCTTGTTCTCACTCAATCTTCAGTTACGCAATGTTCAACGCGTTCCTGGACCTGGCGCGAAACAGTTTTCGTCGTTCATCAAAACACTTAATTTCTCGTTGCATCCGGAGGCTCGCCTCGGTGTTCAACTTGATCACAGATAGTCTTTATGATTCCGATGGGCTGTCAACGGTGGTGAGATTATGAGGAAAGCCGTTTAGAACATATTCTAGAACACTAATCGGCTGCTTTCACCATGAAATGGATTTTTCGTTCTTAAAAAGCCAGCAAATCTCGAGCTCAACCTCTGTTTCAGAGAGCCGAGACGTCCGTCTACTATGGCCTTGGAAACCACGCGGCCGCGACAGAGAAAATCCAAAACGCAACCCCAAATGTCGATCTTCGAGTTAAAGGCCGAACGAATTCAACAACATAGTCAACAGGGGGCTTGAAAACGATTTCTATTCCAAGTGTTTTGAGAGCTTCCATCAATTCGTCAGTGCCACCATAGACGCAACCCAAAGTCTGGCTCTGCAGTATCATTTCAACCCCGTAAACAGCCCTTCTAGTAATCCGCACCTGCTTCGAGCTATCGTTTCATTACGAGGGGCTCTTGACAAGTCCCGAGCCGAGGAGCAGGAGTGGAAGCAGCAGTGGAAGGTCTCTTCTGTTCGGCAGTCTTCACTTCGATGGCTTTAACCCTTTGAGAGCTTTGTGTCTTTGACCCTATCAAGAGCATTCAGCATAACCGGTTGAGCGAGGTTCAGGATGAAAGAGAACGGAATGACCTAAGACCTAGACGAAGTTAAACCCATAACTGAAGCTTTTTCCACAACAATTGAATAGCATATCAGAATTGATGCTATGTATTTTACACATCAGCCACAGCAGAGAGACGGTGCAGTTCGCCGTGCACTTAGCGTTGTAGGGATGAACCGACAACCCGAAGAAATTTTGAACTCCGCGCGTAATATTTCAAGTCCCGGCTGCTTTCCAGTGGTCCAAGCGAGTCTGAGCATGGAGTTAGAACATGGACGCTCCCTAGCTGAATGGCAGTGGAAGGAGTAAAGATGGTGAAGATCGTCATCGTCAATCCAATGTAAGCTGGGTCGTGCTTTGAGCATATACGCCACATTTTCTAGGTGTTGGCTTTAGGCTGGTATGACCATTGCCATTCCCATAGTGAGGCTACACACCGTCCAATTTTGCTGCCTGTCAGAGCGGTCCTCATCCCATTGATTCTAAAGGGCCCGCAACTTTACAAGTAGCCTCACAAATTGACAATGCTGGCCGGGGTGGCATTATAATGTACTGCCAAATTAAGAACTCTTTTCAGTTAGTATATCGCATTCAATCACTATTGAAGGTTGCTAGTCCGGTGCAGTAAGGTCAGTTTATGCACAATGGGTACCACACCCACGGTGCAAGTGAAAGCTCGCGGTATCTGTGACAGCCAGGTCATGGCTTCTGAAAACAGATTGATTGAGCAAAGTCTCGGCACAGCTTTACAAGCAAAGAAGCCGTCAAATGGGCGAAGTCAAATCTCCGATGAAAACTACATCAGTTGCATGATCCTGTTATTTTTACTCTTTTCGAGCGCAATGAATCGTATCACTGCCGTTGAGAAGGAAACAGAGCGGCTAGTAGGTACATCGACGGCTTCAGTGCTCAAAGTTCACCGTCCACCTTTGGATCTGGCATTTGCCCCGATGACTTTGGTATCGGATCTGTTGGCTCAAGCACAGAGTACACAAGTTCCGCAGGGAAAGAAGGGAAATTACAAGATCACGTTCCCTATCAAGAACTCCCGGCTACCATTAGTAAAGTTAGTAAATACAAGTCAAATTTTGACTAAAATTTATATTTTAAAGATACGAGGCTGGCCCAAGCTGAAGAGATTGAGTCAAGCTGTTTCGTGCACACCTATCAGTATTACCATCTGAGCTCGAAGAACGGATATCTTCTCGAAACGGCTCAATGAAGACAACCGTGTACAAGCAGGAGCTGACTGAAACCTAGCTTCCCCCGGGCCGGATGTATCTACTTGGATCTTTTTTGATCCAGCATTTCCTCGGGAAACATATTGAGGGGCCAGTTGATGGAAATATAGTGGTAATGCCCAATTTGGCCGCTCTGTTGCTTGACCCATTCCATTTCCTACGCGCGTGATAGGATCCGTTTTGTGTTTCCTTGGCTATGTTTGGTGGAAGTGCTGTCGATATGTCGTTTTGTGGGTTGTGTAGTAAACTATACCTCCTCCATAGGAATCGACCGACCAATGATCAAATTACGGCCGATACTGCTTTTTAACGATTTCACACGGCAGCGCGGTGTATGCTACCTCAAATATTTTGAAGATTGTTTCTTGGCAGGCGACAGCCTTTGGCATAGTAAGGGCATCACTAACGCACAGGCCTTAAGAAATACCCGCTCCCCCATTTTGAGAGTTCTATAGGATTAACATGTTGCAAAAAAAAAAACTTTTCGCGAGTCGAATAGATGTCTAAATGCAAGCACTGAAAGATCGCTCCCATGCTACCTGAATTCGATCGCAGCTTCAAATTATGTGTTTGTCTCGAAGCGCAATGTCCGACTCGGTGGCGAAGACAAGGGGCTCTCACCACTACATTCCCATGGATTCGCCCGCAACAATCAAGTGAAAGTCAATCGAGTCATTCGCATTTTGGGAAGAGCAGCTCGATTAATTCTAAACGTATAAAATTTGCTTATTTGGCATATCTTTTGAGCTTTTCTCGCCAGAGGGACAAGGCTTCCAGTTTGTTAAGACGCGCTTAAGGCCCTGAGTGTCGTTAGTACGGAGCCCTCATTACCTTGAAGTTTGGAGGGCATACATAGACAAAGAAATGTATCGCATAGATTTCGTAGGACAGGCGATTACAATTGCCAGCATCAACATCGCATGAGATTTCATTGAATTTATTCAAGTGGTTAATTTTCTTCGTTGTAGCATCCACATAGAAAGTCCCGTGCGAATATACACAGGCCGGAGTTTTCTGCTGTGATCATCAGTTAAGCGCAAAATTTCATATGTAAACGGCCAAGAATGGAGACCGACCTCTATGATCATTTTGTACGGCAGGCTCCGTTTGGCGAAGCGTGAACCTGGTGAGATCGGAGAATAGTTCGAGTCATTAAGATTTGTGGTGACTATGAGAACTTATTGTCTAATGAATGTATCAGGCAACAACGTGTAGAATAACCAACACCAGTGTCGAACTTCTCCCAAGCTTTTTATCAATGGATATCTTTCCAGCAGCGGACCACATGTTGCGGCAAAATATTCTCTGTGATTTGCTTGCTAGATACAGCGATGAGACCGAAACCAGGCAGCGGACAAAGATGATGAGAATTCCTGCAAAAAAAACCCCGATTATAAGAGAGAGAAAAGAACAAGATAGTCCTCACTTCCACCCAGTCGCAATGAAAAGGTGCAAACAAAAGCAAAGCAAAAAGAAAAAGATCGACGACCAATGCAGGATTCGAACCTACGATCTCCCGCACCGGAAACGGATGCCTTACCACTAGGCCAATTGGCCGATCTTGATAATTTGGCTGGCATCAAATGTATTGACTCGGATAATTAGTCTCTTGTGAAAAGATAGGAAATACTTGTTTTGCCAGTGATGGTTGCTTTGATCGTGGAGATCCTTAAATATAATCAATTCGACTACCAAATTATATCTACAAACGGAGGTATCACGAATAATCAGGTGAGTTTAGCAATGTGGGCGTTGCACGTCGCACCTCAAATCCTGTTGGGCTCCTGTGCTGGGGGGAAGAAGCCCTAAGTCGGAGGAGCCATCCCTACATCCAACTTCCCGTCAACTAGAGCATACCTGCAATTTCTGACTGTTTCAGTGACCCTGGAAGGACCAAAGCCTAAAAAGTATACCCATCCCCCAAGAAGCATGCGCACTATCCAAATTACAAGGTCGTCAGCGGCGCAGGTCCCAAGCCCTGCGGGACCTAGCATGGGGCAATCAGGGCGGCCCCTTGCATAGCAGGGAGGCGTAACGATGATCGACGGGGAGATTTGTCGAGATCAAGCATCGGAGCATTCCCGCCACAGGAGCGAACAAACAATAGCCACCCATTCAGAGACACGAGACAAGCACCCAGCATTCCCCGTTAGGGGTGTTCATGCAGTCGCACGGGCAGTTGAGGGGCATCGCCGGACGACGCCCCTTCATCCCAGTTATGACTGAATGTCACCAAGGCCATGGGTGGTATAAAGAATAAAGGAACCCAAGAATCTCCCGGGCTAGGTTTGCATTCCGGACGACTTTCGTTAACACCCCTTCTCTTCTTCGCAGGTTCGACCACTAACTTGTTGTCGCTTGTCGGCATTTACTTTCTTTCAGTGCTGCATCTCTCGACGATAATTCACGACTAGATCGACATCATGGTTAAGACTACTTACGCCCTTACGCTCTTTGCTGCGGTCAGCATTGCTGCGCCTGTTGCCCAGCCTGATGGTAGCGGTAACCTCCTCGGTGGTACTGATGCTGGTATTAGCAAGCTCTTTTCTAAGCTTACTGGTCGTGGCGATGAGGATACCTCGAATGAGCACAAGAACCTCATTGAGGACATTCCCATTTTGGGACCGATGCTTGGAGCGGTAAGTCATGGACGCGCTGTATCAGCATTGAAGTGCAATGTTCTAATGGAATGAAACCACAGAAGCACGACTCTAAGCGTGGCCACTCCGAGTATGAGGCTGATCACCACAACTTGATTGATGGAATCCCAATCGTCGGCCAGCTGCTTGGTAATGTAAGTATATTGCCCTTGCAGAAATGAGAATGCCATACCCACAGTCGCTGATATAATGTCACGAACAGGACAAGTCTACCCTTGACAAGAGCAAGGACCGTCGTGACCTGAGCGATGGTCTGAATGGTATCCCCTTGATTGGTGGTTTGTTCGGCAAGGTGAGTGTTCACGACTGTAATTTAGAGTGTTGAATGACTGACGATGAACAGCACGAGCACACTGGTGGATACAACGGCCAGAAAGCAAGCCGCAGCTACGGCCAGAACTATGGCCAGAACTATGGTCAGAACGAAGGCCAAAACGAGGGCCAAAACGAGGGTCAGAACGAAGGCCAAAACGAGGGTCAGAACGAAGGCCAGAACTATGGTCAGAACGATGGTCAGAACGAGGGCCAAAACGAGGGTCAGAATGATGGTCAAAATGAGGGTCAGAACGATTGGCAAAACTACCTTCAGAATTACGGCCAGAACGAAGGCCAGAACTCCAAGCGCGACCTCGGTGGCCTCGAGAGCCTCCCCATTGTTGGAGACCTCCTCAAGAGCGTATGTGAAACTCTAACGCTTCACATCAAAACCCGATATTGACACAAAACACAGGACAAGGCCGGCCACAAGGAGACCGACGACCCAGCTAAGCACCTCGACACTCGCCAGGTCGGTGGAAACGCCAAGGGCGTTTTCGGTATCCTGCAGTCCCTGACCAGCGGCAACGTAAGTGTCCTTCTCCAGTTTGAAGTACATCAATGTTGACGTAACTCAGCCCGTCACCAAGAGTCACGCCAAGCGTGAGGATGATGAGTTCTCCCAGCTTGACCCCCTCCGCGACGTCGTCGACGGCGCCGTCATGTCGGGTATGGAAGCTGAGGGCGCCGCTATGCCTGTAAGATCATCCCATCACCCGAATAGAGAGTATATACACTAACCCCCCGAAAGATGCGCCGCGACGAGATGGCCACTCCCACCCAACAGTCCGCAGCCTCGGCAACACCCACCCCCAGCGAATCTGCCAAGCCCAAGAGCTTCCTCAGCGAGCTGATGGGCAAGCACGGTCTCGGTTCGATCATGGGCCACGCCCACCACGGTATTGGTCTCTTCCCTGTAAGTCCTCCACACCAAACTAGACAAAATGAATAGCCAACTAACACCTTTCAGATGAAGCGCGATGGCACCGGTGCCGCACCCCCAATCCAGGGCTCAACCCTGACCGACGTCCTCATGCAAGGTGGTGCCCTCGGCAAGCTAACCAAAATGCTGTCCCCTGCTACTCCTCCGAAGTCTCCTCACGGAGACCCCAACACTGTCGGTGATGGCTCTAGCAACGGTCCCCCTGACCCTGCTTCTGGTGCTGGTCCTCACAGTGGACCTGGTTTCGCCGGTGAGCATGGTGATTCTAAGGCTGCCGCTTCTGTTGCTGGTGCTGCGGCTAAGCCCCAGTAAATTGGCGATGATTGGAATATTCTTTACTTCTCCTGTCTTTTCTGTTAGATGTGGATTCGATGTGGATGAGTTGTCGTAGATTTGGAATAAATTGGTGCACAACCTCAGAAATGGATACAGAATGGCTTATGTTGTTGGGTTGTCATTTATTTCTTGGACAATGTCAAATTTTTTTATGATTACAGTCGAATTCCCGAGTCAATGCTTTCTCAACGTAGTTGTGTTATAACAAATATTTTGTGAACATCAGACATAAAAAGGTACAGGAGATACTATATCGCCCGCTAGATGGACGTAGCCAGACAAAGAGCATAAGCTCAAGAGTAAAATAAAAAACCGAGATCGTGAGTCGTTGCATCAAATAAAAAAATCGCCTTTCGAGGCGCAGACTAACCCAGTCAAAGAGCGTCATTGGGGTATCAGATCGTTATGTGCGAGAAAAATCAAATCCAGATAAACATGCACGACATGTCATGCGGCTCTCAACAACTGTAAGCAAACATGATCATGCTTAGTCGTAGTCGGAGAAATCCATGTCCACATCATTTACTTCCACCGTCGTTCCGAGAGCTGCTTTGCCCTCCCGAATCATATCTTGCAGCTGTTTGTTCAAACGTTGAATACTGGCGTCCTCTTCTCGCTCCTTGCGGCGCATCTTGGCTGCATGTCGCTGCACCTCGGCAGACGCAGGAGCGTCCCTTGTCCGGGGTGAGGGAAGAGCCTGGCTCTTGATTGGGGATTTTGGTTGTGGTGAGGCATAGGCCACCTTCTTGAGCCGGGGCATGACGGCTGGTCGACGGCGCGGACTGGAAGCTTGGAACATCCGCCGAGTGCGCAGCGACGGGCTGGCAGTGTCGCTGTTGCCCACGAAAGGATCGTGGGTCTTGGGTGGAACAACGACCCAGCTGCGATCGAGGTCGTCGTCGGGGTATTGGCCCGGGACGGGGGTTGCAAATATGTTAGAGTGGTAGGAGTCTTTTTCGGTGGATGGGCTGGTCGATGGCTGCCAGCTTGATTCGAGGGTTGTTGGCAGCCCAGCTGTCATGTCATAGCCCTGCCCGCCACCAGCATAGAATCCTCGGAACGCTCCAGACCAGCAGAGGTCGAGGACTTTGCCAACGGCTTTGATCACCGTCCGGCCCCAGCCAGCTGGAGTTGTTGAGGGCGAGTCTGGGCCGTCGGCGTTTGGAGATGCGATACCCGAGTCACGACGGCTGCGCTTGCGACTTGTGCCGCTGGACTCGGGGTTTATTGACTCAGTGCTTGCATCGAGAGATGGTGGGAGGAAGGATTCGCGATATCGGTTTGGACGGTAGTCCAGCTCTGCAGAGGTGTGGAAGTCGTGTCCACCGCTGAAGGCCCGATAATCCGACTGGACCATAGGGGACTCGAGCTCGGATGGAGATTCGAAACGCGATGCAAGCTTTTCTGTGTTGCGACGTGGGCGCTTGCGGCTCACCGAGAGGGAGTACAGTGATGAGGATGCGGAGGTGGCTGGGACCTGGAAGTACTGAGACGGCGCATTTGACAAGTCCAGCTTAGCTGGAGAATTGAAGACATGCATATCGGGCATGTTGAGAAGAAGTAGAGAAGAAAGTCGGAGGAAAAAAAGGCGAAAAGGCGAGAAAAAACAAGAGGTTGGGGATTTGGCAGGTTTGCGGCCAATCGGACGATAATCTATACAGTCCCCCTTTGCAGTACTTGCTTCACTTCTTTGCTTCATTTTCCAGTTCTTTCGTATTGTTTCCGGGTACTTTTGATTTCTTTACTTGTTTATTCAATGTATGTGCGGCATTGAGCACCCCCAAGTAGCTTGATGGCCGCTTTCAACTCCTGTATACCCGATCTGTTTGTTGAGACATCCTCTGTTATTGTTCCCTCCCCCTACATGACCTATCACTTCGATATCACAATCGCTGGCTCGTCCATTGCACACCAGCAGCCTCAAGTCCCTCATCGCCATCGACAAGAACACACCATCCCTCGCCGCCAGCTCCCCCGTCGCCAGCAATAACCGCTTCGAAGTGACCGCGAGCATAATCCAGCACCGAGTCGTCAAAGGTACCAGGCTGCAACCACACTGCAGGGATGCCCACCGAGTGAGCTTCCTGCAGTACCTGCATCGTTACAGGCGGTGGAGTCACCACGGAGAGGGAGGTCTGCAGCGGCGAGGGCAGCTTGGACGGTGAGGGGACCGTATCGTAGGCACGCGAGGGGAGGTTGATCTGCGCTGCTCGGGGGTTGAGCGGTGTCACTGGCAGGGAGTGCTGATGATACCAGGCGAGGACTGGAGGTGGTTAGTAGAGAACGAATCTGGTCTTGTCTGGTCGTACTCTTGTATCCGAACTTATGTGCGTCATTGCTGGCGCCCGCCACTGCGAAGCGGGGCGAGGAGAAGAAGCGCTTGACGTCGGCCATTGTAGAGATGAAATGTAGAAATTAAAATGGGTGAAGAATTATAGAGTATACAGTACTTGGTAAATGCAAGTTCACAGAAAAGAGAGGGAGTGAGCTCTCAGCGGAAAAAGACCTCGGCATCCGGCGATGACGGAACCTCCTTCGCTCATCTCCTAACTCCGACATTCGGCGACCACCACCATAAACGCGTAGAAGCCTGAACATCTTCACACGCATGCCACCGTTCGTCCCCCGCAAGCGCGTATCCTCCGAGGACCCGCCCCCGGCCAAGCGCCAGGCCCGGCCCGATGAAGCCCCGTTCCACCTGTCGGACTCCGATTCAGATTCCGAATCGTCCTTGAGCGACGCTCCAGACGGGCTTATCAAGGATACCAAGGATGAGGAGGAGTCTGACGAGGACATTGATTGGGAGGATGCTATCGACACAGGCACTACGAGCGCAACAACCCCGGCCACTGCAGCCCCGGAACTACGTGATCTGGAATTGACCTTTGATAAGAATGAAACACATACGGCAGACCTACTGGATGGAAAAAAAGGCCCTAGCAAGATCGAGCGCCATATCCGTGTCCAGACACATTGCATGCATGTCCAGTGCTTGCTGTTCCACAATGCCATTCGCAATTCCTGGATCAATGATTCCACGGTCCAGGAGACCCTACGCAAAAATTTACCAGAAGGGATCCACAAGGAAGTAAAGAAATGGCGCATTGCATCTGGGTTGGAGCTTCCAGAGCCGAATCCTGAACCATCGAAAAGCAAGAAGAAGGGCAAAAAAGCCCAGAAGAACAAGGATTGGAGCGCGGACTCGGAGCGGCTGGAACCCGGTCAGCCGGATATGAGTCGGGGTGATCCGATCATCACGTTGATAAAGATCCTGGTTGCGTACTGGCGGAAGCAGTTTCATATTACTGCGCCGGGATTGCGCAAGTATGGATATCGACCAGTCTCGGATCTTGAAAGTGTCATTTCTGATTTCCGCGAGGAGGAGCATGATCCGGCGCGCCATGGTGAGCGCATTGCTAAGCTAGACGAGTTCCGTGCTACTGCTGAACGCATGCAGGGCTCGCGAGATGTCGGTGCGCAGCTCTTTACCGCTCTTATTCGGGCTTTAGGCATTGAGGGTCGGCTTGTGGGAAGTCTTCAACCACTGGGATTTGGTTGGACTAAAAATGAGGTCTATACACCGTCCAAGGAGTCCGAAAAGAAGGAAACAGAGGAGAAAGAAGAACCTGCACAATCTGAGTCCGACGCAGATGAGACACCAGCCAAGGTGACAAAACGTAAGCAGTTCGACAAGGACCTCCCATTCCCGATCTATTGGACTGAAATTGCGTCTCCAATAACGAATGAGATCATCTCTGTCGATCCTCTGGTCCTTTCGAATCCCGTCGCACCAACCGGGGATCTCCAAGCTACCTTCGAACCTCGCGGCGCAAAAGCCGAACGAGCCAAACAAGTGATATGCTACGTCGTTGCGCACTCAACAGATGGCACAGCAAAAGAAGTTACCACACGCTACCTCCGAAAGCGTACCTGGCCAAGCAAAACCAAAGGCTTCAGAATGCCCCTAGAAAAGATTCCTTTACCGGGCCTACGAGGCCAATACATCGCCTTCGATTGGTTCGGAATGGTAATGCGCGGTTACCAAAGACCAAAAGAGAGACGAACAGCAGTAGACGAGCTCGAAGACGAACGCGACCTCAAACGCAACCAACCCGAGAAGAAAAAAGTAGCGCCAAACCATGATACCCTTCAAAGCCTCCGCACGTCGTCAGAATTCGTACTGGAGCGCTTCCTTCGCCGCGAAGAAGCCCTTAAACCAGGTTCCGAGCCAGTCCGCACATTCACCTCCGGCAAAGGCGTCCGCGCCAAAGAGGAACCCGTTTTCAAGCGCGCAGATGTGGTCAAATGTCTCTCAGCTGAAAGCTGGCATAAAGAAGGTCGCCAGACCGTTCCAGGAGCAGTACCTCTAAAGCGTGTCCCTATCCGGGCCGTGACCCTCCTCCGCAAACGTGAAGTCGACGAGATGCAGCGTGAAACTGGCGAAAAACCTCTCCAAGGATTATATGCCCGTGACCAAACGGAGTACATTATCCCACCCCCTATTGAAGATGGACATATTCCCAAGAATGATTATGGGAATATCGACTGTTTCGTGCCCAGCATGGTTCCGCGTGGTGCGGCGCATGTGCCGTTACCGGGAACAGTGCGGATCTGTAAGAAGCTGGGCATCGATTATGCAGAAGCTGTTACCGGCTTTGAATTTGGGTCTAAGATGGCTGTGCCTGTTATTCAGGGTGTTGTGATTGCGGAGGAGAATGAGGAGTTGCTTCGGGATGCGTGGAGGGCAGATGCTGCCGAGAAACGAAAGAAGGAGGAATTGAAGGCTGAGAAGAGGATTTTGCAGACTTGGCGGAAGTTCTTGTTTGGGTTGAGGATTATGGAGAGGGTTCGGGAGGAGTATGGAGGTGGAGATCCTGAGGCTGGGAAGGAGAGGGATGAGCACAATCCATTTGCTTTGAAAAAGAGGAAGAGAGATGAGGAGGAGGAAGAGGGAGAACGAGAAGAAGGTGGCCATGATCATCCGGAGTCTGAACATGATCCGATGGATTATGGCGGTGGGTTCCTCCTTCCTGGCGAAGATGATGCTGATGATGGGTTGATCGTGGAACATCACGAGGAGAAGAAACAAGCTGGTCCATCCCAGTCTCGTGGGGAATCCGAAGGAGATGGTGCGTCAGAATCACTGTCACCGCCTATTTCCATCCCCTCAGCCTCAGATAACGAGGAACAGGACGATGATGACGACGGCGAAGATGCAAAGCCCGAATACACACCTCGTCCCACGCGCCGAACTGCGCGGCGTTGACCGCAAAGAAGATTAATAATGACCTGTACTATGAACATGATGTATTGATTACTCGAGAAATTTGAATAAAATGTTGAATATGGCCCAAGTTCATCCATGGAATGGCCGAAAAAGAGAGGCCAGATAGGGCGTAGCAATGCATGAAATCGTACACTCGCTTCGAGGGTCTTGTATCAAAACTGTCCGCTTCATATTACTGTAAACAGATATATGGTGGGTGTGTTGTGGTTAGGCAGGATTGTCTAGTATCAAGCATAAACGCTAGAATGTTTTGGTGCTATTCTGTCCATTAAGTACACTGCATTTAAATCTGTAGTCAATCCCGAAAGAAGTCATTCATCATATCTACACGAAGCCCAATCTCAACCTCTCGACCGCACAGCAGCCAAAGGCGAATCAATAGTTCCCCACTCCGGAACCTCATCATAGTCATCATAGTCATCATCTAGAACGAAGCTCTCGTCCTCAAAAGAGGGGCTGACATGAACAGCCGGTGAAGAGATAGGACTCAGCGCCACGCGCGGTCGTGACTTGAACACACTGGCATACTCGGCATCCTCCTCGAAGAGCTGATCCTGCGGCGTGGAAGCGCGAGAAAGCTCGTCAATTGAACGAGTCGATGCCTTTCGCGGAGTAACAAATTGGTTGACTGGGTAGGAAGGGCGAGGTCCGCGGCGCTGCCGAGGTCGAACTTGTGGTTCGTGGCCTGGTGGTAGAAGAGACATTGATTTGCGCGTGCGCTCGACTAATGTGTGGGGGCGTTTAATGGGCTCCGGGTCTGGCTCGTGCTCTGGCGAGGAGGGGATATCTGGCGAGAGGCGGACGGTTGGAGTTGGTTGGCTTGATTCTGGTCTTGTTTCGTGTTCGGCTTCAGGCTCTGGAGGTGTATATGATTTCTCCGAGGTAGCCAGGTCTGCTGGAGGACTAGAAGAGCTGCCATATGCCAATATCGGCGATTCTGGGTCATCTGATGAAGCTTCCAATTTGCGCTCGTAACTCCGTTCTACTTCGAATGTAGGAACTTCACGCTTGGGACGAGATTGGCCATTGATGCGAGCGAGAGCTTCATTTACAGATAAAAGCAGAGATTGGTCTGCTCCTTTCAGGGCTCGCTCCCTATCCCCGGGCTGGCGTACGGATTTGGATATGCTGGCAACGGTGAGAGACTGGTGGTCGCGGAACAAGAGCCGGTTCTCTTTAGAGGAGGCTTTACTCGCTGCGTTGGTATCAGTTCCTCTTTCTTTCGAAAGACAGTTGTTGTAATCATGCCACCTGCGCAGTCGACTTCGTTGCATCAATACACGGGAATTGAGATCAACCATCAGGTCATGATTTAAATGACTCCCGAGACCGTTCGCAGCTGGACCAGTTGCCCGCGACAAAGCTTCTGGGAAAGGAAGCTCCAGGAAGGCATCGGAGCTGCTTTGCGATCCGCCTTTCAGCAGAGCAGTGGCCCATTCCTCACTGCCCAGCCAATTTGCGTGTAGTTTGCGCGCCAAGGTCTCAGGGTCAGTTTGCAAGTTTCCTTTGCTCTGCTGTTCTCTGTTGGCGCGTTCAGCAAGCTCAACCTTCTTGTTGTCCAATAGCTCCGAGAATTGATCATAAGCATCTTGGACCCGAGCACGCCGTTCTTCTCCGGCACCTAAAGAAGCCTGATGGGCAAGAATGAGCGGCAATAGATTCTGGTAATTCGTTGGCGTCATTGCTGTAGCGGTCGACAATTTCATGGCGGAGCTCCAGGTCATCTCATCTGCGGAGGCAGCGACGCATTTGCGGAGAACGGTTGTAGAGAAGCCCGCGAGCAGCTCATCAAATTTCTCTCCTTTGCAGTCATCTAGCATAGTTTTGCGCAAGATGATCTCACGTCCCAGATCCCCATTTTTCTTCAATTCACCCAAGCTTCGGAAGAAGGCCGCGCGAAGGTTGACAGACTGTAAAGCTTCGAGCGGAGGAAAGAAGGGGCGCAATTTCTGTATAATTTATCAGCAGAATTCACAGGGTTATGTTCGGTATCTGTACATTTTGAGTCCCCTCTGGATCCCAGATGGCGAAGAGGTAGTATAAGGCCCATTCTACCAAGCGGACCCGTTGCCGTTGGTTCTGCGATGACGCCGACAGCGCGCGGATAGAGATATTGGGCCAGTCCTCGCGCTGATCCAACTGCAACAGCTTCAAATTGCGAATAAAGACATCCTGATGCGAAGGACCCGGCCAGTCCAGAGGTTTTGGCCTGCTCGGCCTTGTTGTAGCCATTGGTGAATCGGGGATGGTTTGAAAGACGAGAGTAAACACAGATAAGGGGAGTTTGCATCTGTTTGCACTGTCTATCAGTCCCGCATTCACCTTCTTTTCTTGCTTTGTTTCTTCTTTTCTCATTCACTCTTTCATATTTCCTTTCGCATAGTCATGGGCTCGGATAACTCGTCCTGGACTCCTCAGTCCGGTAAGTGTTGGAGTTTTCCCTTTGTGATACCTCAAAGTTGACACTCTGCAGTCCTATCTACCCTCCCCCACCCGCCAGAGGAGAACTCGACATCGCCCGTTCCCTTCTTCCACCTGGTCGAGCGCCTCAAGACTACCAAGCGCGAAGGCTGGCGCCGCTTTGGCATCAATGGCGAATCTATTTCCGACCACATGTACCGCATGTCGATCATGACGATGTTGGCCCCGCCTTCCCTATCCGCCAAACTCGACATTCCACGCTGCACCAAGATGGCCTTGATCCACGATATGGCCGAGGCACTCGTCGGGGATATTACTCCGGTCGACTACCACATAACCAAGGCTGAGAAGGCTCGTCGCGAGGCCTCTGTCATGGAATACATCACTACAACTCTCCTCGGCAAGGTCCCCGGAGGCACTCTGTCAGGCGCGGACATCAAGAGCGTGTTCGAGGAATACGAGGAAGACCAGACCCTTGAGGCGCACTTTGTCCACGATATCGACAAAATGGAGCTGCTTTTGCAGATGGTTGAATATGAGCGCTCGAACGAGGTTGACCTTACCGAGTTCACTCATGTTGCCTCTCGCATTCGGTTGCCCGAAATCCAAGCTTGGGCTGCTGAGGTTATTAAGGAGAGGAAGAAGCAAGAATAAGCCTGCATAGGAATTGAGAGATTGGAAGATTGGGGACTTGGGATTCCCGCGGCTTATCATTTGGTGACCCATGAGTTCTCGGCGTTTGTTTATGCATCTTTATTTTTTTTTTCCCGGGTACCCTAGATACCATAGAGAACGAGCTACATGAATGCACCGGATGTGAGTAAAACTGATCAGCCTAGTTTCTGTCTGTTTCTGATTCATATTATTCAAATCCATAAATTTAATTCGCAGCAGCCAAATTTATGTCAGTATGGTCACTTGGAGCTGTAACTGCCGGACGGTTATTGTCACGAAAGCTTGGATATTGGGAGCCAGGTGCCACGGACGAAGCTTAGTAGTGCAATGAGACTTGCCTCTTGATCTTACTTGACCAGTAAATTGCTGATTTTGAAGTGTGCTGGATAGTAAACAACAACTGTTTGTCAAGCCAGTTGATGCTTGTCGTAATTGTATCTACCACGATGGCAACGGTAGATACTTCTGAGAGTATTCAACGCAAGACCCCAAAGAACAATTGCCATACAGGATAAAGTAATTTAACTCGGACTACGTGATTGATCGAACTGGTCCATATTGAACTCTGTCATGGCTCCTCATCAGAGAGTTTGACTAGATTGATATAGTCTCCCTGACAAAACCCAATTCAAATAGCTAGAGTTGATGCAGCATATCTGCTAGAACAAGCTCAAGATGATATACGCTGGCATATCAAAGCCATCAACATATCTCCAATATAGTAAAGTATACTTCGAGTCCATGTTACAAACTGTAAACAACGTCGTCATTTCAAGAGTTGTTCTTACTCTAATTTTTCGTGCTCCTACTTTACCACCTGGGCATTCGCTATCAACAAACAGCTTCGTGCATGTTTCGAGGGTCTCACATACATCTGCTCCTTTTTCCTCATTCTTTCACCCAGGACCCTTGCTGTTATTGGGTCGGCCTTCGGCGTTTATTGTCAAAAAAAGCTACTACGCACCATAAGAGAGTCAACCCACAGTGTTTGAAAAAGAAGACTCTGAAGCAGAACAGCTCATGGCTATCGGAACCGGTCTAGTGACGGCTCTTAACAAGGAGCGTATCCAGCACCAGCAAGCCTTTGCTGACCTACAAGAGATGCTTGTAGCCAACCAGAAGTTAGGAGCAACCAATCAACGGCTGAAATCCGTCAACACCAAGTTTCGTGGAGAACTTGCAGTCCTGGGACATAAAGTAGCTCACGTAGAGAGTGTGGTATCGTGATATGTTGAACTTGCCTGTGTTCATAAGGCCTCGCAACCAAGATAAATATCACTAAGGAATCACAAGGTCAGCTAGCGCTTTCCTTACATGGCCAAAACCAAGACCTTCGCCCCTCCTTTTCACCTCTTTTTCAAGTAAATTTAATTGTAGTTTGAAAAAAGAGTCACATTGTTTGAATGGGCGTCTAAAAGGACTGAATCATGGCCTGAGACTACACAGCCGCAGATCAAGGTCAGCTCAACGTTTTCCTCTCTGCACGGCCAATGGATAGATCAGATTCACATGTAGAGTGGAGTAATCGTTCTTTTGGCTCTCTCTAGTCCTTACATCTCATGGAAATAAAAGGTCCAGGTAAAAGTCCCTTAACTCCTGACCATGCATTCCGTGTCAGAAGACACTGAAAGACGCCATATACACTTCCCGTAAATCACACAAAAAGCTATACAAAGTAAAACAACAGGTATATACGACATGACCCAAAAGGGGAAAAGGGGAACCAAAAACAAGGTAATCAAGTAGCGCTTTACTCGTCATCCGTGTTCCGGCTCTCCTTTTCCGGCTTGGCCAGGGCCTTTTGCCAGACTGTGCGGGCGGCCTCTTGGTCGAGACCGGGGAAGAGGAGGTCAAACACCTCCGAGTACCAATTCACTGGGTGGCCTTCGATACCTTCCTTGATATTCTGGGGATGTGGTTAGCTTTGATCGTTCGGCTGGGTGGTGTGGTGACTTACTTCAGGTAGCTCGAGCCAGTCGGATGTGTTGTCTGCTGGGAAGAGGATCTTGGTGGCACCGGCCCGACGAGCGGCCACGGTCTTCTCTCTCAAACCTCCAATGCGGAGAACCTTACCGGTAACGGTCAATTCTCCTGTCATGGCAACGGTAGGCTCGAGGGAGTGGTTCAGCGCCAAGGAAAGCAAGGCGCTTGCCATAGTGATACCAGCGGAGGGGCCTATTGGTGGTCAGTAATCGAACGATTAGAATGTGAGGTGATAGTAATTCGACTTACCATCCTTAGGGACAGCTCCTTCGGGGCAGTGCAAGTGAACCTTGGCCTTCTCAAAGAACCGGTTCTCGGGAAATTGCCGAGCCATGACAGACTTGGCAAATGAGTATGCAATGTGGGTAGACTCCTTCATGACGTTTTGAAGGTTACCAGTGATTTCGAGGCCGGGTCGCGAGTTGTGGTTCAACGCGTTCTCCAGAATACATTCAACGTACAGGGCTGCTCCACCCATGCTGGTCCAGGCGAGACCCATGGTGACACCAGGGGGGAACTTGTCGTACAGGCGATCGGCAGTGAACACTGCGGGTCCGACATAGTCCTTCAATGTACTCTTGCCGATACTGAGGTGGACGCTGTCGGGAACCTTAAGAGCAAGTCTGGGGGTCTCAGTGGTCGACTTCTCGGGTTCAAGAGGAGCCTGAGCGGGATCAGCCGTCTCGTGTTCCTTGGACTCTTCAGCAGCAGCCTTGCCCTCGTCAGTCAGAGCCGCTTCCTCTGACATGACATCCTCGCCCAGATCTTGGACGATTTTGAAGGCTGCCTTGCGGTAGACCTTCTCAATTTGCTTCTTCAAGTTGCGAACACCGCTTTCACGGCAGTATGACTTGATCAACTCCTCGATGGCTTCCTTCTCAAGGTTCACATCGACATCCTTCAGACCAGTTAGCTCCCGAGCAGCGGGTGCCAAGTATTTCTCGGCAATCGCCATCTTCTCGTCCGCTACATATCCGGATAGCTCAATGAGCTCCATTCGGTCTAGCAATGGCCGAGGAATGGTGTCGGTGACGTTGGCAGTGCAGACGAAAAGAACCTTGGACAGATCCACCGGGACATCCATGTAGTGGTCTAAAAATGAGCTGTTCTGTTCGGGATCGAGGAGCTCGAGCAGAGCAGAGGAAGGATCGCCCTGGTGACCACGGCCAATCTTGTCCACCTCGTCGATGAGGATCAGAGGGTTCTCGGTTTGACATTTCTTCAGCGCTTGAATAATGCGTCCAGGCAAGGCACCCACGTAGGTCCGTCGGTGACCCTTGATCTCTGCAACATCGGTCAAACCACCGACAGAGAAGCGGTAATATTGTCTGTTCAATGCACGAGCCACAGACTTTCCGATACTGGTCTTTCCAACACCGGGAGGACCAACAAGGCAAAGGATCTTTCCTTCAACAGTTCCACGAAGCTTGCCAACGGCGATGAACTCAAGGATACGATCCTTGACATCCTTAAGACCGTAGTGATCCTCGTCCAAAACAGTTGTGGCGTTCTTAATTCCAAAGTTCTCCACGCTCTTCTGTCCCCAAGGGATCTGGGTGAGCCAGTCAAGGTAGTTACGGGTGACATTGAACTCAGATGCGGCAGGCTCAAGGTGGGCCAACTTGTTGATCTCCTCATCAAAGACCTTCTTGACAGCCTCAGGCATGGCAAGTTTCTCGGCCTTCTCCTTGAACTTCTCAACTAGCTTGTCCTTGCCATCAGATTCGATGCCAAGCTCTCTCTTGATACCCTTCATCTGTTCCATTAGCCAGTACTCACGCTGGCGCTTCTGGATCTTGGCTTCGACATCCTTGGTGATCTTAGATTGCAGTTGGGCGTTCATCAGTTCCTTCTTGAGCACAACAAGAGCCTTGGGAAGACGCTCTTCGATGTTCATTGTCTCGAGAACCTCCTGCATTTCGTGCAGCTCGCCAGCGGAAACGGCAGCAGCAAAGTCGGCCAACTTAGCCGGTTCGTCGCTCAAGTTCCCGGGGAACTGATCAGTATAGAAGGCTGAGATCTGATCACGGAACAACGGGTTTAGAGTAGCGATTTCCTTGCACACGTTGACAATTTCACTTGTCACCGCACGAATGATGCCGTTCTTCTTGTCGAACGGCTCCTCGGCCAAGTTTTCCACATTAACCAAGCTGACAGGGTGTTTCCGCAGGAAGGATGTGGGCTCGTAAAGATCCTTGGGAGCTGGCTCGGGAGTACCCTCCTCGAAGCTGGCCACGACATCGCCACGCTTTTCGGTTGTCTTGTCTTCGGGTGTGGGTGGAGCACCCTTTGTGATCTCGGTAGGAGGAATTAAAGATGAGATTTTGATACGGCGATGGGGGTATAGGACTGCCGTCACGCCACTAGCCTCCCCGCGGAGAGGGTATGCGGCTGTGATTTGAGCGAAGACACCGGTGTCGTAAACATCATCCATCTTCTCAATCACATCGCCATCGGCGTTGTCATCCTTGAACAGGAATGCTCCAACGTAGGGCTGACCCCGTTTCATCATGTCCTGGATCGCAGTGGCGACATTCGGGTCTCGGATGGTGATAGCTTTGTAGAATCCGGGGAACAAAGGGCGCTTCGCGATGGGAATGGCCATCACTTGGGGATAAACGTCCGGAACTGCTGGCTTTTGTAGAGCCTTGTCGCTGGGTCCCTTCTTCCCTTTCTTGCCGTTGTCATCGTTTCCGCTATTACCTCCGCTGCTGGCGCCGCTGGGTTTCGAGTCGGTCGGGCCATCACTCGGCGGAATAGGTGAGGGTCCATTATTCGAATCCCCCTTTCCATCTGATGCGTTGGCTTCCTTCTTTCCTTCCTCCTCTACCGCGCGCTGCTCTTTATCCGATGACCGGTCTTTTCTCCGCGAGGAGCCCGCCTGATCTGCAGAAGGGACGTTCTTCCCTGAGTCAGATGCTTTCCGCCGTGACTCCGGGGCCTTTTCTGTGCTTTTATCATCCTGACTAGTCTCCTGCTCTTCCGGTTCGTCCTTCGGGTCCTCTGGTGGGGGTTTCTCTCGCCGCCGAATGGAGCTGGCGGAGAAAGCGCGAGAGGTCGAGGGGATGGAGTTACCGAGGCGGGCGGAAGCTAGTGCTGACCGGATGCTTGCATTGTATCTTGGAGAAGCAAGAAATGGGCGTCGGAGGAGAGGTCGAGGCGTTTGGTGGAGCACAGCTCTCCAGGGGAGGGTCTGGCCGCGGAGCATGCTCCTGGTTATGCGAATGGAAGGGGCGGGCAATGAAGTGGTCTGAAAGGGTATAGAGAACTGTGAACAGCCCGTAGCACACAGCTCTTAAAGGAATGGGGAATAGAAAAGGTGGAGAGTGGAAGCTGGAATTCCGTAGTCGGAGCACCCCAATTGATTCGGTAAGCAGCTCTTTCATCATCGTCCCCGGCTTCACGTTTTTCCGATAAACTTCTCTGCCGAAGAACTCGAAGCTTCTGTGAACAGGAGAGTAATGAATTAGAGGTTATTGGCTCGACTATTTTCCTTATTGTTACTGTCCTTCATTTTGATATCCCTTCTTATTCGCATTGTTTCCCTCTAGTATAGCCAACTGTTGTCCGGCTGATACTATCCATGAATCCATCTACGGCATTCCCCAAGGCCGCGGCTCTCCCCGCGCGTCTGTTGCGAACCCAGCGACAATGCTCGAACCAGACCTCCAATACTAGTGTGCGATCTTCAACTCAAAGCCGAAATTATCATGCTGCTGCCTCTGCTTCTCCGGCTCGACGTCTGCGGGAGGGTGTCTGCAAAAGAAAGGATTCATTGGTGATTTCCGCTCGGGTAAGTCGTCATCAGGTTCCATATCTCATAGGGTTTGTATGAAATCATTGCTAATCAATATCATATTCACAGTCTTTCCACACCACATCTACCCTGTTGGCCGTCGCTGATCCCTACAAAGTTCTCGGCGTCGACAAGAAGGCTTCTGCCGGCGATATCAAGAAGGCCTACTACGGCCTAGCCAAGAAGTATCACCCGGATACCAACAAGGACCCTGAAGCGAAAGACAAGTTTTCCGAAGCTCAAACCGCTTACGAGTTGCTGTCCGACGCCAAGAAACGCGAGAACTACGACCGATTTGGCTCGGCGGCCTTTGATCAGAACGGCGGATTCGACCCAAGCGGTGGCAACCCATTCGCCGGTGGAGGAGGATTCCATGGCTTCGGTGGTGGATTCGGGGGTGGTGGATTCGGTGGCGGTGGCTTTGGCGGAGGTTTCTCAGGCGATATCAACTTCGAGGATCTGTTCGGCGCATTCACTGGTGGAGCGCGTCGTGGACCCCGGGGTCGGGGCAACCCCTTCCAGGAACAAATCCTGGTTGGTGAGGATATCGAGGTCCAGACCAACATCTCATTCATGGATGCTGCCAAGGGTACCTCCCAGGACATTGTTATCACTCCCTTGACCGAGTGCGGAACCTGTAAAGGTGACGGCTTGAAGGAAGGTACCAAGCGGTCTCAATGTAAGCAGTGCAATGGTACCGGTACCCGCGTCCATCTCATGCAGGGAGGTTTCCAGGTTGCCGCTACTTGCGATGCTTGTGGCGGTGCTGGTATGTCCGCTCCCCGTGGATCTGAGTGCCGTCCCTGCCACGGAAACGGCGTTGTCAGGGAACGCAAGACTATCAAGGTCGACATCCCCGGAGGTGTTGAAGATGGTATGCGTTTGCGCGTGACCGGTGAAGGTGACAGACCTCCCACTGGATCAGCTGTGCCCCCTGGAGCCCGAACCAAACCCGGTGATCTTTACGTCTCCATTCGTGTAGCTCCGGACTCTCGGTTCAGCCGCTCTGGATCTGATATTCTCTACACTGCTTCGATTCCTCTCACTACTGCCATTCTTGGTGGTGAGGTGACCATCCCAACCCTCGAGAGCGAGGTCAAGGTTAAGGTCGCCACGGGTACTGGTACTGGTGACCGAATTACCCTTTCTGGAATGGGCATGAAGAAGCTTGGTGCTCGGGCACGTGGCTTCACTCCTAACGGTGACCTCAAGGTCGAATTCAAGGTAGCAATGCCGAAGTATTTGACCGGTAACCAGCGAACTATCCTGGAAGTTCTCGCAGATGAGATGAACGACAAGACCGCGAAGCGAACAATGAACTTTGGCGCTGACAAGGATAGGTAAGGCACAAGTTATCTCTGCACGCATTAACCTTTACTGACTGTTTCTAGCTCCGCGCCGAGCTCCGAAAATGAAGGCTTCCTGAAGTCTGTCTGGCACCGACTTACGGGTGAGAACTATGAGGCCAATAAGAAGGACACCAAGGACAAGGATGGCAAGACCGATACCAAGGATGACTCGAAGAAGTCGAGCTGAAATATGTAAATCATGTACTTTATATCCGTTTGTATTTACCTCACCCATGTCATAGCGCCGGCGATATTGGGGACCTGTTCTGCCTAGGGGGGTCTTGGGGCAGAATACTGTATTTTTATCAAGAGTTAGGTGGTTATGAAGCTCTCCATTCCACTGTAATATGTTGAAAAATCTTTAGTTTGTAAATGTCAAGTTAAATGTTGTGATGTTAAGTATAGAGTACGGAGATGTGTATGGTGACTTGGGCTTGCCGCCCATCAAGACACGGATATCACATCCCACCTTTCCCTCCTCCAACATTCCAGGCACCCCTATTCTTTTACAATCTTCTCATTTCATGCACCTCCAGATATTGGACACCATCGACGTCATTGAAACAGGACCCATTAGGCGCCGACTTTCCGTCTCCCTTTACCCCACAGCCACGACTCCAAGCCCCTCAGATACGGAGCTTTAGACCCCCCTTGCCCTCGCGCTTCCTCTCTTACAAGTTCTACTAAGTTGGATGGGAGCAGATTGCTCCTGACAACCATACACAATGGTTCAGTCGCCGATGCTTTCGTGTCCGCTGAAGCAGACCAACGAGATCGATTGGATCCAGCCCCTCAAGGATTACATCCGACAGACATATGGCGAGGACCCCGAACGATACAGCCAAGAATGTGTGACTCTCAACCGGCTTCGCCAGGATATGAGAGGTGCAGGGAAGGATAGCGCTACCGGTCGCGATCTGTTGTACCGGTATTATGGTCAACTGGAGCTGTTGGACCTCCGGTTTCCCGTCGATGAGAACCACATCAAGATCTCGTTCACATGGTAGGGTATACCCCTCCTGCATACAGTATTACGCTAACGAAATTGTCCTCTAGGTACGATGCTTTCACTCACAAACCTACGTCTCAATATTCCCTAGCCTACGAGAAGGCCTCCATCATCTTCAATATCTCCGCTGTCCTGTCCTGCCATGCCGCCAACCAGAACCGGGCCGACGAAACTGGCGTCAAGACAGCTTACCACTCCTTCCAAGCCTCCGCCGGAATGTTTACCTACATAAATGAGAACTTTTTGCATGCGCCATCGACCGACCTTAACCGGGACACTGTCAAAACATTGATCCATGTCACACTTGCCCAGGCGCAAGAGGTGTTTTTTGAGAAACAAGTGGCGGATGGGAAGAAGCCTGGATTTCTGGCCAAGTTGGCTGGACAGGCAGCATACCTCTACTCACAGGGTGCGGAAACCATGCAGGACTTTGTTGGCAAGAACGTCTTCGACAAGGTGTGGTCGATTGTTGTGCAGGCCAAGGCCGCGCATATGGGATCAGTTGCATCTTACTACCAGGCGATTGCTGACAGCGAGAGTGGCTCGCATGGCGTTGCGATTGCCCGTCTTCAAATGGCTGACAAGCAATCTGCCACTGCCCTGAGTTGGGCAAAGACATTCCCTTCGACGGCCCCAGTGACTTCCAATCTGACGGCAGAGTCCGGACCTGCTCTCATGGACCTCATTAAGCATAATCAAACAAACGTGCAGGGCCAGCTTGCTACTATGATCAAGGACAATGACTTCATCTATCACCAACCGGTTCCAAATGAGGCTGGTCTCTCGGCAGTTGCTAAGCTTCCTGCTGCCAAAGCCATTCCTGTCAGTGAATTATATCAAGGACAGGATATTCAGCGAATCATCGGGCCCGACATCTTCCAGAAGCTGATACCTATGTCTGTTACTGAGACTGCCAGTCTGTATGATGAAGAAAAGGCCAAGTTGATTCGAGCCGAAACGGAAAAGGTCGAAACCGCAGATGGTGAGATGGCCGCTAGCCTGGACTATTTGAAGTTGCCTGGGAGCCTCAATATCCTAAAGGGAGGCATGAATCAGGAAATGTCAGTAGACGAGGAGTTCCGCCGCTGGTGCTCAGAGCTTGCTGGTCACAAGCCATTCCACAGAGCGTTTGATGATCTACAAGATCGTAAAGCTGAAGTGCTATCGCAATTGGACCAGTGCTCCAAGCAGCTTGATCTGGAGGAAAGCGTTTGTGAAAAGATGCGCTCCAAGTATGGGGCGGATTGGAGCCAGCAGCCCAGTGCTCGACTCAATACGACACTTCGCGGAGATGTTCGCACATATCGGGATACTATTAACGAAGCCAGCGCTAGTGATTCACAGCTTTCTTCCACGTTGCGTCAATACGAGACCGATTTCGATGAGATGCGGTCTGCTGGAGAAACAGATGAAGCCGATGTGCTCTTCCAGCGAGGGTTGATCAAGGCTGGCTCAAAGCATAGCAAGGGCAAGAACGGTGTCACTAGTCCAGCGGAAGGTAGTCTGCTAGATGATGTGTATGATGAAGGCGGTGCCTCTGTTGCTGAACAGATTGCCAAGGTGGAAGAAATTCTGAAGAAATTAACCCTTGTAAAGCGAGAACGGTCTCAGGTTCTTAAAGATCTGAAAGATAAGGTGAGTATTCTAGCGCATCCATTCACAACTATTTCTGACTGTCTGCTAGGTTCACACTGATGATATCTCAAACGTCCTCATCCTAAACAAGAAGTCGATTACTGGGCAGGAAAGTCAACTCTTCGATGCTGAGCTCGAAAAGTTCCGGCCGCATCAGAACCGACTTCTACAGGCAAACCACAAGCAGTCTTCTTTGATGAAGGAGCTTACCAAGATTTACGGTGATCTCCTGCAAGACAAGCGAGTCCAAGGCGAGCAGTCGAAGTACGAATCCATTACGCGGCAACGCAATTCAGTAATGGCTCGATACAAGAAGGTATACGAAGCTTTCAATGGTCTTTCGTCGGGCATTGCTCAAGCACGAACCTTCTATAAGGACATGACCGAAAATGTGGACAGCCTTCGCAAGAATGTCGAGACTTTCCTCAACAACCGCCGGTCAGAAGGCGCTCAACTTTTAAGCCAGATCGAACGCGACAAGGCCAGCGGTGTTTCCGAGCAAGAAGAACGCGAAAGGGAGAAATTGCGCCAGCTGATGGAGCGTCTATCCACGGAGCCCAAGAGCTCAACTTCACCATCCGCAGCATCAGGACCTCCTTCCAAGGTCAAATCGCCTCCTCCGCCTGTACAGACCCCAGCCTATGGGTCGGGTCCCTCCCCCAAAGATGTCCCCTCGCTACCCACCCACTGGCGGGCCCCTCTCCCACTCCCCTGCACCCTACGGGCAATATATTACCGGCCAGGGAGCCTCATACCAACCAGCCCAGCACTTCCAGCAAGGCGCAGCAGCCCCCCTATCGGAAGGCTACAACCCCATGGCATACCCCTACCAGACTCCCGTGTCCCCACCCCCAAACCAGCAATTCTTCTCTTCAACCCCCGCCCCATACGGGGGCTACTCCAACTCCAGTACGCCCGCTCCTCCAACTGCAGGCGCCCAACCCTCGCATTACATGGCACCGCACGGCTACATCCCGCCTCCGCCCCCTCCACGCCCCCAGCAGACTTCCTACCCTCCCTCATCTGGTAGCTCCTACCCATCTGGACCAGGTGGCTATGCGCAGGCCAGACCACCGTACGGCCATCACAAGGCACCATCTCAGTCCCAACAACAGCCCAATGCCGGCGGTGATCCATGGGCTGGCCTGAACGCCTGGAAATAAGTACTACACCCCAGGGCACGGTCTTCTCTAATTGGATTGGATTGGATTGGATTGTCAGGGCTGGATCGGATCAAGTCAAAATGGACTAATGGGAGGAAAGGCATACATCTCGGCGTTTGATCACTCTCCCTTTTAAGTCAAATTATCTTTTCTTCTTTCGCGGACGTCGTCTTTTTAGTTCAGCTGACGTTGAATGTGTTCGGTTCGGTTCGGTCTGGTGGCTGTGTCGTTTTTCCTCCGAATTGGCTGTGATGTTTCTTATCTTTTTTTGTCGTTACTGTTAGAGGGGGGATTTCATGCTGTTATGTACATGATGAATGAAACATACTACTCCGGACATGTATTGAGTTCGCTGATGATTGTTTTTACTCCGTATGCGTTGCTTTGATTTAAGGTTTGGCTGCTGCAGGTTGGTCAGGTACCCATGCAGTGATATTCATGGTTTGATGTCATAGATTAGATGTCTATATTTATCGATTGTTCGGTGTAGATCATAGGAAATTCTGAGTTGAGTTTACCTCTTCAATTGAGATATATGATTGGTGGGAATGTATATACAGTTCTCGACCATGTAATGAATCTCAATTCTTATCCAAAGAGTTAGTAGAATATGAGTGTATATATAGAACAAGACTTGAAGATACAGAAGTTGATTGCCAGAAAGATATAATGTAAGCTATGGCAGTGTCTCAAACACGGATTATGTGATATGCAAAAGTGTACATAGTGAGAAGAGGCAACGAACCAACCAAAGAACACACCAAACGCCGATGGGTATCTTAATATAAGAACAAGAAAGGGGAAGGGAGAGGGAAGATAGATCGTCGCCTCCAGAGTAGACCCCGAAAAGGCGTGTCGACGGTGTATCCAGACACCATCAACCAGCACCCAGACAGCAGCAGACAGCAGACAGCAGACAGCAGACGAAGAAACAAGTCTCGATAAAAGCAAGACAAGATCCGGTCCCAACCCCGAAAAACTCAAAGCAGAAGTCTCGAACAATCCTCATCCGAACATCCATCCGAATCAAAAAAGCCAAGTCTACGGCTGAAACCGCAATCGAAACTGCCTCCCCCTCCGTTCCTCGCGGACAGTATACAAAAACCGCGCAATAGTCTCCTGCTCGGACAACCCAGCGCTGTTAAAGTGTCGACGAACAACAAGCGCAAATTGATCCTTGCTCACCCGGTCCTGACCAACAATGCGACGCAGCGAGTCTCCAGACTCGCCATTGCGGCCGCGGTGGCCACTGTGATTGTGGGCATGGAAATGGGTGTTATTGTGAGGGTGGGAAGAGGAGGATTGAGCACGGCGGGCGGCGAGGGAAGTCGGAGAGCGGAGACCGATACCCTGTGACAGGATGGTGCGCGAGTAATCGCTTGCGAAGGCGCTGGGGGTTGGGAGTTTGTGGACGTGGCGGTATGAGTGGAGGATTTCGAGGGGGAGGTCGGACCAGGGGAGCTATGAAACTGTTAGATAAGAGGTAATAGGGGTGAGGATTTTTGGGTCTTGGTTGGGGTTGTGGAAAAGGAGCGACTGAGTCAAGACAAAAACGGAGGCAACATACCCTGGGTTGATCATCCACGATTTGGTCGACCGGCGCGCTAGTCACAGACGTCTTGTCTTTGGCTGCTACTGGGCGCCGGCTCTTGGGGGGATTCTTGTATTCTCTTGTGCCGCTGGAGGCTTCGGACCTCGAGTCATCGACTATGGCCGTGGTGCGCTGGCGCGGGGGAGCCATTGCGTGCCGGAGCCCGGGGCTTGGAGGGGATTGAATGGATTGTTGTTGTTAATGGTTGGATGAGTGGTTGGGGGTTTTGGAATGGGAGTATATCATGTAGAGACTCGCTGTATAGTGTCAGATTGGGTGGATGGGCTTGTTAGCTCTGACTTGACACTTGAGATTCTCGTTTCCCCAGGCGGCCGGGCATGGCAGAAACGTCATTTCCGCTTTCGAGTTGTGCCTGAGGTTTTGGAGATATGGGTTTCTATATTAGTGGGTTGGGTGCAGATTGATAGGCGTTGGATCGTGTTAGTCATTGTATGTTTAGGTCTGTTTATAGTGACTTTCAATGCCTATTGACTCGTTGCGCGACTTGCGTGAGGCTGATGCATCTTTACATTAGCCCCATAGTTCAACAGCAAACAGAGCAAACATGGTAAACATGCCAAACATGTGAGAGCGGTCAGGTTGGGGCAAAACATGGCAAACAAAGCAAACTAGACAAATATCTGCTAATCCCTCTTCCCTCGACTCAACACTGCCACTGCCTCCCATTCTCGCCCGATAGCCATTTTATCTGATCTCCACGACTCGGGACTCCACACGGCTTCACCGCTACATGCGGAGTAAAGTACGACAAAACGTTCTCGTCCTTACCTAATAAAACCCGAGGGTCAGGATGAGGGAAGTATCCCGAGGTACAAAGGCACACAAGCATTAGTAGCCTGCGATTAGGACGAACGTGCCTTGGGCTAGAGATCACTTGCATGAGAAAGATCCAACCATTTCACCCCGGACTGACCACTTCCGAACCTCGGAGGAATCTCGGATAAGAAATCTTCATACAAATCCATACAAACAGACCCATAGAAGAACGTGCAATTAGCATGGGGAAAACACCCCGAATACAGAGCCAAAAGAACCCGACACTCGGCACGGCGATGCCGAGAGCCATTTCGCCGATACCAGTCGGCGCAGCTCCGGGACACGGCAACGCTGGAGGGGCAAAGGGGGAAAAGGAAAAAATAAAAGACGCAAAAAAACGCCCCCGGAAGACTCCCGCTCTTTCCCTTCACCGAAGCCCCCTTTTTCGATTCCTGTTACTCTCTACAGTACTTGCCCCGGGTGAAAACTCTTTCCTTGAGTACTCCGTATAGACGAGAATAGCGCCTAGCCCTTCCCCCTTAAACGGCAAAAAGCCAAGCCCCGAAATTCCCCCATGCCACCTTCCTGACTCATCCTAAACAAAAGCCCCCTAAAAGCCCCCTAGATCATCGTGGATCCAAAATATCGACACTAAGCCCCGCAACCCGGTCTGCCTTTTGCAAGTAGGAGTGATTATGGTACAATTTGCTCTTTCCGACTTTTCCCGACGCGCTCTCCTTACCCCAGCCCTATGGGCTGATGCGAACAGAGAGGTGTATATCCGTACCTGCAGGAGAATGGTCTAGATGTGAGCTGTGTCGTCATCTTAGTCTACAGTTCTCACCGAGTATATATACATGAATGTAAACTGTGGTCTGTACATGGATATAGGCAAGCAATATAAGCGCCTATAGAGTCCCCTTTCATACTCCATATCTCTTATCACCATTCCCCAATCTGGAGAACACCACATGGCCGTATGACGTATGCCTGCACTGTCCACTCTACTATCTCCAGTATTCACTCCAATCTACAGTACCGTAGACAGTAAATGCGGGTGCATGGGACCATTACCTCGGCAGTGCTACTTATCACGCATGAATGGGCGCATTCACCAAACCCTACCCCTACACCCCTGGTCTCCTAGTTCTAGCTCCGAACCTCCGACCTAGTCCCTGAAGCTACTGTAAAGCAAAAGCCACCAAACTAAACCAACCCAAGCCCGAACCCCTCCTCCCCGGTCCGGAATGATAAGCGCTTGTGTGCATGTGAGAAGACGAACTAACACTGCCACCAAATCCAAGCTAAGTTTGCGTGACAGTAAAATAACTTGAACATGTGAAACGACCTCTCGCAAGCTATCATCTTAGCCCGTGGAGCTCTCCCGCACCAAGTCCTGTTTGGGATGTGGGCGGAGTCCGGCTTTGCCGTAGTCTCTAGTGTCCGTAGTGCCATATTGCCCGGTTTTTTTTTTCCCGCTTAGCTTTGTTCCCTTTTCTGGGTGAGGGCGAGATGGAGGGGGAGTCTGGGGACACGTGCTTTGGTCTGTTGATTCGGGTTGTTTGTTCCCGTAAGTGGTCGGCTTTGGGGCTTTTCTGAGCTTTTGACCCGGGGCAACTAGGGCCGATTCGGTTTGTTGGTTTGTCTGGGGCGAAATGGATCCCCTTTCAGTGTCTTGAACTGGATGGATTTGGATTTGGATTTATTTGAGATGTATATGTGAATGCTAAGTAGATGGGTTGTACAGCTGACTTGGTCTAGATTCCCACCCCTGGTCACATTGATCTACAGTGCCTGACTATCTACATGTACATGTGAGTGGAACATGTAGATCGCAGAAATAATTTACATGCCCGTAGCACAGTACTCCGTTGGAGAATATAGACAAGAGTATGGGGAACCAAAAAGAGTAATAATTAGCTCAGAGTGGGAACCGTCAAAAAACAAAGAACTTTTTTTTCATACGTTTTTTATTTATAAAACTTACCCTTCACCGAGAACTGGACACGGTGTATCTCCACCCCCTACATAGACACACAGTTTCACAGATCAGGTCATCCCACCAGAAAATGAACACCTGGTCTACTCTATAGGCCCTATCTATCTCCCCCCTCACCCCAGAATATCACATGTCCTTTCAAGATAGGATGAATTCTCCCGGACCAACAGTCCAAATCCCACCAATAGCGTCCGACTCCGGAATGACGGCCCCGCAATCATTAATGATATCAGCGTGAGACAATCCCAAGCCATAATTGGAGGAGGATTGTTCCAGAAGCTGTGGAGTGCAGATCTCTCTTGGCTGGACGTGGACATAATGGAAAAGTGAGTGGTAATACCAAGGTCTCCCGGCCCGGTGAATATTAGATAATCATTTGGGGCCTGGGGTTGCACTGTACACATTCCTGCGAAACATTTAACGTAAACGTAAACGTAAACGTAAATCTGCTCTGTCCTATCTTGCTCTGCTACTCTCCCACCCTACCCTTTTTTTTCTTTTTTTTTTCACTCCGTTCTACATAGAGTAATTGGACCCGAAAGCGACCCTTTGCCTTTTACCTTGTGTTCGCCCGTACCCCGGATTTCTCTTACCCCCCGCATCGAGGCATGCCAAGCTAGGCTAGATGTCACCTTTACGCCATGATCATACTGTACCAATTTGGGAAAGGGGAGGAGGATAATGTTACGTAGACAAATGTGTATCTCGAGTGACAAAGAGGTAATGTTATCTTTTGGATTATATCTCGGTTGCCTTGGTGGCGCTCTGTAGGAGTAGCGACAGAGCAGGTTTCACTTGCTTCCATTTTGAGGGCGCAGGGCGATTGGAAACGGAGCGAGAATTGGCTGATCCTTTTCTTCTATCCTTTTCTTTCTATTTCCATTTACAGTATTGATGTGTTGCGCACGTCATGACTCACGTCGATGCGCAAGGGGTAACACGCTGGATGTATACTCCGTGTCTCCGCGATAAACTAAACCCTTGATCTGGGGTGCGGGGGTAATGGACAGAGGCTCCGGACTGATAACAGAGTCCGGGGTTACCTATTCTATTCTTTTTTTTTTAATATTAACGTTCTATTATATTATATTATATGTTTCTTTTTTACTTTTGCTAGACGTGTTCTTCCCTTTTCGTACGTTATCTTTGCCTGACGGGGTCCTTCAGATCGACAGCCTGCATACCATGATCATCCTGGAATGTAGTAAAGCGGACCGCGATACGCGGAGCCAAGACCCATCTGAAAATTCTGCAGTCCTGCATATGGCAGACTTCCCCGGATGGCGTGACGGAGGATCCAGCGATATCGGGATTGACCTGGAGACAGCGATCATGACGATCAAGGTCAGCGATACGCTCTGCAGATCGGGGATTGCGGGGTATGTATGAAGAGAAGTGTTAACGTAAAGATCGCCACAGTCGGGTATGTCGGCCCTAGAAAGTTTTCTGGGCGATCACCCAGAAAATGGGTTGGAGATGGGGGATTGGGGATAATAGCCTCTTGTTTCGGGAACAATAGCCTATTACCCCGTAGAGTCAAGTGGAGTGAGTGATCTTCGAGGGAAAGGATATGGCGGAAGTCGGATTCCGATTTGATTTTGTGTTTATCATATCTCAAATCTCAGCAATCAGCATACAGAAGGGTGAACTCGTCACCTGGAAGTGAAACATCGTTTCATGTCTACATATGCTAATAATATACAAACGTACAGAGGACAAATGACAAATGTACAGTATCGGCAAAAAGCGGGTAATTGGTACCTGCTTCCTGGAGATCCCCGAATCCGGAGTTTCCCCAATTGCGCCATTCCCCGAAGTTCTGGATAAGCGTACAGTATACCGTAGTATAAGATATAACCTAATTTATGGCTCGGATTCGTGCAAATTATGGGGGTGTATTCCGTATGGGCAAGCCGGCCCGACATGGCATGTTTCTTTGTTTGTACGGAGTTTGCTTACTGGGATCGGCTCCATTTCATGCTTAAGATCTGCCACTAAGGGCCCCTGTATGCAGGATCCAGGATCAAGCGATGTGGCCATAACTACAAATACTCCGTAGAGCTGAACTGAATATCCGCTGAATACCCTTTACCCTTTTATACGAGATAAGGTCATCCCACGTCTTCCCCGTTCCCCATTCCCCATTCCCCATTCCCCGTGTTATCGTCCAACCATATACCCCGGCCCCAGCACATGGGGAGTCATCTTCCCTTGCCGAGTGGGCGTATCTTTCTTTATCCCGTTATCCCGATGGCGCTACAGCTTGGCCTTGGTCTTGGGGACCCCCTGGGGTCCCCACCCCGGACTAGGGGACCTCCGTGAACTGTTATCAAGGTACATTATTAAATGGGGAAATATGGGACGATGATACACAGGCTTAGACAGGCCTAGACGGGCTCGTGGCATATTCGGAAAAAGAAAAGATAAAAGAAAGAGTCACCCCAGATGCATGTACTACAATATCACATCCCCTATACCGCTTCCCATCTGGACGGGCGTATCCCTCGAGATACGCGACTTTTGCGGCTGTGTGGCTGCAGGACTATCAATAATTGGATGATCCGCGCCTATCAGCATTCATCCTGCTTTTATCTATCTATTTTGGCAGGGAATCCGGGTTATATATCAGATATATCAGATATATTACATTTTATTTACGATAATAATAGATTATCCGGGCTCATCTCCGGGTGATTTGAGGGTAATGGGATTATAGACATCATCGATGATCCCATAGTCAGGACTGGATCATACAATGCTCTGTTAGAACCCGCGATAGCCGGATGTAGGGACACGCACTCACGCCACACGGCTCTTCAGATCAACTCCACATTCCTTACGTATTTAATTTAATTTAATTCTATTTTATTTTATTCTCCCCCCTGTTTCGGGAAGCCATATTACATATGATAGTGTAAGGAAATGTAGTAGTAGATGGTATAGATATAGGTAAGGTATAGGTATGGATAGCGTGTCCATAGCGTACTCTGTCATGTGTGAAAGTGGACGGACGGTCACTCCGGGAAAGACGATCTACCGGTTGATTTTTTCGTTTTCGTTTTCTTTTTCTTTTTCTTTTTCTTTTTCTTTTTTTCTTTTTTCGAATTTCCCCTACTTTTTCCCGATATTCTTTTTTCTTTTTTTTTCCCAATTTGCCCCAGTCTTCCCCCACACTCCTTTTGGGGTTTTCTTCTGAATTTTTCACTCCCTTCCGATTTCACCCTTGGCTTTATATTATCTGCTCCCCAGATCGTCATCTCCGGATTCTTCTCTCCCTTCACTTCCCTCTACTCATTACCTCGTTCTCCATGCCACCACCGGCTACTTTAGGATTTTCCAATCTGCTCAATCCAGACGCCTCGCCAGACTCAACTCCCTCGACTCCCGGTGACTCAAACTCGTCAATGGCTTCTTCTGTAAGCCTGCTGCCACCGCTCATGAAGGGTGCTCGTCCTGCGACCGAGGAGGTCCGTCAGGATCTGCCCCGGCCGTACAAGTGCCCTCTTTGCGACCGTGCCTTCCACCGCTTGGAGCACCAGACAAGACATATCCGGACGCACACCGGCGAGAAGCCCCACGCCTGCCAGTTCCCTGGCTGCACCAAGCGATTCTCTCGCTCCGATGAACTCACTCGTCACTCGCGCATCCACAACAACCCCAATTCGCGCCGCAGTAACAAGGCTCAGCACTTGGCAGCGGCTGCCGCCGCAGCTGCAAACCAGGATGCGGGTATGGTCAACGCCGCCAACATGATGCCTCCTCCCAGCAAGCCCATCACTCGCTCCGCACCCGTGTCGCAAGTTGGATCCCCGGATGTTTCACCGCCTCACTCGTTCTCCAACTACGCCAACCATATGCGCTCAAATCTGGGACCGTACTCGCGCAACACCGAGCGCGCCTCTTCCGGCATGGATATCAACCTGCTAGCCACGGCCGCATCACAGGTTGAGCGCGACGACCACATGGGATTCCACGGCTCACGCGGCCACCAAATGTTCGGCTCTCGTCACGGCACTGGCCGTGGTCTCCCCCTCGCTCTCGGCCTACGCCATCTCCCAGAACATGACCCGGTCGCATTCCAACGATGACGACGATGGATATGGCCACCGCGTCAAGCGGTCTCGTCCCAACTCGCCCAACTCCACCGCTCCCTCTTCTCCTACTTTCTCTCATGACTCTCTGTCCCCAACTCCCGACCATACTCCCCTGGCGACCCCTGCACACTCGCCCCGTCTGCGCCCTCTCGGTGCCAGCGAGCTGCACTTGCCTTCAATCCGCCACCTGTCTCTCCAGCACACGCCCGCTCTCGCGCCCATGGAACCCCAAGCCGAGGGCCCCAACTACTACAGCCCCAGTCAGGGACACATGGGCTCGACCATTGCAGACATCATGTCCAAACCCGACGGCACACAGCGCAAGTTACCTGTTCCTCAGGTCCCCAAGGTCGCAGTGCAGGACATGTTGAATCCCGCAGCTGGATTCTCTTCCATGAACTCCTCCGCCAATAACTCCGTGGCAGGCGGCGATCTGGCAGACCGATTCTAATCTCGCCTCTGCAACTGCAACTCTGCAACCCTTTTATGCCTTCTGTTATGTGCGCTACGAAACGATATAGACTTGTGCATTTTTTACTTTGGCTTGCGGGCATCAAACGGTGTCGGATGGTTTTGCTTTCTTGATTTTCTTCTCTGAGGCGTCTCTCCAAATAGATTTGGGCTCTTTCTTTGTTTTCTTTCTTTTCTTCTACCTTTTGCTTCGATGCTACTTCTGGTTGGTCCCTCCTCTCTGGGGCTTTTCTTTTCAAGTTCAAAATTACTGGATAGGTCCATGACCTTTTTTGTCTCATTCTCCTCTCTCGAGACCTGTGGTCTCTCTCCCTTCTCAACCTTTTTTTTCCCTTTTACTACTTAATACTCGCCTATGGCTGAGAAAATGAAATCTATATTTACAATACTATCATTTTAACAGTAGATATAAAAATGTCATGTGATACCCGTGATCCCACATCGGATGTCCACCTACCGATCACTAATCCAAGGCAACAATGGCATTATCAACTATTAAACACGGAAACGGAATGCGGAATACGGACTCCCCAATCCCTTCTTCCACTCTTATCATCACCTTCGCCTCCCCCACTCGAATCCAAACCAAAATTACCTTCACATGCACATTCCATCATCATCACGTTCTGGTTCGAGTGATCAGCACAGTCTAGAACCATGGTACCTGTTGTTCTAGCTCAGCTCAACTCAGCTACTCAGAGCTCATGTCATATTCACATGCATCTTCAACTCCGCATATGATCTAGCTGAATCATACATGTTGGACATGGGTACGAGATGGATATGCATGTGCTTGTGCTTGTTTCAGCTTGTGTTTGGCAGGGTTTGTTTTGGTTGGGGTGCGTTTAGGATGTGTTACTATCTATCCATACATGCAGTAGGTGCAGTATTCGTATACTCTGTAGGGTAGATAGGATAGGATATAGGATGAGATAGGTTGCTTTGATCTCCACCTCGCGATGTTGTTAATCGAGTGCTGCCTGTTCTTCGCACTGCCCGGTAGGTTCATGTTCAGTTCGTATCGTGCCGTTTTGATTCTAATTCATGATTAACTTAAGCTTATAGGTGGTTTCTTCCCATGGATTGTTGTGTTTAGTGGGGTAACGTTATATCATCCTATTGCACAGTAGAATAGAGACGGGTGTACATGTAAGTAATCGTCCCACTTGTTTCAGAATCAAGTTAAGCGTTCGTCTACTGTAACAAATGTGGAACACAACTCCCACAGAGAAGTAAAGGCAAAAGTACTGCAGACTCAACGTATGATTCATAGGGATAGCAAAGTCCCAAGTTCCCTGCAGCCTGGCGGGGTTCCGAACGTGCTACACTAGCAGGTCTGTCTGTGCATGTATCTCACTTGAATAGAGAATAAAACAAGGTCTCACAATGGGTAGTTGTGTATAAGTAAAGTACGGAGTAGCAATCTCCAGATTAAATATCCCTGTGGTTATATCATATAGTGTACACCACACTATACTATCACAACCGACACGGATACTAACTACACCCGCTAACGTTAGTCCAACCCCCCGCCCAACTTAGCGCGAACAAACCCAACACTGTAACTTGACCTAAACTAAACACTCTGGAAAATTCTATCAACCCCCCCCCCCCCCCCCACCAAGCCCACTATGGACTCCCGCTCTACATGTTCATGTTCATGGAGGTCCTGAAAGAGAAACAGTAAAGAAGAAAGAGAGGTTATTCGTTCGCTTGGCAGGGGGTACCTACGGTCCTCCGGTGCTCCTTCGTACCCACAGTGTACATGTATGCCGCAGAACGGTCGGGCGACGCCGGCTCCTTAGTAGATGTCATGCATGCTGACACTTTCTTCCGGGAAAAAAAAGTTGCAGGTTGCAGATCAACTGGATCGTTATCTCTTTCAACGCAGACGCAGACTGGTGTGTGTTGGTTGGTCATATCGTCGGGTGTATGTGTATGTTTTTGCGCGGGTTTGTATGTCTTCATGCTCATGGTCATATCATGCTCGTACTCGCGAGTTGAATCGGATCTCTGATCTTGATCCTGACACTGATGCTGAGCATGATCTTGATGTTGATTATGAAGATTGTCCCCTCTCCTCTCCCATGTAAGCCCAGGCCAACCTCTGACGCGATGACAGCGACGTACGTGACTCGTTGATTCCCCGCGCGAGACCCGATCTCCTTTCGCTTCGCTGTTGACTTTGGTTTTGTCCGCTTTTGTTACTCTTTCTTCGTCTGTGGAGCATGTCGGAGCGCGCGCATGAATGCCGTCCCGCTCAAAGAGCCGACGCTGACCTGCGCTCTTTTTCTACTTCTGCTGGTGAAAGACACCGGCCCCGTCGCTCTGGTTCTGGTTTTGGCTCGGTGGGATACAATATGAGTGATAGTAGGGACCCTGAGAAGCGTCTGTCCGGCGTGGTGCTTTCTTCTTCGCCGTTGCCTGTGCCTGCTTTGTCGTGTGGTTCGCCTTCGCCGTCTATTTCGTCAGTTGATACTGCTGGGTCTGGAAGTGCATTTGGTGGACATGGATATGAAGATGGTGATGGAGATCAAAATCGGGATGAAGACTTTTATATCCTCGAGGACGATGGTAGGGCGCCGTTGATCACCACTGCTGCCAGTGGCGCAGAGCCGTCTGCGCCGTCGCGCGTTTCCTTGTCGTCGTGGGGGACGGCTGCTCCATCGGTATCATCAGCATCGCCATCTCTGTCGGCGCCTAGTATTGAGCAGCGCACGTATGTCTGTCTCTTCCATATGCTGGACTGCCACGAGTCTTTCGACGATGATGCGCAGTGGCAAACGCATGTCTGCAGTCACTTCCGGTCACACCCTACGCCACCGACGGCGAGATGTCCACTCTGTCCGAGTACGAAGTTCGTCGATGGGATCGCGGAGCCTATATCATCGCCCGTTCTGGAGGATGGCGAGTCGGTGCGCAGCGAGAACATCATTATGGCGGGTCCTGGAGCTGGAGCTGGATTCGGCCAACCCTCGGCTTGGGATAGAATGCTTGATCATGTTGCTGCTGAGCATTACCGGCTTGGTCAGACATTAGCGGGGAGTCGGCCAGATTTCGAGCTAATGCGTTATCTGTATGGGCTGCGGGTTATCACTGATGCGCAGTTTAAGGCTATGCAGTTGCCGCCTGCACCGTCGAGTCCGGCTTATCATCGCTCGCAGGATGGAGTCAGGGCCAGTATTGGGTCGGCGGACGAGCCTTATTGTGCGCCGTATAGTAAAAGGAGGGAACAAAGGATGCGTGGGCAGTCGAGGAGTGTTGTTGTGTAAACGTGGGCTGTTTGCTTTTTTAATTTTGGATATTCCCCCTTTGTATAGCATGTACTTTTGTCAGATTGCCAATTTGTGATGGATCAGATTCAGAGTATGAATTCAACATATTATTCTCTATAGATAGTGAGCAAACAAGACAAACTCACCGCCCTTGATGACGGCCCTTTGCGACTTCGATTCTTACCTCGCGACTGTCTACAGCATGAGAACAGCCTGATTCAATCTCCGATCCTCCTTGTCTCTCTCATTCTCCCTCTATCCGCCAAATCCTGCCCCTCCACCGAACTCGAGTTCGGATTCGGATCGATTTCTTCCCCGCCAACCCACCTCAAATCCCCAGACATGGAGCGGCTATCTTTAAACGAAAGCCCTGCCAATGCGCAGCGGAACCCCCAACAGCAACAGCAGCAATCCTCTCAGCAAAATGCCCTTGGCCCCGCTAGCTCCCAAGAACGTGGTGGCCCGCCCCAATTACCGCCTCAGATGTTCACCACCGCCGCACAGCTGCTCGACCTAACAGATAGTATGTCGATCGAAGCAAAGACCCGGGACGTAGCTTGGACCTGGACACACAAACTAATCGCTTAACCTCCCCGCAGAGAAACTCGTCCTCATCCTCCGCGACGGGCGGAAACTTATCGGCGTTTTGCGAAGCTGGGACCAGTTCGGTATGACAGTCGCACAACTCCAATCTGGATGATTGTCTAACGCACAATATCTCGCAGCGAACCTTGTCTTCCAGGAAACGATTGAGCGCATCTACGCGGGGGGTCTTTACGCCGATGTCAACCGGGGGATTTTCATTGTCCGCGGAGAGAATGTGCTCCTTCTAGGCGAAGTGGTATGTCGGATGGAACAGGCTTTGCATTGCATTTATTCTTCCTTTTGGACCGAGTACTGATCAGCGATACCCATTATAGGACCTTGACCGCGAAGATGATATCCCTCCTACCCTGACCCAGGCGCCATTCGAAGAAGTCTTCGAACTTAAGAAGAAGGAAGACGAGAAGCGGAGCGCAGGCGAAAAGAAGCGGTACAAGGAGCTACAAGCTCTCGGCTTCGAGCCTGAGCATAGTGGCGAGATTCTGTTCTAATGACTTTCCTTTCGATCCGTTTTCTCGGTTATGCTATCGGCTCGCACGATCTATTCTACCTCCCGAATGGAGAAAACTGCGTCTGCGTCGGTAGGGCACCGAATGCGAAGCCCTTTCTGCCGAGAATCAGATGTTGGCAGAATGTGGTACTGCGCAGCATGTGGCGTCGTGATGGATTCCAATACCGATTTTGGATTCGCATCGGCACTGGAGCTTTGGGTGGAATCTCAAATACGATGCAAGCTCGAACTGCTGGCAATGCCATGTATAACATATATGGATGAATGATAGGCTATAACTTACCTGGGTAATCATCGTCTATGCTTTTCGTCCTTGCATCTCTTGCTCTTCTTATGGCTCATTGGGATACACTGCCGAGCTGCCTTATATCGGGCTTGCTTGGGTTCATGAAGTTCTGATTAACATGTTTGATTTTTTTTTTCTATGATAAACCTCCTGCGAATGAGGAAATGAAAACTTGACGCTGTATTGACCTGTATTACTATGTAGATTGAGGGTATGGGGTATATGATTGCATTTAGAAACCAGCGTCGTCCATGTATCTAGAAATCTGCCTTAGCGTGCGACTAATACCCGGTCTTGCTATCAAGTTTAAACAGTCTTGTTTCAGCTAGCTTTGATCCAGACACAGTTGCCTAAACGAAAACAAGGGGCTTGTTCAATTATGTTCAATCAATCTTTCGTGGTATAAAGTTGAAACTCACACACTCAGTGCTGAGGACTACCTCTCACTATTGTGTCTTGCTCACAATATCCATAAGCTTCAACGACAAACCAGGCTTCTCATACCCCATAGTAAACAAGTCTTTCCTCCTTGGTGGCTCAGCATCCGGCAACAAACTCATCCTAAACGACCGGAACATATACGCCATGATAATAGTAACCTCAGCAAGCGCCACACTATATAGGAACCGTCAATACCTGTTCATTCTGCAAGAAAAAGCCAAGGTCATTGGGGAGGAAGCGGGACATAGCATACTTCTGACCGAGACACATTCTAGCTCCTTTGGAGAATGCACACAGATACTGCTCAAGGGACTTTGCTTCGGGATTTAACCACCGGTCTGGGTTGAATGTTCGTGCATCTGGGCCCCATATTTCTTCGTTGGTGTGCATTGTGTATGCTGACATTGAGACGACGGTCTATATGTAGATTGGTGGTTAGATATCCCTGCACCATTGATACTTGTGACAGCTTAATGGGCATGACTCACACCTGCTGGAATGACTTTCCCATCGACGATAAATGGCTGGGGAAGATTTTGCGGTACGACTCTCGGTAAACGACCTGGAACTGCCATGCCTATCCGGAGTGATTCTTTGACGCAGGCCGTCTTCAAAGAGTTTAAGCGGCTGAATGTAGAGCACGGTTCTGTAGATATGGACATACCAGATACTTGAGTTTCTCTAATTTCAACATCTGGAAAGATGGGTCGGCTTCGCTCAATTCTCGTGACAGTTTCTCACAGATAAGTGGATTGGACAGGATGTGAAGCAGGCCGGTTGTAAGCGTGGAAGCTGTGGTATCAGAGCCCGCAACTAGAATAATCAATGCCTCCGCAACCTTGAATTCACGAGGCAACGTGCATAGGTGGTCGAATAGCACTGGGTGAGAGGTTGTATTCCCGCTCTTTTCATAGTGCTGGAGACAAGTCTCAGCGTACTGGAACAAGAGGCAGTTAGCGATGACTTGACCGTTATCCAAAGTAAAATCGGAATAAGACATACCTTGAGTAATTTGAAAACATGGGCGGCCTCTGGTTTGACTAGCTCCACAAAGCTAAGAGGAAGATAATTGGACATCTTCCACAGCCACGGTCGTTCCTGCATGACCCAGAAACTTTCGGCCGCAGCATCGAATGCGGCCAGAAACCAGGATTCGAAAGTGGTGTTGTTCTCATCCAACAGGTTCTCTCGTTTGGCAAAAACGAATTCCATGACGATCTCCGTGGTGAGACATCTGGTGCAAGGTTAGGTGCTTGCGTGAGAGGTAAAAGAATGAAACGAAGGACGAGAGTCCACCTACCGGAAAGCACTGTATATATTGATATCCTGAGAGACTTTCAATTTGTTGATCTGTCCCAGCAGAACCTCAACCTTGTCATGGATGATAGGCTCAAGCTTGAATGATTCCGCCCGTGAAAATAAAGGATTCAGAATGCGACGACGCTCCTTGTGTAATTCCACCTCTGACTCTGTGACTACCGTGTGTGGTGTGTTGAATGCATCGTAGAATTCTTTATCTTTGGGGAATGGCTGGATCTGACTGTAAATGACCTTGTATTGATTTATATCTGTGATGTGAAGCTCATTGGGCCCAATGCGCAGTGCTTTTGTTTCTGGCCGACCTGTCAGATTGAGGACGGTGTAAAGCAAAATCCGATACTCACGATATTGTTCATGAAGTTTTTCGAGGGTTATTTCGGGGTGATCGCCCGTGATTGTGTATATATATGGGCGGGAACGAGCTGCTTTGGGTGGGCCTGGAAATTGAGAGAGTGGATGGAAGAAAGTGAGGTACAGTGCGGCTAGTATGCGCTGGAAGATGTATATAAGCAGTATAGCTGCTGAAGCTAAAGTGACTTCTGTCTTCGTGGGTTGCTGGAAATCCCAGATGGAAAGGAACAACTGGGTCATAGCGATATTGGCAACTATAGGAATCCTTGCTAGGATGGAGTTCACTTACTGGATAATCGACATCAAGCGCTATTTATATATTTACAGGAAATCGCTTGGACCACTGAAACCGAGTGTATACATTGGTTAGCTGTATACATGCAGCTAAGTGCACATTGTTCGGCGCTAGCCAACGGGGCCTTGTGGTTGTGTGACCAGATAGACATAAGTGCATGAAACCATTGTTAGTCTTGCATATCTAATCAAAAACTGACACTCATTAGCTTAAAGACATACTATACGTAAACTCGGCTTCTTGAAGGCCAGTATCAAGTTGTGGTCGATTTAGAGCTCCACAACCCTAAATGACCGATAAGCACTTATCAACATCGACATCATCTCTCCCCGACCTCCGTCCAATTCCTCAATCATGTCAGCCCTTAAAGGCGCAACGCCAATTTACTTTGGCTCATTCATCGTTACACCACAGGTGGGTCTTCCCCAACTCCACGACTCGAATTGCACCATCTCTCTCGCAAACCAGACACCGCCGCAACCCAAACAAGACCTTGGCTAACACCCCCAACAGGTCTTCCTCCAAACACCACTCACCTTCGCCCTAGTAAACCTCAAACCAATTCTACCAGGCCATGTCCTCATCTCCCCACGACGCGTCGTTCCCCGCGTCGCAGACCTAACACCCGCCGAAACAAGCGATCTCTTCCTCACAGTGCGCCGGGTTGGCCGCATGGTCGAGCGCGTGTATGGGGCCTCTAGTTTGAACATTGCCGTGCAGGACGGCATGCATGCTGGCCAGAGTGTGCCACATGTACATGCACACATCATCCCTCGCAAAGCGGCGGATTTGGATCACCGTGGCGGTACAGATGCTGTGTATGATATGCTTGATGGTGAAGAAGGGAATTTGGGGAAGACATTTAGCGAAGCTGGGACTGGGACCCAGGCTAATGGGGCTGTGAAGGCCGTGGAGGCGGCTTCAGGACCTCGGAGGGGGTCGAGATTCCCTGCTGTTGATAATGAGGAGCGGAAGCCCAGGAGTGAGGAGGAGATGAGCGCTGAGGCTGAGATGTTGGCTAGGGAGATGGAAAATGAGCCTATTGATTGAGATGGGCTTGGTATTGGCATTGGTTGCCTGGGTTCTTGATGTATTTATCTACTAGACACTAGAGTCGTCGGCACTATTCACGACCCCATATTTGAATTGCGAGTAACTCACAATTCTCTTTTTGGCCATTCTATGCGCACATCATGCGAAGCCAGTCATTACAGTTCTCTCATCTGGTGTCGATAAGGTCCATAGTTTAGTTTTCCTCGTTCGTTAGAGGAAAACGGTGTACCAGTCTTTACCCGAATAAAACGATCCTACAATGAAAAGATTAGCATTCGCGTAACAAAGGTAGAAACGCTTTTAATACATACCGGTTATAGATGAATGGCCTACCAAAAGATACCAAATCAATCTGGCCCGTTTTCACGAGCTTATCTGCTTCCTCAACGGCATATTCATGATTCACCATCAACATCGTTTCACTTCCTGGATACTTGATCCAGGATCCGAATTGCTGGTTGAGTTTGTAATTTGGAGGCAGTTCTTTGCCAGCAGGGCGTGGACTCGATTTGAAATAGTCGTCTGAGTCTCTACCGACATCACATCCTTTTCGGGACAAGTTGATGAATCCGAGCTCTCGTTTCATTAACTGATTGACGTAGTAGGTGTAATATGTGTACGCTCTTCAAAAGAGACAGTGAAGTAGTGGTAATCGTCGGATGGACAGACCTTAATTCCTACTGCTCTGGGTCCCCAGACAGAAAAGTTTGCGTCTAGGACCTTGAGAGGGAATAGACAGCGGATTTCCATGTATCCTCCGCATTGGTCGATTCATTGGTCGATTCAAAGATTGGCGTGACTAACAGAATCATGTAAAGTTTTTTCCACCAAGGCCATCGCCGAATCCGGGAAATCATCTACGAGTACAAGAACTTGTGTGAAAGGTAACCATAGTTAGGGAAGTGCACTATTTGCTTGAGAGCCATTATAATAGACAAGTCTGAATCAACCTTGTGACAGCAACTTGATTCCATCAAAGTCAGCCTCTTTGGCCAGTTGGACTGAATGGCGGTATTGTTCGACAATAACCTCTGGGTTCTCAATCTGGGCAATGTTTTCCGTATAACCCTAGGCCTACGGTTAGCTCGAGTATAGATCCTTAATTATGGTCTCACTCACCGGGTGTCCATCCAATGCACGGAATTTACCACCCTTTACTGGTACCGTTGACGGAGCCAAGACATGATAACCCGACTCATTAAGCATTGGCATATTCTCATTCTGAATACGACCTTTACATGGTTAGCTTTCTATCGTCGTTCAGGGCCAATGAAGTAGAACTCACCAGGATGCCAGGGCTGGTAAAAAATTTCCTCCCTCGCTCATTCTGCGTATTAAATAATTGTAGAATACTTCGTTTTGGAAAAACGAAATAGCTGACTGTGGTCGGGATATAAGAGTTGAAGTAGAGAAAGAACAAGTGGGACGGTCCACCATGCGTCACATCATCGGGAGGAATCTATATTTCGCCCTTTTGAACTAGGTCTCAGTACATCCTGTAACCAATAGTAGCACTTGAAAGAACATGGTAAAGTAGAAGAGAACAGTGGCCATCCTCATCGATACGTGTATTTCCTGATATAGCGAGGGAAGAGTATACAGAATTACATCCACAAGGAACCAAACAAGCCCTCTCACCATACACCAATAGACCAATATCACTTAGCAGCACAGCTACCAAAAGCATCTCTCCCAGCCTCAGCCTCAGACAAAGCATACTGATGTACCTGAGCCCATAGCTGTTCATTTCTGAAGATCATAGTATTAACCCGCTCCAAGATGTCAGGGTATTCAGCAAGAATCGTCTTCGCTTCTCCGCGTGCCTCGGTCATAGCTTCCGGTGAACATTTGCGTTCAAACGCCTTTGCGATACATGCTTCTAGTTGACTGTTTGTTACTGGGCCGAGAGACTCCTATAAAAGGTTAGTTAACCAAACATGAAGAACGGTACCGGCTTACTTGTAGATCGGCACCAAGGTCGACGCTTGGAGTCCACCATTGCTCGCTGGCTTTGAAATCAGCGTTCGGGTTTTGTTGCTGAAGATCGGAGATATGCTGAGCAATGTAGGCTGCTTGTTCTTTCCGGATTGTCATGTTCCTGGGATATCTCTCTTGTGAGACTGACTTTCGGACTAGCGGAGAGATATGTGATTTAATACGGTAGTATGACAAGGATATATGTATAAATAGTTAGGTCTGCGGGGGCTCACATGATGTCAGATCTTGGCTGTCGTTCTAACTTCTTTAATAATTTAGCTGCAGGACTGATCCTGCGTCGTGGCGGATCATGCTTGGACACTCTTATAGGTCATAGCAATATGCAAGTCACTTGTGTTACCGAGCCATGATATAGTAAGCGCCGTTGTTGAGTAGCGCTATCAAAGCATGTTGGGATACTTTCTTTGGTCGAGCATAATCCACCGATTCCGAGCCTGTGCTATGTTGCCCTGGTAGCACGGCGCAGGACATTCTGCTTAGTCTACCATCCGAGTTCATTCCTAGCTGTCTCAGCAGGAAACGGCATGCCACCGAGCTATAGGCAATTTGGTATGTCTTGCAGCTGTGTGCTTCCCATAGCCGTCACCCACGGATATGACGCTGGGAATGAGAATACAGAGGGAAAGTGTCCTTCTTCTGCTGTGTGGTGTCTTGTTTCTGGATCAATTGAAAGTAATGAGCATTGTGTTTACTTGTCCACGAGGGACTTGCCACTGGCTTGAAGGTAAGGACGGGCAATGGAGAGGTCAAAGCCATCGAGTCAAGATTGGGATAGAGATCAAAGAAACAATGTTGTAACACATGTTGGGCGCAGTCAAAGCAGTATTTGAGAGATGATTAGCCGATTCATATAGAGAATACGCTATATCAATGGCATTATCTTCACTCTTATCTTTCTCACTTCCATTCCAGTAAGACATACCACCATTCGCTTCACCACCATCATCCTCGCGACTTTCTCCGGTATAGTCACGGCCATTAGACGCATGAGTTAGCTTACCCTCTTATTTGTGTTTGAAAGTTGGAGCACAGCTGAAAAGAGCGTCTCAATGACACAATCTCTCGGTTCTGCCTATACAACAGGTCACAAGTCCTTCCACACCCCTGTTGTAGTATATCTGATCAGAAAGAGGAAGCCTATGTAGCTAGCCAAGTTGCCGTATATGATTTTTCACCCCCGTCTGCGCTGCCTATTTAGATACATAAGAATTGGAAGGAATGGCTGCAATATTGGTCTTGATAGTGCGACCAGAGGCTTCTTAGAAAGTTGCTCAGAGATTGGTGCACTTTTAGGGACCAAAGTATATCTGATAAGTGCTAGAAGAAGAATTGATATATGTGCTTTTTTAAATAGTCTCCTAGAAAGAGAAGTAAGAGAGGTCAAGTATATGTGGAATGTGTCATATAGATTGACGAATAGGCAGGTATCAGGCAGCCCCAGAGTGTCAGGCCGCAACGCATCAATTTCTGATCTGTGCGCGATGAATCATATTTCTTTATTTTTTTTCCCTCTCCCTCTCTTAGAGGTCCCTGCAAGGTCCTTTTGCCTCAAAATACTTGAAGCCTTGCAGCATTAACGGCTGCAGGCAACTCTTTTTTTTTGTTTTCAGCCTAGGAAAAAACTTAGAGAGGAAAGAAGAAAAATCATATACCTAAGAAAAAAAAGCTGATCTTGACCGACATCTCTCCCTTTCCGCCATTTTGATCAGGGCACTCCCAGCCTCCTTATTGCATTGTGCGACACGTTTGGGACCCCGAGGAACTTGGCAACTTTGACTCGAGAGGGATTTTAAAGAGAAGCTCTCCCTTCTTATGGACGGAGATCTGGCCAGGTTCGAGTTTGGAAGCGCGCCGTATGGCCATCTCGATGGCTGACTGTCCGGTGGAAGAAAAAGGCCCCAAGCAGAGTATGTGGCATAAACTGGGCCTGCGGAAATGGCTGGGTCGCGACGATCGAGAGTCAGGGGAAGACGCCCCCCGCCGTGCCTCTGCCGACTGTCCCAAAGATAAAGAAAAACAGGATAATATCACTCGTCGAATCTCACGGAAGGTCGGTGTTGGTCTGCCACGCACAACAACCTTCAAACGACGGAGTTCCGAACAACGCGATCGCCTCGCTCCCCTCGACCCCGAACCACAACATCGCCGAGCCCTGTCCGCCGACCGCGATCCCTTGACTTCACGATCAAGGTCTCCCCCCGTGGACCCCAGACTTTCCGCGCCCGAGGTACAGTGGATCGGGCCGCCTGCAACCACGGTCGAGTCACATTCCGATCCCGAACCAAATGTCCAGACACCCGACTGGGCCCCCTATCCGGACATGGACGCGGAATCAGAATCAGAGCCGGAGAAACTACCGGAGGAAACATTTGAGTTGGAATTGGAACAACGATGGATTTTGAACCTGAGCATGCACTTCCGGGACCGGTCAGAGCGAGAGAAGTTCTTCGTGACATACGCAGAGGCCCCGAACCGATGGCGACGAGTTACGATTTCATGCGATTACCGCGACGCGCCACCCGACTCGCTGGAACGAGACCTGAAGGAGCTGCGGTACCAGCGCGACAAATGTGCCCGCATCTACGAGTCCATTCGTGAATCTCTCCTCGAGATCCAGTTCTATGATACTGTCACGAATCTCAAGCTGGAGACGCTTGACGGCCGCTTGCACGTCCATGTCACGGAGGATGTGAACGAAACGATCCCATACCCACCTATTTCCAGCATTGGTCATTTAGGGGGCGCTCGATGCGTCCCTGAACACTTCCTACACTTCGAATCGCATCTTTCTGGTTTTGTTTACAAAGTCCAACTCGGTGGACGGGCCTATATCAAGAAGGAAATTCCGGGACCTGACACGGTGGATGAGTTCCTTTATGAGATCAATGCGTTGCATGCGCTCAATGGTGCTCCCAGTGTCATCCAGGTGGAAGGAATTGTCGTTGATGAACGACGAGATGTGGTCAAGGGCTTGCTGATCAGCTATGCTGAACAGGGCGCGCTGGTCGATATATTGTATGAGCAACGCGGGAAAACGAGCTTTGCGAGACGCGAGCGCTGGGCTAGGCAAATTGTTCAAGGTCTCTGCGAGATCCATGAATCGGGATACGTGCAAGGCGACTTTACACTTGCCAACATTGTGGTGGACGCTTATGACAATGCTAAGATTATTGATATCAACCGCAGAGGATGCCCCGTGGGCTGGGAGCCACCTGAAATTGCCGCCAAAATTGAGAGCAATCAGCGCATTTCCATGTATATTGGAGTCAAAACTGATCTGTATCAATTGGGAATGACCCTGTGGGCATTAGCGATGGAGGAGGACGAACCCGAACGACAACCACGACCCCTTTTCCTCGGCGAAGATGCGATGGTACCAGATTACTACCGGCGGATAGTCGATATCTGCTTGAGCCCAACTCCACGACACAGACTCTCCGCGAAAGAACTTCTTTCCATGTTTCCCTCTGATCTCCCAACGGCAAGGGCATCGCCCGCTGTTCAATCTGTGGAGATCGTCCCGAATGACCCCAGGCACATTCCCATTAAACATAACTGGGCTCACCCTCCGGCCTCTGGGATTGGGCTGTCTCTACCCCGAGGATTCATGCGTCAGACCGATCAATACTCTTCACAGAAAGAGTTTGCGGACAATACATATAGAGATCTGCAACAACCAATCTTCGCTGATAACAACGACCCTGGAAACCGATCTACTATCACACTTGCAGAATGCAACGGAGATGCTAGCTATCCATCCAAACCATCTTCTTCATCTACCTTGAATCACCACGAACCTCATGATCCTCATGGTTATATGGATGGCCATCCCAGTCGTGATTTTGTGCCCGGTTTATCTCGTGAAAACCCCGAACCAGAGATTCTTCCGGCTTCGCAGACAACAATAACACCAACTAGCAATGATTTCCACGACTACAAAACGGAAGAGCTAGAGTTGTCAGATGAGGTCGTCTATCTTGATGATGCTCTTCTGCACGATCATCAGACTTTCGCCAACCAACCGTTGACTACCCCGACTCCTGATCATCATCAAACCGACGAACGTGCCTCACACATCGCTTCTCCGTCCATTCCGCCTACTGAACCACCTCGAAAAGATACTGGGATTCAATTATATGCCAAGGGCACCGACATCAAGCCATCGTCGCCAGCACCCTCATCCGCAGTCCTACCATCATCTCTTATCCTCTCCGCCTTGCCCATAAATCCCGCTTTTGGTCCGCCTAGCACTCCCAGCTCTCAACATACATCTTTGGTTGATACCTCAGCTGCGTCCCCACCAAGGAGTAGCGGCGTGGATCGACCATTTGCAGGAGTCGTCGGTATCAAACCTTCCTTCACAACACCACCGCCTACAGCACCATCTCTATTCCTCTCTGCTTTGCCCATGAACCCATCTCTACGCTACCCTGGGAACTACTTCCCCGAATCTACCACAACGATCTCTGTGGCTCCATCTCTTCCTGAACTACCTAGGCAGGATGCTGAAGAACCTTTCGCAAAGAAGACTGCCGACATGCAGCCTTCCGTCATAACCTCATCCTCTCTATTCTCCTCGAATTTACCTTTGAATCCTTCCTTAAAGCACCCCGAAGCTTCCTGCAGCAACCTGGTCATCCCATCTCAAGCGAACGTCAGCCTACCATCAAAAGAAGATATGGGTCAATTGTCGACAAACATTACCATGGCCAGTGATGCATTGATGGAACCATATTCGGCAACCTTACTTTCTCTCTCGGCCTTGCCCATCAATCCTGCCATTGGCCCTTCCTGTGCCTCGTTGGACAATATGGTCACTGCATGTTCCGTAAATCCACCTCTACCGAAGTTGCCAAATCGAGATGTGAAACCGACATCTGACAAAGTAGCTGATATCATCGATGTGCCAGCGGCCTCGTATTCATCCTCACTCAGCCTCTCAGCCTTACCCATCAACCCAGCTACGCCTCACCTAGAAGCACCAAGGTCTTTCAGTACCACGTCGTTGACCAGCCCACACTCTATCAAGACATCGGAGCCAGAAGATGCTCCTCAGCCAACCAAAGGGGCCAATATCAAACACACATTGAGAAGAGTACCTGGCTACGAATCATCTCTTTTCGTGTCGGCCTTGCCTATAAACCCTGCTCTGGCAGAGCTCAATACCAACACCATCTCGGCTAATGCAGAGACGGCCCCTCCTGCTCAACTTTCACCCCAAACCAAACCAAGCCCCGGCCAACAGAGCCAATTATCATCCCATTTCAGCGAATCGCAACCCAGGAATTTCAACCTACCCCAAACCAGCTGAAATATCCATGGGTCACTGCCACAAAGCAAGACAATTAATATTTAAACAACAACATTCTTGCCCAAATTGGCGGCAGCCAACGAAGCCACGACCACTTGACCATTGATCCTTGACCCTTGAGCCTTTTCGTCCGAACGAGCCCCATATTCGGGGCCGAGCACTCGATACCCTTTTGATTTGCTCTGCTTGTACAGTTTATGCCTCGTCGTTTGCCTCGTGTTCTTTCAGCTCTTGCTAGCATGCATTTACACCGATGGCGGGCGAATATCCTGGAGTACCAAAAAGTCCTTTGTTTGCCTCTTTCTTCTTTTTTGCTTTCTTCCTTGCATGGCGGATTTTAATTGGTTTTTGTTTTGGTAGCCTTGTGTTCTTTTCTTTTGTCTTCTCTTTTGTTACTTTTTTTGCTGTTCATTTGTTCATTTGTTCATTTTTTTTTCTTGATTTCTTTATATCTCTCTCTTTGGAGGCCCTCTTGCGTTTTGGTATCGTCATACGGAAGTCAATGTATATTGATGGGTTCTTTTTCTACCTCCTCTCGACTGACAGGGCTGTATTATTCTTTCTATTTTTTATTTCGTTTTTGGCAATGCAATTATTGAATGACATGACTGGCTGTTTTTTAAGAGACAACCCGTAGACTACATTTATGGTTTCCCTTGTATTCGTTTAATTGCCCGCCACGCATGATTCGAAGCTCTCGAGCCAGGGCTCGACGCTTGAACCAAGTCCTCGTCCAATCAGTACAATCTTGCACTGAAGTGGTTGAATCCTTTCCTCGTCATGTTCAATTGGTTCCGCATCCCGGATTTCAAATACATCCCGCACGGCCTGGATAATCCGACTTGTTCCATCTTTTAGAACCAGAATTCCCTTTAACCGATGAATCTCGAAGTTGTCGGGATGTGGCTCTGTTGTAATCGGCTTGGCAGGTGCAGGAAATGTGGACTCCCACAGAACAGAGCGCAACCAGGCATCGACACAGTCAACTTTATCAGCTGGGATTGGCGGTGTGACAATAGCAGTGGTGGAAATTGCCTGCTGATGGTTAGAACACGAAAAAGCGAAACAGAGAACATCAACTCACCGGATCCATATGGCTATGACCCTTCTTACTGAAATCTAGATCCGCCAGATGATCATAAGCATGCAAATCCAGCAAAACACCCTCAATCTGTGGCGTGCGACTATGATCCGTAACATGAATCTTAGCCACGCTATTAATAGACGTAACACGATCGCGCACAGCTTCCAATTCCTCAACTGTAACAAGATCCGTCTTGTTGAGGATAACAACATCAGCATGTGAGATCTGCATATGAGCCATCGACAACACAGGCCCAGAACCATGATCATGATGCTTATCATGCGCCTCGGCCTTCTCCTCGGCTGCGGGCTCGTCTAGCAATCGCATGATGTTCTTTGCGTCGACGAGAGTGACGATTCCATCGAGGTAGATGGAGCTTCCGAGTCCCTCGTCCATCCAGAAGATTGGGGCGATGTTGCCTGGGTCTGCTAGGCCTGTTGTTTCTAGTAGGATGTAGTCGAATGTGCCTTGGCGTTCCATCAGGGATTCGATAGCCATTACACCCGAGTCTTTCACTGAGCAGCAGATGCAGCCGTTGCCAACTTCCATCCATTCTGTTACTTCTTGGCCGTCCTTGTTTACGGACATTGGTTGTTTTTCAATGTCCGTTGCTATGGGTTGAATATGGTTAGTAGGTAAGATGCGGATGTTTTGATTGGGCGTCTTACAGTCACCAAATTCTAATATCATATTAGCTTTTTGTATATAGTAGAGGTTGAATCCACGAACCATTCATGATGACGGCAATTTTCTTGCCATGTTTCTCGGTGAGAATGTAATTTAATAGGGTTGTTTTACCTGCGCCAAGGTATCCTGTTCAAGGTTTTAGCTGTGAGATCCAACATAAACCGAAATGCTGCCCACCTATACATACCTGTTACGAGAGTGATCGGCACACGAGCAGTCGGTGCTTCTTCTAGAGATGTCTGATCTGCCGGCATGGCAGAGATATCGATCAACTCCGGAGGAGCATCCTCATCATCAAAGTTGTTAGACATATTACTGTAGTCTGAAAAGCAAGCAATATATCGAATATTCCAGTGTCAGTCCGGAGAGAGAAAGCAACTTCTTGATTCGCAGAGCGGCATCAGTTCCCCACACCGCCTTGGAGTATATCGGAGCCTGAGATGCCCAATGGTGTCAATGTACTTTTCTATATTTGCTTAAAAGATAGACTTGATTGACATACACAGAATCTTTAGCTAACATAATATGTCAGTTCTTTGCCATTTGACAATTTACCACTTTTGTCTAGCACTTCTGAATAGAGTCGCAGTGACGTTCTCACCAAGAACGGATGTTAGGGCACAGGGCTCGGGCGGTCAGCCGTTGTTATGGTCGAAGCTGAGCTTGTTATCGCCAGCTTCAAGCTCTCCATGCTCTCACGTTTCTTTTGATCAGTTTGACAGGGCGTCTAGGGAACTTTCACTCATTTGTAATCTGACTCTCCGTTTCATCTAGCGCCCTTGTTTTCCACCGTCATGACTTCCGGAATGTCCCCGTCCAGCTCCCCGCGGCTTCCAAGCCCTCCCCCGTTCACGGAGGTTCAGATCGCTCCTCAGTCACCCTCTGGAGAGACTTTTGAGGACCAGATGCTTGGTGCTGCGGTGGGTGAAGATGATGGCTCGACACGCAGAATCCGTCCCGGCACCAAAGCCGCCGACATGGCATTTGGACCGCCGTTGATTCCCCTTTCGCAGGTAAGTTGCGCTTGACTGACTTTGATTGATCCTTACTGATAATCATAGCTTGACTCGCCTTTCCAGCTTCAGGAACACCTCAAAGCCCTGTATCATCACTTTACGAAACCCGAAGGATCTGACACCGTGGTCCCGATCAACCGCCAGGTTGCGATCCAACTAGCGGAACCCCCCGAGGGTGTCGACCGATCGCTTTGGCTTTACGAACTCTGCCGATTCCTCACCATGAAAGTAAATAACCTCATTGTCGCCTTCTTCGCCGAGGACCCGCCCTGCTCTGCGACCACTTGCCCAGAGATGCGAGCTTCGGAATGGCAGTATCTCTGCGCGGTACACGACCCTCCCAAATCTTGTTGCGCAATCGATTACTGCTGTCACACTTTGGACTGGGCCATGAACACCCTCACATCGCCCAAGTATTTTCCAAGTCGGCTCACGCTAGGCAACGAGAATGCCGGAGGCCCTCAGGCCAGCATGAGACACCTGACGAACGTCTTCCGCCGCCTTTACCGTATTTTCGCACACGCTTGGTTCCAACATCGCGGTGTATTCTGGCAGGTGGAGGGTCATGATGGCCTGTACGTCTTCTTCAAGACTGTTTGCGACATGTACAGCCTCATCCCGCATGACAACTACACGGTTCCCCCCGAGGCAGAGGGCCCTGATGCAGTTCAGCCTGAGGAAGAGCCAGTTGATACCAAGCGTTTAACAATTCTGCGCAAGGAAGATGAAAATCCATTTGGTTCTGGCGCAGATAGTCTGGACCCGGCTCTCGGCACTGGTGCTACCACTCGTCGTCACAAGCACAGCCCTTCGACCGGTTCGCGTGTCACAACCATCACTGAGGATATGGAGGATAGTCCAGAGATCCCCTCGCCATTGCGTGAGGCTCTGGAGGAATCGCCCGAACGCCCTGTTTCTGTCCTGGAGACGACCCAGCCTCCTGTCGAGACCTCTGAGGAAACTGCCTCAGACAAGCCATCCGCTCAGGAAGAAGAGCCGGTCACAGAGACAGATGAAGAAGCAAACCAGCAGATCTCGGAAGAAATCGGACAGCCTGGACCATCCGAGGCCACAGAAGAGGCGCAGCCGGAGCCTGAGCAGCCTGTTGATGACAAGACCGAAGAGCCTGTCGAGAATACCAATCGTGATGCTGAGGAAGCAACCACGTCCGAAGAAGCCGAGACGAAACCTGAGCTCGAGCAGAAAGCCTCAACTGCATCGGAAGCCAAGCCTGACTCAGATAAAGAAGAATCTTGAGCTTCATCTAATGTCAAGCTTATCCCTTATGGTACTATGATGATCGTTAAACAACCCCGATTTGTGTACTTTTGATATTTGCTTTTTTGTTAGCCCTTTGCCATCCTAAGGGGTTGGGATGTTGGGCATTTTTATTTCTGATTCTTTCTAGTGCTGGATGATATCTTTTTTGTAATATATGTATGTAGTTCAGGATATTGTTTATGGTCAATGTCAATGATACCCTTTCTCCTGGTCTTCTTTGCCAATTGTAATAATATTAGTCGGTGTATTTCGGTCATGTGTACAGAATACCACGAAGTATGGTGTGGACAGTCTACACGGATGTCTCAAAGTGAGTATGCAGTGTAATGCATTCCCCCTTCCCTCTTTGCTGTCTCTTTGCTCAGTTCTCAATTAGGCCTTGGTATCAAGTGAATATACAGTGTTACAAATATAGAAGTAGACAGTCAACGCAAAAGCCTTAAAGAAAAACACGATTGCTACATTAATTTAGCCCTCATTTAACCCCTCTCTTTTCACCTCTGTTTTCACCTCTTTTTTGCCCAGTTTGAAAGCCTGTGACTTCTAGTTAGAAAAACAAACTTAAATCAAATCACGTAGTTGAGACTGCTTGAGTTGGGACTACCCCACCGCCCCCTTCACCGCTACTTTCTGCTGGCGGTATCTTTCTCTTCCTCGACAATTTTTTTCAGCAACAATTAGGTGCATTCAATCACCTTTGAGGCCAATCTACCACCTCCATTGTTCATTCTCTTAAACTCTTCTTCACCTCGTCGTCGTTAACCATGGCGACTCTGGCGGAGAAGCTTGAGAAGATCAAGTCTCCCAAGCTGCAGAACCAGCACCATGTAAGTTCCCCCGCTGCATACCCAGTCGATTTACACTAACGCATTGACCCATAGACTGCTGTGGTGCTGTCTGCAGTTGAGGATACTCTCCGTGACCAAAAGGCAGACTTCTCACCAACCGCATATTTCGCCGCTCTCATCGCACTGCTATCGCAGTCATTGACCGCCTCGCAAGGCATCGTCAACAAAGACCTTGCGACCTCCGTCGTCTACCTTCTCGATGTCATAACCGTCTACGTGCCCGCCCCAATCCTCTGCTCCAAATTCTCTCAGATCCTCGAAAGCCTTGCGCCGGCGCTTTCTCTGCCCGAGGTCGAAGCCCCACTCTTGCGTCCGTCGATCGGCTGCCTCGAATCTCTGCTCATCGCCCAGGATGCGGCGGCATGGCAGCTCCCTCACACACAGGTTGGCCCGCGCCGCGCAATGGCAGGTCTGCTGAGTCTCTCAGTTGACCACCGACCTAAGGTGCGCAAGCGCGCTCAGGAGGCCCTTGTTAAGGTTCTCAAGGCGCCCCCACCGAGCCCATCTCTGGACCACCCTGGTGCGGATATGTGCGCCCAGTCCGCAATGAAGTCTCTTGGTGACAGTATCTCGGCCGTGTCAAAGCAGAAGAAGGGCCGCCACGATGCGCAGCGCGACAACCAGGAGCCGCTCATTATCCACTCTTTGCAGCTCATTAAGACTATTGCCTCGGCATCTGGTGGCTGGCCCAGCAAGAAGATTGAGCCTCTTTGTGAGCTTCTGATGAACGCATCCCGCTCTACCAACGAGTACATCACCATGGGTGCTTTCGAGGTGTTCGAGGTTATCTTCGAAGGAATGGCAGACGAGATCTCCTCTTCCAAGCTCCCCCGTCTTTTAGATGCTATTTCCGAACTCAAGCCGGCTCAAAACGACTCACAGCTTCTCCCACCATGGATTGCTGTGCTCTCCCGCGGATACGATGTGGCTGCACAGATCACCCCCGAGGATACGTTCGAGAAGCTGCCCGGTCTTTTCAGCTTGATTGCTGGCTTCTTGACTTCGCCCTCAAACAACATTCGTGTCTCCGCTTCCGAGTGTCTGATCTCATTCCTTCACAATTGCATTCCGGCCAGCGTCATTGTGGACCCATCCGTCTATGACGAGAAGACCCTGGAGAAGTTGGCTCGGGGAGCCGTCGATCTGCTCTCCGTGAAATACCAGGCTGCCTGGATGGAAGTGTTCAATGTTTGCTCCGCCATGTTCGACTGCTACAAGTGGCGCTCAAGCCCCTACCTTAACAAGATTGTCTCCACAATTGGCGAGCTACGCAGCAATGAGTCCTTCCACGGAAAGAAGGAGGCCGATGCTGTTATTGGCAGTGCTCTTCAGGCCATGGGCCCCGAGGCCGTCCTGGAGATTCTGCCTCTCAACATTATCGACCAGAAGGCCGGTCAGCCTGGCCGTGTCTGGATGTTGCCCATCATGCGCGACAATGTGACCAACACCAACCTGCGCCACTTCCGTTCCGAGCTCGTTCCTCTGAGCGAGGCTCTCTACCAAAAGGTGGTGACCTTCGGAGCTGCCGAGAAGTCCGTGGAGGTGAAGATCTTCGAGACTCTCGTCCAACAGACCTGGAATGTCCTTCCAGGCTACTGCGAGCTGCCCCTTGACCTTGTGGAGGCATTTGACCAGAGCTTCGCTGAGCTGCTATCAAACGTTTTGTACAAACAGACTGAGCTGCGTGTCGATGTCTGCCGTGCTTTGCAGAACCTGGTTGAGTCAAATCAGGCCATCTTGACCGTTGACAAGGAAGAAGATGATCTTATCCTGCAGCGCCGAATCACCAAGGCCGCCGCCAAGAAGAACCTTGCTCACCTCGGCGGCTTTGCTAGCAACTTGCTGGCTGTTCTCTTCAACGTGTACAGCCAAACCCTTCCTCACTACCGCGGTTACATCCTGCAATGTATCAATGTCTACCTCAGCATTACCCCCGAGAACGTAAGTTATCAACGGCCTTTCGCATCTGATTTGAAGACGTCTAACAATTATCATAGGAGCTCAATGACACCTTCAACCGTGTTACCTCAATGCTCGAGTCTTCTTTGGTTGCTGAACAAGAGACAGCGGCCAAGCAGGGCTCGCAGCCCCAGGGCTCATCTGACAAGATGCCACCCACCTCTCACACCCTGATTGACCTGGTTATTGCCATGTCAATCTACCTTCCCCGTTCCAGCTTCAGTGGCCTGTTTGCCCTGGCCGCTGCTATCCTCAACAGCTCGTCCCCCAACCCGGACCAGCAGCTCATTAAGAAGGCATACAAGCTGATCCCCCGTCTCGCATCGACCGAGACAGGCCGTGAGGCCCTTCAGGAGCGCAGCGGAGAGCTTCAGGCATTGATGCTCGCCACCACAGATAGCACCCCTGCATCCGGCCGCCGTGATCGCATGCTTGCTATCCACGAGATGATTATCCACCTGCCTACCTCAGACCTGCACTTCATCCCTGCAATCTTGTCAGAGGTCGTTTTGGGCTGCAAGGAGAGTAACGAGAAGGCACGCACTGCTGCCTTTGACCTTCTGATTCTCTTGGCCAAGCGCACAATTGACACCGAGCGCAACCCGCCCGGCACCGTCATCCGCAGATCCCTTGTGCCCGGTGTGCCTGACGACTCCCCCGATGCACCCGCCACCATCGAGGAGTTCTTCACCATGGTCTCGGCTGGTCTGGCTGGTTCCGCACCCCACATGGTGGCCGCTTCCGTCACCGCTCTGTCACGACTGTTTTTCGACTTCCAGACTCAGCTCCAGCCTGCCATGCTCACTGAGCTCGTCGAGACCGTTGGACTTTTCCTTACATCCAGCAACCGCGAAATTGTTCGCTCCGTCCTTGGATTCGTTAAGGTTGCCGTTGTCGTTCTTCCCGATGACGCTTTGCGTCCGCGCCTGAGTACCCTTGTTCCCAACCTCATGGCTTGGAACAAGGAGCACAAGGGACGTCTTCGTAGCAAGGTCAAGGGTATCATTGATCGACTTGTCCGCCGCTTCGGTGCCCCTCTTCTGGAAAGCCTTGTCGGCGAGGACGACCGCAAGCTCGTTGTCAACATTCGTAAGCAGCGTGAGCGCAGCAAGCGCAAGAAGAAGGAGGGCGTCGAGGGCGAAGATGACGACGAGGAGAAGGCTGCTAAGCCTCAAGCCGGTAACGCCTTCGACAAGGCTGTCTACGGCTCTGACTCTGACTCCTCGGACGAGGGCTCCGACGACAACGGAAGTGACGTTGACGTCGACGACCTCGCCCGCATCAAGGGCAAGGCCGGTGGCAAGAAGAAGGCCGGCCAGAGCAACCAGTACATCCGTGAGATGTCTCCCGAAGACAACCCTCTGGATCTTCTCGGCTCCAACGCTCTAGCCAGTATCTCCACCACCAAGCCCAGCCAGCGCTTCCTTAACACCGGCCCCGGTTCTAAGAAGACGCGCACTGCCAAGGTCGACGCTGACGGACGTCTTGTTCTTGGTGACGACGGCGATGTCGTTGCTGAGGATGTTGAGATGTCCGGTGCCGGCGAGGCTGGTGGCATCAACGCCTACCTTGCTGCCGTGAGCGGACCCGACGCTGTCCGCCGTGGCCAGAAGGGTAAGGTGAAGATGGGCCAGTCCACCAAGAAGAACTCCGGTGACCGCATGGATCTTGATGATGAAGATGCTCTCAAGGAAGACGTGCGCGCGTCCGGCTCAGGCAAGGGCCCCGGTCGTCGTGGTCTCGGTGCTCCAAAGACCGCTGGTGCCCCTGGCGGCGGCCGCATTGAGAAGCGCCGCAGCCCTGGCAAGGCCCCGAGAGGTAACAACCGCTCGGGATGGGGAAAGAAGAGATAAAGCACAGATTTTGATCTCTTGTCGGTGGAAAGGAAAGAGGGTGGCCTCTTAGCAGATCCTGGTGTTATGTTTTGGGGCTGTTTCATGTTACTTGGTTTTGATTTACATTCTTGTGAACCATTTTATTTTCTTCCATCTGCTCTTTTCATCTTTCTAGCTAGTCTTCGGCCCCTTCGTGCTTGGTTGGTGCTAGATGTTTTCTCATAATACCCGACGCTGTGGTGATTCCGTTGACTTGGGCTTTCTTTTTTTGTTGTTTGATGCAGAGTTCTGCTGCGTCTCTCTCATGATATGATTACGATTGTGTTCAAAAGTTTGTTTTAGGTCAATGGAGATAGATACGGTTTTTTCTTTTTCCTCTGCTACGTAAAGTACATACTTTGTGAAAACACTTGGAAGCAATTAAAGCTTTTCGGCCTCGGCAATGATGGTGTTTCGCACGCCCTTCTGGAAATCTTCCCCAGTAGGCTGCCATCCTAGCAGCTTCTTGGCCCGCGAGGCCGTTCCTTGGCCATTAGTACCCAAGACCACGGCTCCATGAGGAATAACATTATTTGCCTCTTCAAGAGTCATCGAGCGTACTGAATTAGCTGAGTCTATATAACCAAGGCTATGCGCTTCCTTGGCAATGACTGAGGCGACATCCTTGAAGCTCTAGAAGAAGGCATTATGTCAATAAGGTATCGTTAAATCAAATCGGGGGAGTAGAGTAAGGACCAACCTCGATGCCATTCTCCGCAAAATAGAGACCATTTTCATTCCAGAAAGGACCCTCGGTAGCCTTCGCTGCAGTCTGCGCAAGATCTGCGAATAATTTACCTAGATCAGAAACATGGATAGTACCCCAACGACTAAGTCCCTTGCCGAGATATAGACCGACACGCTGCTGAAGCGCAGCCTTGGCCAAAGATGGGATTTGAATGCTTCGTTGGTTGACAGGGCCTTCTCCGGCTCCGTAGATGATTGGAGGGAAGATAATGGCTGTCTTGGGACCGTCAGAGCCCAAGTCGAGAATGTAGTTCTCCACGGGTCTGCGGTTTCTGTAAGAGCGAATGAAACCCCGCAGACCTTCGGCGTTGTCGAGGTCGTCGAAGACTTGATCTGAGGGCTCGCCATATGAGTTGTTATCAATTTCGGGGCATGCTAGCACGCTAGCGCCTGTGATCTGAATATAGTATGCTGGAATCAAGTCAGAATCGGCAATTGGATTCCTAGGCAAATAGGGCCAGGCGCATACCATTATGACGTCCTGCTAGACCTTTCGCGATCGCATTGACACTTTTCATATGCTTGTTGCTGGCAGCATCTGCAAAATTCCGATTAGAAATTAATTATAATATTCAATGGCTGCGCAACTCACGAATAACAATGTCGGCGTTACGTGCTTCGTCTTCAATGACCTTAGTGTTATCTAGATCTGCAAGGACAATGCAGACCGTAGGGTACGCCGCAGAAACATTGCTAGCCTTCTTTGCGTCTCTCACGAGAACAGAGATATCATATTTGGGGTTACTCTGCTGCAGGGAGTGGAGGACTTGGCCTCCGACGTAGCCTGTGGCACCCGTGCTAGGGTTGAAGTTAAGCAGAAAGAACGTGGAGCTCGGTCGCAAAACATAGACAACTTACAGAAAGATCTTAGTCATTTTGAGGATTGATCAAATGTTGAAAACGTGTTCAATTGAACGAAAAGTGACGCAGAGCGAACGACACTTTTGTAGACACGCCCCGCGCTACAGACACCAGAAAGGGCAAGTGATTCCATGGAGACACCAGCCCTCACATCAATGTCTATCAGCATGTCATTGAACCATCGCCATCGTCTCCACATAAATACCTGATCCGTGTCAACTCGGGATACATCTCAGTATCTCTAGATAATATCAAGAGGAGCCTCACGCCAAGATATGGTATCAGGCAGCACAGTGGATGCCTAGCTAGGCCTCTTTCGGCGGCAAACTCCTATAGCTTAAATGGACCGCGATTTCCAAGAGACATTGCCTATCAAACATGTCTTTTCTCAGTCTTCCTCCTGAGATTCATCAGCGAATCCTATCATACATCCTCTCCGCTCGAGATGTGGCCGCCTTGTCGATCCAATGTCGCGCTCTTCACGCCATGTGCGACATGCCAACACGCAAAATTTATGACACAATTAGCATCTACTCAAACGACGAGAGCATTGACGGGGCATTCGGGCTTCTAATGAACATCTTGAAACGGCCAACTCTAGGCCATTATGTGCGCCATGTTGAGTCCTGTTCGGCGACCTTTCTCTCCATGGAATTCAAAGAGACTGCACCTCAGCGCGGAGTAAACGATGAAGATACGGCTCTCGTGCGGGGTGCCGTGAAGAAAGCTGGGTTTTCAGGCCACAGCGAGGACCGCGTAGTCAATATGCTCATGCAGAGGATGGAACATGCGACAGGGTCATATGGATTTTACAAGTAAGAGCTGGTTAATACTTTGTGTTTGCACGGTCGACTGATTAATAGTAAATGAGAACAGGTACCGTGATACACTTGGCACCTTTATTGCGCAAGCCCTCATTGCGGTTCTCATTGCACTCTCGCCCAACCTTACATCGATGGCCACACCACCGCCCTTTCGCTGGCACGGACAGGAGGGGGTGTCATACCCACTTGTCGAATTTCTTCGCCAGGTCAAAGCTAGTCCAGAAGCAAAGCCATACTTTCAAAATCTGCGGAAGGTATATTTGATTAATAAATCTGACAGTACATGGTCGGACGGCCGTTTCTACGTTCCAATGGACTTCCTTGCCTGCTGGGAGTTGTTTGACCAACTTCCATCTATTGAATCTATCGGGGCGGATCTCGTTGTGGCAGATGAGAACGATAAACAGGCCCTTGAGAGCAGGCTCTCAAACATTAGCAGGATTGCAATCAACCACTCGCATATCAACTCAAATATTCTTGTTCAATGCATTTCATCATGCAGAATTCTCAGAGAGCTCCAATATTCAATTGGAGGCAGGGCAAGCAGTGATGGAAGCTCCCCGACCGTCAATCCCAAGGCAATCATCAAAGCGATCTTAGGGCACAAAGACAGCCTTGAGATTCTAGATCTTGATGTTGATAGTGTCACTCGCCTTGAAGGTCTGGCAGGAGATGAATATGATTACGAAAGTATGGAGTTCGAACTTGATAGAGATGGGTCTCCATTTAAGGAGTGGGTGCATCCTGGTGTTAGTGAGAGTTTACGCTCCATATGGATGCGTCAAGGGTCACTGAAGGATTTTGGAACTTTAAAGGAACTGAGCCTGGGCTTAGAATTCTTAGTATATTTTGCCAGGGGTGTGAGAGCCAGTGAAGCTCCTGTGGAAGAAGCTTCTATGGAAGATCACGAGTGGCCCATAGTGGCTGATTGCCTCCCTGAAAGTCTTGAATATTTGTGTATCAGAGGATACGAGAAGGGGGTGAGTGAAGAGCTTGATAGACAGGTAGATGCATTGATGGCCTACTACGAGTCTGGATCATCGAACCTGAAAGAGATCAAGGGACTTGTGGAAACGATACCCAATTCCGATACCGTGGGTAGTCCAGATAATAACGGGGAGTTATTGTGGTCGCTTACTGAGATGGGCTATGAGAGTGACTGGTGATGCGCTTCTCGAGATGATTTATGGAATCCAGCAGGTGCATTTTGTTCTGACATATCACGAGCGCTACGAAATCAATAATTCAATAAGTCAAATCAGCTAAATTTAGTACCCTCACGGCTGATAACGAGTTCAAAGATTCCTCGCAAGTGCCTCGCTGCAAGATTTGATAATCTCTTGTTGCGCTTTGATCCATTCTGTCGTCCATTCCTTCAATTTTAGAATGGCATCCACGTCATCAAGGGACCCTGGATCTTCAAAGTTGTTTAGTACACCCTTCAAATTTTTATCTCCCACTAGCCAGCCCAGAATCCTTTCGGTGTCTTTTGGCTCAGCAAGTTCCTTGCTGACGTTCAGCCGATAATACTTCTTCGTCTGGGCGTGAGGTGCAAATGCATCAACAAGTGCTCGGAAAAGGAGATTGGTGCTTTCCGTATTGGTTGCAATATTCGCAAAGCTCAGCATTGCTTTCTTGAAATCGAGGCCTGGTTGAGCGACGGCTGCGTTGGCACCCATTCCGGTGCCAATACTGAGGAAGCAGTCGGTCTCACGAGTTGGGCCGTAAACACTGAGAATTTCAGTCCAAAGCCTGTAGAGAACAGAAAGTCAGTCGAAACCCAATTTGCTATGGATAAGATAGCCTACCATCCTAGTGGATTGTTAGCTAGTAGACCACCGTCTACGAGTTTCACTCTGCCAACTTGAGTTGGTTGGAAATATCCGGGAGCCGCGGACGTGGCGCGAGCAGCCTCCCACAACTTGATTTTGGATAGGTCGGGGTCCGGAGCAGTTTGTTCATTCGCATAAGAGCGGAGGAAGACAGGTCCGCGGTTGCTGGCAGACTCTTCGCGTGTTGCCATCAAAAGTCTGGACTTGTGGTATCAGTTGAACTGTGGATACAGCGTGAATAGATCAAACGGAGGAAATAGTCCTACATTTTGCAAGGACTTGCATCATCAAGCAGTGCAGCATCCTCTGCATTCTGGCCTGTTGGTAATCTCTTGCGAAGCAGATCTTTGATTACCTTTTCCAGCTGTTCAGCGGAGTAAAATTCGCCCTTTGTAAGATAGTCCAATGGTTTTCCAATGTGGGTACGTAACCAGCCGGAACCAAAGACATCTTTCATCACTGAATCATATGCGTCGAGGCATTCCTGGACAGTCATCTTCAGTCGGCCTAGCATAATAGCAATCAATCTGTTTCATCCAGCATGAGATTCAAGGGGCCAGTTGGACGATACAGTTTGTGATAACTTACCCACCGGTGCTAGTTCCACCGATAATATCGAAAACCTCGCATGGTTTCTTGTTAAGAGCTGCTCGGTCCATGACTTCTTTTAGTAGCATCAGAGAAGAATACCCTCGAACACCGCAACCGTGTGGGAAAAAGTTAGAACGTATATGAAGTAGCTTTAATTATTAGTATAGGATCCTTACCGAGAGCTAAGACCCGGAGAGGACGCTTTTCATTGCCTGCAAATGTCTCGGCTTTATCCCATGCTGCTTTGGTTTTGGGAGCATATGCCTCGTTCTTTGAGTTGACACTGTTCAAAATTTGCTGTAATGCAATGGTGTTTTCAAATATTTGAGCATAGCTTGGAGGTGTGTCGATAATTGTGGGAGTTCCCATATCAAGTACTAGACATGCAGCTCTGCCGTATAGCTCCCAGCCGGTATAACGAGCACACACCCGGGCCCCAATACAATTTTCAACCTATTTCCCCTGTCAGCAGTCAAGATTGCAAATATGAGTTGTTGGAGGAGACTTACCTCGAGTAATCCAAGTAAATCATGCCTTCCTGCAAGAATGTCACCACCCAACTGTGAAGGTTATCAGCATAGCATCTTAGTATGTGGGATAACAAACTTGCCCATTCATACTCCTTCGATCCCATATCATTCTTATGACTCTGCCAGACCAAGTCGACGCCCTCTCTGACTCTTGGAGAACCAGATGACTCATTTTCATAGAGGGCTAGCTATCTCCAACCATGTCCAGTTTCCCAGCGCGCGATCATCCACCCAACCTTGATCGTGCGTTTCAGCGAAATGTTGAACACTTTGTAGTGCTTCTACAGCTGCCTTGTTAAGTGGCTATGTTATATGAAACCCGTTAGCGTTATTTCCTGAGGGTAATATATTACGAGGACCAACCGTTGTTTTGAACCACGTCTTTCCTGCGGCATCTGATCCTTCCCCGATAACCAGAGGCTTCTTTTCATCCTTTGAAGTTGGTGCGGATACGATAAATCGCCCTTGGGGAAAGGGTGACTGGTCATCGATGGCTCGCAAGGGCAAAGCCTGTAAGCTTTGCAGGGACTTGGGAAGCGACATGTTCATTATAAGTGATTATTGCGTCTACCAAATGGAGCTTGGCCTTGTTCTTTTTTATATTTCAGCATGCCGGTACCAAACACAGAAAGGTGTTGGTTGGCGACTATTTCTTTTAGTTACAGTCAAAAATGATTCAAAGCTGGGTCTTATTACAAGTGTTCGTCTAAGAGATAGGCCCAGGGAAAGAGGAACGAACAATCTATAGCTGTTGGCTGGGTGCGGCTGGGGTTCTTTGGGCTGAGAGCTTGTATTCTGTCCAGGTGAAAGTCCACAAACTCGAAAAACCAAAAGAAAAAAAACCAAAAAACATATAAAGCGAGTTAGAATAACCGAACAGCGCATTTTGAATCTAGCCTCTGCTTTATGGTAGTCAGTCATAATCAGTGATAGTCATTGGTACAAAGCTGGGCCTCGTCATGTTCAGATCCATCCACGGGTGGCCCCGATGCTGTACCGTGGTTGAAAGGCCCGGGTGTAACTTGAGGCATGGCTGAAAGGTTTAATTTCTAGTCCCAGTTTATAGTATAGTAAAGCTTACGTTAATTGCAGTCGGATAGTGTCGGTTACAATGTCAAGCAGAAAGCCGAACTCAGACCTCCGAGTGGACTCGCATAATCCTCATTCCTTAGGGCTGTACATGCGTAAGCGGCTGACAAAAGCGACCCGAGTTTATGAGAATTACGCTCGCTATAGCCCATAAAGTGGCAGTATGATGAAGGCCGACCTAGACCAAACGGAGATGCATGCTTTGCGTGCCAGCATTGCCCCTATCCTAAGATTCTCCACACAACATAATTTCTCCATGAACTGCTGTCAGAAAATTGAGTTGTTGAAAGACCACTAAACCGCTAGGATGACTGCAGATCTGCTAGAGCTAATGCCACCGAAGCTGAACATTGATCGGCAAGACTATCAGCGCCGGATCTGGGGTCGATCCACCTCTAGTTCCTGAAGATCATGCGTCTCCCAGTACATGCCACTCGATCACGCCCCAACACCTCCCTGTATATTGATGTTTGACTTAATGTTCGGTCCGTACATTAGCGCTGTGATTCCACTCGATGCCCTCTCATCAAGGGCCTTCGAAGTGTCTGCCTCTGCATAATAAGAAATTCAGCGCAATATCCGCATATATGATTCAAATTAGGGATGGCTTATGAGATCTTCTAGGTATATAGACAGCAGTGAATGCTCTTGAATGAAAGTAACAAATTGTAACTTAGTAGAAGCGATATGAATATGTCCTCTCAATCTACCCCCTGTCACCTCGCTCTCGCTCTCTACAGACCCACAAAACCAGTATCCACTTAACTAGTTCGCAGATCCCGGGGCTTACAGCTGTAGATTTCACGCAAATTGGATATGAGAGCCCATGCAGTAGCTCTAACTCGTCCAAATCATTGACTCAACAACTCCAGTTGAGTCATGATCGTACTTTGTGTAGTGTAGATCTATTCTCACTGCGCCACCGATGCGCGTCTGAGATTGAAATCTATCTTCTCAAATCCCGTTTTCAAGACATTACAACGGAGATAAACACATCCTTTTGCTTTAACCAGAAGGCGTTCCGCATATCTAGAGGAAACTAGTGGAGGCGAATTGCATTAGTAGGATGAATAGTCGTGAACAGAATTCATGAGAGGGTGCAGCATGATCAGTTCTTCAGACGAATCTCTCGAAATGATTCAAACGGAAGAATACATACTAAGAAAGATGATCTAAGAAACATATTTAAAGTCAGTCGACTCCTCAGTTTCTGAATTCTTCATTACCAAGCCTTCTACCAGACAAGAGCCCTTTCTTTCATCCCAATTTTTACCTCAATATATCAAAATGCGTTTCACGCTTATCGCTTCTGCCCTGGCCCTGGCTGTCGGCACCAACGCGGCCATGTCCGCCTCTGAAGTTCAGTCCAATATCGATGCTATCACTCAAAAGTCTGCAGAGACGAAGGATGTTGCCCATAGTATCACCGTCTTGAACGCGCTAAACAAGGGTCCTGTATGTTCTATGTCTTCAAAATCCATTGCACTCAGAAGAAGTCATCTCTGTTGAATCAGTACTCATTTCAACTTACAGCTCGTGATCAATGATTTCAAGGATATCATCACCCTTGCTACCAATGATATCACCGCAATGAACAGCAAGCGCTCTGAAGAAGCCGCCTTGGACTCTGTCGCTGCTCTTGGCTCTCAGAAGAAGCGCCAGAGTGTCGGATACAGTGCTGTCGAGCAACAGGGGATCTGCAACGCTTTCCGAAGCGTAAGGACATTAAAGACTCTATTTCATTCACCTCTCGTGTGCTAACACCATATCAGTTTGTCGAAGTCCACCAGGACCTTCTCAGAGTCGTGATTGGCAAGCACGGCATCTTAAGTACGTTCTCTTTTACCAAACCTATCGCCACCGTTCTTCAAACCCTAGAGGGAGGTGTTGATAAGCTTGCGTTTGGTATCATTGATACCGTTCCAACCTGTGCTCAAGATGCTACTCAGAACAAGAACGCTCTTGACCAGACTCTCAAGGATGCGGAGACTACATACTCCAACTAAATCCCTTGATCTGTCGTAATAACGTTACGTGATGGGCTGCGATTAGTCCAAAGGCAATTTTCGGTCGCTTATTCTGTCTAGTAATGATTCGGGATTTAACGGTCTATGCGTATTTAACGTATGTTCTACGAGCAGATAATACAATATCTGTAGTCTGAGCACATGTATTTATTCTGACTCCCCGACTTGTGATGGTAAATTACAGTTTACTTGGCCTTGAGTAATTTCTTCATTCCGAACTTGTGGCTATCTGTAGAAGAGAGACCACAATGTAAGACTTTGGAGATCAATTTGGTTCATATATCCGGATGTACAATTTGTGAATACCAAGATATCAACATAACAGAAAGGACAAGATCGTCTCGTTCTCCTGCAATCAGGACACCGAGACCGGCGTAAACCCAACCATGGTCCCATTAGCACTAGACATAGTCAACTTCAGATCCTGCACAAAAGGCCTCGAGTCTCGACTCTCCATCGCCTCAAACTCTTGCATAATTCTAACGATGGTGTAACCAGCCTCAGTCAAGGCGAACTGCTGCCCAAGACAGATGCGCGGACCGCCATTGAACGGGAGATACGCCCAACCAGGTCTTAACTTTTCCCATCTCTCGGGACGGTACTCATCAGCATCAGGGCCGTAGAACTCAGCCGATCGGTGCATAGTGTATACGCTGTACATGATTTCGTAGCCCTTCGGAACGTGCAAGGGGGATTTTCCGTCTGGGCCACCGCCGACGGGGAGGTGTGTGTCTTTCTTTGCCATTCGGATGTTGAAGGGGACGATAGGATACAAACGCAATGCTGAATTTAGATTATTATCTTATAATGATTTTCGGAAACTAGGGTGTACTTACTTTCATTTAGAACCCACGACATATACGTCATGGATTTCAGATCATTGAATGTCGGTCGGCGTCCTTCCAAGGCGAGCACGTCTTGTCGAACTCTGTTCCAAATTTCGGGACTCTTTGCCAGGTGGAAGAAGGTGATACTCAATGTGTTGGCAGTTGTATCACGCCCAGCTAGCAGGATACTAAGTAACTGATCCGTGAGCTGTTTCTTGTCAAGTGTTTCCTTCGAAAGCTCAAAAGAAAACACATATTGCTTATCCATGAGCTTCTGAACTTCTTCGGGGACCTTTTGGCCATTGTTGACAGCAATTCGATAGTCGATCGCTTTCTGGACTAATCGCTCGGCGTACGCTCGGGTCGACTTCGTTGCCTTCCAGAATTTGGGGTTGTAGTAAAAATGCATCAGAGGACCAATCCTAATACGTGTCGCGGTTCCTCCTTGGGCGATATCCCACTCTCTGGCGAATGTGGAGCCGGGAGCAGATGGATTTAAATCTGCGAGGGAGTTGGTCGATTCTCCGAAGAGAAATTCGGTTGCAGTGTCGATAGTCTTTCTGATATCAGCGAGATACACATAAGGCGAGTTCGAGTTTGATCACCATTCTCAAAAACAGATTCTGCATATCAACCGTGGACCCATCCCGGGGAATGTGCTTGATGAGCTTGGCAACGTGAGATTCGTAGATATCAGTGTCGGAAACGCGGGTACGAGAGAAGTTAGGACGAAGCATCGCGCGTGAGTGTTCCCATTCACTGCCATCTGTAGTAAAGACGTTTGAACCCAGTAATGGACGTGCTGCCTCGTTGCGAACGGGCCCCAGCTCAAAATCCTTGAACTTAAGTGCCAACACAGCTTGGATGTTCTTGGGCTCGGCAGTGAATATGGCTTTCCGCCCGCCCATCTTTGCTTTGAATGTAGTGCCGTAATCTCTGTGCCAGCCACGAATGAGCTCGGGGAATCGGAATTCGGTCCCAGCCTTGACCATTGACAATATCATACTGATGCCGAACGGGCCGTGGGAGACACTATGCAATGGTGGCTTGCAGTCATTTTCACGAGAATACTTCCAACCTAGAATAGTGATTAGCGTTAGTGTCCCAAACGCTGGGAGCTAAAGTTTTTATACTTTGAAACCCTCGTGCAGCTTTGCAGGACAAGTATGTGAAAGTAATAGCTCCAGCTACAAGAGCATAAAGGGGAATATTCAACATATCAATCGAAATAGGCGCCATATGTGCAAAGTTCTGCGGCGAACAAGTCTTCTCCCAGCTTTGAGAGGGGGAAACAGATAATTAGGTGACATCCATGGGTATTTGTATTCAGTCCACCAATTTCGTCAGCCCGGAGTGACAAAAAAACTATCACACGCTAGGTTGTATTTTAGTCACCAGGGAAGATCATTCGATTACAGTGTCTTGACCTGTTTCAATGTACTCTTTAGGCACAATCAGTGCTTTTGAATTGACTATAGCCACGATGATTGGGCAGAGATCTAGACTTCTCTATTCCAATTTTAGCATGATCGAAGCCGTGCGCATCTAGCAGCTTCGCTTGTAATGGGTTCACAGTACATCAGTACATTTTGACAGTGTCGAGGTAGAACTTACCCGCCAATTAGCCCGTCTGTGCAGGATAAGTGCCTTTAGGCTAGGTGGAACTCCGAGCAATGAGACATGAGACTAATGCATCCGCGGGCGAGGGAGCTAGATGTAGTGCACTGGGGCGGGCCGTCAACCTTTTTATAGTAAAGATCTTCCGGGACTCGAATCTTCATTGGGATTACCAGCTCTGACAATATTCAAAGGCATGCAGCAATCTTTCCGAAGATATAGAGAAACGACAATCAAATGGAAAATGCAGTATTTGTTTGGACCGCCGGTAGGACGCCACTAGCGCCGATGCGTAAGCCAAAAACGGTATACCTTAACGCTAAAAAAGTTGACGTGGACCAAGCAAGTGGGCAACAAAATAGCAGCAGTGGATTCATATATTGAGCGGGGTTGCTGTACATGTCACGGAAGAGCAAATCAAGAATGCCAAGTATGTCATAGCACGCACAGGACTGGCCCTTATATTAGGCCAGACAGAAGTATGAGGTATCGTATCACAAGCAATGCCAGCCACGCAGTGTGGACAAAACTCCAACTAAAAAACGCCTCTCGGGTCTGACATCATGCAGCTACCGAAACTGGTGTTTGATTCAAATTCTCCGTTAGCTTCTCCGCTATCTTTGGCTTCTCCGTAGCCTCGTTGCTCTCGCTTTTCGCGGCGGGGTAGAAACTGACTGTTCCATCGCCCTTGATCACCCCTGTTCGATCCAGAACAGTCCGGGCTCGGACGTATGGGTCAAGCTCCCAGTAGTTCTTGCGCAATTTCTCAACAATCTGGTCTCGAATTTCCAAGTCTGCCTTGGGATCTGCGATCCATTGAGTGGTTAGACTGAAAAGATCAGCACCAAGGCTGTTTCTTTTTGCGAGAATGATGTCCCGGGTGGCAGTATCGTTCAATTTGTCATTTTCACCGGCGACAGGCTCTACGTATTCATATTCCCAGTCTTCTTCTCCTCCAAGTTCCTTAAGAATATTCTCGCGAGGGACCAGTTCTTCAAGGGCCTTGGCACCAGTGATGAAATGCACCTTGGCAGCAACCATAGGGTCAAGAATACCGTTGATGATCTTCCAAAAGCTGGAAAAGATCCAAGGAGCATTGTAGAAGATCATCGCCCCAAGAGACTCGGGGTAGTTCTCCTGGAAACAGTCGATGATGAACTTCACCGGAGGGAACTCCCAATTTCCAAGCGTGAACGAGGTGAGATCGAAAACAATCGCCATAGATTCCACGGGCGGAACTTGAAGGAATCTAACAGTCTCAATGCAATGGACAATGAAGTCGTTTAATCCCTTCTGGGTCTGGGTGCTTGGGTCATGGACCCGTACTCGAACAACACAAATAGGTCGACCCATTTTGTCGCAGCCATGGAAGTAGCCTTTGCCAGTGGTGGCCTGCAGCATAAAACCTTCGCCATCCTTTTTCTCCGGTGAATCTCCTCCCATATGCGATTTCTCAAACGCGTATGCTTCACCCTTGGCCAAAACCTCCTCGTCTACCTTGTATTCATTAACACGCCAGTTCAAGGCCGAGACTAACTTGATCCATGCTTTCGGGATGTTCCATTTTTCCGCGCGAAGGAAGCGCAAGAGAAGAGCGTCGGGGTGATCTTGTTTGAAAAGAGTCAGAAGCGCCGACCGAAGCCTATCGCCTGGAAGCTTTAGAAGGAGCGACTGGATAGTCTTGGTCTCAGCCGGGCTGCCATTCAAGATTTTGAGGCTGTTCAACAGTTTAGCCGGGATAGCCGATGTCTCCTCTTCGGGAGGCTCTGCCGGTGCACGACTCAGGGAGAAGAGTCGTCGACGTGGCTTTGGCATGCTGTCGGAGTTTGCCGCCGAGGCTCCATCGGGACAGGGTACTTCATCATCCCAAGACTGGATCAAGATCCTCCAAAACTCACGGAGCTTCTCTTCCTCCGACGAGGAGAGTTTTCCGACATAGCCAGTTTCTGTCGTGGATGTCATATCGTGAGGAGTTTGGGACAAGACCACAATTGGGGCGTACTGTATCACACAGCTTCTTTGTTTCAAAGGCGCAATTTAAAAATTTTCCCACTTCGCTATGTTCTTACAAAGACTGGAGTGTCGAACACCCTATGAGATTGACTCATCATAATCCGGGATGTCCTCAGGGGCATATGTGATAGCCTTCTGCAGTAGCCCGCATCAGCAGCAGCTGAGAGGGGGTAATCGGCGGACTCGTGTTGGTTCTCAGTCCCCGAACCTGCTAAAATTGTGCGCACCTTGAAGATCTTCGGCTATTGATTTGCAATGGTTGCGGGGTGCTCAACCTGTGTTTCAACCGAGGTGATTATCCGCATGTGAAGGGTTGTCACAGCCTGATAACCTAGGCCCGGCATGTATCTAACATGCAAGGCTGAGGTAGAGACATACCAATGAGAACAATGGATGATGATACATTCGTTGAGGATGCTCACCTCTCTGTTGGGATGGAGATCTATCAGCGGCCCAAGCCACTCCGACGTTGGCCGAACCAGGAGAACAAACAAAAGGGGGAGATGGTATTTGTTGGTGTATAATTGTTGCGAGTTATGTATCAAAATCCGAAGTCCAACATTCAGATAGAATATCTCCATATTGCTGCATCAGCTGCCGAAGGGCCATATTCGAAGTTTGTGATCCACCAATGGTCACATCAAGTGACATCAACCCTTTCATCAAGACATCGATCTGCCGGTCCCATGTTCCATCGGGCATGACCACACCACAACCTCCCTCTCCCTCAGAAATACCAGCATCGTAGTTGGTATGAAGTTGCAGTTGAATGACACCCTCGATGGCCTTTTGAAGGGCTGTCACAGCTAAACTTGGGGTGACATGATAGGCCGTGATCGGAACCTCCGCTCCTAGCCCATTTTGAAGATTAAAGGCCTCTTCCGCAGGGATTTTTAGCACGCATTCAACCGTTTGGGCGACACATAATGCTGCCTCTTGTTGGTACGTTCGAATTATAGGAGCGAACTGCTGCTCGTCCGCAACATTGAGGTATTGGCAGGCGTTTTTGTAGACGTCGTCAAGGAGGAAGATTCCCAAATTCCAAAACATGACAAGAGAGACTTTTGAAAGTAGCCGTTAGTAGGCATTGGTTGTAAAAAGTACACAGAGAAAAGAATCGCTCACCAATGGAGATTCTCGGGCAAGTGGATAAATATAGAAAATTGCTGATAGAATGAGCTATAAATGGTTGGAACGACGCATTCAACTGATTGATAGCTGCGATGCCGGAATATATAGCTTCAATGATGGATTGTTGATATTCGGGCGAAATGTTATTCGAACTTCTCGCACACGATTTGATGTTTATTATCTGTCTCCAGACACAGAACGCTTCTGCACTGGCTTTCAGGCAAATTGCCTGGACCTGTCCATCGAACTCTAGAATGCTTCGACAGGCAGCCCAAGCTGTCATGGACTCCTTGTTGGAAGCAACTTTGCATTGTCAGTCCTGTTCAAATTAATCGGCGGTTGACTTACCTTTTTCAACCCCCCAAAGATCTGGAAGTTTGCATTGCCGGTCCATGGATAGTGCCGCCCCTGTGTCGCGGATGTAGGCAGTCCAGCGAATGAGGTTCATGCTTGCCTCTAAAAGACCACTGTACGTGGAAGATGGTCCTAGGTTCTTGCGGTATTGTGCAAGAAGCTCGTCCAGATAGCAAAGCTTCTGCAGAGCTGAGTCAAGGAAATTGGGCGGCACAAAGCCCTCTATTTCCTTCAACTTTGTTGGGATCACAATGCCGACAAAGGTCAGTGTTGCAATAATGATACGGAACGACTTCACGTGGCGAGCATCATCTAGGAAAGCGCGGGCTCGGAGCCACGCATCAGTAAATGCATTCAGAGTTGACTCAGAGTCCGTAGAGTTGTTTCCGTCAGACACCGGCAACCATTGCATCGAGAATGCAAGAAGGACTGCCTTCAAGGCTGCGTCGGACTTTCTCCGAGCGTTAGAATCCAGTCGGTTGCCATAAAGGTGACTGAAATGATCCAAAAATCGAGCACTCCCTAGAAGAGATATTTCGTGGATGATCTCCTCACTTGTCGGTTCTGAAAAGACGGATTGGAGGGGTTGGTTGTTTGGTGTATTCTGTGGACTAATGATCGATGTCACAGGTGGTGACTCTGTTGAGCTTCTAGATTTGCTTTCTCCTATTCGGTAACGATTTCCAGTCGTTGCATACAAATTGCAATCATATTCCAGAAATCTAGATGAGCTGGCTGTTGAGATTGCATCGTAGATCCGAGTGAGTCTATCACCGAGTATCTTTGCGTCTATTCCAGAATTCAACAGATAGATTGGACTGTCGAACGAGAAGGGAACAGCGGTTGCATATTGATTTGTGCGCATCCGATTCAATGAAAGCGAGATTTGATTATTTTGCTGAATCTCTGTCGTAGCTGGAGCATCGGAGTGTGCTAGTGCGAAAGGTGGAGATGCGCGGTAAATATTTGATGATGATGTGAGGTGGTCATCTGAAAGCCGATCAAGATCAAGGTCAATCCAGGATGCCAGGATATCCTGATCAACCACAGAAGATGCATTCAATTGGGTTTCCAGGCTGCCGGGGAGCCCTTCAATCAGCCTGTCAAAAGAATTCAAGTCATCGTGTTCAATTCTCTCCGCTGCCACCTCAACTTGTGGGATTTGTCTCCTATTGACTGGGGAGGTTGGATGACGCTTTGCAAACTCGAATGTACAGTGGTGTTTCAAACGTTGGCAGTTCGTGCATATCGTTCCAGGCACTCCTTCTGAAATGCTTGGCACAAAACAGCGCCGCTTTGAACGCCGGCACCGGTCACAACTTGTATTCTGGCGACGTTGCGGTTTCAATGATGATTTAAACGCCTGCGAAACACTCTGGTCTCCCGGCATTCCGTATCTACATGAGGGAACGAGAGAATAGTACCGAAAAGGTTATTCTTATGACGGCATGATGATTATCCGTTCCGTCCCGCTTTTTGCCTGAAATATGAGGTGCCACTTTCGTCTTTTTTGATTTGACAAACATCAGATATCTTACATGTGTTTCCTCGTACTAGACCCTCAAGATGCATGGTACATTCAGCATTCTTGGCGAAGCAGTTCCCAAGGCTGATTGGGAACTCAATCGGGTAATATCAAGGCGGCGAAGCTATACCCCATCCGGTTTCCGACTAGGCAAGTCGCGCTCAACTTCCTTAATTAATTGCCTCTCTATCTCTCATATTCTTCAGTCCATTGCTTTGCATTCATTACTGGTATGTCTTTATCTCACATTCTTGTGTTTACTTTCTGCCCCTTCGTAGAGCTTACAAAGGAGTGTACAGTCGACTTCACCTCTGGTGACTACACTCAACTTCTATTCATACTAACTAGAACTTGATCAAATTTACCAAAGATTACAGAAGTCATGCCTCAAATCAAGATATATGAGCTATCTGAAGCAGACAAAAGGGGGTTTAGCAAGACGGTAAAAGTTTTCATTTGCTATGAGCTTCAGCCCACAGCTCATCCGGACGAATTGGTTTCCTCTATCGTGGAAGGAGTGAGAAACGCAACTCGCCAACTGCCCTTCATGGCAGGGACTTTGGAGTTTCAGAAAACTGGAAAGCTCTGTATTTTGGTGTCTCCGGAAAACCAGACTGAAGTCAAAATCCGCAGATTTTCGTCTACTGAGCACAAGTCTTTCTCCATATTATCGAAGAACTCATTCGTCCCGGATGACCTGGACTTTACCCAGCTTCTGCCCGAAGAAGAGGCGGGTAAGAACAGTGTCTGTGCTCTCCAACTGAGTCTTATTGAGGCTGGTCTAATCATGGGCTTCCGAATGAACCATGCTACCGGGGACTGGGCGTCAATCAACACGTTCTTGTCTCTTATTTGCCAAAGCACGAAGGCACACCGCGCCGGTCTTGATGGTACGGTATATGTCCCAGACCTGAATAGGGATCCATACAATACTCTAGCTCCGGACCCGTGTTTATCAAGGGAAGATCTTCTCGAAAACCTGTCAATGTTTTATGTCATGAATAAGAGCGACTTGAAACGACCACCACCACCACCGTCCCTAAAGTCAAATATCTACAGGATCAATGAGCGAACGATGCAACGCCTCAAAGCCCGCTGTGCCCCATTCCTTGGCGACCTTGGCTATGTCACCTCCTATGATTGCATCGCTGCCCTCGCCTGGAGGTCAATCACACGAGCCCGACTTGGAATTAACCCAGAGGGATCCATTACACCATCACGCTTCGTTCACCCCATTGATGTCCGTACTAGAGATCCAGATCACAGAACTACCAAAAACTACTTCGGCAACGCCGTTATCGGGTGCCAAGCCGGTCCGGTAATTGCGCAAGAACTGGTTGTGGACGGGGACGAAAAGTTTGCGGCTGCAGCAACCCTCATACGCAAATCTATATCTACAGTCGGACTTTCCACAGTCGGGCACATGACGTCTCTCATTGGATCTCTCTCTCCAACAGAGACCCTGGGCAGCCTGGCAGATTTCTTCGGCATGGATCTTTTGATGAACACCTGGTATTCGGGTACGGCAGAGAATTATGATATTGGAGCTGGTTCGGTTCCTGTCGCGGCTAGACTGGATCCAAGTATGGCAGGAGCTTGCGTGATCATTTTGCCAAATTTCTCGTGGGGAGGAGAGAGAACTTTTGAGGCTTTTGTGCAGTTACCTTCTGAGGAACACGAGCTACTTGAGAAAGACGCAGAGTTCTCAAAGTACTTCGAGCCAATTGTGTGAGACAGTCAACCACTATTTGTTCCGAGCTAGAATAGATTATGCCTTTTTTACAAGTGTGGTGTCAGTCTACAAGAAACAATACAGCCTCATGCACAGACCTATCGATTTCCAAGAAAAGAGGGACGAAGTATTCCATCAGCGATTCTTCACATCCAACTCTGCTAAGCTGACATATAACTCAAGACTTTAGCGACTTGTATTTATTGGAATGGTTTCTGTTAACCCACCAGATATAACACAACCCGCCAATGCCGTATATTCCCATTGGCATTAGGGCCGCTAGAACCACCATCGAAAAAGAGAATGCCGGCACCATAGCGACGGCACTGAGAGACAAGCAGGCAAAAAGTATCAAGACAAAGGAAACGCCGACACCAAAGAGGGCGGACAATGAGGAAGGCCGTTAGATATGGATGTGCTCGTAGACGGCCGTCAAAAACGCTCTCGCATAGTCTGCTGATGACATCTTGGAGTTGGGCGATGTAGCTTTGGACCACGGGTATGAAGTCCTTGACACTTTCCATAGAGGCTATTACAAAATCAGACAATATCCTCTTTGGGCGTTTCTTTAAGATGCCCTTCGCCATTTATTGCAAGCAATAGAATTCATATAGTCCTAACGCGGTGATTCTAGAGAGGCACATCAGGTATGGGGTACGGTTTCCCTCTACAACCATACTCTCCGTGCTTCGATGGAATTTCGTATGACCCGAGTCCCCCAGCCTCATAATCCAAACGGGTAAGTGAGGCTCATTCATAGATGAAAGCCACATCTATTCTTTTAGACTCCACATGATCCTTCTTCTGTAAAAAGAAAAAGAAAATACAAACAAGCTCTGAATCAAAAACGTGCTATAGAGCTAACAGCTACTAGCCATTGCGTATGTCTAGTAACAACAGTAAATCCTCATTTAGAACTTCAAAAATCTTGTTCCAACAACTTAACTCCATCTGAAAAGCGGAGAGGTATCATAATACATTCAGGTAACATAGCTTCAGGCTTTGCCATGGATCGAGCAATAGTTTGTCTAGACCTTTTCACCCGCGGCCCTGCGAACACAATCCACAATAAATTTCGGGTTGCTCATAAACGGAGAATGACCTTCATCACACTCTTCTACATCGAAACAGCCCTCACCTTGGGCGATCATCCTGCGCTGTACTGTCGGAGGCAATGCCCGATCGTTGTTGCAGACAATGTAGGTGCTTGGAATTTCCCGGTAAGCGGTGTAGGTGACAGGAACTGCCAATGGTCCCATGGGGAATGTTCCCAGCAAGGAGACGGCTCGGTCAATATCTTTTTGCTCGCAGCGGTTATAGAAGAACAGGTGGATGTGCTCCATAGGAAGGACGATTGCCCCATCCTAAACAGGAAGTTAGTCATACGAGACGCCATATTAGTGATTGAGCATACCGGTGTAACTTCCATTCCTCCGAATTGAGCCTGCATTTCCTGACGCTGTCGCTCGATCTCTTCCTCTTCAGGCGAAGCGGGCACCATCTGACCCAGATGGGTCTGGCCCTCGGGCAATGCCATAGCGCACATGTACATAAGCTTAACAACACCCCCTTTCAGACCTTGTGCCTCGCGTTCCTTTTTTCCGAGACCTTTGACAGCCTCAGACATGGAAATACCACCGAACGAGTGAGCGAGCGTGATGACGTCCTTGCCAGCATCCAGCTTCTCAAGAATCACTTGGCGGATAGCTTGTGCATCCTGCTCCCAGCTTGTCAGAGGGGGACTGGAGTCCACACATGGGAGAGTAACTCCGACGGCATCGTAGTGGACCTTGGCGAGCTCATCAATGAGGCCTTGGAAATGGGCAGGCCGGTGCCAGGCGCCCGGAACAATGACGACAGTGGGGTTGGGCATCATGAAATTGGGTACACTTGGGAAAAGTAGAAAAGAGAGAATCGGCTGACTTGGATGATTTTCTACAAAAGAAGTACAGAGCTTAAATACCCCTGCAACTACACACGGTTTGACTCGATCGGAGCCGCAAAGTCGCCACCTCGGAGCCGCCCCGCGAGCTCTGATTGGCTCCACTTTCGCCCATCGGCTCCGCTCCTTGCCATTCTCGACTTCTAGTAAACAATGTCTTGAAGTTTGCATTATTTGACTTATGTTCGATTTTTTGAGTGTTAGAATCTCAGGTTACACATCTTGCTATGTGTAAGGCTTATCAAAGGAACTTTTATGTCTACCCCCTGGTAACCGGACTAAATATTCTTTCTTGGCATAAGTCACCGCAGAGCTGGGAAAGTGATATGCTAAAAGTTCAATCTGAGACATTGTCACAAGAATTTTGGTAAAAATCAGTTAATGTCACTTCAGGAGAACTAGTTTGTAGACCTCAGCAGTCTCCCTTCAAGGACAGAAGTAAATATCCCGTGTAGCTACCCATGCATGTCATCTGTTTAGTTTAAAGTCGGGACATTTCCATAGCCTGGAGTCCTGGATTTCTCCACGAAACATTGTTTGTGCAACTCAGAATATCCAATATGGCAGCAGCTATCCTCATTTTGATCGAACTGGCAATCGTCTCGGCGATTCCAGTTTCTAACCATACCAGAGTTAGTCACAGTAACAGCAGTGCTGATGGTTTCAGTGGATGCTACCCATGGTAAGTACTGTTTTGAATGTATTTAGCTCACTTCCTATTCTATGGAGTACTCATGTGCATATAGTGCCGACCCTGACTGTGGTGTCGCTGGATCTTATTGCCAATGTGCTCATGGTGAGCAGAAGATTCTCGTAAACTAAAATCCAAATTGTGAGTATTTCTGAGACCATTATAGGGCGCTTTTACGTGTTCAATCGTGATACTGAGAGCTGTAATCCTCCCTGGGCATATCTTGGGAACTCGAAGAGATCACTCCCGGGGTTCAGCTGCTAGTTCGCAAATTGACGGTCGTCTCGGGCTTGATCTGGTCATTTGTTTAATCATACGTGAGAGTATTATTGAATAGATCATTCACGACAAATGTTTTCACTATACATGATTTGTTTATCTGATGGGAGGAAAGGTCGCTTTGCTATACTGACAGACCCAAGTACTATGCGCGAGATTCTTCATTTGACATTGAGTATGCTCTGTCCTCGTCGACGCAATGCAAATATAATGCCAAAGGGAAAATTTGAATAATTTCAAGCCTTCGAGGAAAAAGGTTGGTCTGGCTATCGTCGTTTTCTTTCAGTAATTTAACGCGTTTCGTTTGTTTTCAACTAGCGCATGCGTATTGCACCAATCCTTTGTGCATCTACAAGATAATCTGTCCTAGACTTTGAATTGATGCCCGTGGTCACCAACGTATCCCATCAAGTGGCCCTTAATAGCTCTCGGAGCCATTTTCCGGCTCTGGACACGCTTGCTCTTCGGAATGTGGACGTAGGCAATACTTCCCTATAGACGTAAATGTGTGAGACTAGGCTTAGCATTTTCAATGCCTAGTATCTCTCTCTATACCTGAATAGGGGATTTGCCACTTTTTGGATCGGCAAGGCGGTTTATCGTGTAAATTGCAGTCTCCACGGCGTACGGCCAGAGCTTCTCCGGAAGCTTAGCGTCAAGCATCATTACTCTTGCGATATCATTAACGTAGCCAGAGATACGCTCGATGATCCTATTAGGCTCTGCGGTGTAAGGGGGCGTGAACTCAAACTTTATGCCTTCTTTCTCAGCCTATTTGATGAATTTGGTGAATTCGGTGCTATTATCCATGCGCCAAATACCTAGAAAACGTCTAGTTTTCAGCTTAATTTGCTTGTAGAAGGTCATCAAGTGGTCGGAAATAGTAGCTTTGCTTTTCACGAACTTTCCTTCGAGAAATCGCGATGTGTTATCAATGATTGGCACCTAGTAGCTCTCTCCGTTAAGTCCTTGAGGGGTCATTGGCTACGTGTTAACGTGGAATTTCTATGCTACGTCTTGGCTAGGCTTCCGCAGGACCCAGGTCTGGGTCCAAGTATTGGACCCAGCCCCAGACCCAGCCCGGGTCTGGGTCGAGGCTAGGTAACCCGGAACCGACCCAGGACCCAGACTGGGTACCCATTAGGGCCCTAGCAAAACCCAACTTTGCATAAAATCAAGGTCTTGGCGTTTATAAACCTGCTAACTAATCAATATGTAATCTTAGTATTTTTTGCTGTTTCAGTGAAAACTAACATAAATGAATTTCTTCGATAGTAATTCAAAAAAGATAATAGCTTATATAAATCGATGGGATATCCTTATTAGTTAATTACGCATTAGAATGTATAAATTTTGTAGTTATAATAGTGTTTAAGTAGTTAGGTGAACTAACATACTTCAAGTTATAGAAATATATTTTGAATCTAGCCCTAAGTAAGTGCAACTCTTTAACTCTAAAGTTTTACTGTGAGACCACGCAGCAGTCTCGGGGTAGGAATAGGTAAGCGAGGTAGAAGCCTAGTCTAATGCGTGTAATACAATATATTTTGTATTAAGATAGAATAAACGCTGGTCCTTAAAAGGCCTAGCGGAGAATGCTAAAGTATAACTATGGGTTAGACCTCGGCAAGGACCGGGTCCGGTCCCAACTTTGAGGACCGGGACCGGACCATGCGGTCTTTGGTCTTTTTTCAAAGTAGTCAGGACCGCACCACGGTCCCCCGTGGTCCTTTGCGGTCCCCCATGCGGTCCCCCGCAATTTCATAATTATGCCAAGACCTTCCTTGTTTGGTCGTATAAACTGATTATTCAGCCACGTTTTTTACCGTTATTTAACACTGTTCTGGTATCTACACAAATTTTGATAATGAATCAGGTCTAACAATCAATAAAACAGTTGAAACTACCTTGTATCTGATTTCATGAAGCTTGGTATTAAGTTAATTACGAATGAACTTTCGATTTCGGACTGTTGTGGTTGATATTTTAGAATTTACTTCTGATTATGCAAAGATATATATATTTTCTACACCGGAGCACTTGTACGCTTAGGAAGAGTCATAACTATTAATATCCCTAGCCTAGATTTCTGACGGCCGTCAGAATTTAAGCCTATCTATTGCCTAGAAACTATTGATATCCCCACTAGATTTCTGACGGCCGTTAGAATTTGAGCCTATCTATTGCCTAGAAACTGTTGATATTCCTACTAGATATCTAACAGCTATCATTATTTAGGCCGATTTATGCGCGTTAGATATAGATTATTTGCAGGATCTAATAAGCTCTACCGGTTTTTGCGGTCTTTTGGCGGTCCGTTAGCGGTCCTTATACGGTCTCTATACAGTCCTCGTGGTCTTTTGGTGGTCCTTGCGGTCTTTTGGCGATCTATTAGCGGTCCTTATGCGGTCCTTGCGGTCCTTATATAGTCCTTACGGTCCTTATACGGTCCTTGCGGTCCTTATACAGTCTTTGCGGTCTTTATGCGGTCCTTGCGGTCTTTATACGGTCCCCGCGGTCTAAGACCGTATAGATCTAAGTAGAGTGGGTCTTATTAGCTAATTACGGTCTATAATCTAGCCTATTCTATCTAAAATCATTTTCTTGAATATAAATACCCCTTAGGATTCTTTTGCCTAGATAAAAGATAATAGTATATCTTGACCATCACTCTAAAGCTATACTGCCTAACATCTATTAATTATTCATTAATATATCATAGAGCCACGTATCCTAATTCTCGGATAATTATCCCTTATCTATCTTTGAGGATAACCTAGTTGATACACTCTCTTTCCTTATATCTGATAAGCTATTTAACCTAGACGGAGGCGTAACACTAATATCTACTCCTAGTGTGGCCTTCATACGACCAGTAGTACCTATCCCGATTCCACAAACTCTTAAGCGTATTAGTCTATTTAGCAAGAAGAACTATATCCTTTAGACAGAGATATTTAACGAGGATTTTGTCGCTTAGTAGCTAAAAACCGAGTATAGAAGTGCAACAAAACAGAATATCTTTGATAGTAAACGGCTAGTAGGCTCTTGGGAACACTTCTACTAGGTTGCTACAATCTCTGATAGATCCCCTAAGGTGATATATAAGTAGTGTGATTATATCCTTGCTTATCCTATAGACCGGCACCGGGGAATATCTACTATGAATAGGCATTTCTTATAAGCCGCTACCTATCAAAAGGGAAGGAGTAAGACATAAGATATTAGAGAGATGATCTCGAATAGGGTATAAATACTATCTATAAGGCTTACTTTATACTAACTTATATAGTTCTCTATAGACAAATCTTCCCTCCCGCAAACAGGGGTTTTTACTAGGAGCTTGGATAGATAGGTTAACCACCTTTATTGTTGCTCTACGCCTACTATTCTAGCTTATTAAGCACCCTAAATTTCGCGCCCTTATCGAAATAGCTTCCTCTACCCTATCTATCCCTAAAATACCTAGTGCTAGGACTATCCGTCGGTATCTTTAGGAGATAGTTAAGGAATATTAGGATTCTCTGCTTCAAACCCTCCTAGAGGGCGCTAAGCTTTCTATAGCATTGGATTGCTAGACCTCCCTATTTCGTTAGGCGTTTATGGTAGTTATAGGCTACTTTATCGACCTTTAGTGGAACTACCGTGAGATCTTACTCGGCTTTAAACCTCTTCGTGGCTCCTACACTAGCGCCTATCTTAGTAGTATCCTACTTAAGCTACTTAAGAAGCATCAAATTACTAATCGTGTGCTTACGATTACTACCGATAATACATCGAATAACGGTATATTACTAACTACTCTCGAAGAGGCTGTTTCGTCTCTTAAGCTTCTAAGTTATATACCGATCATTCGTATACCATATATTGCACATATTATATAGCTTAGTCTAAAGGAGCTTCTTGGTTAGATAGATATAAACCCATAGAATGATAAGGAAGAAATAGAGTGGGCCGATCAGAGACATACCGCCCGTCAAGAGAACAGAAGGATTGTGCAAACCCTTAACAAAGTATACTACCCCCTCCTTTTTCTACTATCGTATCTCTATTTGATACTAACTATATAATATCCTTTAGGTTCGTAAAATTGCAGTCTATATCAATAAAAGCCCCTAGCGCCGCGAGAGCTTTATTGGACTTTAGACAAAAGAACCGAAACTTATGCCAATACAAGATATCCGAACACGCTAGAATTCCACGTTTCTTATACTTCGACGCGTATGTCGGCTATAGACTATATTTAATAGATTTTGTGCATAATTTAATCTAACTAATATAAAGATAGATAAGGATAAATAGCGATAGGTTAATTATCTACTATCAATCACCTATCCCTTCTTCAAGTTCACTTTATCTTTATTAGCTACAACTAATATAACTATCTATAATATGTTTAGAATCTACAATGCCTTATTTACCTATATTGATAAGGCAAAGGCGCAGCTAGCACGAAAGAAAGTCGGGTAGAAGAAAGTAATAAAACTAGCGCTCGAGCATAGGCGCGATAAGCTTGCGGAGTATTATAGCAAGACTAATGATATTCCGAATAATCTCTATACAATTAGGACTATCTTAGGCCCACGAAATAAGCTTAAGTTCTTCTTAACACTAGAATAGGAGAAATACTAGGCACCGCGGTATAAGGAGTCCCTCGAGACTTATATCTAGCCTTACTAGAAGCGCTATACAGAGGCATAGACAATGTCGAGTTCCTAGTCAATAAGTAACGATATCTCTGATATTGATATACTTCTAAGACCTACTACCTCTATCTAGTCAAGACCGACTACTCTAGATGAACTCACAAGGTATCTTAGAAGTAGTAAGTTTAATATCCCTCTCTCCTATT